GTCCAACACCCACCAGCATCGAGGAGGTTTCATAAACGAGCCCGCTTAGGCATTTATAGTAAACTGCTGACCTGTTAGTTCCCTCGAGATTATCTTGTGTCCATGGCGTCTACCTTGGCGACTTGAAGGTCCGTCTTCACTAGGTCCACCTTATAAGAGAGGAACGTGGCGTATGCATGGTGGAAAATGCTGTCATTTCTGGTTGTCGGAAGTAGAAATACAAGCCGTTGGGAAGTGCCCAAACTCGTAGCCGAACCAATGATTATGACGGCTGGCGACTTTTTAAAGTCCTTCACAATGTCGGGTTTCTCGCGAAGGTAACGGTACTTGCCACCAATGTTGATGACTTGAAGTGTAGTGTTGAGAATATGACCATCTTCCAAGTCTGGTGTTGGATTGTGGGCAAATGGTCTTGTATTAAAAGTGGCATGATCTCTGGAGAGTCCTGAACGAAGTGGACGGCGGACCTAAGGGCCTTATATAGACAGGAATGAACGATGCCTGTCCCACAGGCAGGACTTGTGTGGTTCGATGGGTGGTGGTGTAGGAAGAGTGCGGGGAATTCTGGAGGAATAGGGTCCACCTGCAGCCGGGCCCCCCGGGCTCGATCGCTGTATTTCTGGATCTTCAGCAGATTTTTGTATCGCGTCGTCTGAGTCGTCAGATTGATCGGACGGGACGCTTATGATGGAGTGGGTTGCTTTCACGAAGCTGGCTACGGCCTGTGGGGTTATTGCCAAGCTGTCCACTTATTGGGGCATGCTTTTGGCCTTATTGGCCGTAGAGTTAGCCAGATTGGTCGAATCCTGTAGGGGTGGGTCTGAAGTTGAGTACTGGCTTTCCCTCGTGCTCTGAGAGATAGGCCAACGTTTCCTTCTGGGGCCCATAGTAAAGTCGGGACCCCTCCATGTCGTAGTACACACCTACCTTCTTAAACAAATTGGCTGAGGCCAGATTTGAGTGTATAGATGGTACGTACGCGGCGTTATAGAGGATGAAGTCTCTGTGGCCGTCTGGGCCATGGATTCGAATTCTGGCATCTCCCCAGAGCGCGATATCCAACTTCCTCCCACCGACCAGTAGTACGTCAGACTTTCTAGCCGGCCGCCGATTCTTGAGGTTTGCGTCACTATTGACTACATGGACGTTAGCTCCAGTGTCGTAAATGACCGAATTCTTCAACGAGTAGCTCGTATCCGCTGAGATATAGCCTGCGGTCAACGTGGAGTTGAGAGCGGCTGAGTTGTAGACTGCCGAGGTGCCAGCCAATGCTGGCCTCTGGTCATTGGGTCTATCTTGACCGAAGGTGCCGTTGCGAATAGCATCGACTTTGGCCTTGAGATTCGGTAGCAACTTGGCGTAGTTGGATTCCACAGTCTTCTGGACACTCTTCCTAGTGGTCCAGTTGACTGGCTTGATTGGGATAAGGTAGTGGCACTCCTGCCACAAGTGCTTCCGGCCGCAAAGGCATTTAGGCTTCTGGTAAGTCAAATCTATACTCCTTCTCTGTTGCTGTTGAGGATTCTGTCCCTCTAGCGGCGGTGCCCCTTCGCCCCTAAGAGTGGCATCAAAGGCAGCCCTGGATACGCTGCTAGTATCATCTTTGTTGAGGTTCAAGTGTTTTTGGAAGACCTCATAGATAGTGTCTACCGTAGGCATGTCCTCTCTATTGGTAAGTTGATATTCCCATGTAGGGTTGAATTCTGGGGCGACTGTTTTTAGTCCTTTGATGAAGCTGTACTGAGGGTGCTGGCCTTGGACTATTTCACAGCCCGCTTCGAAGGCGTTGATGTAGGCCGTCCACCAGGCATCAGCCCATTTGGCTGCATTCTGCTTCTGGGCTAACCTACAGGCCCTCAAGTAGGCGGCTTCCATAGCCATCTTGTCTGTTAACGTTTTCTTCGTACGGAAGATGGGGTACCGCTCAGGGCTGATAGTCTCGCATAACGAGGCGGTGACTTTGTCGGCTTTCTCTTCAAGGGCTTTGAATTCGGCAAGTTCCCCGTTATATCGGAAATGACACTGCTTCCATTTGGTGTACTCGAGGTCCATCAGGTCCGAAACGTCTGTAGCGTCCTTATTGAAGGTACTTGGATGTGGATAAGTTGGTTTCTTTGGCATGTCCATAGGGTTGGGTGGGTCGATAATTTCCCATAGCTGGCGGCCAGTAGTGACTTCGGCCACTGGTATCCACAGATTCGAGTCCTTCTTGGACTTCAGGAACACCGCTTCATGCGTGACGGTGGCATCGGGGTTTTGAGAGGCCATAGTTGTCGATAGTTCCAAATATCTGACTGCGGTAGCAGTGGATGGACGGCAGCGACGTCAGAATTTCTGAATCCGTAGAAGAAGGTCAATATAGAGCCGGTGCGGTTATTCGGGGCTCATAACTGTTGGGTTGTGGGCAAATGGTCTTGCATTGAAAGTGACGTGATCTCTGGAGAGTCCTGAACGAAGTGGACGGCGGCCATAAGGGGCTTGTATAGACGGGAATGAACGATGCCTGTCCCACAGGCAGGGCCTGTGTGGTTCGATGGGTGGTGGTCATATGTCCTTCCAAGACTGGCAGTCTTGATGTAGTAGCCTTGAAGGTCCAACACCTGGCAGGCTGATAAACCCACTTTGGCCGGCGCTGGGAAATTGGATCAACGATAGTTACCCTTTAAATTGCCTCCACATCGCGGGTATCCTGTTAGTTGTGCTCACTTATGCGACTCATGGAGGCCCGAAAGAACTTCCAAGAGTTTTTCTTGTGCATATCGTGTAGGGGACTGGTCAGAGTTCGTGGAGTTTCGAAATATTTCGCTATTTTTCACAAAATTTCTTTCTTTTATCTTATGGATCGGATCCACCACTGTCGTAATGGATGTTTCTCTTGACTCTGGTTCACAGTGTTGGGCTGACCAACTGATCCCCTGACATCTAGGTCTGATGAAGTAACGGTGTGCCTTCTGTCAGACCTTATAACTACCAAAAATACCTCATTCTAGAACGAGTGGGTCCCTCGTCTTTTGATGGTCAATTTGGTCCAACACCTTCGTTCCAGCTAAGAGCTTATTATTGTCTGTCCTAATCATCTTTCAAGACAGGACTCACTGTGTAGTCTGAAATATTATGTTTTTGGCTGTTGTGAGGGTCACTAAGCGTGAAGGGGACATGTTGGGTTTTCGCGAAGCGAATTTGTTACCTCCCTGGACCACCCCAAACCGCGTCCTGCAAATGATTTTGAGCCACGGCAATATAATAATATTAAATACGCCGTAGGTGTTAACCCTCGGTACCTCTACAAGTACTCCCTTAAGGGGCTATAGATGATATAGCGGGCCCTTAAGCCGCGTCGGGCGGTTATACAGGTAAACTTGTAGCCAAATGACTACTAAACCTCCTGTCCCTCCCTAAGTCTGTGCTACAACCCCTGCCTGAACTACCGATAAGTGTGGTAATGTGGCACTTAAATTCGTCCTCAGGGGTGGGATGCTGCTGATGTGCAGAAGATGCTCGACTATTTTTTTTTTGTCGCGACAAGTCGTAGTATCTGCTAATTGGGGTTCTCGTCGAGCGTATACATCTCAACCATACGCTCAAGTGGATAGACCGTAACGTGGTCAGACGCTCGCAAGAATCGCGGCGAGAGGGCGTGCTGCGCACCTTCTATCGTGAGGGGACGGGTTCGCCGACGAGCGTTATCGGAAAGGCGAGGTCCGATAAGGGGTCGGATTAACGATTCGAATTCTGGACCGGCTGTCGAGTTATATTCCGCCGACGTAGTGCTTGACGGTCGACTGGCTAGGATGCTCGTAATCCTAAACTGCACCAATCTCCCTATTATCGCTAGGTAGGCGAAGTCAACAAGGTGGGCAGCGCGCCGTAAGGGTTGACTAAACCCCCTTGTGTGTCAGCTGCGGGATTCGAACCCGCGACTCGTCACCGACCCAAGTGGGCGAGGCTCAAATCGGGACTTATCTACCAGCGAAGTGACCAACTACACCAGCCGACACGGCAATATAAACTGAGAAGCACAAGGCATTTAGACACCGCGGAAACTTCGGGTTATAATATAATTCTGTTTGAATATGTTCCCGCGTACCTTTGTAGTACTAATACAGTATCCAAAACTTAGCAATCCGACAGTTTTTACATAAATCACAAAAGCTTCTCGTCTTTATTGAATAAGTTATGGAAACGCTCTGGTTACGTATAAATAAAACTCGAGAAACCATGGCGTTGTTAATTGAGTAATACAGAGAATAACATTACCGATGGCGGATCAGCTGCATTAGTTACTCAAAATCTGGCAAGCGGAAAGGTCACTTTAGTAGACCCCATATCATGATGCGCAAGATATCACCGTGTGCTAACGGCGATTAACTTCCTCATGTCAGACTTGGGCATGGTTTTAGGCATAATAATTGAGATATAAAGTCGGTTTCGACGCTATTTGCCCAAATTGGTTTAATGCTCAAGGGCGGCTCCCATGAATGATGAGATTATATTCCTGATTAAAACTATACTTGCCTGGTCGTAGCCCCATCTTCACCCGTATTTGCATGCGCATAATAATGCAGCCGACTAAAACATCGCCGGAAAGTAACACTGACGTTGCTGTCAGATTAAGTGGCATAGCTAATTTCGTTCATACAGTCGTATAGTTAGTACGTGCTTCAATAATCCGTCAGACACATGCGACCTCGGGATGATGAATTTCAAACATTTCAAAAGATCGTGACTAATAGTCCCAACGCTTCGATTCCCAACAGATTGCTATACATTTGATTTCTTGCAAAAAATGGACTACCAGAATACCAACAAATTGATTTTCAGGCAGACATGTGATTCAGTCCGAAGCTACCCAGATGTCTTGATCCCTATCTGCCATAGCACGGCGATACCCGTTAGCGGTGCCACGTGTTACAGGGTATGCTGGCCCAACGATAAATTGGTGGGGGTTTCGAACCTTCATCCCACCAAATAGTGTAACGTCATTATGCCGCACCTGACTACGACAAGCGACGGGGCGCCTCAGCAAGGCAAGGCATCTGTGACAACTCTAAGTGGTAGCTGGACATGGGGCCGCAGGCTAAAAGGGCTAGAACTGTCAATTTTCTTACCAGCTCCCAAGCTTCCTACACATAGCTCTTGTTGATAACCCTCATTGATCTTGTTTACTTTTAGAACTAGACCACAAAATCGGCACCTACTTGATGAACTGACCGCATCTTGGCGCTTCTGATATTCAAAGATCCCAGTCCAACTGCCGCTTGCATCTGCGATGCCCACGGCGCACACGCCAATCCAGCAACCATGTTAGGCACCACTTTCCACGAGTACATCCTCATCCGCCTCGCCATCCTCGCCCTCCAATACACCACTCCGCTTTGCCTGCTAGCTCTAGCCCTCCTTCTCCTCGGCGGCGGCCAGTCCGCCCTCGCCTCGTCTCTCCGCACAGCCCTAATCAGCTTTTCCCTGATTGACATAGCCTACGCCCTGTTCATTTACTACCCTTATAATAGGCGTCTCAAGGAGGAAGCCCGCCAACCGCCCCCGCTATCCCGCGCCGAACGCCGCGCCATCTTCAAGCGCTGCTTCGCCCACATCCCCGATGTGGAGCGGTACGTGCGCCTCTGGTTCTTAGGCGCGGATCTAACTGAGATCCGCCGCGAAAACCTGGCCGATTTCATCCTATGGGCGTTTTTCGACCGCGCGCCGGGGCAAGAGTCTCAGGAGGATCTAGCGGAGCTGAATGATTATATTGACATCATTGGGGATCGGCTAGGACGCAAGGTTGAACCAGGGCGGGGCAAGGCGGAGGGGTTGCGGTTGACGCTGAATGAAGTCGAGACGCGATACCGGAGTTGTCTGTGGATTCTGATCATTGGGTTGGTTGATACATACACGCATTGCCGACTCGCCTGTAGTGGTTTCCAATATTACGCCCAGCCGAGGTCGACGGCCTTCTCGGTGGTGCCCCTGCGCTTGCAGAGCTTGTTCGCGAGACACCGGTCGAGGTCGAGGGAATTGGCCTACTGGTATCGCCCACATACAGCGAAGGGAAAACTCCCAGTGGTTTTTTTGCACGGCATAGGTATTGGCCTGTATACATACGTACCGTGGCTGGCCAAGATGAAGCCGCCCGTGAATGAGGATGGGCAAATCGGGGTCATCGCATTGGAGCTTCTCCCTGTATCTTTTCGACTCACGAAAGCTCCGTTGGAAAAACTCGAGTTCCTGAGTCAAGTAGAAGAAATCCTGGAAACTCACGGGTGGGACAGGTTCGTTCTGGCGACACATTCCTACGGCAGTTTCCTGGGGACACACATGATAAAGTCGAAGACTATTGGGTATCGGATCGAGTCCGTCGTCCTCATTGACCCCGTGAGCATCATGCTGCATCTGCCAGACGTTGCCTTCAATTTTACGAGGCGTAAGCCCCGCAAGGCCAATGAGTGGCAACTGTGGTATTTTGCGAGCATGGATCCTGGAGTGGCACACGCCCTGGGGCGGCACTTCTTTTGGAAGGAGAACATCATCTGGAAGGAAGAGCTGCTGGGTCTGGACGGAGCGGGCGCGGAAGCGAATGGCATAGCGCGAGGCGGCAGCAAGCAGAGGAGGGTGGCCGTTTGCCTTTCCGAGCGTGATTTGATCGTGGACACAATCACCATTGCAGAATATCTGGCCGGTGAAGAAGATTGGTTACCATGTAAGAGCCCGTCATCACTGACATCTACCCATACTGTTGGCGAAATTCTGGCCAGGGAAAGGCACTTGATGAAGGACGGGATCGAGGTCTTCTGGTCCCCAGGACTGGATCATGCGCAGGTGTTTGAGAAAAAAGCAGATGAAGATCGCATGGCGAGTGTTGTTACTCGTTATTGCATAGAATAGTTATCACCGACACCTCCGCTGCCGTATCCATGCACAGATTCTGATATTGGTCAGCTGCACATCCAATGGCCCTTCCATGCTGGAAGAGATGCGCACCAGGTCAATCAGCTTTCGCCTGATCGCCTCCCCAATCCGTCAAGTAGACGACGACGGGCTCCGGCCCGCTACGGATCAGGATCCAGACCACATCCGCATCCGTCTCGTTAATTTCCTGGTGTTCTGTCCAGGGCGGCACGAAAGCAAAATCACCCGGGGATAATTCATGTTTCTTGGGGGTTGAGTTTGCTCCTGCACTCGTGACAAGGATGCCTTTGCCAGACGCGGCATATATGATGGTATCTTGCAGCCGTTAGACCGTATATACCACGTTGCTGGTTACATCGCCTTACCTTGCTCGCCGTGGTGATGCACTGCAGAGGAACATCGCGGTTTGGCTATCATGACTGCTTAAAAGAGTCATCTAGCGGCACGAACCAAAGGGGAAAGAGTTACGCCCTCAGTGCCATCAAATCGCGTGTCACATAGCGGCATCGGCGCATGGATATGATGGAACGGGCCCTTTAAAAGAGGTGAATAAGTACGACAGAGTACTTACCGCTGGCGCACATCTTATCAGTCTTGCCGATGATGGCTCCCTGTCTAATCATAGGCGAGTCATTGCCAGCTCGCTGAGCTTCCAGGTCTCTCGCTTTCGTGATTAGAACTTGCGAAGGCAATATCATGGGTAGTATGTCTGGTATCAGTGACATGAACGACATTTTGCCAGGGCCTACTTGATGGTCCGTTTTTCGTGACACGGGAGGTGGTGCGAAGACGTTCGGAGGCTATGACGAAGTAGGAAGGAGACGTTGAAGGACGGGACCGAGGGTGGAGTTAATCCCAGGAATCTCGGTCGGCAGATGATCAGCTATTACTAGGTGTTCTCTCATGTAACGTTGGAAAGTGCAAGGTTGCCATCTCAACCTGGCATCGAGCAAGCTTGGTGCCAGTCAGTATCAGTGACGGCGTCAGATGGTCTCTGGTCAAGAGTGGGCTGAAATTGAGGGGTTATGGTCCGTGCTCGACATGCTGTAGAGAAGCCTGACGGAAGTCGGGCCTTGACGATGCTGTAAATGGTCTCATATGGTGCAAGGACAAGTTAGGCTGAGTTCAACTCGATGCTGCGTTGGCTTATAAAATCTGACTTGCGGCGAGTTGTCTCCAGAATGCTCTTTTTAAGGGCAGGATGGCCTGCATCATCCAAGTCCTTATCAAGTCCCATCTGTCGGAAAGAAACGTGTGCTTGGCGAGAAGCCCCGGAAAGCGGATCGCCAGCGCCATCATCTGGAAGCGCGCTGGTCTTATCACGCAGCTTCTGCAAATGCATGCTGCCCGATGATCGCCCTTTGAGGCTGTATCAGTCGTCTGAAATCCATGAACCTCGCGTGGTCATCGAACCGAGCTGCAATGCGATCTGGGGAGAGCGCTGGGGAACATGTCCCGCATTTCCATTGGTCGAACTGTAGATGCTGAACACAGCGCAGCGAACTGGATTAGGAAGCTCAATGTACTACTCCAAAGCCTAAGTGTGGCATCGACGGCTCTGGGAACCCAACGTTCCAGGGCAACTTTCGATGAGATGGACTAAAATAGTCTCTTGCACGGCTGCTACCATGGTACTATGCCCGTGGCGGAAAGCAGGGTACGCAGGTTACGCAGCTGGAGCAAGTATCTGGTGTGGGGGGGCCAAGTCAAGTATTGAGTTGCAATGCGATACCTATTTTAGGCACTCAAGTGAGCTCAAGTCCGGTCTAGGGAGACTCCCTGTCAGTCTCTTGTTTAACCGCCGCTTGGGATGAAGCTTTGGGTTTTGGCTCCGTAAAGATTGCAGCAGTCTAGCAATCCCTGCGACGTTAAATCGTCTCATCTTGCACCCGCATCTGATACTGAAGACAAAGACGGGTAGATTAATTGCGCCATTTTACCTTCGTGATTCCGCAGTACTTTCTCTGTCGACTGACACGCGATTCACCTTCTCTTGCCGCGCTTGTGTTCCAGGGACTATGAACTATGGCCTGCAACTGCTCTTCACTGCCGTTGATCGGGCTGGGTTGCTGCGTATCAACACTACCCCTTGCTTCTACACCGGCTGTTAAAATGCAAGATATCCTATGGACAACCTGGTTGGAAGTCCGAAGCTTGATCGGCTTTTTCCATTGGTCGATGCAACCGAACAACGTGCGATATCGATGCCTGTCGCTCATCATGAGGTGCTCCTGGTACTCCTTGCCTGTTTCAATAAGGACCGGGACTTATCCGTCGGTTTGTCCCCTGGCGACGGAATTGAATGCCGCACACATGGCGCGATTGACGGATCGCAGTCAGCCGATGCGGGGTCGAACAATGCCACTTAAAGCAAGATAAGCATTTGGGAGTTGTTGAAATGCTGGTGGGACGCGTTCATGAATCGTGTGCGATGAGGTAAAGGTGCTTGGTGCAGCTGAGTACCCCGCGTCCCATGGCTGTGGACCTCACTGAAACTACTGTACTGCACTAGTCCGAATCAGAGCTTTGATGATTCATCGCGATGCCGCTTGCAGTGAACACCATGGACTGCAACAAGACCAGCTAGCTTCAGCAGTGCGTCCAGAAATGCCATCCATCACGTAAACCTACAGCCACCAGCCATTATCTTTTATCCACCTGTATAGCACCTCATTTGGTCTTGTGATATCCCGTCCCGCTTGTCGTCGATCGGCTTTAGTAACTCTGATCTGAACCAAAAGCAGATACTGCATTCCTGGCGTCTGCGTTTTCGAAATTGCCGCTCTTCGTGCTCGTCCCACAACTTCATTTTCACGAAATTTTCTTGTCTATTGATCACAGGACCGCATTTCGGATTATTGGGCTTGCTTTCGACGTCAGCTCGTGAAGTCGACATGGCAGACCCTGGGCCATCATCGATGCCCGTGGTGTTTTGCGAGGAGGGCTTACGGGACGGACAAGCCGACCTGCTGGATGGAATTGAGAGATCTGAACCAACAAGCACAAACTCAAATCCGAACATAATCAATCCAGCGGTCACATACGGCGGTATTGATCCAGAAAATGAAGACAACATATTCGCCGTGCCAGGAATGCCTGACGCTGGACTGCACAACGGTACTACAGACACGCATACGAACTTCAGATCCATGGCAGATACGCCAGAGCCGCCGGCCAGAGGTAGCACCCACTCAGGTGCGTTTACTGCCACCTATGCGTCTTCGAAGCTGCGAAAAAGTGGCTGATTCTTGAACAGAAGCTACTCTCTCCCCAGACGTCGGTTGCAGCCTCCTCGAGTTTCCCTCGGAGCTCATTGATACGATTCTTGGATACTTGTCGCCAATGGAGCTATCCATCGTCTCTCAAGTTTGCCGAAGGCTTCATGAGCACGCGGATGCCGATATCCATTGGCAACGATACGTGCATTCCAACCTTCCTGGCAACCCGATTTCGTCTCCGTATCCCTTCAAGACTTTCCGAGAGCTCTACATCTGCCATGACCCATACTGGTTCATCCCGAAGCATAAGTTTTGGTTCTCCGATCGACATCTGACCGGCCAGATGATTGTGGCCCAATATGACCAGCGCCGGGGGGTCATCGAAGGGTACCAACTTCTTGGTATCCGAAACCGAGACGGCAGTGAACCTTGGGACGAGGATCAAGGCGTGCACATCCATTACTTCGAGCCCATTGTCAAGCTTCATCGCGATAAACCGATACTCCAGTTCAACACCTCGAGCTTTCAGAATCTCGTTCGAGAAGAGTCGTCGGCAGGAGGCTCCAGCTTCACGCGGACGCGCCAGTTCCAAGCGGAAAAGCCGATGCTGATGAACCAGGGATCGGATCCTCGCTTCAGCAATGTCATTCTCGCGAAGCCTCTCACGGAGGCTATTTTGCAGGAGAGAATGCTGTCCGAATTTCCGTATGGAAACGTGTGGCCTCCGCCCCAAATACCGGCGGCACATCGAGTGCCTGGCCAGGCAATGGGAGTGTTTCCGAGATCAAGTCGTAATATTAGGCCACCGTTTGCATCCACGGATAGACCCGCGAATCGTTCGGAGATGTCGGATCAGGCTTTCCACGTTCGACAATGGATGGAAATGGGCCAGCCAGCATTGGGATTACATCACGGGGAGGAGATAGTGACCTACTCAACTCTCGATCCCGCATTATACACCCCCACAGCCGAGAAGCCTTGGAGGGGTGTATGGGTTGGCGACTACAGCGGACACGGCTGCGAGTTCCTTCTTATCCACCAGCCAGATAATGACAACGAGACAGACGACGAAGCGCTCGTGCGCGAGGAAAACGAGACGGAGCATGCATTCAATGAGCGGTTTCGCAACGAACGAGTGTACAGGGGCAGATTGGAGGCCATCAAACTAACAGGCGACCCGAATGTACCCCGCGGCGAGTACACATTTGTTGCCGACAATCTTGCCAACGACGGGATTGTCGAAATTGCTGAACACCCGCCGTTCGCGGGTGCAAGGATGGTTAAAAGCAGGGGCCACATTGCGTCAATGGGATTTCTCTATGGTATTGTCCCACCGTGTATGATCGAGTTTGGTGGGAACACTGTTGACACTCTCGCAGATAAGTTCGTGGAGTCCCGGTTGATCCTCATATCGCATGACTGCTTGGCGCAATACTGGGTGGGCTTTGGACATATCAGCTATTTTGAGCGGGTCGATATTGACCAATTTCTGAAGCCGTGATATTGGTGAACATAGCTCATGGCATCTCCCAAGACTCGGTTTCTGCATTGCTACCAATCGTGGCACCGGAGTTCAAGGTAATTAGTAATAGAGGTAATTAATATTGTGCTGCAGAGTCACAGAGCCTAGCTGCGGTGTTAGTCTGGCGGACGGCAGTAGTGTAGTGCACTGGGCGCATCGATCGATCAGCGAAGTGGGAGCGGAACATGTGCATGTATACAGGGGTAGATTGTTCGATACAGTAGCGCCGGCAAGAAGGGAAACATATCGGTTCTTCATGTGAATAATGGGGGAGATACTGAACTCACTTGACCATGTCGTGTCTCCGTGACTGTGATGTAGGAAGGGAACCAACGTTTTGATAGATGTCACTGCTAAGCGCGGAAAAACCAACCAACCAATCAGACCGATGAGTCTCTGGTCGGGAAATTCTATTACATATTTGCGTGCTGAATTCTTTGGAACCAAGCATATGAACCACCTCCTCGCTCTGTGCGGCCAAGTTTCATTGCTGTCGACCGACTTTCAAACCATCTCTCAGATGCACATGTCACATGGAATTGAGTGGCAATAAAGTGGGGCTACCCATCCCAGCGGATTCTTTAGCAGTGGTCAGTGCGTATTTGCCAGGGCGTAGCCGAATTCCGACGTCATCAAAATCTTTCCAAGTCGTCGTCACCGGGTGAAATCAGCGAATCAGTTTGGCAGGTGTACTATCACCTTGCTAGCCCAACTTGCACTGGATTGTTGTTTAAATGAGAATTCCATCTCCATTTTTCTAGAATATTTTCTGGTTGCCTAGATCGCTCCTATTCGGCTCATATCTACCTTCTCCAACGCTTGGCCTAGAAAAGCCCTGAAGGACAGCAAGACGGCGGGCAATATCATCGCAGTTCTCCAGGCAGATAAAGGTCTTTTTTCCAGTCAGCGAATCGTCATATACAGGAGCCAAAACGCATAGAGGTTGAAGGCTGCACCATCTTGCGTCGAACTTTGCATCTAGATACCCCTGCGAAAGCCAAGGCCTTGGGTGGAGTGAGCTTGTACTCCCGGTATCTCGGTTCTACTAGTTACAATGGCTGAGAAATTCATCCTACGGGTGACCGCCGGGTCTGACTACGTCGTGAAAAGTCACCAAGTGGTTCCGGTCAACTCCGCGGACACCATCATTGTCAGCAATGAGCATATGGACGTCGAGCTCAACGTTCGGGTACAGAACTATCGTGGCCTCCCCCGGAATTCCCCAGAAACCTCGGCCTACTTCTCAACTGCACCACACGACTATAACAAGGACCAGTACAGCATCTGCTTCCGCTTCACACCGAAGAAGCCCGCAGCCACTGTTGATCAGCCTGATTCCAAGGACCCCAGGACCGGAGATGAGACCACTGAAAAGCCCGCTATCAACGGTATCTCCGCCCAAGATTTGCAATTCGGCAACGACTTTGATCACCCCATTCGGGATCGTCTCCCACCCGGCTTCAACACCGCCCTGAGCATTGTCAAGTGGTGGATCGACCCCGGTCTCGACGGCGACGCCTACGCCGACGAGCCTTATCTTTACGGCCCCGCCCTCTCCTCCTTCAACTCTGTCCACGTAGGCAAGGGCGAGTACGACCCCAAAAAGGGCGGTCTTTTTTTCGAGGAAGGCGGCGACGAAGCAGGTCTCGAGGCACGCAGAGCTATCGGCGCCCCGGACACGAGCAAAGAACGCATGAAGTGGGCACTCAAGAAGGAAAGTAAGGAGAAGTGGGTCTTTGAGTACGGCAAGACGTACGGAGTGGACTTCTTCAATCCCTACCTCGACTTTGGCGACTTTAGCCTCAAGTTACCCGGATTTACTCTGCCCATTATGAAGTATTGGGATGGACAAGGTTTGAGGTAAGCTTCCGTGGGCTTGTTTTTAGGTCTATTCTTCTGGGATTTGTCGATTCACATGTTGTGCCATTTTTCGGCGCTCGTCTATAGGTCGTCGTCGTCCCCTAAACGCTCACACCAACTTAGATACGTGCTCCGTAACAAGTCGACTGAGAATACGTATCTGGTTATTCTGTTCTCGCTGTACCTCAAGGAGGATGTTAATGAGGATGGTTCGTTAAAGCCGGCCGCGCTTGCGAAGGGCCCCTCGACGGCTGGGTTGAACGAGGAGAGTAGGATGGGTATGGAGACGGAGCAGCAGCCAAAGGACAACTCGGCGGCACTGGAGGAGGCGCGGAAAAGGTTTGAGGGGACGCGAGAGTAGACCAGTGCAGATGATGTCGATTGAGTACGATGTGGATTAGGTACGTTTCTATTGTGTTACAGCTTCGAAAAGGGCTGGCAAGGGGATGCTAAAGTTACATTAGAGTCACAAGACAGACGGTTCCACCAGTCAAGTGTCCAGGATCAGAAATTTGCTTAAGCCACAACACTCGACCCTCACACGCCGTAGGCTCTGCATTCGATGAGCATGCAATGAGTGTTACCCAGGTAGATCCCTGTATGCATAAAAATAAAAATTTTACACCATGGACGTTTGATCACATTAATTATGGACATGTGGGAATGCACGATTGACTGCATATAGTTGAGTTTTGGCCAGTCGAATTTTCGGGCTTTGGGTTGGAGTTTTCTGGAATAGGGGCGAGTTTGAGGTACTTCCATGTTTTCCCCAACTTAGGTCTCAACAACCTAGTATAAATTGTTTGAGAGAAATTACGAGGATTTATCGGTACTTACTCAGGTATGGGTGTAACGCTATAGCAGTCTTGGTCTCCCCTGAGTTGTGCCAAGGCTATGGGTAGTGTTATCATTGGCAAGGTATAAATCATGTGGAGTAGTGAACTGTGCATCTGCTTATGTAACTAGCCAATTGGTGACTCCGTGCCATAGCTAGGTTTGTATGTGTAATGAGTGAGGCTAAGATTTCATCCAACTAAAGAGATAAGTAGTGGTTGATCCTGACGGTAATTGAGGGATTGTAAGGTGAATGACTTCCAGAATACTTGGTCAAGATACAGTGTATTCCTTCAAATGATGCGATGGTCTGATATTGTGGTCTCACTCCTTGGCCTTAAGAAAATCCCTTCCCCTGAGATATTTCAATCATGTCAACCTGGATATATTCTGTTTGTTCATTCTGCTCATAGATTTAAGCGAATAGCTTGCTGATATGCCTTTCTCCGCTGTTGTCAACTACCCTCCGGGTTTAGTGGCTTGTGTAACACCAATGAGATGCAGCTTCTAGAAACCTTGGATGGAATATTGGACCCTCCACTCAGTTATCAAATTCAGCCTCTATCAGAGTTTTGTGTACTACAAGAAATTGTTTCTTTCAACCAGCCATCAGTCCTAGACTCACGCAGTTCTTCTTGTTCTTCCTTTGTCTTCTCTATACCTGAAGTTGTACGCCGGAAGTCTTAGTTATCGCTCCAGGGTACAGGGTCACAGCTGTGCGAATTTCTTGTCAAGGAGATTTCCCCCATTCGAAGTACTTGGGGCTGTTAGTCCTCGAACCTTTCTAACATCTTATCGTCGATCCCGATCCGAAAAAACCATGTTGTCATTTTCCTCCTTCACCCAGCCGTCGACAGGCACTACGTTCACCACCAGGTTAATCTCTAGCTCTCCCATGCCTTCGACTTCCACCACGGTGATTACATCAGGCACCAGCTCACTCCTCGCCTCCATCTCCTCCACTCTCCTCCCAAATATCACCTCCAGCACATCCGCTACTGCAACCCCTACCCCCAACAGCCACAGCACCAACCACCACTTCGGCCCCGGCTCTCCTGATACCCCCGACACGCGCCGCCATACCATCGTCACAGTGTCCCTGATCATCGGCCTCATCGTCGTGTTCGGCTTGTGGTGTCTGATCGTGGACTGCTGGCGCACCTCTAAGCGCGGTGAGGACGACAACTGGCTATATCATCTGCGCCAGACGGTCACCAGCCCTGTGTTACGGCCTGTTACGAATAGGGTTTCTAAGCCGATTGGAAGGTAGATTGGGGGGTTGGGGAGTTAGGGGATGTGATTACAGCGTTGGTGGGTGGGTCGAAGTTACGGGTCAAAGACTGAAAGGGAAAAGAAGGGTGGGAGGAAATGTAGAAAGGAAGTTTTCATGCCGGAGCATAATGCGAAGAGGGCGTTTGATGGCGATATGGCGAAGCCAGTGGAGCGGTCGGATAGAGAGGTCGCTGCTGGGGCCGCGAACGGCAAGCAGCTCATAGTGCAGCTGAACAATAATGAAGACGGTGATGGTGCTGGCATGAATCCTCCGCGTCAGCCAGACACCGGCATAGGCGACAATTAGCACTCTCACCGTGGATCCAGTTTGGGAGGAGACCTGGATATAAACTTACTTTTCCTCAATATCAAGGATTTACATGCATTCAATAGAAACCCCTTAATTCCAATATTAGGTCCAATTTTGAACGGATCGGACGAACGGATCGGACGAACGTATCGGACGAAGCGAAGTTCAATTCCCGCGATGTAGTGATTTCGATGTGTTACAATACCCATGTCATCTTTATCAAGGATTGAATGCGGCCAAGCGGATATTTGTGTTGGAGACTTCTTTTGAAATAAAGAGTGTGTAACTAAATTATGTACTCTGTCTCTCGAGCAGAGTAAGATCCGATTGCAGGGCAGTAATTCAACAGCTAGACGTGAAATTATTGGTAGGTCAAGATTTGCTTAATTTAGTGGTATTTTGCTCGAATGGAATGTGGGCAACATGGGCAAGAGGGCTGTACTGATAGTGATGATAATAATGACTAACTCCCAGGGATCTGCAGCTACGGAAGGCAGGGCTAATTTTCACAGCAGTGGCTCGGGTACGGCCCGGTCCGCAACCATGAGTGGAGTGAATAGACATTGCTATCTGTCCCTTACCTGCCCAAGTACCGTGCGAGTCTTCTTGAAAGCAAGTATAAACTCGACGATTCATCCACACTTGTTCCTAGGAGGAACGATTAGCTTAGAACTTTCTATGTGTCTGAGATTTCGCTCGTCTAGACAGATTACTTCGCTACACTACGACTAACAGCCACAGCAAATGGAAAATCGGTGCTAACCTCCCCTAATGGTGGATGTTGAGAAGATATGATGCTTCGATGGGGACTGTGTGGTCAATTCGATGAGGGGTCACGGTACTGGGGTGCTAGAATGAAATCTTGAGTGGTGGCGATGCGAATCGTTTGACAAGTTCGCATCATGGAATGGGATACCATAAGCGGCTTGACTACTGCGCTGCGTCTCATTGAATTACGGGCCAGTACTTCGCGTCACTGAGTGGATATGCTCGTGTGCAATCAATGTCAGGCAATATAACAGCTATTCTATGCTCTCAAAAGAATTAGACATTTTGCCTGCCTATACTAAAGCATGACTGATGTTGTTTCTATATTAGGCCTCGAGCTTTCTGGCGGCCACCAATTAAAGTGGAGTACAGATATAAGCTGCTTATCGCTATAGACAGAAAGACTGCTAAGTACTTCAATACAACCCTCAGCTCGGCTTTCATCGATCTTTGTGGTCTTCGGCCAAGAACAATGTGCTTCGTTAGCGCCATGCCAATACGCCGGATCAATGATTCGTCCCAGTGGTATGAGGCTGCTTGATGCAAGACAGTTGATCATATTTTCAGCTCCAGAGACTGTCAAGTACAGACGGCTCCTCGTATTGCGGCCTTTGAGACATGATTCTTGACTTCGCAGTTTTGAAGTCCAAGTAGGAAGGTCTGAGCTAAATGGGCAACTCGAATGGCTGGACGCGCGTTCGTATTAGATAGTTCACCAGTATGGTAGCAAGGTAGCACAGCATGTAGAGATCGCAATGGAGCAGTGGTTGTTCTGAGCAGCAGAGACACCAAGATGGGAAGTTCCTAGCTATTGGTGGAAAATGCGGATATGAACCAGATGCTGCGGTGTTTGTTAGTGTCGTTGTATCACCGCATCTGTTTGTTGTAGATAGAGCTAAGGCGGCCTTTTACGAGCCAGCATCAACTTGTAAACAGGTCCGATATCTCTCAACTCAACGACAAGGGTCTGGAATTTCAAGGTTCTCTACTTGCAGTAGCCGCCCGGCCCCCGGCTAAAGACCTTCCATTTTGGGATGCCTTTCCCCACGCGTTGACGAGGACCTTGGCACTCGAACGGCACGCCCACATTCCCGTCCTCACGTTCAACTGCCGCCCCTTGACAAAATCCGAGTCTTGGCCAATGAAACAATGATGGCAAAAGTGCTGCATTACTAGCCATTAGGTAGCGAATAACGACATTATGCAATGTGTAAGACAGTTTAGATAAGGACATTTGGTAACAGCGATCATTGCCGTAACCGCCTGTGCCCGCCCCTCCTGGATCCAGTCGACCCTGTAGGCTGTATGCTGTTCAATTAATTGTTATGTGTCACACTCGCCATTCACCCGTTCTTCAGAAGCAAGCCAACGGTAGTCTTCGGCACAAATAGTCGCTGCGGGTGATAGCACTAGGCAAGTACAACCATCCCTAGGTCAGTACATGGCCTGTCTTCAACGGTAGTCCTCTTTGATCTTGGGTCGAATCTTCGAATTGCGATGAAGGTCAATAGATCTCGCAGCGGGCCCGCTAAGGATAATATGACGGAAAATACTGAGATGCATCACGGACTGCGACCTGCCGACTTATAACAGCCACTTGGCGCGTTGGAAAAAAGCTTATTTCAACTACGAACGATGCTGTCGACACGCGGGTTCAATGGGCGAAGATCCTCGGGAGCGTATTTGGAGTCTTGGTATTCTTGGCCTTCTTGGCCGCATCTCTTGGTCTTCCCTCTTCCCTTGGATAACACCTTCGACGACCTGTCTAATTCGTCCATGTCTCCCGTATCAACACCTTCGCCCCTACATGCCTATATGTAGCTACACGCCCGAAATCTTGGCGGCATCTGGCAGTTGCAACGGGTTACCGGGGCCCCTGCCACCCCTGACAGCCCATGGCAATCTTATCGCGCCCACTTGGAGCCCAGAAGCCACCGTTGCCCCCTCCCGGTGGCAGGTGATGCCTCCACTCCTCACTTCAACTTATCCGCTAGTAGAGATGTGACCTTCCTCAACGGCTTGGCAAACCTCGCCAAAGCCCAAAGATGCGCTGTCGTGCTCATCTGCCCATCAGGACGACCGTGATTGAGAACTGGGCGGAGCCAGTCAATCACCAGGCTATCTGCTCTCACCCACACGTCTGCCGTGGTTGCCGATCAAGGCCAAGACCATCAACTTTGCTAGCCGCATCGTCTCATGATTGGGCCATGTGCATGGCAACATTGGCGGATCGCTGCCATACATTGACGCGCTCCCGACCACCGTCCACCGATATCAAGCTGTGACCCTGTCCTGGCCACAATCTTTCCAATATGGTTATGTACGGCTACATTCCGAAATTTTGTGGCAGACGGAGTTTGTCTAAGGATCAGGAAGGTGCTCGTCGCCCAACCCGGTGGTCTTTCGGACGCAGCAGCCGAAGTGACGAGAATTTCTACTGATGGATGTTACTTGTGTACGACGGCCCAGCCCGGATCGGCGCTGGCCTATGTTGCAATGGGCATTCCCGTACTAAGCTGGCTGCAGCCCCGTAGGTAAAGGCACGGACTGTGAGGAGTATAAGACCATCGCAATATCCCCCTTTCTTGTCTCTTGGTTTCTTGCCCCAGACATCTCAACTTCTCAGAGTTTCCACTTCCCAAGTCCTCCTACTTGATCCCGCTGCCGTTCAAGCCAGTATTTTGCTCTCACGTTCGTCGTCTCTTCGCTTTGCCAACCGCAACCATGAAGTTCACCACCGTTGCCACCGCGCTCCTCTGCGCCGAGTCTGCCTTCGCTGCTCGCTTCACTGAACAGCGCCGCGAGCGCCACGCCAAGCGCGCCGCTGCCCGCGGCGAGCGTCTCACCCTGCCCAAGATCGTCGCCGAACAGGGCGAGATCGAGGCAGCCCAGTTTGACAATGAGACTCAGGTCAGCTACAGCACCAACTGGGCGGGCGCCGTGCTCATCGGCTCGGGCTACAAGTCCGTGACGGGCACCATCGTCGTCCCCACGCCCTCGGTGCCCTCGGGTGGCAGTACCCGCACCGAGTACGCCGCCTCGGCCTGGGTCGGCATCGACGGCGACACGTGCCAAACGGCCATCCTGCAAACGGGCGTCGACTTCTATGTCGAAGGCTCGTCCATCGCCTTCGACGCCTGGTACGAATGGTACCCGGACTACGCTTACACTTTCTCGGGCATCCCCATCTCGGCAGGCAACACCATCACCATGACGGTGACGGCCACGTCGACCAAGACGGGTACCGCCGTCATCAAGAACGTGAGCACCGGCAAATCGGTCACGCACACCTTCACGACGCAGTCGGCCGCGCTGTGTCAGACTAACGCCGAGTGGATCGTGGAGGACTTCTCGTCGGGCAACTCCCTGGTCCCCTTTGCCGACTTTGATTCCGTTACCTTTACCGGCGCTTCGGTCACAACGAGCAGTGGTACCGGGTCCGTCAGTGGCGCGGAAATCCTGGATATTCAGCAGAGTAACAAGGTTTTGACTAGTTGCTCTACTTCGGGTAGCTCGACTGTCATTTGCAATTACTCTGGCTAATTTCTGGCTTTGTCTGAATCTGGCATGAGAGCAGGGACGTAGTCGGGCAGCATGGAAGGTTCTGACTGCGGATGATGGGCTTTGTTATGCCAGATAGGTAGCGAGCGGGTGGTGAAGATGATGATTATGATGATGGATGCTGTATATAGGAATCAAGTTCGCGCATAGTCTGCACTAGTCTATATAATCTCCTTGATCTGCTTATTGTGAAATATATATTGCCTTTGGCATCGTATCGTCCCCGCGGTTGTGAAGTTGCAACGAGTAGTTTGAGTGATGCTGTGTCTCAACTCCAACCTGCTTAGTTATAAGATCAACCCGCATTGGGTCGAAGATTACTTGGCTTGTATATTTGCTTCAAAGCTTCAGTGAAGGTCTAGAAAGAAGCCATTGGTGGTAGGTGAAAGTACCCTGAAATATTTGCAAGGGCTAAATTTCTTGAGTTACAGGGCCGGGTACAAACCTTGAATAGAGTTGAGTCCCAGTAGTGATGGACAGACTCTGTAGATACCACCTCTGACAAATATTTACCAAGACGCCAATGTCTCATCCTCAACCAGATAGGCCAAATTACGCCTGCTACACGAACTACTCCCTATTTTCTGAAAGAGAGGTCATCATTTTCAACAAGTCACCATGCAGCTACTAGGAAACTTTGAACTTTTCAGCAAACCTCTCTTCACCCGGACAACATCAACGCCAGTCCCTCTACTAAGTTGTTGAGTCCTTGCACTCATATCAAAGTCATTCTTTATAGCACGCATGTTCTGCATTATGATGTCAGTCAGACGCTTCTCAGTCTTCTTAATGACGCTATCCACGTTGCTGTATATAGCGACCGAGATATTGGGAAAGAGCGCGCAATCTGTGATTTGGCCTTGGATAATCTACTTTTGGCGGCTTTCTCTGCAGGGTCCTGTTTTTAATCAGCTTCGCTAACATTTTGAAGCGTGCAGCCTTTGTCGGGCCGTTGATGCTAAGCTTACCACGCTGGCTGTAGGCAGACAGATAGGATGGTATCATCTCGTCCAAGACGATGGAGTTGTAGTTGGATTCCGAGGCATTGCCTCAAGTTTGCCTAGGTGAGGTGTTAGCAAAGTTCCCCTCCAATGGAGGAGAGACCTTTATATTGATCGCGCGTGAGGCATCCTTCAATCCAGTTGCGAGTCTTTCTTTCTCCAGCCCAATAGTGTACTCGAGACCGCTGACTCGGTCATCAATACCCTCAACGATATAGTCACTGACGTTCGTTATCAGCCAGATGGTTCACTTACCGTGGATTCGATCTTTCAAGTATCCCAATTCGCTTCGCACAAAATCCAGCATTGCGAAGAAACCCAAAACCTCTTTCTCGAGAAGATCTCACTAATATTCTACCTGTCTTGTAGACCTAGAGATGGCGTTGGCTGTTTAGACGAAAAGAGATATTGAAATTTTCTCACCTGGCACGTCCACCAGAATCAATTCAGTCTCCAACACCTGAGCGTTGCGATAGACGCTGAGAAGCACCAGCTTTGAGACAATTTTATCTCCATCGAAGCTCAGTAACTACTGCTGGACTTTCCACACCGGGTTCCAAATCTTTGTCGGGCTCGGAGTCATTGGATATGGAAGATTTCGAGTCTCTCGTGTCCGGTGCTAGTGGCCCACGACCGTCTTAACCTGGACTGCTGGTAGTTATGCGGAAGCCACCATGTCTGTCCTCGGCAACCCAGAGTAGACATTAGCAGAGAAAAGACTTATTCAGGCAACAGTTCGGCCTCGATTTACTGGAGACTAAACAGTCCCCTACGCAGCCCCAGGCTCATGAGCGGCGTTTGATCTGGCTATACTATGCTCAAAATACCACAGGCTCAGGAAATGCAATTTCCCACCAGATGTGGCCTAATTTGAGAGCTTTACCATTCTTTATACTTATGGAGATCCAATGAGAGCAGTTACTCCTACATCAGTGTTCACTTAGTCAACGATAACTGTTCCCTGCCGAGACACATATGTTTCAAGCCCCTTTGAAGTTTTTACTGTCAAAATATCTAATAGCGAAACCATTTCCTGCGAAAAACTCCAAATGTATCCAGCGAAGTCCATCGTATGTAGAAAAGTCCCAAGCGAAGAGCAATTTAAACCTATCTCAATGCCGATAGACTCACAATCACAAACAGTATAGAGCTCCCCAGCCATGGAAGGCGGAAATTACTATTGATAATGGTAAGTATAGCTATTAGAACTTCAAAAGCTCCTTGATATTTACGGAATCTATAGCAGCAGCACCAGATACCGGGGCATTAACGACAGTTGGCGAGAATTACTTCCTTACACAGCCATCGTAGTAAAGGGTTAAGCCATCGTCAGGTGCGAATAAGCCACAGTGGCTTGCCGGGCCTTAGCCTATGCAAGGGTCGGAATGTGTAAATAGGCTACTGCGACCCCCCTATCTTGAGGAGGGGCAGCGATTAACTTGCCGTAATTGAGTCTCCTACATTACACTGCTAGTACCAGCGTGGTGACCAGCAGCTGACTTCTCTCTAGCACTCTCGTCCTTCACCCTGTACTTGAATACCCGTGACAGACACATTCGTTCTATAAATGCAATTATATTAATTAGAAAAAGCCACCCCTATAAATAGAAATATCTTCAGGTATATACGAACCCTTCAGCTCATAATTGTACTCTCGCTCATACGTCAACAGTACCATACTTGGATTTGATGTTCCCGTTGAAGGAGCAAAAGGAGGGCACATATGCCTAACCTGTATGTATTGTAGCTAACTCTGATCCTCTCTTCGAGGGTCTATGTATGGAAACAAAAGGGTTCTTATATAGTCAATGAATGGTAGACTTGCTGATTAATTCAGACAAGTTGTAGAAGCATATAGATAAGTAGGGAATGTTCTATCCTTGCCACATTTCTCGTAATAGAGGTATGTGGGGATGGTCGCCGTTCTAGGTGGCGATAGTGGCAAGTATAGGACCCACATGGCCCACAGGGCCCATATTGTCCAACTACCATCTTGCGATCAGCATACTTCTCTACGATATGCGAAGCCTTGATGCATTGAGCTTTGTATCTGCTTCAACTTGTCGATCTTGCTGGCGCTCGGCATCTTGTCCCGATGGTCTTCCTATTTCGTCAATATCTTGTCGTTCGTACTTGGTTGAGACACTACAGATCTAGGGATACACAACTCCGCCCCATCCAAGCATACAGCCTGCCCCAAGGCATCCATTTCGTTCGATCATTGCTGTATCTTACTAGCGCTGATGTGTCGCCTTTGTGGGGCTGCCTGCATTAGCTCCCTACCAAGATGCCCTTCAATCTCAGAGATTATCTATGTAATTCCACTCGCTAGTTTCATCATCCTTTCAATCGTCTTGGCTGTCAGCTGATTATTTTTGCCCTCTTTACTTTGCTTTCTCGCTTTCTCGCTTGCTTACTACTTCTTTCATTTCATCGTTTGATAAGTGTATTACAGACTCCTACAGCCAACCAGGACATGGAGTCCAGACTAGCCTCGTTCTGTCTGTGGGCAACCCTGCTACAATCAGTACATATAACTCTCACCGCCGCGACATGCTACTTTCCAAATACCGAGGAGACTCTCGAAAACTATCCGTGCAATCCAGACGTGGATGACAGTCCATGCTGCGGAGGCGGCCTTGGCAATGTGTGTCTGTCCAACGGCCTCTGCCTCAGCGGAGACGGACATCTGATCCGAGGTGCTTGCACTAACACGGACTGGAATGGATGCCCCAATATTTGCCTGAGTGGGTCCAACAATATCTTCTACATCTATTATGGCAGGTCGTGAATAACTTGGAAGCTAATATTCCAACGTGGTAAAGGCGCATCAACCGGCGGTACGGATCTGATCTCGTGCTCAAACGTCACCAGCACTGACAACTCGTATTGCTGTGACCACACCAACGGTTGCTGCGACTCGGCCGTTGGGCGCTTCAACGTCCTGCCTTCGAATCCCACCACTTCGGCGTCTTGGAACGTGGCATCTACGCGGTATGTTGTTGTCTCGCAGGCGTCATCCACAACGAGTTCTTCGTCAACAAACACAAGAAGTGCTGCTTCCCAGACGGCCACCTCGAGTACCACGAGTACTGATATCGAACCGACCGAAACATCGTCAGTCTCTTCGTCCGAGCTGAGCACTGGCGCGAAAGTAGGCATCGGCGTCGGCGTGGGTGTAGGCGCCCTGATGTTTGGGATCCTGGTATATATTCTATGGAGGTTGGGGCAGACGGACAAATTAGTCCGAGGAGGACAGCAGCCCCCGGATGGGCCCGCGAGCCAAGAATCGAAGGAGATGGTTACCGGTAACAATACCGATTATTTCCAACCATACCAGGAAGCACCGGCCGAGCTCTCGCCCCAGGCGGTAAGGAGAGAACTTTCCGCTTGGACTCCGCCGCAAGAATTGCAGGCACACAATCTCCATGCGGAGTTGCCTGCGCACCGTGAAACTAGAGCGACGTAGCGAGTTTTAATTTATGAGATGGTGGTGAGGGACAATGAGTGAAGGATATGCGTTCATGTGTTCAATTTCAGCCAGGTTTATACATCAGGCAGACAGATTATGATATAACGTACCCCACAAGCAAGTTGGCCACTTTTTCTTGGCACCGTACGAACAACCTTTTAATTAACATCTTTACACATACCAAGATGGGATCGAATTGGAAAGAAAGCGACATGATTCTAGCGTGTCAGGCGCTTCAATCGAAACCCGAATTAAGCATCCGACGCCCTGCCCAACTCTACAATGTCCCTCGTACAACTCTAGCTAACCGAAAACGCGGACTACTATCTCGACGCAATACTCGACAATCTAGTCAAGAGATTGAAGACCTAATACGGGCGCATATAACCCATATCTCGAAGGAGGATTTCTTTTCGGCATTCTATAGGGCGTATCGTACGACTATAACTAAGTCGAATATCCAGGCAGGTTTCAGGGGGACAGGACTTATTCCGTACGACCCGGAATATGTGATTTCACAACTGGATATTAAGCTACATACGCCTACACCTCCTGGGAGCTCGTGTGGCGCCCCCTTAATCTGGGAATCAAAGACTCCAAATAACCTAACCGAGGCGCAATCCCAGTCTTAATACGTTAAAAACAGAATCGTACAGCATCAGAATAGCTCCCCGACCACAATACTTACGGCTATTGACCAATTTTCACGTGGTGCGACGGCTGTTATGCATCGGTTAGTTTTGAGGATGAGGTTACTACACTTCGGAAGGCCAATCAAGAGCTAAGCCGTCGTCTAAGGACTAAAAATCGACAGCTACAAGATGGAGGATCTCTTAGTTTACGAGACGCTCAGGACTTACAGTCTCAACGGGATATTGAACAGCAGCTACAGGATGATATACGTGTAAGTCGTCGTCGTACGAGACCGGCCGAACCACGCCGACGGCGCTGTAGGATCTGCGGAGAGCCCGGACATAATGCTCGTACTTGTGAGAATGATAAAGATACGTACGAGGAAGAGGATTCCGATTAGTTTGAATTATTATTTTTTAGTTTAGTTAAGTTATTGAAGTTATTCATACGGTGCCAAGAAAAAGTGGCCAACTTGCTTGTGTGGCTAACTTGCTTGTGGGTACGTTACCCAATATAATAATAACTACATTGAAGACCTTAATCATCAGTCACTCGAGGTGGTGAGAGACCAACCAACCTCCGCCGATCGGTAAGCAACGCCTTCACAAAATTTCGCAGGACCGCGAATCCGTCAGTAAAGGGGTTTGCCAGCCGGCTGGTGGGATTCGCAGGATTCGGAAATTTCCCCTGGCTGAGCTGCATGGTCGAGAAATTAAAGGCCCAATTATCGAGATGGGTAACCCCTTTGCTAAAGCGGCACATCATTCCAGACAGAAGGTCTTCAAGGAATCCCTGCTATCGCTTGATTTATCAGGTGGATCTGTAGGTGCTCGATCGGGGAATCAGGCAGGGCTGATTATCGTAAGAAGTGATGTGTATTACGCATTTATACCTTATTTATGCGGACAGAAGATAGATGACGTCAGAGCCAGCGTGTATAGTATGTACTTCAGTGAGCGTCCACTGGGATAGATCTTCGATTATTTAAATCGTTCGCTTATATAATAGTAGAATATTACTGGATATATCGGACTAGCACTAGGAATGATGTAGAAGCTATATGTCGGACCGCACCAGCCCTGTTCTGGGCCCTCTAGTGCCCAACGACGATATCAGTATTTTCTTGGCTGTAGCGCTTTAGTGAATGAACATCTACAGACAAGCCGCTCAACCCATACTATCTGCTCCGAAACATTACGTACTCATGAATTGTTTTTGTCTTCATGTAACTAGGAGTCTCTTATGGCCCATTTCGGTCTCTGGGAAGGTTTTAGGGAGGTCGGAGACCCATTCAATTCTATGCTTTGTTATAGCTTGCAATAAGTCCGACACCATAGCTATAATATACCAACGACAGAACTTCTTTCAAGTCTTGGATAAAGCCAACATTAAAGACATATATATCTAACTTGGCGAAATGAAATTTAGCCTGCTCCACGAAGCTTGGATCGCATGATTAGCTGGCATCTTTACGAAAACTACAGACTGAGTTGTAAACCACCTACATCCATTTCCTGGTGTGTTATGTGACTATGCAAAGGCGAAATCTAACAAACAAGCCGGGGATATGATCGACCAGGGCACATCATATGCCGAATTCCATACTTCAGCTCCAGGGGAATCCGTATTGCGGTTGTTGGCAGTTTATTTATCAAAAACGCTCCATCCTATTCGAAGGAACATAATTGGTTGTCTTGACGTTCGGCAAGCGCCATCGAACCAACATGGGGGTCGTGCAGATAGTTACATTCTTGACGTGACGTCGGTTGCGAACACGACGAGGTCGGCAGTTGTATTCACTTCGCTGCGCATCTATGCGCAAGCCTCTTTGTGTATGCCAAACCTCATGTGTTGGGTCAAAAGGCTTATCGCACACACGAACCCGAGCTCAACTGCAGATGGGGTTCTACGGGGCTATGCAGGCCCCAGGTTGTCAGCCCCTGCCATGCATGTTGTAAAGTTGGTGCGATGCGAAATATAGAGAGGAACTAAATTCGTGAGATCGACATCACTTTGTGGTATATTCCGCGAATCGCAATAATCCGTGCTGACCAGCGGGATATGCCCAGACATATTCGGCATTACGGATATACGCGCCGAATAGGCAGGAGAGTTGCATCTAAGACTATTTCATTCTTTTAATGTGTTCCACTTATAAGAGATCACTTCAAATTAATGCTTTATTATCAATAACAACATGCACGTTGGGTCGTTGGTCACTGCTGCAGACGCACGCGTTTCGCCTTACATAGTCACACGTCCAATAGCTGGAATGTTAACAACATTAATTCCGAACCAACACTTAACTTTACTGTTGGCTGCAACTAGAATATATCACATTATTTGCTGACAGCATCGCAGACGGCAGCACCGCACACCGCCGCGGAAAGCAGTAGTATATAATGGAAGCCAAGCACCTGAATCTACTCTCGACGTTCTTCTATCCACTCAGCCGCTTGTATCATAGCAAGTCCATACTCGCCCTTATCATATCTTAAGCAAGCACACCACCAATTAGTTCAACAGTCACCATGCGCAGCGTTTTCCTCCTCGCCGCTTGGGTCGCAACCGCGCAGGCAGCCAGCCTTCCCATCGTCCCCAGCAAACAGATTGTAAAACCCTACCTTCCCCAATATCTCAAGTGAATCAAGGATTAACTGGCTGGTTCCAGCATGCTCGGAATCCCAACATTGCCACCATCGACAAGACCAAGAGAGGAACCGTCTTCGTGGGACCTGCTACAAGCTATGAAACTGACAAGCGATCGGACTCGTTTTTCCTTGAAGAGGTTGATAATCGAGATGTTTTCACAACCCCTGAACTCAGTGACGAGATTGACAGACGAGCTGTCTCCACCACCCCAGAATCCGGCTACAAAGAGATCGACAGACGAGTTTTCTTCACAGTCCCTGCTTCCGATGATGGAGAAATCGCCAGACGACTTGTCTTCGCCGCCCATGACTCTGGTAGCGACGAGATTGATAGACGAGTTGTATTCACGGCTCCTGGATCTGGTGACGACGAGATCGACAGACGTAGCGACCGAGTCATCTTCACTGAGCCGGTTACTGCCGATGATACTACGGGGGTCCACAAGCGACTTTATTTCGCTATACCTTCGTCTTCATCGGGCGCTGTTGAAGAAGCAGACCCCGACACTGCTGTTCCTCCTCGCGCTGCTGTGTCCAAGAAGTGAGAAGTTCGGATTTGAGAAGCTATCTCTTGGGCGGGGTCAAGTGGAAGATCGGTGCTGAGAGTTTGTCTGATCAAATGCAGCCTTAGGTCTTTGTGAGGTAATTGGTTTTTAAAAGACGGGTACTTCCATGATTTGGGGTTGTGCGCGGATGGGGGTGTGGAGATTTGCTTAGAGGAGGGTGCACGCCTACTCAGCCGAGGTTATGTATTGGTAGATCTTGGAAACAGTAGTGGTTCCAGACTGAGAATTATGTTGATACAATTTTGCTGGTATTTAATTTGTGCCTCCTTTCATTGTGCTCACAGGCTATTGCTCAGATTATATCTACCCATTTTCATAGCACATCTCCGATTCATCTACACTGGTATGTCTATAACAATACTTGTACGATCAAGCTTCTTCAAAGCACCCACTGTCTAATAGAACTTAATTGAAAATGCACCGTGCATTTCACATAAAACCAGCTGGCGAAGGGGTTTCTGGACTTACACACCCTAGATATACTCAACAGACAGTACTATCCTCTCACTGTAGACGGTCCCTTGATATGTGGAATATCAAAGCCATGTAATGTTTCTGACTTAATCATGATTACTTGAGATCAAAAGGATGAAAACAGAATTAGTGTAGTGACAAGCAGTCCATACCTTTGGCGTGGCCTGAACCCTAGTGGATGTTTGACTCGTGTAATAGATCATTTTAGTGGGAGTTTTCTATATATACAACACATCCATATGCAACCGGCCTGTGACCTATAATGACTTAGGGCGAAGTTAATTGCACCATTCAAAGGAATGGATGTGTGTCATAAGGTGTTAATGGATTAAGCTGGCACTCCGCCAAAGTTCGCTTTATTCAAGGCAGCAGTTGCAGCATGATCACCTTAAACTTGTCTTCCAACGTTACGCCCTTTTAGGACCTAGATCCAGCACTGAAGCTTTTATTACCACTAGTATTCATCGTATGCGAAAAAATTATCTAATGTGTCCCATTCCATCCTCATCATCAACAACAAGGACTACAGCTCACTCCCACCCTCTCCCCTCGTGGATGAACACTACTATTATCTCCAAGATTTGGTGTCAACTTTCGAACAGGAACTAGAGGCTTACATATCCAAAATCGGCCAAGTCATGGATATTTCAACTATTCAGTTTCCAATCAGTCGTCAACGTTTCAAATTCCGTTTGGGCAAGCAGGGCGAAACAATCAAGTGCAGTCGATGCATTCCCTGATACATGTCACAATCACAAAGTTGTAAGAGGAAAGGTATCAGTTAAAGCAGGCCGGTCCAGCAGAGAAGTCATGGAGGCACTTGATGATGCTTCTCAGCGGGCAGATCTTCACTCCGGTGGGATCTTTAATGGGGTTATATCCGTCAATGTGCGAGCGTTGAACATATCGGGCGAACCGCCCTTTTGTGGATCCCAAATTCTTTCCACTTCCTCCTTGGCGAGACTCCGCTTTAGCTTCTCATTTCGACTGAGAAGGACGTCATACTGGATGAACTTGCCAAGTCCACCGAGATACTTGCGTGAGGTGGCGAAAGCCCGCCAGGCTACTTCAACGGCTTGGACGTGTTCGATGCCCTGGAGTGTGATGCCAAAGTGGCAATAAAGAGCGTTGGAGTCTTTCCGGACGTCTACGAAGACTGTTGGGATTCTGGGCGACTCGAGGCTATCTTTTAAGGTGCGTCTTGCCGGCCGCGGGGGTTGAAAGCGTGGGAGTCGAGAGTGCGAGCAACGATGAGATAGATGGGCCTGGGGATGTGGTGGTGGTGGACAAAAAGTGCCACGATGGAGATGGGGCCTTCCAGGGATATGTACATGGGCCGTGGTTAAGTCATAGTTGATGTAAGTATTTGAGAAGAGCTGATACTGCCTCCGAGGTCTCGATGATGGTCGTTTTGATGCCAGGCATCTTGGTCCGGGGGTCGACATCTTAGTTTGGATAAGTAGCCCTCAGTATTACGTATTTAGCTAGGCACTCGGCGGTATGTTAGGGTTTTGATCTTGCTCCAAGGTCATCGATTATCTTAGTGGATAAATCCGGACTAGACGAGTGGGAGACGTTGTCAAGTTCCCATGGTGATGCTTTTTGAAAAAGCGGTTATTGGGAGTAAAACGTTGGAGACAATGGCAATCCATTACTGGCGGGTTCAAGTCAACCCAATTAAGGTTTACGCTTCATCGAGATTCATAGCAGATAATTGGCAGTATCAGCGTCCAATTGAAGCCCAGCACGCTATTGTTTAGTAAAAGGGTTTGGTCTGGTTTATGCCCCCGGGTAGACCCGAGCCTCATTAACCTTGGTGCAGAACACAATACTTATAATTGTATTGCATATGAGGTCCATTCGTTGTTTAGAGCGCTTCACCATGAGGGGAGACTTGACACATGGATAATTCTAGAAATGAAAGTCTGAAATCCACCAACGACAACAACAAAGGCTCAATAAAGACTGGAAGCCAGCCTCCCAAATCCCTTTCCTCCTCTGCCGCCCTCGATATAATAAGCAACGTGACAAGACCGTCCACAGCTCATGACGAAAATCACCCAACGCAAACCCCCCTTACATCTGCAGCCCAGGTAGTGAAGTGAGCCCTATTAGTAGCTTGTCAGCACCTTTCTTCCCCGTTCTATCAGAATCAGGAGCAAAAGCCATGAAAGCGACTTACATTGGTCGTCGCCGATATTCTCAGGAGCACTTTGACCTTTGACGCAGTTGATGGCAGCTTGGTCAGTCTGCCTCTGCAGCGGGCTGCATCGGTCACCGGAACACTTGCCGTCCATGGCCCTTTGAAGGGCGTCGCCCTTCCAGCCGAAGAGATAGTCGCCGTGGATGCCATAGCCGGTGTTATCGCCCATGCTCCACTGCAATGGGGGTTGTTAGTCTTAGTTTCTTCATCACTCGGATTCGGATCGCTCTAATATTTGGGCACGGAAAGTACTCACGTAGAAAGGCTGCGACCCATCAGCAGGCCAATCCGCCTTGTTGTTAAACTGCCTCGTATCGAAAATAATTTCGTACATGACTTGCGGGATTTTGACGGGGTGAGTCGACGGACAGGCACCACCGCTCTCGAAGGTGCCCGAGGCGGGGTAGGCGATATGCGACTTGTGGTCGGGACTATCGGTGTTCTTGCCGTCCCAGCATGAGGGAAAGGTGACGGTGACGCGCCAGCCGCCGCCGCAGGCCTGATTGGGGAAGCCGGGAATGTCCGAGCCCGTGCAGGGAGCTCCGCCGAAGGGATTCTGGTCCATGTTGGACTCGCAGCGGAAGCAGAGGCCGTGGGGTACCTTGCTGGCGTCACGGTTCATGCTGTCGCCGACGAGCATGCGGAAGCCCTGGGACAAGATCAGTCAAACTCGCACCATTCACCCCCCACCCCAACCAATTTCCCATGGAGATGAATCGATTGATGTGCACTCACTGGCGGGAAAGCCGTAACCTGCGCAGTAGGCTGGTACCCCCGAATATAGTACACCGTCATGCCAGCCTCGACGCCGAGCCCCAGGTTTCTCACCTGGGGTACGCGCTTGAAGGTGCCGTTGCGAGCCTTGAAATAGACGTTGGCGGTCCAGTAGTTGGAGAAGTCCTCCGAGTAGGTGCAGCTGGTGCATGTCGATACCGTGGGTGGGTCATGGCTTTCGGGTGTCATGCTCGCGTTGAACGAGTTGCCTCCGATGACTTGGTGCATATGCGATGATGGGAGGTTGCCTGGTTCCACGAGTGGGTCAATACGGTCGATGGTGAGCTGGGAGCAGCCGAAGCGCATCAGCTCTTGCGCCGTGGCAAGGTGGGCCCCGGCCAAGGCTGGGACTAGGTGCTTCAACAACATGATCGTTGGGTGTTGGGAACGTCGTTCCTATTTCAAGAGGTTGTTTGGACTCGCGAGTGGCCAGGAGAAGGCGAAGATGATGTCTGGAAAAAGGAAGAGCGAAGAAGCGAGACAATAACAGCGGAAACCGATTACCTGTCCTTATACTCATGAGAAACATGGCTTGCCACACGCCCGGATAAAGCCAAGATGGGTCATCATGAGACTCGCTCGGTAGTGATGTACAAAGCCAGTAACTAACAACTGCCGCCATGGAACTTTCGGCGGTTAATCTATCATCAATTCTTGGGAAAATCCGGGGAAGTTGAAGTGGCATTGATATGGTTTTATTGGGCATGGTTGAAGACTCTATACAGCACCCTGCCAATCAAAAGCTGCAGATCTGCAGCAATGAGTACCGGTTTGGGGAGCAGCATATTGAAGGTACTGTTCCACGTGGGGAATCGCAGATCTCCAACAGTCACCGGAAAGAGCACACGGCGCCATCAATTTCGGTACAAATCCGTGTCTTGGTCAACCCGTCTCAGTGTTGTTGCTTACAATCTGATTACTAACTGGGAGCTCCTCCACGATTGCTGGATTCCTTCCCTATCGTCCTATACCAAGTCGCGATGAGCCGGTCCTTTCGAACTAGCGCTCATTTATTTTGCATTGAAGCTCGTCATCGGAGAAACCAGGATAGTTCAAAGTCCTCTAGATAGGTTGACAAGGTTCAATGCCAGCCATATATGAGTGTGTGTTGTCCGCAGACGAGCCACTTCACTCAGTCAGATAATATAGCTCCTTTCCGTACACCGAAAACCCGATTTGAGTTACATCGTGGTCTAAATAATGATGCTGATGCCCATAACGCCGTACAGGATCATGAACACTCTGAAGTAGCCGGATGTCAAAAGCAAGCGCGCGTTAGAGTGTTCACTTTATCTAGACGAGATTCCTACGAGACTATGACATTCATCGCATCTCTTACCGATATAATTATGAGGGAGTAGCTGTGAAATGTAGCTCAGTTTGCGCGTGAGATTTAGAAGGTCTTCGTGATCGTTAGCAGGCAAATTTGGGCATTCCAAATCTTTGAACGATCCCACGTGTATGTGTGCTTTGACATACTATCAATGCAGTCTCAAGACACCTATCGGCATTTAACTGGCCAGTGATGCAAGTCCAGGGAAAGCACAAGTGGGCCACCAGGCTCACAACCCCTGCTGCATCTAATAACGGCACTGACAGGATTGGCGACAGGAAGTTCATTTAAAGTAGTGTCATTGCCGGCGATATTCCCACGAGCTAGCTTGTGCGTCATCTTTCGGGCCGATTCAGACTTGCTTCTGCATTCATTGGGAGAGACTGCGTTATAGTTCTACAATTAGCAACTCGGGAAACTGCTCTCACCAATCTAGGATTCCAGTAATTAGTCTTGAGCGACTCTGTTCACCATGCCCGTATCGACCCGACTGTAGGTCTAGTCGGACCTGCTCATTCACGTCATAGCATGAACAACCTCGAGTCAGTCTGGACAGCTCACCAAGGACCGTTCCTTTGGCTTATAATTTTGGGAAGAGAGCTGTTTCATAGGAGATATTATACCATGGAGGCTAGAGAAGGTGCTCGGCTTGCACCTAGTAGCATTGTCTGATTCGTTGAGGGGCAGGTGAATACATTGGTATTGATGGTTCATCTCAGTGGCCGAAAGAACAGCGCTGGAAATATGATGTCAGCGCGCATAGCTTAGTTCATATTCGTGTCTGGGCATAGCCTTCTGTGTTCGATGTTTTGGGTTGAGTAGAAAGGGCCCCCTTGAAAAAGTCAGCATAACGTGGCCCTGTAAGAAGAATCGGTCTTGACTTGACCTTCTTTACTTGGGCACACAAATGGATTTTGATTTTCCAAGGAGTGGCATGGCTTTTTCCAGGTGATTCCGCTCTTCCAAAATACGAATTCTTACCGCATCTAATCTAGCTTGTCAGGCCGAGAGCATTACTCACACGCAGACCTCTGACTCATAGATGGATTTAAAGACCTTATAGCCCCATTACACGAGATATTCTAAAATAGCGACTTCCAGGCAGGTTTGCGGGACATGATAAGGTAAAAAGTACCACATATGCGATATGGTATGGGATGCGCTCCAACACACTACATATATGTTTCATTGCTGAAATATAAAAATGCTTTTACTTGAGTACACCTACTGTTGGGCTGAAGCATATCATTTGACTGGATCTGTTTCGATAGGATCCTAGATTGAACATTACAAGATACAATTACACCTTCAAATAGGTAGAAGGCAAACACTTCAATAACAACCAGTAGACGACCAATCAATAGGAACTTTCGGGAGGGAAGGCAGCAAGAAGAATAAATACTAGGCGCACCTTCCAGAACTGAGAAAAGGAAAATCTGACGCGTATCGTTGACTCAAAGGCATTGGCCTGGCGAGGCCGATATTTCTGGATCCCTTCCGTCCACTATTTGGGCTTAATGACTTTGTAGATCACGAATTCCATTCACCATCTGACCACCGCAACACAACATTGACACTTCCTACCTTCCTTTCCAACCTTTCTTCACCCCATTCAATGGACTTCATCGCTTCCATCCAGGCGACCTAAATCATCTTCTGACCATTCAACCTACATCTTCTGTCCGCGTCCAATCATCATTTCCAATATCACATCAAGAACCGCGACAGGCTTCAGAACGACATCTAACCAACGCATCAGCACCTAGCAAGTCGCACGTAAACCCTTCCCTTGCCAAAGTCCCTTGGTCCCAACATCACAAATTGAGCTTTCTCAATAACAATATATCCCCAGACCTTCTCCTCGCGTCAGTTCCCATCGACTATTCGTCGGAACGAAATTTCACCAACACGTCAGTACCTGGCAAGTCCCGCGTTAACCCTTCCCTTAGCAAGGTTCTTTCGTCCCAATATCCCAAATCAAACTTTGTAAACATCACTACACCTCCTCTTCTTCAACTTCCAGCTCACCAACGCGTCAGTGCCCGGTAATTCGTACGTCAGTACTTCCCCTGTCAAGATCATTTCACCCCATCATCCGAAACTGAAGCTTTCCAACTCATCTCCGTTCCCGACCAAGCCCGCCTTTTGGGTGAAGCTTTCCAAATCTATTCCCATCTGAAATCCATCACGTTCACCATCACCTCCATCTAAACTCATTAAATGGAAAGACATTCTAACTTCCTCGACAGAGCCAAGATGCCTTCCAAGGATACCAAATCCACCGAGGCTGCTAACAGTGGCGGCCCTGCCGTACTAGCCTTCACTCCCGCCGAGACCTGCATGGTCATGGCTATCTTCAAGAACTCGACCGCCAGCGGCAAGCCCACCCCCAACTGGAATGCCGTCGCCGAGGATATGTCATCCACCAGCGTCGAGTCGATGAAAGTCCGCTTCGGTCAGATCTCGAGGAAGTACGGCTGGTTCACTGGCGTTGCCTCACCCAGCATTCCCGCTGTCTCTCGACCCAAGAAGACGCCCGTGAGCAAGAAGCGAGCTCGCACTGCTGAGTATGGAGACGATGCTATCGAAGACACTCCGACCAGCAAGAAGAAGAGAACCACCGGGCCCGAGAAGGCCACCAAGAAGGAAGCTACGATCGACGTGGCTGTCAAGGACGAGGTTGAGGATGTCTTCGGCAACTTTAATGACCATATCGACCGCACCATGACTGATGGCGTGGCTTAGGTGATCACATTACCTTCACCTCCCTCCCATCGGTAGAAACATGCATTTTTGAGGATATACATGTATTAGTGGACAGTCACAAAATCACCTGGTATTCATCGTTTGTATTTTCGTTGGTTTAGGGTCCCTGAAGTAGGACATGGCATGGTATGGCATGGCATGACGGTCGTCATATCATCATCCTCGAAAGTTGGATTTCCATATCCATATCTTTTTGATCGGTAATAATGATTGGCAGGGAGGATTGATTGATGGATTTAATTGGGTTGTTCCTTCCCTGGAAAAGTCATGATCACGATCGGTTTACTTGAGCTTTGGGCACTTGCAGTCACTGATAGCCATGATATTTCCCCTGATGACCTGATTTGCATGGGGTATGAATTATCAACCGTCTGAACAGAGTTTGGTGTCTTGCGTGCAATACCTGACATGATGAGTTCATGAAACAATCAAGTCTCAAGACCTTCAAACGTAGGCCAAATGACATACACAGGTCTAATTTTAATACATCATTCTTTGAAACCGCTGGTGGAGGTGATCCTATTTTATTCCAATCCGGCCCCGGTCTAGATCTGCGTACGCCACGTATGTGCGGTGTCCAATGCACATTTGGTTTAAGCTTTATTGCTCATCTAGATTTAATTTTGATAACTTGCTTTCAAACAAAAAGTGCCTCTTCTGTGTCAACATCACCATCCGTGAAGTCCAATGTCTAGCCCATACAGATCACGTCAGCAAATAACACTTACATTATCACACCCAATCATCACCCCCGCTATTACCAGGAGATTTGTTGTATTCCCAGCCAATTGTACTCACCTACGTCAAACTTGGGGGCAATGTATTCCCCTGCAGTACGATTTGAGTTTTCCCCTTGGGGTCATGCTTCGGCAAGCAATACATGGCATATTCATTAATCGGTCGATTAAAAGGAAGGCGAACGTGGTCGTTGAAGGCTCTATATTAAACACGACCCTCGAGACCTAAGCTTCTTTCTAAACTATCTAGCTGAGGTGAATATTTCCTACCTAGCTTACAGTATATCATTAAGTGCGCTATAATCTACTTTGAATTAGACTTACGGCTACGCGCTGTGTCATCTATATTCCCTATGCGCTTTTAAAAGGGTTTCAGGTACCCTATACCAGTTTTGAGCTGCATATAGGCAGAGGAGAGTTTTCTCTTCAAGGGGATGAATGAATCTTTTAGGCTGAAGGATAGCTTTTCTTTGGATATTCTTCTACATATAGCACCTAGACCTTTAGATTTAGTAGATTCTTTAGGCTCTTCTTGATCCCAATTATTTTTCCATTCCTACGACGTCCATTTCTTGACCCCTCTCAAGACAAAGAGATAGAGCGATAACGGGTACTAGGTCGAGGTAAGTGGAGTCCCTTTTTACCTAAAGAATTAGCTAGTTCGTTACCAGGTACCCCTATATGGCTAAGGTACCAAGATAACCGAAAATTAGTTATCGGACTGCACTAGCCGTTGGCCCGCAACGGCTGTTTTCCCCACTTCCGGCTATAACAGCCAGTTGACAGGTTATGGACCGCCACTGTTATGCTCAGACGTGATCAGCACTCTCAAAATGTGCAAGCCATGAGGCACATTTTTCTGTATCTAAGGCCCTTATTACTACTTTCACCCTGTCTACTGGGAAAGAAACCAGACACATTGAATTCTATGCTTCGTTATAGTTTGCCATAAGTCCAATAGATTCGTTAATCATGGCCTCCATTGCGCGCATCCCGTGCTTAAGGAATAAAAGATATCAATCAACTGGACCGCCATTTCCTTTTGTTATGAGTTCTATTGGGCTTCACCTAAGATAGTCATCCTTATCCACTAATATTGAAATTTACGTTTGAAACGAAAATGGCGCTTGCGTTATTTCTATTACAAGAAGGACCACGTAAAGCTTTGAGTGCTACTTTGTGCTGACACAACAATGACGAGCCGAATCAGTACTCGTGTCCGGATTCTGAACCAGTACAGAGGCCTGGTTATGTGGATGGGCTGATGTAGTAGAAACACAGTCAAATAATTTCAATAACTTATATTTGTCAAGGTATACTGTGTGTTGCGTGCCCCAGGCGGAGCGGCTGGGTGCTGGGTGCAGCGCTTGTACCAAATGCCCATAGACCTCCCGTACCTGCAGCCTTTGGGGGTTAGTCCCATCATCACCATTAACAATACAGCTCTATTTCCTGTCGTGCCCACACTATGTCTCAGCACCTGCTTTCCTCGACGTTTCCTGTGACACTTCTTGCCTTGCCCAAAGCCTGAGAGGTCTGCCGGTGCATTTTACCAGGGGCGCCGGGGTATTCGGAGAGTACTTAGTAGTTGTCAAACATGCACGACTATTGTGCAACATCATGACGTCGGACTTGCTTTTCCGCATTGCCTCCGCGTATTTCCTCGCCCAGAATCCGACTTCCATTCTTTCATCCTTGGGCGGCTCGCGGGCTCATGATCTGTGTAGATGGGGCCCCGTTTCATTGTGAGCTGAACATGGTCTGGGCGGGCCAGACTGCATCCAGGAATCGGCGTCACGGACGTAGGGGGCAGCTAGTACAGTAGATCATGGGTCCGTTCTGCAGGGGGTGGTGGATCAGAAATACGAAGAATGAAGAACAGAAACTATCAACTGCCCAACTGCAGAAATGTGCAGAGCTCTAGACAGCATCCAGCTTATACACGGAGTCATCGGGATGACATCATAACCGTAAGAAACACACGAGAGTTGGAGATCATGGCATAGCGGCGTGGGTTGGCGGATATAATTACCAAATTTCAACACTTGTATTACCACATGGCAAGCCAAGCCGGCCTGGACGGGCGTTAAACTAAATGGAGCTGACTGATATGACAAACATCGAACGTTTGGGCAAGGGGTCGCGTGACACGTCGAGCCGACACTTGGGCCGATGTTCGCACTCGAGCGAAGGGAATCCCACCAACCAACCCACAACCCTGGCTCGAGCGCTCAAAGATGTTCCGGAACTTCAGACACAATTTTATATGCGCGCATCACATTGTGGTAAAAATCTTAAGATCATGAGGGCACGTTGACTTCCCCGCAATTCCCGTGGGTGGCATGATTATGGAAAGAGAAGGCGGGGAGAATGCGGAGGCAAAAGAGACGAACGCATGTTACGAGTGGAGATTTGCCTTTCCCGATAGGTCGTTGAAAATGGACGACAGGCTTTACTTATTTATTCAACTACCATGCCCCGGATTCTCCAGGGCAAATAGTAAAATTCAAATATCTTCACGAAGCACATCTTATATCATGCGAGCATTACGATATCACGGCCAGAAAGACATCCGCCTGGAGGAGATTGAGGAGCCCCAGGTCAAGCCGGGCTGGGTCAAAGTATGGTTAAGTTATCACAAACCCCCTCGTCCACCATTGATTGATTGAGGACTACATGAAATCTAACGGAATTTCTGCAAGATTGCACCGGCATTTGTCGGCATCTGCGGGACAGACCTGCACGAGTACCTCGGCGGGAACAATCTTATCCCGCGACCGGGCCATCCGCACGTCCTCACCAAGGAGACGTCGCCGTTGACTCTGGGTCACGAGTTCAGTGGCGTGATCGAGGAAGTCGGAAGTGGAGTTTCTGATCTCGAGCCTGGCCAGAATGTGTGTGTGCAGCCGACGTTGTACTGTAACGAGTGCGATCCGTGTAAGCGGGGTTTGCAGAACTGTTGTGATCAGGGGGGTTTTATTGGGTTGAGTGGTAAGTCGGATATCAAATCGATATCTGTACGTATGAAAGGCACTGGCTAATATTTGACGTGAGCAGGGTTTGGAGGTGGTCTAGCAGACCATGTCGTGGTCCCCAAATCCGCAGTCTGGAAACTGCCTTCCAACATCGACTTGGAACTTGGAGGTTCGTAGATCCCAACAAAGTCCCGTCATATCCAAGATCTGTCATATTTACAATCCTACGCAGCCCTCGTCGAACCCTTGGCAGTAGGCTACCACGCCGTCGAAATCGCCCCGATCCCACACCCCATCCCCTCGGACCTCCCTATCCTCGTCCTGGGCAGCGGCCCCATCGGCCTCGCCGTAATCCAAGCCATCATCGCACAATGCTCCTCTCGCTCCTTCCCGCCCCTAATCATCGTCTCGGAACCCTCGCCCACCCGCCAAGAATTCGCCCTCGACTTCGGCGCCCACCACGTTATCAACCCTCTACGCACCGACCTAGTATCCTCCATCCAATCTATGACGCGTAAAGAGGGTGTGACCGTAGTCTTTGACTGTGCGGGCGCGCAGTCCGGCTTAGAGCAAGCCATGAAGTGCGTTCGGGTGCGGGGGAGCGTGGTGAATGTGGCGATTTGGGAGAATAAGGCCCAGGTCAATGTGAATGATGTTGTTTTTGGGGAACGGGCGTATATGGGTGCTGCGACGTACGATAATGGGGATTTTGGACGAGTGTTGAGGGCCATGGAGCACGGGAGGATTAGGCCGAGGGAGATGATTACGAGAATAATTGCGTTGGAGGAGGTTGAGGAGAAGGGTTTTAGGGGGTTGATTAAGGAGAAGGATCGGCAGGTTAAGATTTTGGTTGATGTGACGGGGAGAGGGAGGAAGGATTCGGGGGTTGGGTATTTGGATTAGGGCCTGGGAAACGTGGTGTTGATAAGATTGATGATGTAACGATGTAAATAGGAGTTTCTGATGTTTGGTTTAGCAACTGGGTCAAAGGGATTGTCACAATGGAAACCAGAGTATCTTGAGAATGCGACTTAAGTGTTCTATAGGCCTGTACCAACCCTCAAAAACACCATACCTTCAAAGAAATTCCATCACTTCTTTTGTCTTTCACTAGAGTGAGCTAGCCAAACGTTTGTAGTGGGCGGCATCAAGATATATAAGTCGCAACACTTGACGTCTGCTGGGACCAATGAAACGACGAGTATCCATCCTTCAACACAAAGGTGAAATCTTAGGTCTCGATCCTTTATATATCGTTTTGCTATATGCCTCAATATCACAAACCAATAGAGCGCTTCCTCCTCAAACCCTCCGGCATTGACACCAACCGAGGCCCCACACTCTCCAAAGTCGGCACAACCTCCCTCATCAACCCTGTCACGTCATCAAACTCAATTTTATCAACCGTAGTCTCCCTATGCATCCCGTCGCCCCCCGGAATCGCAAACCGATGATACGCCATATACCAATGGTCCCCCTCTCCAGGAACCTTGACCACAGAGTTATGCCCGGTCCCCAGTATTCCCTTCTCCACATCCTTCCTCAGCACGACTCCCCTATACGTGAAGTTTCCAGTAGGAGTCAGACTAGTCGCGTACCCGACCTGGTAGTCCTCCGACCTCGTATCGTTGATACTATACGTAAAATGGTACAGTCCTTCTCGGTAATTCATGAACGAACCCTCGCGGAATGCGACCAGCCCGCCGATGCGGCCGACGGTATCCCATTTGATGGAAACCATGTCGTCCCCCAGCTCGGCGACTAAGGCAACGCCGTTGCCCCAGTATAAAAAGTACTTCCCCGAAACAGGGTCGTGAAAAGCGCAAGCGTCGATAGCTTGGTTGGTAGGCAAACTCTCGTTATTCCAAATCATGGGTTCTGCCTCCGCTACAAACGGGCCCTCGGGATGCGAGGCAACGGCTACGCCAATAGTTTTTGTATTCAGGGCTGCATTGTTCCCGCTGAAGTAGAAAAAGTATTTTCCATCTTTCTTGGCAATGGTAGGCGCCCAGGCGTTGCCGTTGGCCCAGGGGACATTGCCGGATGTGCCGTTGAGAGTGAGGATCGGTTCGGTGTTGCGCGTCCACTGGACGAGATCGGGAGAGCTCCACACATAGAAAGATTGTCCGCCCCAGTTGGGGAAGCCGTCTTGGGTAGGGTAGATGTAGTACTTTTCACCGAAGATGGCGATGTTGGGGTCGGCCCACAGGCCGGGGAGAACGGGACTTCCTTCTCTCTTTCGGAGGGCGGATCGTTTGGCGGTGGTACTCGTTGCGCCCGTAAGAGAGGCGAGCTCTGCCGCCGTGACGGGGATAACAGTCCCGTGTCTCGGACTAGCCGGCAAATTGAAGTCACTCGAGATTTTCCAGTCCGGATTCGCAATGTCCTCCGCCTCAAGCGGGATGTATCCCCTTTCTGTGTACTCATCCACAAATAGATAATATTTCTCCCCACGCACATCATCCGCATTAGCCTTGAAAGAAGTTGGCCCCTCAACCTGGCTCGTTCCGGCTGTCTCGCCAATACAGCTAGCCACTGTCGTCCACTCATCCAGCTCAGCCAACAAATCGGTCGAGCGCTCCTGGATAATGTCCACGCATCCCGTCACATTTCCCTCGTCTTTTGTGAACCGGTAGTACACGCCCTCCACCTCGATGACGGTCGAGTCGATACGCGATGATCCCGAATCCTGCCAGATGGCAGGTTCGCTGAAAGTGACAAAGTCCTGGGTCGTCGCGTAGAGCATCCGGTGGTATGTTGCTGTCGTGTGACTCGTGTCGCTTTCTGGGTACAGTGAAGACGCCCAAAAGACGACGTAAGCCCCTAGATCCGTGTCGTAAAACGCCTCAGGCGCCCAAGTATTCCCCGCCGTCGATGGACTGACCAGAACATGTCGCTGAGCAGACCACGTCGACAAATCATGAGACTCCCATATCTCCAGGTATAGACTCCCATTACTGACCGCTTCTGCCCAGAAAGTACCCGAGCCGATGGAGAGATCCGTAGCAAGGAGATAGAAGGTATCTCCCTCCGGCGAACGGATGATAAACGGATCTCGCAACCCTTTCGTGCCCATCGTGGAAGTCAACACGGGTTGTCCGCCGTTCAGCTCGGTCCAGTTGAGCGCGTCATTTCCTTGGCTTGTCGCAAAAAAGATGTTCTCCCCCGCTAGGGTGTCATTGGTGAAGTAGGCGAATGCGTAGCCGACGTAGGGGCCGACATCTACGGCTTTGCGGACGGAAGCGGTAAGGGTGCGGGTTTGGGAAGCAATAGTGGCTGTGAGGGTTACAGTTTCGTCTTCATCTTGTCTGGTGACTCTGCCGTCGACTGTGATTATGGCTGGGCTGCTGCTGGTCCAGTCGATAGCGAGGCCGTCTTCCGATTCCGAGGGGAGATGAATGTTGCCTCGGATATCGTCGATGTTAGTGATGGTGATAGCTGCGAGTGCTGCTTCGGCTTGGGTTAAGTCGCGGATTGTTGAACTGGAAACTCTATACCTGCAGCCAATGAAAGCTGTCACTAGTAATCGGAGCACATGCATGGTGAACCTCCAAGAGCCAGGCCAGCTCTTCCTTAGGTTAGAAATGCTTGAAGTCTTGCTAATAGTCCAGTCCTCCGGTGCATATATATTCAGCCCAATGTCACCAGGTCTTCATGTTCTGTATTCGTCATCAATCCAGGAACCTTGCATCAAGCCAGGTCCTATCCTCATGTTTGACATCCACAGTCCCTTCCGTCACCGGACCATACCCAAACCATGCCTCGGCCGATGCTAATAGCACACCATCATCGATCGAGCCCACCCGCGGAACCGGCAATTTAGCACCAATCCGGAGCAGTTCAACTTATGATGCCGCGCCGAGTTGGAGTAGCTTTGTAGAAGCTAGACCCGTTCTTGGCCATGATCTACCGTAGAAGTACTTAGGAAAGATCATAGCGTTGTACCATCAACTGACGTTCAGCATGATTGGAGAGTGAATTTGAAGTAGTGCGGAGAATGGGGGGGAAACGACGTATTTGCAAGAGAGTTTTGGGGACGGCGAAATGACCTGGAATGGAAGAGTTCAGCAGAACAAGGAGTCAGAAGATGCGGAATTGGGGCCTGGGGAACACGGAGCCGGCGTGGTGGGGATGTGGAAACGGGAGCTAGGTAAGCAATGCGGGGAAAGCCTAGAGTATGCGCGCGAATAGGACTTCGATATGGAGTAGCTTCAATGTGGCCATGTGGTTCGACTGCGATGCTAGTATCACGGGTGTTTCCTTTGTGTTGGGCTGTGGTATCATGAAATCTCCTCAGCCTTTTGGTGGCTGTGCTGTGCTTTCGAGCTGAAGTAGATCTGTAGGAGGACCCTACTAAAAGACAACTCGTTATCAACGTCAGCATCGAGGTTTCTCATTCATATACTTTCGTGTGTAGCATCAAAACTACTCGTTGTTTTCCACTAGGAGTTGCCGGACTGCTGCCCTCTTAGGCTGCATCAATGTCTGAACACACCTTCAGGGCAAAGGAATATATCCATGTTTGCCATTACCTCAAGGCCTTACACCCTGAGGTATCCATGTGCTCAGAGCGAAACCAAGAAAAAAAGTCATGAAAGCAAATATTGGGTTGCTCCGTGTCTTTCCATCCTCACCGACTTGAGAATTTGCCATAATTTTGCCTTCATATGTTCGCAAGCCCTTGACATGTTTCCCAGCTTTCTCGCCTTTCTGCTGGTCATCGTTATTAACATGTCTCTTGCCTCCTGTGGTCTCCCCAAGTCCTCCATTCGTGTTTTCACATGCTCCCGATCTTGCCTTCCCGTAGCCGACTGCCCAACTTCTCGAGTTGCAACATAGACTAATTCTGGCATTTTGGCAGCCCGTCGTTCCCAAACAGCGTTCAGGGCGTCCGCAGTAATTAGCTCCGTCTGTGAGAAATATGGGAAGAGGCCTCGCCCAAAATCGTGCAAGTGTCGAGTGAGCATGTTGACATTCATCTGGGGCTCATGGATATCGTCTCCCAGCAGGACCAGTTCCCACTTGCAACCTAGGGGTCAGGGACAACGCATGATGTTAGACAGACTGCTTGATAACGAGTCGGCTGTCCAAACCATGCCCTCATAGAAGACACGTCTGCATGTCCAGACGGCACGGGGTAACGATAGCTAGGAACTTATCAATGACTGAAAGTCTCTTGTTCTCGTGAAGAAGAACATTATCGCTTGAATCCGAGTTGGCGGTGGGGGGCATATTCTTGGCCGATTTCTCTGTAATGGTGATGAGATTTCTGTTCGACCAAATTGACCGTCAAAAGACGAGGGACCCACTCGTTCTAGAATGAGGTATTTTGGGTTGTTATAAGGTCTCACAATTTCTTCGTGGACTCATTAGCGAGTGTCGGGGTCTGTTGCTCTGCCTTTGAAGCGGATGATGGATGAGTTTTCGGTCTGGGATACTGAGCCGGCTCGATATTTCGTGTCCTTTCGGAGTTGAGAGTTGTCAAGACTCGTTGTGAACTGTTCTAAATTGTGTGGTCCATGAGCGAGGCAGTATCTGGTTTCCGGTCTCCTTGCTCATGCTTGGTATGCGCGTCGCTACTGGCCAGCTTGTTCTCCATCAAATGTAGCTCGTGTCTCTAGGTTTCGTTTTCTGGATGTCTTCGCAAGATTCAGAAGCTATCTTGTGATGCATCGATCCTTGCTCTTGTGCTGTCGTTTTGTTAGACATGGCACTGTTGTGGCCCTGGGCTTCGTCGCAGTCGGGTATTGTACTTGTCATATTCGAAGCAGTTGTGTTCCTGGCAGATATTGAGGATATCCCGGGAGCTCTTAATTTGTTTTACCACCTTTGCCAACATCTCTTTGAACCTGACGTTTCTTTCTGGTCCTGGTACTTAGGTTGGGTGACTTCACACTGCAGTGCTTTGGATGTGCTGTTGGACCAAATTGACCGTCAAAAGACGAGGGACCCACTCGCTATAGAATGAGGTATTTTTGGTAGTTATAAGGTCTGACAGGTGCGGCCGTAGGGAGCCAACCAGCTAGCTGTACATTGTCAGCTCAATAAAGAATCGTGATTTCTAGTGGAACCAACCAGAAGCAGATGTGAGAGGTGGCTTCTACTGGATAATTTCAGAGCCGTTACTAAGAAGCTTACAAGTCGCTACGCCACCAAATGTCGTTGGATAATCGTTCTGCCCTGATCTGAACAGACCGGAAATGATTAACCACCAGGTGCTTTCCTACTAGTGCAGTCACCCTTCATATGAGGCAGTACCACTGGCCAGACATGGTTCCCGGTCCAGAGGTTGCTTCGACATCCGCTCTAACGTTAAACTTTGTCATTCCCAAGTGCCACACCCTGTGCCCAATGGTCTACTTTCTGCAGCATACAAATTCTTCGCCCATTGACCAATTGAACTCCCGGTAGTAGCTGTCGCGATATCTCTTTACTGCGATGAGAATTGGATACTATGCCCACATGTCGGTAGACCTATCTCCTCGATTGTGGAAATCTGCCAACGCCCTCGCTATACTTCGTTTGGAGGCTTGACCAATCAGCTACCCAGCATCTACTACCATTACACACCAAATATACCTGGTTAATTACAGGCTATGGGTCAGAGTTATGTATTTCAATGGTGTAAGCAGATTCCCGCAGTTGAGGAGATAAGGTAATGGGTTGCCTAACCGGGCCAGCACATTGGATTCGGCGTCAAATCATTGGCTATATAGCACACGGTCTAGGCGCTAATGGCAGAGGTGACTTTAGGCCTCCCTAAATACTGGCCACATAAATAGTGCACGGCCCCTCATGGGACGTCTTAAGCCGTTAATTGAAGTATTTAGTGATTGTTTATATTGGTGGTGAGACAAGAAACCAGGGTTGGGTGAATTCTTTGGGCACTCATTGTTTACTCGGCGATGAGATGAGCGTGCCACTGCCCTCCATTGAAATCACCCAAAATCACGATACCCAATAAGAAAACCTAACGATTGTCAGAATTGAATGTATAATGATGGATCAGGATATGGGGTTTGAAATGTCGGTCCAGAGACTGTATATGTGCAGAGCTGGACGTCAACATGGGCAATTCTCATATTATTAGGCTTGCTAATTCTGTGCAGATGCTTTACAGAACATACTTGCTGACCTACGTCGGATACCTTTTGTGATATAGGGCTCCTGCCCCGATCCTACCAGTACTGCTCAAGATACTGGGCTCGGCCGGCGGTCAGTGCTGTAGCTACTCTTGCCATATGATTGACTGCAGTCAACAATAGGTTTTGGACCTAATCGGGTGCAGTCTCAAATATTTATGCAATTGCCTGTTCCTGCGGTCCTCTCTAACTCCACCTCTCCACCACGCCAGTTTGTAAATCAAGTTCCGCTGTCTTGGGTAGGCACCTCGTCCAACTGTAAGTATTTATAGCCTTAGCTTTTCCTGGGCAATCCTCTAAATCATTCTTCGTCAAGCGATAGATTCGCTAGTTGTTGGTTTTCGACGCAACCTCCCCCCACGGTCACCAACCTTTGCAACGCAAGCCCTGGTAAGTCTTCTTCATATTTTCCTGTTGCTATTGGAATTCTATTATCGTACCCGTCCTTCCCTGTCGTCCTACCTACTTTTCTCGTCACTCTGCCTTATTCCCTGGTATCCCGCCTCGCCGAACTCCCTCTCCCTTAGCTTCCGGCTTCGCCATCTTTCCTACACCGTCTCAAACCCAAGAGTCTTTCTCTGCAGTCGACGTCAACCAAGTCCATCGTGGTCACACAATCGTTTACGATCAATGTAAAACTTAGCCTTGGTACTCCTTTGGTGGATCTCTACTTCACCTTAGCAATAATCCTGTTCTATTATCTTATGTCCCCTCGTCAATTTTACCCTATCTGTTCCTCCTTGTTTCCCATGTTACCATATCTGGGAAATGCTCCACGTCCCATGAATTCTAGCTAATTATTTACCAACACAATAGCAACCATGCCCGCTGAAGCCTCGACCGAGGACTCGGCTGCCGCTAGTCGCAAGGCCGAGACCAAGCCCGTGATTGACGATGGCTCCGGTCATCTCAACAAGGAGCTGATGTGGGTCTGTGATCTCCCGAAGCAGGACAGCAGCGGCAAATGCGCTGGCCGACCCATCGCAAACACAAAGAGGGACATCAACAACCACAAGTGCAAGTTCCACCGCGATTCGGAGTACATTGCGCTACAGACCCCCTTCGGTAATATCACCCTGTATTGCTGTGAGCGAGACTGCAACGCCGCCTTCAAGAAGCCGCACGACATCGTTCACCATTACCGAAACCACCACGATGACGTTAATACGAGCCAGGAGGAAGTTCTCACCGCCTATAACATCAAGACCGCGTATGTCTTCGGCTTATTACCGTTTCTGAATTTCCACAAAGTGATTCAACAGCTAATATGGAAAGCAGCAAGCAGAAGAGAGCTGAGGCCGAAGGTAAGGCTGCTGGCAAGATTTATAAGTGAGGCAGGTAAACGCCCGCTCAATAATCTGATATGATAGCTAACGTTGCAAGCAGCACATCTTCGGGCCCCTCTGTTGTGTTTCTTGGTGCTGGTCTGCTTGATTTCCTGCTGCGTGTTATCTACTGCGCGCTACTTGGACCCCCCTCACCAACTGAAGGTATGTACATACCCAACCAACTGTCCTAGATTTTCCATATCGATGAGGCAACTAACACTTTTTCCAGAGGTTTCGATGACTTCTCATAACTACCATCAGATAATTTCGATTCTGCTGCTGGAGTGTAAAGCAAGGATGAAATGCACGCGGTACATATCTGGGTTGGCAATGCTGTTCGCGTCTTTGCGAGTTTTGGTCCTTGATAGGCCATAGATGACGATAATCAATTGTTGCTGACCCACAAAACATGATTGCTAGGACGATCGAAGTGAGTATTTGTTATCAAGTGACTTATCTATGTCTATTGTAATAGAGAAATATATTCAATTCCGAGCATCCGTAAGCTTTCGAGCATACACATACCATTATATCGTGACAGTCCGATGTGTCCACGATACTGCAACAGAAGTATAAAGAAGCGATAACAAGTCTCAAACTTGGATTCTCAACATCGTGAGATGCTGTAGGGCTCCTCCGTTTTCTCAGAGACAGGATTGAGGTTCATTCATTTCAGTCCCGCGAAGTGAGTCAAGAGCGGCATCTTTCCTCTGTGGCTGAATCTCAATGGCGAGTACATCAAATAATCAAGTCTGTACCTGTCTCTTCACTGATACTGGAGAGCCACAGAGGGCTGTATCAATGCCGAGGTTAACAGAACAAAAGACACACGGAGACAAGATTCGCACGACGTCTATGCTTGGCTCAAGTCCAAGATGCCACGGATAGGGGAGAGGGGGGTGCTCTTCGTCCGAATCTTATTGCGGTCACAGAATGGCAGTTATCCTCCGGTTGAGCCTGCTGTTAGACTTCAATACAGCCCTCATAACCCCAATAAGATCAACTTCTGCCAGAACATATACACGACTTCAATACAGTAAAATTTTCACAGTTAGCTTAATAACATAGTACCTAGACTTCTCTAAGGCACCCTTGCGTTCATAGCCGTGTATCAGGCTAACCGGGTAAAAACCAAGATAGCGCGGGGGCTCCATCGCCAGTAGTGCTTCGTAGGGAGTAGGCAAGCCTATGATAGAGAAGTCAAAAGTCAAAAGTTCTCATCCAGAGATTGCGACTTTGTCACATACTGCTAGTCTTGTAACAGTTTTAGCATAATTATCGGGGCGTGCGTAGATTATCAAAGGTTACTATACTTATATTGGAGTAATGGACATACTTCCAAGCAGCATCTGTCCGTTTGATTTACATCCAATCTATATTCATGCAATCTAGTACGTACGGAATAGCTGATATAACGTGTTGTAAGCTGATTGGATCGAGGAGACGCAAGACAGAGCGCCACATGTAATAGAAGCTGGGCGGGGAAAAACACATCAATACAAAAATGAGCAACTCGCCGGATCCTTTTCTGCTTTTCAAGCTGTCAAGACCATTCGCGCCCTATCATCTCTTGACGTCAACATGTCGGGCAAGCCTTGGAGGGAACGATTTTCATGGCTATGGAAACCAGGACCCAGTGCCCGTGGTCATGATCCTGAGTTAGGGCTAAATGATCCCAATCCCACCCCCAGTGCGAAACTGGGCGACCCCGGGGCTGGACTTGGGGAGAACACGAACAAGGACAGAGGCGAGGGATTAGACAAGAAGAAAGAGGATGAGAAGGATGGGGGTAAATATACGAAGGGAGACATGGGAGTTCAACCGCTTCCCTGGCGTGTGGCTCTACGATTCGATGGCTTGGAGCGGACAAATCTCTTCTACCTCGAACGCAGACTGGCTCATCTACAAGAGTCACTGAGCCATCTGCAACTCGTTGACGACGGCGGCGGCAGCAGCAGCAGTAAGGATACAGAGACGAAGAAATTGACCAAAGTCGTTGATCAAATCCACGATACTTGGGAAGAACGGCGAGAACGCCTGCCGCTGACCCACGTTGATATTGACCCAAGTACTGGAGTTCGGGTAAAGAGACTTGATACACAAGATGAACTCGTTCAGGAGTCCGGAATGCTAACTACTAGCACCCAGGAAAGGAATGTCGAGCAAGCACCTGTCGAGGGGCCGGGTGCTGCAGATAGCAGGGCTCGAGAAGCGAAACAGACGCAGTACAGAGTTCTTAACCGATCTGAAGAACTGTTCGAGAACCTGACAACCGCCTTACGCGACTACAGTGAGACTTTTCTACCAACCCCCGACTCTCACGCCAACAATTTGCATGCCAAAACTGACCTTTCCCAGACCAAGCCCTTCTCCAGCACCGTGACCTCGAACGCATCCCCCACTTCCCCAAGGCCCCTCCCCCAAACCGCGATAATTTCAAACGGCACAACAGCAGCACCTCTCTCCTCACCCTGGACCCATGTATCTGCCCACCCCCCTGCCCCAGCCAACCCTGGTCATGGACCCCTCGCCCAGGGGACTTTTCTTTCCCTAAAAACTCTGAAGAATGGGCCGGTGCTTTGAACGCGATCATTTGTCTGGCGATCTTGCCTACGGCTTCGATATTGGTGCTTTTTGCGGTGCCGACTACGTACGGGAGGTTGGGGTTGATTGTGGGGGAGGCAGCGGGGTTGGTTTTGTTGGTGGTTTGTTATAGACCTGTGACGGGCAAGGGGGAGGGTGGTAGGAGGGGGCAGGATAACGAGAAGCAACGGATGAATAGACGGCATTTATTGGGGGAGAAGGATTTATTGGGTTATATGCTTGGGTGAGTTACTTCATTGATATCCTCTGAGTCCGCATATTTGGGTAACATATTCGATCGTTACAGGTTAGCTGCCATTCAAGTGGTATTTGTTGGATCGGTTCTTAGTTCCTCTTAAAAGATTCCAGTGATAGATCCCCAATTGCGGTGCTGGGACTTTAAGGAGGGGATTGGACCAGGGCGCCAGGGTGTGGCAGAAGGCCACAGCGCTTCGAGATACGCATATGGGTGTTTTTCTAATAGCAAAAACTGTTATGATGGTGTTGAAGGATTCTTAAATCCGGAGTGTCGAGAACATACACGTGCCTGGGCATTATAAAGTCGCCTGTTGGTGATCATACTGACCAGTATATGTTTCGTGCGCTTGGGTATGCTAGTTCTCTGGTAGTTGTTTCAAAGAACGCTCACTCGGCTGTGGGCGATGAACCAGGAATATAATGACTGAACAGAACCTGTCCACACTTGTTCGGACTGTTGCAGTTAGATTGCAGTTTGGCCGAAATACCGAAATTGACAATATCCTTGTGGCCTACGTAGTGGCTCGCAACCTTCGATATCACAATAAACAAATAATGGGGGGGGTTTGCGCACTCCTTGACTGGCATCTTGAAATACTGAGCTTATACAAGTGACAGGAGAGAGAGAGTATCAGTTTGATAATGATGGTTGCAGGCAAGGTTACCTGGAAAATATGGGACAGGGGACAAGGGAACTTGACTGCCGAAGAATAACCGGTCCAGAAATATTAATGAACAATGCGTGCGCTGGGTAAGACCTGTGGCATTGATTACCACCGCATTAATCTCCGCGTGTTGCCCATTTGTGACTACTCCATTCATCTAATCCTCACCTTTGTCCATGTGACAAGGCATCGTTGACGACCTGAGACAAGGCAAAGCTATGACCAATGACGTGATGCTCCCAACCCAGTATGTCTCATTCCATTGCAGCACATGCTAGCGGCTCGTGAGCTCTTATCGATACCCACGCCCAGCGATGTCAAGGGCTACCGTGGCTGATATCATTCCTTCCAAACATCCGCTTCGCAATGGTCAGCTCGCAATCATATACGGCCGAGTATCACAAGTCTTGATTCAACAAGAGTAATTGTACGGAAAGCGCCATATCATCTCTTTTAGAACCTAGTCCCTTCTCATAAATCTCAAGCTCTTTACTGCGAACTCTACTCGTTTGATCCGATGATGAAAACCCATGTTTAAGCCTAGAGTACAATAACCTTGACCCCGATATCGCAACTCACATGCGCAGATGATGGATTCCAACTCGTCATTTCTCTCCCGAATATCTCTGGGAGGAGACAAGTCCTCGATCCGGCCCCTCCACTCGCCTCCGAGCCGCCGCAATTCTCAGCAGAGGCCCAGTCGTCGAAGCTCAAATGACCACGACCTCTCAGAGCTCTCCCCACGACCGTGCTCGCCCTTGCTTTCGCCCGGCAACGTCCGCGATTTCGGCTACCCGGGATCGTCATCTATGCACCAAGACCCCAGTACCGCCCGCAGAAGCAGTAAGAGCAAGGTAAAGGGCAAAGCAGTAGCATATACAGATGAAGTGGTATTCCCGCCCATGAGCGTCGTAGACCGGATGCGTATCTATCGCGCAGGTCAAGCAGCGGCGAAAGAGAGGGAAAGACAGCAAACTGCCCACTGGAGGAGCGCGCTTAGCAGTGGTGCGCCATCATGGAAACCGCCCTCGCCGTCCGACTTCCGCGACGACAACGATAGCCAAGGTCAGGGCCAGGGCCAGGACCAGGACCAGGTCCAAGGGTACGGTTCCCAGGTCAGCTTTGTGGGGAGCATGCTCACGCCCTCATTAAGTGACCGTGGAACCATGGACATGGACACCACCTTCCGCACGATTGCTAGGCGCGAAAAACAGATGCAGAAGGAAATACAAAAGCTGCTTGATGCACAAGGTGAAGCCCTGGAGCAGGCTGCCGACGGGGCGCCTCCTTTGAGCCTTGACGGCGCGAGCGAAGCCGGGAGTACCACGCCACGCGGTACTTCCCGCGGATCTGCGTCGTCGAACTCCTCCTCGCCACAGCGCTCCCGATCGAATCGACACGGCTACGATCCTCACTTACCCGTCATTCCCGTCCGCCAGCCGAAGCCCAAACCGCCGTCGATCCGGCAAATCCGCCACTCGATCGCCAGATCCGTATCCATGCTCGCTGACCTCAAGGCCGAGGAGGACGCGTATATACACTCTGCTCTATCGGCGCGGAAAACAGCCCTAGCTAAGTTAACGAAGTTGTCCAAACAGCACAAGTCCATCTCGGCCGACCTGCGTGCGTTGGAATCAAACCCGGAGGATCCACTGCGCAGGGAAATGAAGGGGATGCAGGATGAGTACCACGGCGTGTGCAACGACATCGCTGAGTACGAGCAGAAACTACGTGCTTTGAAACGGACCAAGGGCGAATTGGAGCATAGGATGGAAGAGGTACGGAGCGAGCGCGAGAGCGGGCTCAGTGGGTACCGGGGTGCGTTACGCGAAACAGAGCGTGGCATTGGGGAGATGATGAAAAGGCCGGGTGTCAAGGTGCTCGAGGTGGATTCTGGTGTGGATTTCGACGTTTATGTTCCCGCGAACGGCAATAACGGAGAGACACCCGATGTCAGTCAGGGGGGCAACAGCATCATGGAACGCCGACTCAGCGGTCAAGAATTCATGCGTCTCCGCCCAGAGCGCAGAACCCTAGGCATGGCGCGCGACTGGTGGGAGGGCGAAGTGTCACTCCTCGAGCGGCGCAAAGAAGCCGTGGACCGGGAACGCACCGCCCTCGAGGAAGGAGGCGAACTTTGGGCGCGCGTCATGCAACTCATAGCCGAGTACGAGCACCGGCTTGCCGCCGCGCTGAACGGCTCGAATACCCCTGGCTCGCCGCCCGCGACGGCGTTCCCGAAGCCAGAGAATGAAAGGGCTAAGGAGGAGCACATGTTCCGCGCGCAGTACCAGGATCTACGGGAGACGCTCAAGGAGCTCGAGAATGCGCTGGAGATGGCAGAGGGGAGGGGGTGGAATTTGTTGGTGGCGGCTATTGGGGCGGAACTGGATGGGTTTATGGTGGGAGAGATGATTTTGTATCAGTTGATGCAGGAGAGGGGAATTGAGTATGAGTGCGACGATTTGTTGGGGGATGAAGAGACAAAGGATGGCCATGGTGGAAGTTTGGTCGACGTACGGGAAAATGGGGCAAGTGATGGTGGGAATCACTTGAATGAGCAAGGGCATGAGCATAAGCATGTGCAGAAGGGCTTGAGCACAGAAGAGGAGGCGCTTACGGGCAGTGTGGTCCGGCGATGGACGGATCCCGACCCTGACTTGGATCCCTCCACAGACACACACGAGAAGCCACAGCCTAAGGATAACAACCTCGAGAGCCAGCGTGGACACATGAGTCCTACGAGTCACGACCTCCTTTGCAGCGATGAGCACGGTCAACACAAGGAAGAGAGCGATAACGAAGTTCCTCCCGGCTTGCTCGGCGAGGTGCAACACGTCGAGGAGAGCGAGGACGAGCATGAACACGAACATGAGCACGAGCATGAGCACGAGCATGAGAACGAGGTCCCGGTTGAGTTTTTGAGTATGCATGGGGGATAGCAGGATTTGAGAAACATTCAGTAGGGTGCTGGGTAGAGTGGGGATGTTGATTAAGACGAACGGAACTGTTTGGGTGAGGTGGTGTACTATGGATAGGCACTTGCATGACTTTGATATGAGTATGAGGATGGGTGGTCTGTTTGCTTACGAGAAGTGAAGTCATTTGCCGCCGTGCCAAGGTTGTTAGCTGGCTGAGGTGTTGTTGTCTTGGACTTGAAACGAATATTGACACCACAGGGAACATGTTTACGGTCACAATAGAGTACTCTGTGCCTGACTCATTGGGGTAGCTGGCCTGGGTGATCTCAGAGTTGTGATCTGTGTCCCGAGTGTTTGTTGGGTTATGCCATCTTGGGCTTCATGCGAATATCCATAACATGGGAGGCCTGTCTTGATGTAAAAATGGGGAACACGCGTTGTCTGTATAGGGGAACATGCTTTGCATCTTATAGTGAGCAATTAAGTAATGGTCTTTTAAGGTATTATCTTCGTTTCCATCAAAGTTTGCAGATCAACAGATCGTTCCAATTTGAGTTTTGCGGCAGAATTAGCAAACAGCTGGGTATGGACCTGGGTTCCACAGTTACCAGAATGGCAGACACTGCATTGCCTAGATGCTGATTCGATGCTGTGATACTCAAATAGAGCATGTGTCTATGCACCGTCTAACCTGAAAGCCCATCTCAAGATCGAGCACTGTGATGCCACATCCACACGAGAGCTAGCTAAGGTACGTATGTGGGTATGAGAAGAGGCTACTGCCGATCCGAAATACGTTATTCACAAATGCAACATGTATCGTGGAGCCGTTTTATCAAGTAGTAGTAGTATGTGTTGAGGCGATTTGTCGTCGGCCGACTGGAGCTCGGCAATTCTCGGCTAGTCGTTCTGGGCACTAAGGCCTAGATGCGCACACATTAAACCACGAAGATGGACGCAAACCAATGAATTGTGTATTTCATTCTCCTCCCGCTGAAATAAGTAGAGAGTTCAAGTCATTCATCTGGCGAGTAGTTCAAACAGCCACGAAAAAACACCATGGTTTAAACCAGTTCCCAGTCCAACGCCGATTCGGCCGTACAATGCATACTACTCGGTTGCGATTCCGGCTTCCCCCGAGGCTGCTCATTTCAGTGGCCAAAAGTCAATCTGCACCTTAATCTTCTTCATATTTTCCTTCTGTCCAAAATCATCATCAGGGACGTCTTGTTGCGACTGCCCCAGGCTTCCTCTCGAGCTCACCCTAAACTCCGTCCTACCTAGTTCGTTTGAACCAGCCGCTCTGTCCCGCCACGGCGATTGACGTATCCATCACCCATTCGCCGGTTCCCAGATACATCTCAATCCATTTGTTGGCCTGCTTGTTGTCGCCAGTGACTGTATTCGGTTCGAAACTAGGGCTACCCGATCCCAAGGGGGTGGTTGTTAGTCTTTCTGCTCTTGTTCATCTTTTGCCTCTGTCCTCTGCCCAAATCGGCCCTATACCGTCACAGCCTCCCGGGACCCAGATCGGATTTCGGACATTAATGGATGGGAGGCGGGAGAGTTGAACACTCACGTCAAGCCGCTCGTTCGTCTTACTCCGGCCAATATGGTGGAGACTAGAGGTGGAGGTCAGTCGGAGGTCGATGTCGTCTTGTCGGTGTGATCTCGAGACCGAAGAAAGGCATCACATACTGAGGACGGCGTCAAAGGCGTAATGGGCTAATCGTCCGACCTTTCCCCAGAGACCAAATGTCAGCAAGTTGAGGAACTGAGGGACGCGTTCAAATTCAGCATCTTGAGCGACAGCTGGAAGCTCGAGAAACGAAGAAGGGGGGAGATGCAGCGGTATGCGGCGCAGCGGGTGGTTACTCACGACCATCTTGATTGGTTTTTGCGGGTGCTAACGTCTTTGCAGAGCACAGTGTCTGTCTTCTCTCAATGATCTCGTCCTTGCCTCGGTGTTGATGGGCTGATTTGTTTGGAGAGCGGATGGATGAATTCGGGCCGCTTCAAAGTTGGTTCGCCTGGGTCATGCGACTGATCGAGGTGATGGCTAGCTAGGGTGGATACATTTCGCGGCTTCCTAGGCCGATAAATGGAGCCTGTCTTGGCCTGGTCAGGTGATTACCATACCATCTTATCTTATCGTGTGACAGCATTGCTTCAAGACACCCCAACACCTGTCCCTTGGTGGGGTGACAGGAGCCCGGCCAAATTCTTGGCTTGTTGTCTCCAACATCGGCGCCGGTAGCGACGGCGTGGGCTTCTCGGACATTTACCATTGGCAGCGGCGGGGCTGCCCTACGACATGAACAGCTGCTGAGAGTTTCGGGATCTATCCCAGTCTCGGGTTATTAAATTCTTTTCGCTGAATTCCCATTGCTGCTTCGGCTCCCACCCTGCTGGCAGCCAATGGGATTGTTGAGGCGCTTGCGAAAAAAAAAATGCCCACACACCTCCTGCTTGGCATTCGTCGCCTTGTGTCTCATTGAGGGGCATTGTGCGTTTTCCTGAGCTTTGCGGAGCTTCCCCCAAGTCCATAAGATAATCCCATTCTCCCCTTCTCACAGTCTTCGACAATTCCCGCAATCCTATCCTCTCTCAAACAAACCAGTTTCGCCAGCCTTTGACGATTCGAACGAGGCCTTACCACAAATGTCAGTACAGTTCGCTGCTTTTCTTATCAGGCCTTGCCCCGCGCAATCGCAAAAAAGTGATGTGTGGGAAACATAGTTCAATCTGAAACTCGGCTTGGAATGGCGGTAAGGTTGTCAGACAAAAGTCACGGCGACCAGAGAGGCAGGAACTCCTGATGTCTGGTGTTTCGAAGGCAATGACCACCCAGCCGTGATACGCGATTTTGCAGCTGCTGTACAAAAGTCTCTTCGTCCCACGACATCCGATCGTTTGGACTTCGAACATAAGCATCTACCTGTGTACGAACAAACGCTGACCTCTGCAAAGAAAAACCCCAACAGACATCCTAAGCCTCGACTCCCTCCACAACCCTACAAAAGACGATGGCACACCACCGCAACCAGTCCGTGGCTGCCAATGCCCTCGACCACCTGTCGACCGGCGGCGCCATCGAATGGCTCGCCAATCTCGATACTGCTTACAAGCCCGAGAGGAACCTGCGAAGGACATCCATCATCTGCACAATCGGTCCCAAGACCAACTCGGTCGAGGCCATCAACAAGCTGAGGACTGCGGGTCTCAACGTGGTCCGCATGAACTTCTCCCACGGATCGTACGAGTACCACCAGTCCGTCATCGACAATGCCCGCGCCGCCGAGAAGGCCCAGCCTGGCCGTCAGATCGCCATTGCTCTTGACACCAAGGGTCCTGAGATCCGTACTGGCAACACCAAGAACGACGAGGATCTTCCCTTGAAGGCCGGCACCATCATGAACATCACCACTGATGAGAAGTACGCTACATCTTGTGACACTGAGAACATGTAAGTCTAATTTCTATCTCCTGACCGCTTCACATCTACTAATACGTCTTCCAGGTACGTTGACTACAAGAACATCACAAAAGTCATTGACGTTGGCAAGATCATCTTCGTGGATGACGGTATCATTGCCCTCGAGGTCCTCGAGATCGTCGATGACAAGACCATTAAGGTCAAGGCCAAGAACAACGGCTTCATCAGCTCCAAGAAGGGTGTCAACCTGCCCAACACGGATGTCGATCTACCCGCTCTGTCCGAGAAGGACAAGAACGATCTCCGCTTTGGTGTCAAGAACAACGTCGACATGGTGTTCGCCTCTTTCATCCGCCGAGGCCAGGATATCAAGGACATTCGTGAGGTTCTTGGCGAGGACGGCAAGCACATTCAGATCATTGCCAAGATCGAGAACAGGCAAGGTCTGAACAACTTCAAGGAGATCCTTGACGAGACCGATGGTGTCATGGTGGCCCGTGGTGACCTGGGTATCGAAATCCCCGCCGCTGAGGTGTTCGCCGCCCAGAAGAAGCTCATTGCCATGTGCAACACAGCTGGCAAGCCCGTTATCTGCGCCACGCAAATGCTTGAGTCCATGATCAAGAACCCCAGGCCCACTCGTGCCGAGATCTCCGATGTTGGCAACGCCGTCACGGACGGTGCCGACTGTGTGATGTTGTCCGGTGAGACTGCCAAGGGTTCCTACCCCAACGAGGCCGTTCACGAGATGCACGAGGCTTGTCTCCAGGCTGAGAACACCATCCCGTACGTACAACACTTCAACGAGCTGTCCACGTTGGCCAAGCCTCCTGTGAGCATCGTCGAGTCTTGCGCCATGGCCGCCGTCCAGCAGTCCCTCCGTATCAACGCCGGTGGTATCCTCGTCCTGTCGACCTCCGGTGACAGCGCCCGTCTGCTCTCCAAGTACCGTCCCGTCTGCCCCATCTTTATGGTGACCCGCAGCGCGACCACTTCCCGCAACGGTCATCTCCACCGTGGCGTCTACCCCTTCTATTTCCCTGAGGAGAAGCCTGACTTCACCAAGGTCAACTGGCAGGAGGACGTCGACCGCCGCATCAAGTGGGGTATCTCCAATGCGTTGGACCTCAACGTTATCAGCCGTGGCGACACTATCGTGGTTGTTCAGGGCTGGAAGGGCGGCATGGGCAACACCAACACGATCCGTATCGTCAAGGCCGACCAGCACCTCGGCATTGGTCAGCTTGAGTAGGTGCAGATTATGATGTCATGGGACACGGAAAGGAGTTCTATAGGTTATCACGGACACACAAAACATCACGAACTGATTGGTTGGCTGGAAAGAAGGCTGCTGAAACGAAATACCACTTGCATCATTAATAGACGAACTTTTCCTTTTTCCCACCGAGGAAACTCTAGAATAAAATAAATTATTCCTTAGATTTATTGCCCTGTTTTGCGTCATGTTTTGCATGTAGCTGAAGTAACCCTTGTTGAACCCGTGGGCGTGTGGACCACTCCACTGCGCCTGCTGTCGTAGATGTTCAACTTCTAACAGGGTCGTTGTAGTTGCCCGAGCTGAAGGATAGGCCAGCCCAGCCCAGCCCGTCGATAAAGCACCTAGCCGTCTTGAAAGTTCCGAGTCGGGTGGCATGGAAGCACTGCCAGTAGGTATCTTGATGTTATGGTGTCGTTCTTGCTTAGCCGGATATTACATCGGTGCCTTCATGCATTACGATGATGTCCTTGGTCAAGTCATGATTCGGCGTCCTAAAGGTCGGATGATCTCCCAATGCGCACGCCATGCGAATGACCATACCAGCAACCTAGATCAAATAACCAGCTTTAAATGAACAGATGCTTAAGGGTATTACATCGCGTGGGAGACGACATCACTTAGGCCACACTGTAACCGTCGTTCGCAGGATGAGTAGCATTGACTACCTGGGCAGTAATATCAATGCAACGTGGTATCCTAGTAGCCTTCCTTCCTGACTTGCTAACTGCCACTTGTAGGATGAAAAAAGAACAAAGTTCGTGGTGTCCTAAGAGCTTTCACTGGCTGACTACCTCATGAAAGAAAATCAATCGCAGAGGGGTATGTCGCGCTGGTCACCCGAGCTCCTGAACTCCTGAACCTGAAACTCCGTCCAACATACATCGCTCTTGTGGCTGACCCTAAGAGGAGTTAATAGACCTTGGCCAGACATCAACTGATAGTAGACCAAAAGTCGCTCGTATGGATGATCATCGAAAGGAATGATTGGACATGGATCAAGATTCCATGCTGTTCACCTGTCAGGAGTGTGACAGACCCTAGACCAAAAGATGCTTCTGTAGATGCTCTTTAAGGGTAGTAAAAGATCCTAGCCAAAAGTCGACCACATGCTGAAACGCCGTAAAAAACGCCATGTCGTCCTATAACCAAGGGAAGAGTCCAGAGCGAAGAGAACATGGACACCACCGAAACACTTCAGTGTCTATGTCCTCATCTTGATGTCCGTCAGCCAACCCCAAAGATTTCCACTCCCTAACGGATACCAGGCCCGCCTCCGTGACCACTCCTATGTTCACCACGCCCACTGTTGATCAAGCACCTCTCCTTATCAGCCTTTCGCTTCACCTCCTTCGCAGCCCTAGCCTTTCCCTCCTCGATGTGGTAGTTCAATCATTTCCCAACATGTGGATACACTGGAACGCCGTCTTACCCGCCTTATTCTTGAGGTCGTAGCTGCCTTGCCAAAATAACTCCGAAAAACTTGGATCCACCGTTGGGCCCGTTGAGGAGTTCGAAGAGTGGCGTGCAGCCATCGACATCGGTACCATTAGCATTACGCCTGCTTGCACTAGGCGCCCGAATCGCTCTGGATCATTAAAATGTCTGGCGTCTATGCTAGTGCCATAGAAGTAAGGTTGTCTCAGTATCATGTGTAGGGCGATTAGGGCGTCTTGCCGTCCATGGGGCTGCAGGTATTGGGACTGACGGTTCCAGCGTCGATGATGACCTTGATGAGGTTGAGCCAGCTGTCTTCAGTGTGCGGCTTGGTGAGGCACTCGCGGAGGACGGACTCGCCGGTGATGGTGTTTAACGCGTTGGCACACCGGGATCGATGAGCATCTTGGCGGTCTTCAGCTGGCCGTCGTTGAGGACGTTGGACTTCTTGAGACCGTCGAACTCGTTGATGAGCTTGCTTAGGGGCTGTCGAAGCTATCTTTCATGGGCTATGCCTCCTTTGAGTAACATCTCGATCATTCGAGAGCAAGGATTGACGCTGTCGATGATCAACCAGATGGCGTTCATCTTACGGTTAGGGTGCACTGCGGCTGGGGTGGGAATGGGCAGTTTGTTCGCGTCGGCACCGTGGTCGAGTAGCTACTGGGAGGTACATTTTTACTCGATATTGTTGGCATGCTTTTTATCAGGGAAGAACTTGCATGAGATGATGGCATGGTGGATCGGAAAGAGGAAGAACCGTTTATACGGCATTTGTCAAACTCAGTCTGGTTGACGTCGGCGTCATTTTCACAGAGGAATTCGAGAACTTCACAGCTCCCAGATCTGATATAGACGATGGCCGGGCTCTGACCATAGACATCATATACGCCGCGGTTGCAAATGAAGACACGGTTCAGCACTTTGGCTCCGCTCTACTGCATTACGCGTTTAAAGATGACCGGCTTGTGCCCTTGCTAGCGTAGAGGAGAGACCAGTAGTCGAAGTACTCCTTGTCGCGTTTTTAGAGCGCTCATTCAGATCTATACAGAAGCTCTTGGTCACTTTGGCGAGCGCGTTCAGCGAAGGCTGGTCAAGGAAAGGGATGAGCCTATAGACGAGCTCGACAGGTAGATCGCTCATGCCAGCATAAGCGTTGTTGGTTCTGCCTCAGGAGGCATCACTGCTGTTTACAGCTTTCGCCATGGTAATTCAATTGTGAGGTGACAAAGAATTGTCAGGAAGGACTGGTGGTTGGCCTTTTGGCGGAAGATGCAAAAACAACCACACGCCTCAATCACTCCAACAGGTGAGGACCGTGAGTGATCAACCCAGGAAGGGTAATGGATCAAATATATGAAATACGAGATTGAGAAACTCAGGAAGGCGTGATGGAATGAGGAAGAGGAGCAGGAATGATGTTAGCAAGTTTGGACTCAACCTGCAAGTTGTGAGTGGGTAAAGTTGAAAGTGGTCCGGTGCAAAAATGGGGGGTAATCGCCGCGCCAGCCAGCCGCTTCTGGGATTATCCCGATTGGCCAGGTGTCCGTTTCCCCTCCTGGAAAGGGCAAATAATAAATCCCCACAAAATGGTCAGGTGCGCGGTCTCACTTACATGCACGGCAATGTTTACCTTACCCCGTAGCAATCAAATAACACTGCTGATTTGCTATTGGCTTCCGCGGGAATAGGCACGGAGGGGAAAATTGTCTTCGTCTTATTGTTCCCATGAATTGTTGGTCATTCGAATTATACAGAATTGCTTTGCCCCTGCATTAATGACGGTCAACTGCGGCTCACAATGAGGTTACTTTCAACTCTATGTAGGACTCCAACCACCGGGGGCTGTATTGGTACTATTCACAAATGTGCGTGGGAGACCAATTCCAAGTTGGCTCCGAGAGGTCCCTAATCCTACAATCCATGCCTGTCTGCCTTGTACCCCTCCATACTTGAGGCCACAGCTCCCACACTCTCCACGATATGCACAAACCCAAGCTTCTTCCGTTTCTAATTTAGGATGCTTCACATTTGTCACCGAGCAAGCACGGTAAGTACTTAAGCAGGTAGAACATTAGACTACTTGTTTGCATCACAGAATTATCTACCCTTTCTGCGAAATTCTGCTTCGAGCAGATCAGGCAGTGGCTCATATCCAAAGGCTTTGAGAAGTTCCGGACTCCCTGGAACCATGATCCAGTATGTCTGAATATCAACCGTCACTGCGTGCTCTTCTGCATACGATCCACGACCCCAACCATGGTGCAGGTCACGAAGATCATGATCGTCTGAGATATCATATATGTAGTCATCTTCAAGAAAGACCTCTTTGGGACAGCCTTCGAATATATCTTGAGAGGATGGAGGGTTGTGCCAGAGATAAATCCTGGGACCCGCAAGTAAAAGAGTTCGGAGGGAAGTCAAAAATGAAAATTCTTCTAGACTTGCTGAAGATGTTCATCGGTCTCGGTGTTCAGCACGTTTTCAATTTCCAGCAATTCTTTGCCCGTGCTAAGTGGTTGTGGAGTCTAGCGACGGTCGATCTCGATTGAATTGACGAAACCATTTCCCTCTTACTGTGTCTTTGCCCCTAACGTTTATACCATTGAGCTTCCGCATCCTGAAGTGGACATTAATTACCAGTTTTCCAGTTCTTCATCAGAAGCGCGGTGAAATCAGAGCTCCTGATCGCCAACCTCCCCAGAGTGCTCAGCACGCGCTCTCTCAACTTCTTGATGCGCCTTGCGATGAACTGCCTCGAAGTCAATGGCGGTGGCGCTTGATCCAAACACTTTGCCACCTGGATATTAGCAATCTCGTAGAAATAGCCTGATAATAGGACTACTTACCTTCTTCCATCTCCTCCAGAGACTTTCCCTTGGTCTGAAAAAATTATGAGTACTCTAATCGTTGGTAAATGAGATATAAGAATACTCGCCTCTTTAACGACGAACCATGCAAATATCACCAACGACCAGTTGAAGATGCTGAACATCAGGAAGGTACGCCAGCCGATATTCCTGATTGCGTATGGGGTGATTTGGGAGAATACGAAGTTGAACCTGACAGTGGAACTGGGTGAGTCTCGTTATCAGGGGGGGGTATCGTAGCATGACTTACAGCCATTGGGTAGCAGTGCCGACTTTACGATAGTGAATTAACTTAATGTATTGGAACTTCTGGAGTAGATCTACTCACCTGCAACGCCGGCCTCACGTAGTCTTGTGGGGAATATCTCACCCATGTAGAGCTAATGAAATAATCTTAGCCGCACATGCTCAGTTGGAAACACGTTCTGACTTACCCAAGGGACAGGACCCCACGAGCAGTTGAAACTCACTACAGGTAATGGTCAGCGTCAATGTCTGGCAGGCCACGAACTCTTGGCAAATACTCACTAGCTTCCAAGTACACCATAGCGACAGAGGCAGCTCCAGTGCTCGTCCACCCCTGACCAGCCTTCGGAGGATGCGTGGCAGTCAAGCAGGCAATAATCAGCATATAAGCCCCCATGAGGAAAGCCCCAGCCAGAAGCGACCCACGGCGTCCAATTCTCTCAATCAGGAACAGAAGAAAGAACAAGCACGAGACAACTTTCACGACGCCGAAAAAGCCACTGATGAGAAGTGCCTGGTCGCCTGCACCAACGGCCTGGAAGATCTGAGGCGCGAAATAAGCCAGGGATGTGTTGCCGGTTAGTTGAGCGCCTTTAAGCATGTTAGCATCATTTACCATGGCCATGGTGGCGTGCGTTCGATATACCAATCTGTATCATAACCACAAGAGCGAAGCGGAAACGGTTCGCGGGCAGTAAGACTTCCTTCCAAGTGAAGCCTTCATTTACTCGTTCTTCCTCATGGATACCTGCCATGATCTCGGCAAATCTGATTCGTGATATCAGCACAAGTCTTCCGCGCTTGAGACGCGCTTGAGACAGGAACACCATTATTCTTCTTGCACCTCTGTGTTGTTTCCTCCTCGCACCCAAATGAGCGACTCCCGAGCCTGCTCGATCTTGCCCTTCTTAGCTAGCCACCTCGTGCTCTCTTTGGTGAGCAGCATGCCAAGCCCAAGAAGGCCACCGGGAACCAATTGAAGACCAATGGGGATCTGCCATTGCCTTGTGACTGGACCCACGTGCTTCGCGACGGCCTGCGAGACAATTCAGCTTGTGACACTTCATGATGATGATAGTGGCCTCGTCTGAGCTTGATGGATGACAAGTGCTTCGGAGGCAGGCTCAGTCAGACGCACATAATCAATCCAGTACGATGTCATGACCCCCAGCGTAAAGAAGAACTGGAACATCGACCCAAGAGAACCACGGATATGCTTCGGCGCCATTTCTGCACTATACATCGGGATGATGACGGTCGCCATGCCAACACCGATGCCACTAATCACACGTGCTGCATAAAAAGCTCCCAGCGATTGCGTATTGACGACCTGGATAACACCGCCGATGTTGAAAATGACGGATGCTAGAACAATTGACCATCGACGGCCAAAACGGGCTGTGAATGGCCACACGAAGAAACAGGAGAAGAAAGCTGGATGGCATTAGCGTCACGGGTTCGGAATCGGTGGTGGTAGCAAAAGGGAGATGCACCTCCAGCTTGAAGCAGACTTGTCGCATTGGAGCTCACGGTCGCTCTTTGCGCGGCACCGAAGCCAAAGTCCTTCTGGAAAGATACCAGAGTAAGGACACCCCCAACCACTCCCGTATCGTATGCGAAGAGGAACGATCCGATGCAGCATAGAGCTACGAGGTACGTTGCCCGGAAGTTGCCCAAAGACTTCCCCATGTCCAACCACGGGGTCTGTTCAGTGTTTTGAAAGTATGTCAACTCCTACCTCTACGTTGATGAGCTCGCTTCTCACAGTCGCTGGTGGGAATAGGGGGCGATTGGTGATGCAGAGTTGAGGCGAGCAATGAACAGCATTAGGAAAACTGTCAAGTTATATGAACGCAACGGATCCTGCACATGGAGTAGCAGGCCAAGAACCAAGAACGAGGATGGCCGCTATTAAATCACATTCGTCGAAATCCTGGCCCGGTCAGTTGGAGATGTTGGAGAGCCTGCATGGATGGCTAACCAGGGGGGAATGGACCGACAGCTGAACCAAGCCCATCCCAAATGCACAATGGCTTGGCGTGAAGAAAGAATATGGGGGTTACACAATCGATATACTCCGACATAAAAGCAGTCCTTTTCCTCTCCACAGTGGTGACACGGATCATGCACCGCGAGTAAATCAGCCCAACGGCCAAGTCTTCATTCACTTATAGAGCTCGGTGAGATGACTTGATGCAGTCAACCAACGTGTGTCATATCCTTGTGGACGCGCCTTTTGGAGGGTACTTCTCGGGCCTTTCAGTCAAGGCAAGTCGGGATGCAATTGTGTCATCCAGTCTAATAATGGCGCGTTCCAGATCCCTGTCATTGTAGGAGGATCTCTGGTGGGAGGCAGACCTGAAAGTCGTGAACTTGCTATTCGATTACCACCAACGTTTCATGACGAAAGACGCAATGTGAGGAATTATTCAGAGCTTGTAGTTCCCATTGCGAGCATGATTCCAGCCTGCGATGTACTATCCTAGACAACACGAAGGCCGTAGCAGCCCCAAAGTCCTTTACCCCAGAGATCTGTCAATTGCCCCGCCCCGCTTCTCGTGCATAATAAGATGACTAGCGCGAGGGTGGATGTCATCAAGACGATCAGTAATGACGGCAACCGGTCTATGCGTGAGCTGGTTGGTCAGTTCATCGATTGCGTTATTGCGCCCCTGTTCGAACGATCACCAAGCGGCCGTTGATACAGAGACGTTGAACCGTGCAGCCATCTAGGGCCATGCGCTCATTGCAGAGACTTTCCTCTCGTCTGTCCTTGGGGTCTTCTTGTATGAGTTGGTTTTTTTGTTCCTCGAAAAACATGTCGACACCAACTGCTAACACCGCCGATGGACAATGTATTGCGGCCGCTACAGCCCGTTGAGGGAGCTAATAAGGTCCAGAAACTGGCGACTGGTGGCGGGCCAGTAGGTCCTTCGAATCAGCGACGTTAGTATTAGTCACCCCTGTCACATACGTCCTCCAAGTCGAATTTCCGTGTTTATTATACTTCAACCCTTTCGAATGAGGATGAACTTACTGAACGTACCATGACCACATTGATCTCACTGCAAATAGATGATGTTTCAACTGTCGCCATGACCACTGACCAGACCCACATGTACTAACTATCACTTCATTAGGGACATGTCTCCAATGCCGAGTCAGAAAAGTCCGCTGCGATGGAAGACAAGACGTCTGTCGGAACTGCGAACGCCTCAAATTCGAATGCTCGTTCCAACAAACACCGGAGAAATCATCCGGACAGTATGTCCATAAATTACCTGAACGTCGCCGGCGGATGCAAGCCTGTCTCTCCTGTCGCAGCGCCAAGATGAAATGTTTAGGTGAAATGCCTGAGTGCTCCAACTGTGTGAGAAAGGGGCTGGTATGTTCATATCCCGGGTCGAAGAAAGGAGAGCCGGGGTCGTCTACGTCTGGGGACTCGATCCATGGACAAGATCACGTCACATCACCACGGGAGCGTGACAGTGGTTTGAGTGATGCTGACAGACCGAGAGACGATGTGCCCCTGGATCACGATACGCTGATCAAGTTGGTCAAAGACTATTTTCGGCACCTGTACCCTCTACCGTCTTACGCATTCCTACACCAGACGACAGTCACGGAGCGGTGTCATGATAGGACGATCAACCAGCCGCTCAAGTTGGCGATATGTGCCATCACCGCCTTGCAGTTGCAACGCACTACTCTGAGCCATGATTTATGGGTCCAACAAGCGGAGCAAATGATTCTTCGACAACTAGGACATCCTTCCATCTTCCACTTGCAGGCCCTTCTGCTGGTCATCCGCTATCGGATAGAAAGCGGCTCATTCTCTAATGCGTTTATGCTGGCTGCTTTGGCGGGCAGATCTGCTGTGGCCCTCCGGTTGAACTATGAGCGATCAGAATTGTCTCCGTTGGCTCAAGAAGCACGAAGGCGACTGTTCTGGTCGTTGTTCTTGCTGGACGACTTCTTCTGTGTGGGGATCAGGGAGTTCGAACTCTGTCCCCGGGAAACAATACGGCTTCAGCTTCCTTGTGATGAGGAGCTCTTCGAGGCAGGGCAGCCCTGCCGCACTGGCAGTCTCCATCAGCATCCTCTTGAAGTTCCTGCAACGATAGGGCTGCGCGGCGCGTTTCTACGACTGGTGGCCATCAGAAGAGAAATTATGAGGTGACACTACACCCACCATCCGTTCCAAACTAGCACGCACTAACCAAGACTCAGATTCATCCGCCGCGTCGGCCTCCGAGAAATCGAACCCAGCTTCATCAGCGACACCATCCATGTCTTCGAACAACAACTCAAATCCCTGTACTCAGGTCTCGGCCACACCGAGCTGTACTCCGTCTCCAACCTAACGACCTGCAAGCTCCAAACCCAATTCGTCATGCTCCACGCCTCGTGGCGCCAGTGCTTCTGCGACCTTTACCGCCTCTTCCTCAACGGGTACACCGAGGCGGCCCCTCCCCCTGTTTTTGCCATAGTCCAGCCTCGTAATCGGGATGTGATGCAAAGGCAGTGTGTTGAACATGCTGAGGATATTTTGCAGATTGTGGAGGATTTGTGGAATTATGGGGATAGGAATGCGCTGCTGGAGAGGGATACGGCGGTTTGTGGTTTTGAGAGCGCAAGAATTATACTGTTTGTTGCTGGCGACGGAGCAAGTAATGCGGCAGCCACAGAGCTAGCAACTATGAAGGCGCAGTTGTGCTTAGATCTGATGACGCATTATTTCGCGAGTTCAGCTTGGGCTACGCCTATGGTAAGGGCGGTTTGATTCCATGGGTGCTGAAACTGGCTAACGTATTGCAGAGGAATAACCTAGAGCGTATCATTCGGGATTGTTCGGCTCGTCTTGCTCAACACAAAGAAGTTGCAACGGAACCGGCTCCGCCTGATCCTCCGCCGTCTTCCAAAATATCTCAGTACGCCAACTCGCGACAGAAACTCTCAGTGCACAGTCTGCTGCTGCAGTCCAATTTTGTTGATGACAGCGAAGAAATCACACTTCCTCCCCTAAGATACACCAGGGAACCTCAGGAAGGCTATGGTGACCTTGTAAACAAGGCCGGTTCATGGGCCGATAGCCGGGTGATGAACTTGCCCTCATTGATGGGAAATAGAAACCCAGAGACGGCTTCAGGGCCCATCGCGAATGCAGTGACGTATGATGAAGACGACGGGTATAGCAGTTCGGGGCCGGCTTTCAATCCCTGGATGGGGTTCCCGGGTAAGGACGATGTGTATGGTGTATGTGGGCTTTCAGGGGATCTTAATGAGGACTTTTGATGAACTTTTGTACACCTATACATTAATTATTGGGTATGGTTGTGTTGCCATGCAATGTTGTTGAGGGACACACAATAGAAATGAAGTGTATTATGGTGAGGAAAGAAAGCTAGGCTAGTGTTGTTGGTCTGGAACTAAGTAGTGGTGGTGGCTGCGCAGGTACCACCTCTGACAAATGTGTATACAATCAATGGAATATAAGTCTTCAGCTTCCTATGCATTTGAAGGTTACTCAAACAGAAATCGAACTACAGAGTGGACATTGCTCATCCCGTCAGAAATGTTCGCACGTCACTGGCGACTGGTGCATATTGTAGTAAAACTTGCACCGTGATTCAACCTGACAACAGTGACTCCCGACTTTTCCATACATTCCATTTCAAAGAGAAGCCTCTGTACCAAAGCTGCTCATAAATCAAGCGAGCACTCTCCCTTTTACCATATTCAACAAGAACTACTCTTTATATCAAGTAATTTCGCTTCTGCTCAAGCCAACAACCTCGTGCCCTATCCCCAACTCTCTTGATCCACCAAAACAAGACCATGTCCATACTTCTCGATATTCAATTCTGGGCAGCCTTTGGCACTGTCCTCGCCATCCTAGGCGGTGCATTGATTCTCATCCACTTAATTCTCCGACTGCTATCCCGGGCCGAGAGAAATCGCAACGACGACACTAGTCGAGGACGCTATGACACTGCATCAAGGCCCTGGATGGGTAGGTGCAGAAGAACAGGGCATCTTTTGCCTATCTCGGAGACTGACGCCGAGTCGGCATTCGACTACACGGATGGAGACAGCTAGTCACTATCAATAATTGAACGCATCGCTGTCGTAACCCACATTCTGCTGTCAACTCACCTCCCCTGATACACGCATGACATTACATACATTGCTATGAAAAAATGCACCTTGCCTCCGTCCGTGTCCAAGCATCCGCGAAGTGGAGTTGATAAGGACATATACGAGCCTGCAGGCCATCAATCACCAATCCACAAATTTATTTACCTACTACCCGGCATGTGACCATCCCTCCTGTGGTCCCCTCACCTGCTATATGAAGCCTCTCCTTTTATCGTTCTCCAAATCTTCTGTTATTCCCCATCCACTCATCATCGCTACCGCCAACACGGTTACACATACCTACTAGCAGTACCTTTCGTGCAACACAACATATCTGCAGGAGTAACCCAATCCAGTTTGTCATACAAATTCCTCGGACGGGCCTTTCCCCATATTATAAACCCGAACCCTGCCCACCTTCGCTTCCTGAAGCATCCATCCCTGAAAGCAGCTAACAATTAATTAATAACGGCTACCTTAAGCTCGTCATCAACGGCTTCCCGCAGTCAACCTGTCAGAAATCCGGTTAAAGCATCTGACAGGCCACTCAGCCCACTAGCCAGTATTTATTGGTCCACTTTGCCGAGGGGTGGAAGAAGCGACGGCGGTCACGAGGGTGTGAGGGTGGCGGCTTCATTGGCGCCCGTCGCCGCATACTTGCCACCGGTGCGCCTGTCAGGGGTCAAGGAGGCATCAGACAGGTCGATGAGTACGCGAAGAAAAACAGAAAACAGGGGTGCGACGTCATGATGGAAAAAGCATCGGCCGTCTGGGCCTTCCTGTCGTTCATGTTCGCAGCTGGATCTATGGTCGCCGTGTACATCTTGTGCGGCTGGAGCTATCGGGCTGTGGTGTCACAAGGGGAAGAAGCAACGCGCTGCAGTAGTACACTGGGGCCGAGGCAGGCGCAAACGAAAAGACCGAGTCGGCCGGTGTGGTACCCATGGATTAATTGAAGGATAATATTGGTGGAGGGTATTGACATTCGTGGGAACGACTGGAGGATCGCACCGAGTAGAAATGTGGATCAGGGGCGGTCCGAGGAAGTAGTTCGGCAAGAAAGCGATCAGGTCTGCGGGAAGGTCGACAGTAAAACAAAAAGAAGTCGAGGCAGGCGCGGTATATTGGCATGATATGAAACTGAAAGAGAAGACCCTGTAAAACACCATGGCTGTTGCGAGATAAAAGCAGATAGCCTCAACTGACGCGCGCGAGCTGACTATGCCTCTAATCTTCTTCTCGTAATACGCAGCCAGAAATCATTGGCCACCCAAAACACTGCGCTCCACGCCTTCATCGGGATTTGAGGATTGACTATAGTAAAGTCGAATCGTCGTAGTAACTAGAACTGAGGTCAGATGTATCGTTCAGAGCTACCGTTCAGGCCTACCGTTCAGGGATGGTAGGCAAGTAAAGGGAACACAAACCTCGACGTATACCTTGTTCAGCTCCATCATGGCAATGGGTTTTCCCAGGCAGGCGTATTTCCCATGCCCGAAAATCATATCTACCACCGTATTCATCACTTTCAGCTCAGCTTCACTCGCCTCAAGCCATCTCTCTGGCCTGAAGACGTCAGCGTCCTTGCCCCAAATATCCTTCGAGCGCATGAGTCCAAAGGTGTTGGTCCCTACCTGAGTTCCTTCGGGCAGGAAATGGCCATTGATCATGTCGCCTCCGGGTGGAACCTGTTTAGACCCCATACCGGTGACGGGGGGATACATCCGGAGTCCCTCGCGAATGACGGCCTGAAGGTACGGAAGCTGTTTGGCCTCCGGCTCCGAGATTGGGGAGCTGATCCAGCCCTTTTGTATGGCCTGGTCAATCTCCTTTTGCAAACCGTTATAAGCAGAGGGCGTGCTAATGAGGCAGAGTAGGGTCATGCATATCGCCGTCGCTGATGTCACGGAGCCCGCGATGCTAATGATTGTCAGCACCCCCATGCGACCATATTCCACTCAACTCCTTGGGTTCGGAGACCACTCACATTTGAACGAACACTTGCTGTATGAGCTCAGAGCGAGTCATGCCGCTGTTGATGAATGCCTGCGTCATGTCCTTTTCGGGTCGTGCGCCTGGCTCCAGCCTCTTGTCCACGAATGCCTTCGCGAATCTGATGTAATGTTAGCCTCGCTTCATCTGATCGGGGAGGTGGCCCGTACCCCATGAGCCTGCCGAATCCAACCTCGTCGCCCTCTGTAGGCAACATAAGTCTGAATGGCCATCGGTACACAAGATTCGACATCCAGGGCAACGCTGATATGATGTTCATGACGGGCAGGGACTCATCGTGGATCTCGTTGTATCGATATAAGTCGCGATCCTCAGCCAGGAACCCAAAAGCGCCGCCGAACGAGATGTCGCCCATGACGTCAAGCGTGAAGAATGAAGTTTTGCGGAAGAACTGTAGTGGACAGTAGCAGGTGGCCGTGGAGATGTACTTGGTGTCAATCAAATTGACGAACTGCATAATTTGGCGATCAATGCCGGCACCGAAGCCGAAACCTTCATTTTCCTTGCCTCCGAACTTGAAAGATGCAGTCAGCATGTACGTATCAGAACGGAAAGCCGTGGGTAGAGCGCAAGGGGCTTACGGCAGCTACCATCTTCGACCGAAGCAATTTATGTTGACCGTCATCTCTCAAAGATACGATTGTATCCTCGTCCGGCACAATGCGGCCCAGCTGGTAAAAGTCGCCCTTGGTGTACGGAGAACGCACGGAATTCATCATGCGAATAACCTCTGGATCCGTGGTAAGCACCTCGTTGGGGCCAATCCGTACGAGAGGGCCTGTTTCGCGTCAGCGCATACGTCCTTTGCACTTTGCGCAACCGGCAAACAAAATGAGGGACAGGCCGCTAAGTCCCGCAGGGAAAGAGCGAGCGCACCGTATCTGTCCGAGACGTCCTTCAGAACCTCGTGCAACCTTCCACTCAACACATTCTTGACCATCCATAAATTCGAGATCGAGGCCAAAAAGGGACCCGGGATGTGACGGAGGCGATACCACGAACGCACATGGTAGAGCAGGAGGGCGGCCAGGAGAGCTACAGCGCAGGGCGCGAGGAGAAGATGCAGCGACCACTCATGAATCATCGGGGCGAGAACTGCCATGGCTCCCATCCTTCACCGCGGGGCGGTTCGACCAAAATAGGTAGTGAGAGCAGGGAAAGTGTGGTATGGGAATTACCGAGAAACTGGCACCGGGGCGGTACCGACCAGTTGGTAACGAACCAGAACGCACGGAATGATGGATTATGATCCTCGTCAACTGAAACAAAACAGGCATCGGCTTTTGAGGAACAGGAACAAGAGACCTAGAAACATCAGCACCGTCTGCTGCGCGGGTTTTTTACTTTGCGATGGATAACTAAAAGACTCATTGATGGATTTTTCTGACGCGCAATCCAAACAACAATCAGTGAATTCAACCAACTGTGAGCCATTAGCCCCTTGGTGAATGTGTTGGTTTGGATGTGAGTGGCAGCTAACACTCTTTAAATTATGAGGGTTGCAGGGAGTTGCTCGGCTTCTGAGGTTGGATCGTCCGTTGACCTAGCGGGCTTGAAAAGGTGGTGAAGATGCATCCAGCTTCCAGGGTACACCTTCCCCCAGAGTTGATTCCGAGGTTGCAAGAAGCGAGCTGTCCTCGTACTCATCAAGCGTGGACAGGGCCTTCCTCGAGGGCCGACACCTGGGACCTTGGATCAAGGCCCCAGATGACAGTTCGGTTGGCAATGCAATCCCTGCGACAGACAGCCAGACCAATGAATAGACATGCACGAAATTGTGTTTCCCACCCTGGCAGTCTTTAGTGGCGTACTATTTTCAGTGTCGTATAGGTTCGTGGGAAGATGCTCATATTCGGATATAATTGACATATCAGTCATCAGGGACGCAGCCTGACTAAGTGACCAGTTTCTCCCATCGGCTGTGACCACCCAACGAACGATTCGGACTCGGGCTCACATGTGAATTCCGGTGACTGGAATTGGGGTTGGAAAATAAACAGAGTTTTGCCACATCAATCCAACCGGTCGTCCCAGGTTTGTGTTGAGCAAGCATACGAACTCTGGCAGGTCAATTGGTCAACAGATCCCCCCTCTCCTCCCCCCAACATCGATCGCAAACCTTGGTATCGCTCTTGTCACATTATCCCGGGGCGATGCCAATCTTGAAGATGATGCAGTTCCGACCTGTCGGGTTGCTCAAGTGTAAAAGCGGCAGCTCTGGACATGCACCAATTCGTCTGGCAGCCGGATGCTGAAAATCAATATGGTGCTGACGCGCAAAATGCGCAGCGCACAGCTGCAGCACCGTAAGTGTTGTTTGACAGGGTCACAGCTTCGGGAACTTCTGTAAGTGCCGCTAAGGTGTTTCCAAGATGCCACCAACGAGGACAGCGTCTTGAACCGTCTTGCCCAAAGATGTCTTCAGCTACTGTCCATGGAGCGGTTCGATCACATCGAGGGGCTTGCAGATAGCCTCATGACAAAAGCCAGTCTGGCTTGCAAAGCATGAAAGCCATCACATCCCGACGTGCTTCCGCACCCGCTGTCACTTACCGGTCATATGCACGCCAACGAGGTGGCTCATTTGGGGGCCATGTAACTGTGCCATCCCCGACGGTCGTCAAAAAGAGGCTTGATTCAACGGCAAGGACTTAGCGCAAGCCCTCAGTCGATCTGGACTGTTCTTACGAAGAGTTGCAACACAGTTGCTACGGATTGACGAGCTTACCACTCAAAAAGAGCCGTCAGCCAGCTCGCTAGTTCGGTTCGAACCGCAAATGGGGGAGACGAGACGTCGCGGCGCACAAATGCAGCCAGCCGCTGATGAGGTATCGCGACGTCTGGCAGACTGGCTGAAAATGTGACGTGTAGTGTTCCAACAACCCGCAACCCGGCCGTTTCGTTCGCTCTCTCGCAGTGCAACTAGACAAGCCTAAGGCCTCCACCTCCGCCCTTGCCCTCGCACTTGCTCACATTGTCACAAGTGAAGGTTTGCTGGACACCGTTGCCCAATGCACAGCGCGCCTCACATCTCAGAGTTTAAACTTTGGTAGGAAGGTCGCGCAAGCACACTATTTTGGTGATAAGCACGACACTGGCGAGTCTGCCCATTCTTCAAGGGCCCAACTTCTTCGGACGGACGGTTTTCCCTTGCTGCTTGGCTCGTTTCTCAATGGCTCGTACTTTTAAAACACAATGAAACCCCATTGATGATACTGCTGCCCAACGGCCCGTTCTGGTTCGATTTGAGGCCTTCAGCGTCTGCGGTCTCTCTGCCACCAGACGATGAAGACACACATTGTCGTACGAGATCGTAGTTCACATTTGCCAGCAATCGCTTCTTGTCTTACCGTCCTATTTTTTATTTTTCTTCTTCCACATTTCGCGTTCGCCGTTGGGACAATTGAACTTTGATCTCGGAAGCTTCGAAGAAAATAAAAATGGGGTCAGAAGGTAAGCACGCAGATGCACGGCAAGCTCTGCATCACCAACAGCCGCTTCTTCCGTGCCTCTTCGTTTGCAGTGAAACTACCCCCCTCGCCCACTGCAGTAGCAGAATCAGCAGTGTCGATAACAAACAATCTTTGACGAGCCCAATCCTTGCAGATCCAGATCCAGATCCAGATCAACCCCAGAGTCGCAATGTCAGCGCCAACATCAGCACCAACACGTCCACATCCGCCGTGGAAGATACCTACCAACTGCAGCAAATCGAACCAGGCTCTCCGGGCGACACTTCAGATCCGGACGAGTTTGAGCCAAGCGTGTTCGACGATCAATCCCTTGCTGCCTCCACGTCAATCACCTCGAGCGTGTATGGCCACAGCTACCAAAATGGACGGCGCTATCACAAGTACCGCCACGGGCGTTATCCGATACCCAACGACGAGACGGAGCAGAATCGCGAAGACATGTTGCATGCCATGATGCTCGAAGTCACCAACGGGAAACTCTTCTTTGCGCCCATCGGCGATTATCCCCAGAAGATCCTCGACTTGGGCACGGGTACCGGAATCTGGGCCATCGAGAGTACGAGCTAACTCCACCCCTTTCCATGCTGTCGGCTGGGGGACTCGGGGGTCGAACTGACATGCTTACTTGTTATCGACAGTGGGAGACAAGTACGCAAGCGCCGAGGTCACCGGTATTGATTTAAGCCCGATACAGCCCGTTTGGGTGCCACCGAACGTCAAATTCGTGGTAGACGACGTCGAAGATACTTGGTTAAATGGCGACAATATCGACTTTGTGCATCTGCGAAACATGGTACCCATTCTCAGATCACCCGTCAGACTCTTGAGGGAGATATTCGCGTATGCTTCTTCACTGGCATCCCATTCACGAACTGAGGGATCATCGGGCTAACCATCTCCCTCCCAGCAACCTCAAGCCCGGCGGCTGGGTAGAGCTCCAGGATGTCGATGGACAAGTCCATTGCGATGATCATACGTTGCCGTCGGACTGGCCGGTGCTTGTGTTTTGCAACCTCATGGTAGAGGCTTTTGCCAAACTGGGCACGCAGTCGCACGCGGCGAGTTTTGTTGCCAGATATCTGCAGGAAGCTGGATTCGTCAATATCCAGCATCGCACGGCCAAGCTGCCGTATGGCACATGGCCACGAGACAAGTTCGTATTCATTTTGGTCGACGTTGAGTGGTCCTGTTCGCGGGGAGAGATGGGGGGGGGGGGGGGGAGGGGAAGGGGGGAGGGTTCATATCGCTACAGCTTCCCGGCCCGACTTGTTCGTTCATCAGTGACCAAATAAGAAGGAGGGTTTGAGCGACAACATTGCCCCCCGCGGATATCCACGCTAGGCTCTTGTCGCCTCACGACATGCTCATCCGGTTGCTGTCTCCGTATACGGTTGGCTGACATGATCGAACAGGACCATGAGACTAGTCGGTCTCTACTACCGCACGGCGGCAGAAGAGTTCTTCCCCGCGATGGGAGCTATTCAGATGCCACTACTTGGCTGGTCAGAGGTACATCTACTGTTTTCTTGAGGCTCTTCGAGGCAAGGCAGAATACTGAATAAGCTCAACATACAGGAAGAAATGCAAGTATTTTTCGCCAAGTGTCGGAATGCGATGCGCGATGAAAGCGTGCATGCTTATGGGATAATGCATTTTTGGTCGGCCCAAAGGCCTGAAAGTTGAAACTGCAAAAGACGAACTCAGAAATGGTCATTTTTGGGAGGCGTCAGGAAACATCAGCCTCGTGGCACGGGATTCTGCGCACGGCAGTCTAATGATAAAGCATTGTGTTGTGAAATTTCCCGTGTTATTAGGCTACTCGAGCACGGGGTGCGGGAACGACGACGGCATTACCGCGCATTACCGAGTCGCAAATTGAGTGCTCAAGAGATGCTTAAAATAACCTCATATTACCTCCACTTCTGCGAGCAAGCCCCGGTCAACGGATTATTCATCCCAAGCTGGCTAAGCTGGCGTTTTGATGCCCGAAGGTTCAGGAAAATGCGAAACGACACAAAATGAGGGCGGTCATCTAGTGACATTGACGACGAACAAATGATGGGATCAACTGAATGTTTTCAGACGACTGGCGTCCGTTTGAAGGGGTCAGCACTTGAGACTGTTGTGGGGGGAAATCTCCTGTTTAAGGCCAACCAGTTGTTCAGGGGACTGCCGTTGCGACGTTGACCAGGCGTGACGGTCCATCGGCCCACATTTCAAGAAACGTCTTGGCGCTCAGGGCCCTCCAGAACGGGATGTGCAGTAAATCTACAGGTTAACTTGCAAATCAAGCGGAGATCACAGTTCTTGACCGACTTGGTTCACGTTGAGCCTCCTGGGTGTCGGAGATCGACAACTGATATCGGGCTCGACGGAGCAAATTATCACGGATTATCCCTGACGACGCGTTGTCACGAGATCCAAGTTGATCGAGACTGGAACATTGGCGATTGACTGAACGATTTGGCTGAATTTGGTGACTGGGATATCGGCTCAGGGCGATTGCACCGGGATGACACATGTCGATTGGCAAGCGGTTGTCAAGCGGTTGGATATGCCAACCACGGCACGGTGTTTTGAACTGATCGGATGATGACACCACCTTTCTTGCCGCCGCTGCCCATCTGGACGTATTTGCAGGAACTCGAAACTTTCTTGCCAACCATGATCCACTCCAGGACCCTTGCAGAGACGTCTCGAGATCTACTACCCTAGGGGCCCTGACTCTGGGTAGTTTTTGACCATGTGTGGCCCCACCTGCGAGCCCTTGGCAAGTGCTTCATGACATTAGCATGTTCAAACATCAACGATAGTCCCTGTCATTCGTACCTGCAGTGGCGCTGTCACCATAATACTTTGTGAACGCCTTGCTCCTAGCACATCCGCGGCAGTACCCAGATGGTTCCGCAACGCGGCTCTCAGTGGAGCATCGTGTAAAATTCCCGTTGTTGGTTGCGGTCCTACGGAAAATACGGAAGTAGGGCCCATAACATGGTGACCCACCCTCCGTTCGACCAAACAGATCTATGCTTGGATTAGAACTAACTAGCAGGGAATCCACCACCATGCGACGGATGCTGTTGGAGCTGGCCTCAGCGGCGACTACTGATGGCTTTAGCGGGTCCTGACAATTGAGTGAAACTCCCCCAACGACGACGACGCGTAGTTTCTAGGGGGGGGGAAGGAGAGAATCTGGTTTGCGACCAAGGGGTCAGTGCCACTCACGAGGTTGGTCGTGGTGTATATAGTCGACAGCGGCCGCCCGTACTCGACGACTCATCTTGACAGGCCGGTATCTCTCAGTCCAGCGCATTTTCTGTTTCTTCAACCTCGATCCTGTGGATCTTGAGTATTATTTATTCTAACCTTCACTTACTCCACTCCAGTCATTCACTTCTACTTCCCGGTGCTGGACACTCTTGATCTCGATACATATTCAAAATGCAGACTTCATACTTCCTCTCCTTCACATCCCTCCTGGCTCTGACCAGTGCACATGGAGTCATTCTTGGAGCACAGGGCGAGGATGGATCCCCAGCAAGTGTGGGTTTCCAAGGTACGTGATCAGCGCAATTCCTATTATTCGAGTTTCATGTACTAACAAGCCTTTTACCAGTCAACCCGGACATCGCCAGAAACTGCACCAGCATCAACCCGTGCCAGCAAGACGCAACCATCATCCGTGACGCTGAGATTGCCGCAAACACCGTCAACGAGTGCGGGCGCACGGAGCTTGCTGGCAATATCGACATTGGCGAGAACACGGAGAATGCCCTCTCTGCCAACGCTGTGACCGAGGTCAAGGCCGGCACCAAAATGACGGTCACTATCCACCAGGTCAACGCCGATGGCGCTGGTCCCTACACTTGCGACCTTATCGAGGCCGGCAACAACGGTGTCATCAGCCAAAACCTGACTGTTGAGAACAACGTCCCCGGTTCCAACGGTTTCTCTCAGGCCAAGGAGCAGCAGTTCAACGTGACTGTCACCATGCCTGACAGCTTCAACTGTGTTGGCGGTTAGTCAAATACCATGTCCTCCCATCTAGTATGTCTGCTAACGCATCCCGAATAGCTTCCACCGGCAACGTGTGCACTGTCCGCTGCCGCAACAACGCCCAAGCCGGTCCCTTCGGAGGTTGCTTCGCTGTCCAGCAGACCGATAACACGGCCAATGTAAATACTGCCTCCAACATTGAGACCAACCTTTCTGCCGAAAAGGTCGACAAGCAGGTCGCTGTGGACCAGGCTAACTTCCCCGCCGCTGTGAAGGCCAACCAGGACGCCGGCACCCCCGAGGCTCTCGCAAACCTCGCCGCTGCCCAGGCCGTTGGTGGTTTGGAGGTCACCAGCAGACCGGCGGCGACTGAGACCCCTGACGTTATCCTTGGTGGCAACGCTGCTTCCGCCACCCCCACCAATGATGCCAATGCCGCCGCTGAGACTGGCAACGGAAACGGACGTAATGGCCGCAACCGCAAGGGAAACAACAACAAGCGCGACAGAATCGCACGCCGATATGTCATGGCTGGGAAGGACTTTAATGCCGTTGAGCAGAACTAATTTTCTTTTTTCTCGGTCATGAACACATTTACGTGTAAGATGTTCTTGTTAGATGTGCACTTCACTTTCGGAGCAGCTGTGGAAGAAGAGAGATCAATGAGACTAAGAGAGAAAATGCTTAAACTGATCAAATTTTCCGATACCAGCCGGGATCAAATGGGGAATATACAGGAGATTGATTGGCGGGAGGATTTTGCTTGAGCCTCAGGTTTTTAGATGTAAAATTTCTGGGTTGTACATAATCACTTGGTACAAACTATACTTTGGCCCTTTTTGTTTGTTCAAATGACTTTTTGACTACTTTTTGTAAGACGTCTGGCGCAAATTGACGGAATTCAAAAGCGACCACTAGACCCCATCGGAGTCCAGCTTGGTTGCTATCAAAAGGCCAAGTGCGGAATCACGAATACGCGCATCGTGGGAATCCCAGGTACTTGACTAGAGCAGAGCAAGGCTGCGTGAAGCGGGCTTTCCCAACTCATGACTTGGCGGAGATCGTCCTCAAGACGAACCCAGCAAGGTATTCATTCAGATTGCGAACTTTACCAACCCACGACGATGAAACACGAAAAGCACTTGTGCGGAATCCTATTTTGGTCGAGTCCATAGACCAAGGCTGGGTAACCGGCTTGGAGAAAAATCAACAGCGCGCTACAGGGCCAAGGGGGGTCCCAGCGGCTGCTACCCGTCGTCCCATTTCCCAGGTTGGGATGTCTCATGAGCTAGCTAGTAACTCCGGTACAGAGCGAGGTTCTGAGACAGGACTACTCACATCCTTGACCGTTGTCAATGCACAATGCCGAAGCATAACCGGGTGTCGGTGCTTCGGGTGAAGGGTGAAGGAGATACTAGTTTCGGTAACCCGGATCTTTGGCAGGATTTGGCAGTGACGTGCTAAAACTTTCTTTGGGTTTTCTGTCTGTGTTGAATAAACTGTATGAGCATGTGAAGTTTTTAATGTCATGATGTGCATCCACTTTGTTGCGCTACGATCAGTTGATAACTGCTATGCACTCGCAGTGAAGCCCGTATGGTTGAAGAACATCTCGGCTTGAATAGTCTATGCGCCTCTTGGATCTCGGTAAATATCTCGTTGCTGCCACTAGTTCAGATGGGTGCACCAAGGAGCCGGTATTATTGAGCAACATTTGGTCATCATCACCAGTTGGAAGATCTGGTTTCAGATCGACAGAGCCTCCATCATCGGATTCCAATCCACTTTGAGCTGTTGCTGTGTAGTAGTATCCACGAACTCATTTCTATCCTAGTAGAACGGCTGGGGATATGCGGGCATGCACGGCTGCGCTGTTGACAATTGCTGTGTTAGGTAGAATGATGGGAATACTTGTTTGGGGAGACTGGTGTGCTCTATTTATGGATTGTCATCACATTTGTCGAGTGCAGATTCTCATACATACTGCGGCGCGTTCTCCTTCAAACTTGTGCTGGGGCTCTCCCTGTCATTATCACTACTCATTGTGTAACATGGAGTCAGGCAGAAAGCAAGTACGGAATTACATCATCCCTAGTGACCCTTGGGGTGAGTAACGGAGTCACGTACAAACTGAGATTCTGCCGATGACTATAGTCATATTTGCCCAAAGTTCCTTAAGGAGGTGCAGTTTCTCTCTTTAACCCGCCAGGAATATCCACCAGGGATTAGATGGAACGCAGCAATGGTACTGCAATTTCTCTTTTGGGTACTTTTAGGAGTTGAAATAGATTTCTCTGAAATGTGCCAGAGATTTGCGCTGTCAACCTTGCCAAACCGTTCAAAGACGTACTGCTACATATTATCTAGGTTATTCAAATCGTGTGAGCCTTGCGGAATAGGCGTCGAAGCACTGAAATGGTCGCATCACTCCATGCTCGTCGACATTGATCTACCGATCGATTCCGAGTCAAGCTTGAGAATAGACAATATGCTGTTGTCACGGGATACACAGTCAACCAGACAACGGTTCTGCAAGTGCAATGTCAGTGGATCACGCTGCCGGCGGCTGGGTTTGCGCTAATGCTGGTGTTATTTGGATTTACGGTCTTTCGGGCGGATGGACCTACACCAGATTGGAAGAATTCAGCTGGGTTTGGTCATGGACCAGAGCGGTGTGGGGTTTGGGCTAAGAAGATGCCGGTTAGGCTTGATGGGGATGGGAGGGAGTGTTACTGGGTGATATGAGAATGGAGACGGTGTGAGATGTCGAGGTATTAGGTTTGTCATAGTAATCTATGGGGCTACTGTTTGCCTACCTTGGGGAGCAAATATTGGGCCTGCACTGTTAAAACTAAAGATAAGCAGCTCATACACTTAAACTACGTAGCTTACATATTTGTCATTCCTATCAAACTATGCAATACACACTACTCACGCCTGTGTGCAGTATCAAAACGCCTTTTTTAGTGCAAAGCCACTCTGCTTTCGCTAAATCCCCATTGGTCAAAGGTAGAGATCGCTGCTTTGGCTCAATGATGAGCCAGAAAAAAACTGACCATACCGTTATTTCCATTTATATATGTCCTTTTCTACCATACTGGGTTTTGCGGCGTTCTAAGATCGGATTTATCGTCTCACAGTTCCCAGAGTACATACCACGATGATCGAAGAAGGGCGTGACATTCATCTACCCTCTCTCTTCTGCACTCAGCTATCATACATCTTGTCGACTCCATGGGCAACGGGAACTGTAGTATCTTGCTACGTTGTCAAATTAGAAACGGAGATCCTAGGCCACAGCTCAGAGAACCTAGATATTCCGGACGTTCCCTATCTAATGCGAATACGCAAGACACTATACCTAAAATTATTCCCAGAATTGTAATTTAAGGAAAGAAAACAAGGTTCTTACGCTTTCTGTGGGTTTATAAGCATGGTAATACGGGTATCCTTATATAAGTACTGAACCACGAATATGCCATAAATTACTCCTTCAGGGACCCATCTGGTAAGCGACAATAATCTAGCATAACACAGCCGTGATCAGACTCCTTTGTAGTGGCGAATCTCTTAATCGAGACAGGTACCGATGGTAACCCGATACCATCACGGCTTTGAGAAGTAGCCTATTCACCTGCTATTGAGTGCCTGCCAATCCTCCAACCACCACCAGAGACCGAGCATCAGCTCCCAGCTCGACGTCATACTCCTGATCATGCTCACTGGTAATGTGAACCCCAGCCAGCTCACCAAGAGATACAGATACAACGGAAGCAGCGCGCTCTGGAACCATACGCCACTTACACTAGCGGTCGGAAATCATCAGGTAATGACCTTGAATATTATCCTAGGCCATGGAGCTATTTTTATTTATACCTCGGACACGCAGAGCTCGTACGGGAAATCCCATGGTGACGGCGGCAAATCGACTCAGGATACGGACTTCACCAGCCCTCTTTTGGTGCTTTGCAACATTGAGCACGCCATAGACAATAAAGCAAGCTGGAAATTCCTCCGCTACGGACCCTCCATCGTTGATCGAGACTGGGAGGGGCTCATGGCGCTGCAGCTCGCCTATTACCTGCAGACCGCACAGCCAGGTCGGTTGAGGTATCTGAAGGAGCACTCATTGTATACCAGAATGAAAACAATTACGACCAGAAGCCTTTATATGCCTTATGCCTCGATTACTGGGGTTTGTAGCTTGAAGCCCGGGGTTGGGGTGATGACGGGTGGGCGGTTGGTATGAGTTTGGATGCCATGGTGGAGATCCGAGGGGAAGGGCTCTGCGCTTGATGTGTGGATTTACTCCAAAAGTTGGTTGGATTCCGCATGGTGTTCCATGGTATCGTTTGTGCGAGAATCACCAGGGCCATAGACAAATTTGTTAATGTATGAGACCCGGTTTAGTACGAAGAACAATAAGGAAGGGGGGCATATAAGTAGGACGGAGTTGCACCGCATATTTGAGAGTCCTTGCGCCAATATAAATTTGTTCCTAAGATATCCTTACTAGTAGATTAATGCTCAACTACTTCAAAGTTTGCTGCAGTGTAATAAGGTCACGTATACGTAAGAGATATAATCACGTTATGTGATTGCGATTACTTTCGCCACCTGAATGTATTTTAAGCTTTCCGTCCCAGAACATATACTGTCGCCAACCCCTTGATATATCTCTGGATCTACGTAGTTGTCAAGCTTGAGTGCCAAATACTTTGAGCTCCCTTTGTTTCCCTTCCTTTTGGACGGGAATTTTGGCACAGTAACACGAACAAAGCCACGCCCCAAGGGCTACCATCAATAGCCGCATTCGGCGGGCCACCACATGGTTCTTTGTTCCTTGCGTACTCAAAAACAATGATGCTCCGAGTCGGGTTTTGAAGTCGGCTCTGCTGACCTTGCCGGCAACTTTGAATATCTGCTACCATCCCACCGCGGTCCAAACAAACACACACCACAATAACATCAGCATCACCGATAAATTCCATCGAGACGTCAACCAAATTATATCAGTCCCTGAATAAGCTCCTTTGCAACTATCTCACATCTTCATCTGTTTCCAGCCTACCGGCCTACCCTTCTGAGAGCTACCGAAGACAAACAAGACCTGTCTGACCTCACCAGAATAATGGAATACCACAACCTATACAGAAGAGGTTCCGGTGGTCCCTCACCCGCTGTCTGGATCCCAATCGTCGTAGTCTCCATTTTCGTCCTTGCGTACGGAGTATGGAGGCACAAGAGGAATGTGCAGAGTTCGCATCACAACCAGGTTTAGAATAATTGCTGCGTCAGTGCAAGGCTGCCCTCGATCATAATGAAAGGGCTGGAAATGGAACACCATCAGAGCTTGATTTTCATCCATACAATTACAACGGATTTCTTCGAGGGTTGCAGCTAGCGAGGTGGTGTTCGGTAACTGGTCTATGTAGGATTTATTTGGCATCTTCGTGGAATTACGTCAGGGATTTACCCCAAGTTCCCTGGATAAATGTTGAATATATACAATGAATCTATCGGTTACCTATCCAGCCAATTCTCATAAAGCAGCCGTCAAAATATCTGATATCATTAGAGACCCCCTACCCTTGACCATGTCATACGATCAAGTAGATGCAATGGCCACATCCATCATAGTCTGCTTAAAAGCCTGTAGCGCAACTTCGGGCTCTATAAATCTGTCAGTGCTCAGCTCATCCCCCATCTCTCATCCCAAAATCTTCAAAAAAAGGAAAAAATACAAACTTACGATAATAAGGCACTTCATGCCCCGCCTCGTAAACCTTCAAGAAGCTCAAATTATCCGCCGTCTTAAACAACCCCTTCTCGGTGCCATTAACCGTATAGGGCACCATTTCCGCGGCAGTGAAGTTGCTCTGCGCCGAATAGACGACCGCCTCGGCGACCTGGTAGTTGCCGATCCAGTTGCAGATGAAATCGGCGTCGCCGGCCCATAGCAGGACCGAGATGCCGGTTTGCACTACTTTGGTAAGGGTTTCGAGGAAAGAGCGGGCGTCTGCAAAGATTGTTAGCTGTCTTCTTGTCCGTTTTAAAATTCCTGGACCTTGGACAGGGGTGTTTGAGAGTGTGAGGATACTCACCATCTCCTGTAGCAGCAAACTTGTAATACGGTGCATCCGGACACTCCGCATACGTCACCTGTGCCCCAATAGCTTTCATCACATCTGGCCTTTGGAGATAATCCACATACGTCTCTGGCGGATCCGTCGTATTAGCAGAGACGCGGATATCGTACGTCCCAAAATCGGCGCTGTCGTAAATAACGGTATCCACATTGCCGATACACGTATCATCGGCATAACTGCAAGCCTCGTCGGTTCCGGAGCTAATACACTCGTTCAAAGCCGGCACACACTTGGTCTCGTAAATATCATACAGGGAATCCGCGACGCTCTCGTTGATGAGCGGACGATACGAGTTGTTGAGCGCGTAGTCGATGTACGCCCGTTCCTGTATGGTCGAGTCGAACCAGCCGTTGTTTATTCCCACAGCAACGATGTTGATCTTGTCACCTTCGAGATCACCTTCCTCAATGGCCGCGTTTTGCTCCTGGATGTAGTGAGCGAACTCAGGGCCGTAGTGTCCGCCGTAGGATTCAGTGAAGATGCCAAAGTCGCGGCATTCGTACTCAGGGAAGTGGGCGTAGAAGGCTTGCAGAAGGTTCCAGACGAAGGGTGCGGCGGTGACGGTGGAGTTGACGTCGTCAATCCCGTAGGAAAAGCCGGTTCCGATGGGCTGGTCGACGTATAGCACGTTGGCGTAGTTGTTAAAGCTGTAGGGGTTCAGCGAGGGCGTGCTTTGGTTGTTGACGAAGTGGCAGGGGCCGTTTTCCTGGAAGAGACCAATCATGGAACTACATCCTGGACCGCCGTTGAACCACGTCGCTAGAGGGGCTTCCTTTGGGTTTTCACGGGCTTCGAAGAACCTGAGTCTGTTAGTGGATGGGAGCAATGAATCGTTGGAGATTCAGACATACCAAAACCACATGTTCATCGCGTCGCCAACTGACAAGTAGCCAGAGTACTGGTTTACGCCTGGTGTCGTCTCGCAGATGCCCGAGTTCTTGACAAAGGACATCTTGGAGCCCGTGGACCGGTGCTCGAAGACATTGTATGTGATGCCACCTCGCTCCTCGACGTATCTCTTGTCTAGGTGAGCTGTCGTTGGCGCCGCAAGAGATGGGCTGATGAGTGCCGTCAGTAACGACAGAGTCGCTGCTCTTTGAATAACGGTCCTCATCTCCACGAGTTCTTTTCAAGAATGAGTTCGGTTATCGCGTGGCGCATTGAGAGTCGTCGGCCGTAGAAACCCCAGAGTTATTAAGACCAATGAGCGAATTTGAGTGACTCCACCTTCTCATAGTCTGATCGAAGCTCGGTACACAACTTGTGTCTCCGTCAAGGTCTTAGAAGCACCAATCAGAGACCCGACTTACGTGCGAAAGACAGACAGTCCGCAGTGTGAGTTGAGTAGAGGGAATCTAAGAAAAGAACCGAGATCCAAGTCATCCGCCTTTTGTATGCAGCTCATGCTATCAGCACAGAATTCGATCACACCGTACCACTGGTCTGTTCCCATCACGTATGATTCGATAAGGAATGGCGGCCTGCATCATCACACGAAGAGTGGGGGTTGAGCACGTAATTGTAAGTTGCCTTGCCAGCTTTCCATAAGATCGGCCACTCGGAAGTAAGCCTCAACCAAGATGTCCCGATCGCAATCAGAATTGGAGAAATTGAATAAAGATAGTAGCAGGCATTTGCTGATAGACCGAGTTGAGGTCAAGGCTAATGGTCCCTTTTCGGCAGGTCGCCGGGCTTGACGTTACATCGGGAGGGTGGTGGATCGGCATTGAAAGCCGTGCCCGCTTGTTATTATCCACATGTTATCACAGCGGTGCAATCAACGAACCAGCGTCCTGCCACTTTTGTGAGAACTTTTGTGAGACTGTGTCACCTCGTCCACTCATCGGCATGGGAAGACTGTATGAGTAGCTTGGCAGAAGTTTTCCTTTTGTTGGTTGGATTGTCAAAAAGCTTGATCATTTTAGATCAGTCGAACCAGATCTCATCAGATGTTCATGTGAGGGTGTTCGGATGTCGGATGCGGATCTTGAGTTCCCACTTAATATTCTGGCCCAGACAATAGGTTTTGCGGCTCAGAAAACACATGACGGGAACGTCGCGTATTTAATGTGCTTCGGGATGTGAACGATCCTGACCGTTATCGGAACAGCTGGCTTCATATCGCGCCGTATGCGCGGTGCATTTTGATGAAACAGTTGCTATGAGGACCCTATCTCGTAGAAGCTTTAGAAACTGACCGTCGAAGCTGTGGCCATCAGGAACAAAGGCTGCAGTTCTCGCGTATGAACTCCCCCGACCCACCCCCCAAACAACCTTTTAAACCCCCTCCGTCCGTGTCGGCGCTACAGCCTTACCCTCTGGAGAAGGAGTACTCGCCTGCGTATCAGAAACGGGATTCTTTCCCCTCCGCAGTCCCTGCGCCGTCTCGTGCTTCCGCTTCATACTAACACACCTCAAGAAGAACGACCCTGCAAAGGGTAACACGCAAAACGCGCACATGATGATCCAAACGGTCCATAACGACGCCGCATACACCCCAACAAGGTCCGTCTTGAACTGTCCCTCAGGCATGCCCCGAAGATTCTCCACCAAAGCCGCCGCATCGCGGGAATACTCGTCTGCGTGGGGTGCCAAGTCAGGAATGTCATCCATCTTGGTGCGCATCTCGTTCTGGACGACGACCCCAACAATGGCGACCCCCGCGGCCTGGCCGAGGTGCCTGAAGAAATTTAGCATGGTAACGGCGTGGGTGACGTATTCCTCGTCGACGGAGGCCTGGCTCAGCAGGTCGAGCGAGTTGTAGAGTAGGCCAAGGCCCAGCCCGACGACGAGGAGGCTGAGGACCCATTGGTAAGTTAGAGTGTGAACGTCAAGTAAGGTCAAGAGTCCGCTGCCCAGAATCGCGAAGGCGAAGCCGGCGCGGATAACCCAGTTAATGTTGCCGGTTCTGCTGATAATGAGGGATCCGACGGCGGAGAATGGGGACACGGTTGCACCATATGGGATCAAGGCGATGCCGGCCATGATGGGGTTCATTTCTTTGACTCCTTCGAAATAGAGAGGCAGAACGTAAACAAGTCCGAGTGCTAGAACGGTGTGGAAGAAAGCCGCCATGAGGGAGTAAAGCATGTTGTAGCTGCAGAGTAGATCGATTCTGATGATGGGCTCGACGGGAAATCGTTTCTCGTACATGGCGAATCCAAACAGGCCGAGAAGTCCGACGAGGATCGGGATGATGGTCTGCCAAGAATCCCAAGGGAACATAACACCACCCCAGGTCATTCCTAGGAGCAGTGTGGTGACTGCAGAGACTGATATGGCAGTACCAGCCCAATCGGCACGTCTCACCTTCTCCCTCAGTGAGCCAGGCACGCTCTTCAATCGCAAGAATATGTTGATCGAGACCAAGGCAACCGTTGCGATTGGTATGTTCATCCAAAAGTTCCATCTCTGCTGGGGTCAGTCAAGGATGCCCCACGCGATAGCCTGAGAGCACTTACCCAGGACGTCTTGTATGAGAAAATACCGCCAACGATTGGTCCAAGAACATCACCAATAGCCCATAGAACTGAGAAGATGGACAGGTAATTGCCACGGATTTCCAAGGGGATCAGGTCCGCGACAACAATCTCAATGGAAACTCGGACACCACCTCCGCCAATGCCTTGAATGGCTCGGCCCAGGATCAAGACTGAAAAGTTTGGTGCTGTACTCGCCACGACTGTGCCTACGAGGAATGAAGATGCAGCAAAGTTGAGAATGGGCACTCGACCAAATGTTGAGGATAAGGCCCCCAGCGGTGCCATGAAGGTAGCTTCAGTCAAGAGGAATGCAGTGCCAGCCCAGAATGCTTCGATTGCTGTCCCATGTAAGTCTTCCGCAACAACCTATATTGACTTTGTCAGTAGCTGCACTACCTTGGCTCAACAAAAAGACTTACCGGAAGGGCGACTGCGAGGACAGAGTCATTCATGGCCACCATGAGTGTCAAAACGGCCAATGTCACGAACGCAAGCTTCAGACGTAAGTCAGGTCGAAAGCCTTCTGTGTCTTCGACTGTATCTTCACTGCTCGTCTTGACAACCAGACGACCTGTGTTGGCAGAATTAGCCCGTGAGACTGGGCCAGAGACAGGATTGCCCGCCATACTGTCCTGCTTCTCAGCCAAGACTGCCTGTTAAGCTTCGATTCGTACTTCTATCTTGAAGTATTCGAATGCGTTGCGGATTTTTCATTTCCAGCCGCTTGATCATTCGCCAAAGTCTAGATCTGAAAGCGAGGGATACGATACAAAGGGATGGATAACCACGATGTTGAACTACGTTGCCTTGCAAGTACCCGTGGGTGTTTCAACGCTTTAGTACCTGCGCCTCCCACATCGTCGGTCGGCGCGGAGTCTCCCACCTGTAACTTCTGGTAGGCACAGTTGGAGGTGATCGGCGGCAGGCTACAGAACTCTCGATATGTTGATCTGCACATGACCTGGTTCCTGATACGCGTTGAACCTTGTGTCCAACACGTGTGTGTAGGCAGAACGTTATCCCTTCTACCACATGGGATCTTACTTCAAGGGGCGAAACTTGCCTGACCAATGAAGCTGCTGCCAGAAAAAGGCATGAGAGAAACGCGATTCCAGCAAGGGACTTGAAGATATTGGTATGATCGACATCCACCCCCTTTGAGCTGCGATGCCTCGAGCTGGCGTGGTAATAGAAGCACCTGGAAGGCATCTTTCGGTACGGACCTAGACCGTCAACAAGGTGAACCGACGAAGATACAGGCCTATATTCTAATAACGGTTTGTGACATTGGCGCGTGGCATTCGCGTACTCGAACAGAGTCGAAATGTGGTGGCATTTCGTTGATGACGAGCGAGGTTAGACATCTTAGCTACCTGGTCGATCGACTCTCTAACCTACCGGCAACACGGGTTGCTCGTCTCAAGGCGGCGTCGGCTACTTTATCGCCGTGAAGCTTGAGGTTTGGGTGCCGACTTAAAGTGGTTGGTCGGCTCCTCGGGGTTGACCTGGCCGGTCTTTCTGTCAGCCAGTTCAGGCTTCATGCGAGCATCGAAACGCAGGAACATGTATCTGGTAGCCCATTTCGACTTATCAAGAAGACCTTCGTCATTAGAACGGAAGAAATGGACCCATCGTTGCGCGGCAGCAAAGAGCAGTTGGTCAAAACCATGTGTTCCAAAGAAAGACTAATCCCCGTTGGCCATTCCCATCCGTGGAATAGTTTTGTTCTGAAATGCCGTTGCAACGATTCCAGCTGCTGAGAGGTCGCTCGTCCACGTACAATTAGAGTATCGCTACGATGTGCCTTTGGATCTTTGCAGGTACTTGAGAAACCACACCAACGAAAATTTCTGCACCCATGAACTATGTTGTAGCACCGTTGTCACCCCATTCGCCGCATAGGAATCGCCCGAGAAGTTGTTTCGGAAAACTGAGGGCATAAAGCCAAAGGAGGAGGGTGGATTGTTTGATCAGAGGCGCTCATGAATCCACACTCCCAGGCCAATTCATCCTTGCTGTTCGCATCATGCCTGGGTGACTGCCATATCGTCGTTTCGTGTTCTTGGGTTCGGTCCATAGTTGTCACATGAGTCGCATGACTCTATTCACACAAAATAGTTGAACTCAAGCCATTCAGAAGACAATCACTGGGCCAGAGGGACTGCCGAGGATGTCAAGAGCCAGTGGGTTGTGAAAGCAGGATGCTGATGAGATGGTGCTGGTCGCCCTGTCCAACCCACTGAGTGCTAAGTGCCAGGAAGCGCGTCCTTGAGCTTGGATAGGTCTAACAGCATGTCCTAGTTCATCTCGTGAATTCCATATGACGACAGTAGAAGCTTATGGATGTCGGCGCTATCCTGGCTGCAGACAGTCATGAATCCTCATCATCTTTGCTAACTGACTCGCTATGTTGAATAATTGCAACCTAAATAGCGTAAATAATCGGCTGGAGCCCTCTGGGCCCATTGTGTTAATGTTCCCTGAAATCCTGTTCCGGTTTTCGCATTGCCGCTAGGGAAACGAAGGTTTGGGTTTGTCAAAGGCCAGACTTTCAAGCAGCTGCAGTGAGGTGGATCGGGCTTCTGTTGACAGTTGGAAGTGGTTTTGGATCTCAGCCACCATCTTCACCCTCCCCTTACTTCTCATACTAGTTGCTCTTCATACCAGTCTAAGGGTAAGAGGCTGTCAAAGCTTGATAGGAAAATTGGGGATTTTGCCCATCTCGGTGGTGAATTGCCATTCCTTGGAATACCGGGAAGTAAGCCGTCCAGTAGCCCAGTATGTGAAAATATAGACAGGTGGCTTTTTGAATCGACGACTTACACAAACAAGAAAGTACGCATTCAGTCACTCGCTTGTTGCGAAAACGGATTCGAATATTTGAATATGGACTTGTCGTTGCGATGTTCGTGTAGCGAAACACGTTGACCCATCCGCATCGCGCTTGCCGAATCAGACCCCTGCTCAACAACGAGAGTTGACGTAATAGGCTGCAACCGCTGCAACCGCTGCAACGTGTAGTTTCACCCATTTCGCAGCCACCTGAATCCAAGCACACAATTCTTCAAATCCAGGGCTGTCTCATTGCCGTCTCCCTCTGTCGATAATGTCGCACCGACAAGATGCTTCCAAAGCCTTCATTGTGCTTTACGCTCCCGAGCATTCATGACAGCACCAAACTGGACTGTCGCGTGTACCATCCCGATTGCTTAACCCCTCAATCAACTGCCCCGCAATGGGGTCGACATGTCGCTATCGTTGCGCACCCGTATGCGCCGTTTGGTGGGAGCCACGATGATCACATTGTGGACTTGATCGGGGCCACGCTGCTGCAGTTGGGGTACATGGTGGCGACGTTCAATTTCAGGTCTGTCTGCTCCTATCGGATGCTTTCATGGGAAGACATCCGGGAGTTCCGCGATGCCATGCCACTGACAGAACCAATCTAGAGGCGCATCATCCCCGGGGGCCCATACGTCCTGGACGTCCAAACCCGAGCGCGCCGATTACATGTCAGTCGTTGGCTTCATGGCCTACTATGCGCACTATATAGACTCGAAGAATCGCATCAATGCCGGCGACTCGCAATGCCCCACCATGCTTCTTGCTGGTTATTCGTACGGCGCTATGGTTACCACGAAACTGCCGCCCCTCGCTGCAATACTCTCCAAATTCGAAAGTCCCACGGTATACTCTCCCGCAGCAGACATCCGACTCCGTGCCCAGCATCTGGCCGAGCAGCAGGATATGCTATTTTCAAACCCCGCATCGCCGCGCAAGTCCTTGGGCATGCGAGTTGGCGGGGATGAGGGTTCTCCCCGCAAGAGCTATGATTATAAGCGGTCGCATTCCATGGATCCGGAGGATAAAATAAGAACAGGTGTGAAGGACATTCTTTCTAAGACCAAGCTTGTCCGTAAGATGCACAAGCACAAGGCTCACGAACATGCGGAGGAAGTCTTGCATGAGGTAGAACATATGGAAATGGTCAACGACCTGATGCGCTTTCGCAGCGCCTACTTGGTCGTATCGCCTCCTGTAGGAATCATGACAAATCTGGCAACCCTGTCGTTCCCGAATCCTTTTGCCAGCTGGTCTAGGAAGGCTACCAAGGTGGAAAACCCGGCGGAGCATGAAAGCGAGGCTCAGAGGGAAGAACGCGAGGCGGAGCAGAAATTGATCCAAAACCCATCGCTTATTATCGTTGGCGATAGAGATGGCTTTCTCACTCTGAAGGAGTATCGGAGATGGGCAGCCAAACTCCGTGGTCATGAGAAATCTCTGTTCCGTGACCTTGAAGTATCAGGTGCAGGCCATTTCTGGGCTGAAGAAGGGGTACTTTATAAGCTTCGCGACGCTGTCGGTGACTTTGGAGCCGACCTGCTAGGGGACAGAGTCAGCACGCTTCACGTGGATGACTGCGGCTGATCGGCGGTGTCTAGTGAATGACCTCAGGCATGCTAAACGACTTTCAATGACAGATAATGAAATCCCGGCGCTAGGGGGACGGAGCGAGGCGATAACAACGTTTGAACGGTCAACAGCCATGGGGTAATAAACCCAAATCCTCCGTGCCAAGATGCGCGTGCGCATTCCCTTGGTGTCCTAGTTCTCGATCCTAGTTCTCGATCCTACAAACAACATTACGAAAGGTGTTACGAAAGGCTGAGGTTGATTCGGCCGCTTTCTTTCGACGGTGTATACGATGTCATCATGGAGGAATCAATGGGTTGCACACATCGGTCTTGTGAGCTCTACAGTGCGGCCTACTGAATGTCAGCCGAAGCCTTGTGCCCTGTCCATTAAGACATGTCAGATGGGATGAAGAAAAGAGTGTGGAGTATCTGGCAGACGGGTGGGCCACTGACACTAGAAAGCATGTGAAGACGATGGTTGGCGAATCCAACCTGTATCCGAGTTGGGCTAGCGGTGTGACGATTTCAGCTACCGAGCCAAGCTCCGTATAAGCGCGCCCAATCAAATCCAGTACAGAGAAGGATATCAACATGTTTGTGTGCTTTCCACGATGCTAGAATGAAGATAGATCTCGATTTTGCGTCTGAGAATACCCGATTGGGGATGACATCCGATCCAGCAGCTACCGTCCCGCCATGAACAAGCGGGATCTGGTCAGCGGCACAACGGCGGCTGTCGATCTTGGCGTTCTTGCATAGACTCGAGCGAGGCCTGGCTCTTGAGGCCATGTGTTAGATGTTGTTTTTTCCCTGCAGTGTTGATCTGGGAAAATAAATATACACCCCGCTCACATGAGAGAGATGCGACATGTTGACTGGCTTCGACCCCGCGTAGATGACTACAATTCAGCATGTTTTGACACCCACTAGACCAGGGGGGCTTCATGTGGAGCACATATGCACGGGGTATGGGGTTATGGGGAATGGTAATGCATTGCACATGGAAAGTTGCGGAACGGAGAAGGCGGTGGAACATTTCTGTAGGCAGCGTGATATGAGTGGACATCGAGTTTGCAACAATGACATTGCAGTATCGCAGGACGGACGGGACTTGAAATCCGGAGGCGCAACCTAGGAGTTCGTGGCACTTAGATTTAGGCTTTGCCAATACCCACGATAGATGCCGCACGCAGGGTAGATACGGTAACCAAGATTGAGACATGGGCAGCATATCGTGTAACTATGCCCTAACTTCGATGGCATCCAAATAGCAACAGCCGCAGACACCCCCATTGAGCTGCTAAACAGAGTCGTCATTGTTTCTTTTATTAGCTGAAAACATGGAACATGAAGGAGCAAAAGGGTGGTCAGGATTCACGGAGTCAGGCGGTCACGAGTCGCTTCAGGGGCTAACACCCCCACCATCTTCCATCCGTGGCTGCTGCCAAGTTCGAAAGTCATCCCCCAGCTTTGTTGGACAAACAAGGTACCCCACTGGGGAAATGAGGGATTATCGCTGCCTTGATTGGTGCCATCGTAGGCCAAGCCTCGCTTTCCCTGCAGGTCGGGTCAGATGCCGGGCTGATCAATTGAAGGGACTGGACGGAGCAACAACTAAGGTCGATTGCTTTAGTCTCTCTCTCTCTCTCTTCATGCCGACCTTCATTTGACGGGCTTGTGTGCCACTGCTTTTTATTTTGTTGTCAAATTGTTTCTGGCCCATTCCATAGTGTGTACACTTTGCGTGTTTCCTAACTTTCAAGCAAGTGGACTTCGCTCCGTTTCGTTTGGAACGAGCCTCTGACGGATGGTGTTACGATCCTCGACGACATTCGCATGTGCTTTTGAGTTTTGTACAACTCAGTGTCAGTGAAGTCGCTTGTTGAAGTGTCCGCTTGTGACTTCCCATCGGCTTCTACCCGCTCAGCGGTGCTTCCGCTCGGCGGTGCTCATCTTTATCAAGTCAGAAGCAACACCCTCCTAGGCCTCACTGCGAAGCTTCATTCCCGTTGTTCTGGACATTTATCCTCGCCTCCGACCACGCGCCTGCTGGCATTGGATCTGCCTGGACGATTACGCATTTGATCCGCCGAGACACATCGAGATCAGTTGATGGAGCATATCGCCTAGCATGCCACACCTGACACTCCCTTCAAGCGACGTCGACCCTACCAACCGCCGCCATGACACACCTAGTCATTCCTACGCTCCACATTAGCCCAGCCCCGTCATGCAAGTTCTCGAATAAACATCCGATACCGAAGAAAGGCGGAAGTAAACAGATTAGAAACTCTGCGGTCCAGCCACTATCGCGGGCCCTCAAGAGCGTTGGGGATATTGTTCTCTCTATCAAAGATGGATTGACCGAGGCGGAGCGCGAGGAGAGGAGGTTGCTGGAAGAACGCAAACAGATCCTCGCTGCCAGATTGCACAATGCCGAGACGCACACGCAGTGGGAGGCGGCGGCGCATGAGCTGGATATAATCGAAGGAAACGAGCAGTGGAAGGCCGAAATATCCACCGGTGATTACAACCCCGATCTGATCGAGTCGCGATTGGAAGCCCTGGATAAGGCCCGAGGCAAATCCGACCTACGCGCCATGATGCATCTTGTGCGGACCGCCTTGTCGAGAGATTTGGGTGGGATGGGCAACATTGATCTATACCGGCATTCGCATTGCGGTACGAAGAAGTTGATTGAGCAATATGTGGATTCAACGCTGAAGACCATCACTGCCATGGTGGACCTGAGCTCTCGGCCCCTGCCCCAAGATCTGGAGCCCAAGGATCTGCTCGATGCGGTGCTGTTTGCACGCCAGAGCTTCGGACGGAGTGCGCTTTTGCTGAGCGGTGGAGGCACATTTGGCATGACCCACATTGGCGTTATGAAGGCATTGTTTGAGGTTAAACTGCTGCCGCGCATCATCTCGGGATCATCGGCCGGCTCCATTATCTGCTCCATCATCTGCACGAGGACCGATGATGAGGTTCCACAGTTGTTGGCCGAGTTTCCCTATGGCGACTTGGCCGTCTTCGAAGAGGAAGGAAATGAGGATGGTATTCTGGATCACTTGCGCAGGCTTCTCACCGAAGGCAACTGGTCCGACATCAAACACTTAACTCGCGTGATGCGGAATCTCCTTGGCGACATGACGTTCCAGGAAGCCTACAATCGCACTCGAAGGATTTGCAACATTTGTGTATCGTCAGCATCCATCTACGAGCTCCCACGGCTGCTCAATTATGTCACGGCACCGAACGTCATGATTTGGTCGGCCGTCGCAGCGTCTTGTTCGGTGCCCCTCGTATTCAGTGCGGCTCCGTTGCTGGTGAAGGATCCACTCACGGGCGAGCATAATCCATGGAACCCGACGCCTCAGATGTGGATTGATGGCTCCGTCGACAACGATCTTCCCATGACGAGGCTTGCCGAGATGTTCAACGTCAACCACTTTATTGTGTCCCAAGTTAACCCGCATGTGGTTCCTTTCCTAGCCAAGGACGACACGCCAGGCCCGAATCCGAGCACCCGCCCGTCGACGTCCAAGGATGACACCGATTGGATGTACACCATGACGCAACTTGCGAAGAGCGAAGCCCTTCATCGCATGCAGTTCCTGGCCGAGATTGGCTTCTTCCCCAACCTGGTCGGCAAGTTGCGTTCGATTCTGAGCCAGAAGTACTCGGGCGACATCAACATTCTTCCAGCAATAGGAGTGATGGACTTCCCCAAGATTTTGAGGAACCCGACAACCGAATTCATGTTGCGCTCGTGTCTGCTTGGCGAACGCGCAACCTGGCCCAAACTGTCACGCATTCGTGATCGATGCGCCATTGAACTAGCCTTGGACCGCGCGGTGCATTCTCTGCGAGCTCGAGTGGTGTTTAGTAAAAGCCAAGTCGACCTTCGACGCATGGCAGCTGGAAACTTCAAGTCTGCTTTCTTCCGGGGCAGTCATGAGCCGCTGAACGCCATGGGCTCCCAGGCTCAGACCCTGAGCATGTCCCCGAAAGAGAAGAACAAGCATCGCCAGAGGCGATCCAGTGTTACTCATTTTCAATTCATGCCACATCACCAGAGGCTGGTCGATGAACCATACAAGGTGACCGACGACGATACAGACGAAGAGGAACGACTGGAGGTCAAGGGTCGACGGTTATCGAATCCCAAGCTGAAGTTGAAACTCAAGCGACATCCTAAAAGCAACCCTTCTCTGATGCAAATGCAGAGTGGGCCAATGACCATGCCATATCTGAGCTCCATCAACGACGCGAACGTCTTCGATTTTGCCACCAAACCTCCTTCGCCTGCACAGAAACCGGCCGATCGGCTTATCATCAAATGGCCTGCGGTAGCGAAAACCTCTTCGCCTCAGTGCGGTGCCGACTTTGACGACAGCCCCAACATCACCGCCGCTGAAACGGCGTCCATGACATCTCCGAACAACGATGCCACCCATTTAAACGAGATGGAGATTACCGATCTCTACTCATCCGACGCCGATGTTGACAGCCACACTGATGAGAGTGCGGCTGAGCAATTCCTCGAGTCCCCTGATTTAGCCGCGGAGACATGGCTTCATGAAATGGACAGTCGGAACAAGCACACGGCCCTCGTGAAGGAGGACATGTTCTCCCACGTTCGACGCGAGCGCATCTCGGGGACCAGTTTCCCTGATGCGGTTGATCCCGGCGCTGGGTTGTGGAGCTGACTCGTCGATGGGAGGGTGAGCTCTGAAGACGAGCAGGAGAGGCAGAGTGAGAGGGAGAGTACGACGGTTAAGGGGACCGCCACGACAGTTACGATCAGGGGAGAGATGCGAGATAACGACGAGGAAAGCAGAGGTGGGTGGTTAGATCTGGATTAAGACGTACGCGGGCGGGGTTCGTTGGGTTTCGTTGCATTGGTCAGTGGTTTGATGCCGCATTACGGGTATTAACTCTACAGTAGTGGTGGAGCATGCGGGAACTATGCATTATAGGTTACATTGCATTATTACATAGCAAGACAGTCGCATTTGGTGCCTTCGCAGGGCCCTGGTGGCGGGGCGATTCATGATGATTAGAATGCGGTCGGTTGCATACAAATGGTGCATTAGGGGGATAGGAATATCACAGGAATATCATACTTGCATTATTATTACTTCTCAATTCTCGAGATGCTTATCTTACATGGAATCCTTTTCCCGGGCAATCCTGCCGCTTCTACTCATCGTGTAATTTACAATACTACTGTACTATATGGTGGATCGTCTAGGGAGTAAACGTATTTTAACAGTCCAAATTCTCTTACCCCTACCAACTCGTCTTATTCGTAATCTAGGGCTCGCTTAGAGAAGTCGTGCCCTCAATTAATGGAAACATGCCGTCGCCGGGCGGCAAATGCATTTGCTCCAGCCATCGGTCGAGAAACTCCAGCTCTCGGAGGCGACACTGCTCACACCGTTGTTGACATACGTGATCGTGGTGACGGTCGTGGGGTGTAACTTGAGGTTCATTGGGCGGCCTGTTGACGACCGAGTCGGCTGCCTGAGTGCGGGCGTTGAGTTGGTACTTCTAGATGTAGTATGACTAGCATGGTTGAACATATTATGTAAAGGCATCACATAACGGCCATCCCATCACAGGACTTGCCTCCGCCCTGTGCCCACTTACGAACACCCCACGTGAGCCTCTATCGCAAGAAGACAAAGCATCCCGCCAAGATTGGGGTATCTAGCTGCTACGTTGAGGGCTGTCTTGTATTCATACTGCCCAAATAACAGCGGAAATCCGTCGACGCCCACGCCGTTGGGCTGCACCAGCGCCTGTATTACACCGGGCGAGATGCCAGGGCTGTGTATTTGCTCCAGCAGCTGCCGGCGACCCTCCTCGAATCTGCGCCCCCCCAGCGGAACAAGGAGCTCGACCATGGACGCGCTGCGCGCTCATGTCGGCCGAATAAAGTTGTGTAGTCGGGCGGGATAGCGTCCCGGAGCAGCCTGGCCTTCTTGGGGTTATTGGATTTCGCCGCCCGCATGACGAGCTGGTCACGGAACTACGATGACTCGTAGAGGCCTGTGACGTGCTTTGGGAGGAGCCGCAGGGTCGGGAGGGTCTGGTGCAAGGACGGGGTTACGAGGAGGGTGGCCCGGTGGATTAGTGGGTGCATCCAGTAGCGGCCTAAATACCGGGTGGGTTCCTGGCGGCGCAGCATCCCGTGGATATCCCGGTCGTCTTCTACTTTTGACTAGAAACCTTTCAGGCTTCTTATGGATTGCATCTGTTCGGACGCTCCGTACAGGAGTAGGGGGGTTTCAACAACCGAGAAGATGCGCTGAAGGATATCTGTGTTGATGGGGACACTGCGTGGTGCACCGCGCTGCCGCTGAAAATATTTTCCACATTTTTACTTCAGGAAAAACTGGTTGCGGCGAGGTATCGATGTTCATTGGCTTATAGGAGAATGTGGTACGTCAGCTCGTCGGACAAGGTTCTCATCCACCACTACTAGATACAATCGTGCTGTGTTGGAGGTGGGTCGATATTAGGTGAAGACAGTGGTAGGGGAGACGCATTGAAGCTATTTTGAATTATTGAGTAGTTGTCTGGTTGCTTTCGTATTGATAATGTTGAAGTTAACATTCTTGTAGATCGCCGCGTGAACTTATCCGAGTCATGGATTGTCAGATGCAATAAGCCACAGTGGCGTATAGGCCTTGTATAGACAGTGGGCACTAGTGACTTGCCAGACCCTGGCCTATGCGAAGGTCGGCAATGTATAAATAGGCTGCCGTGCCTCCACCCCTTCACCCCCCCCCCCCCCCCCTTCTCTTGAGGAGGGGCAGCGACTAACTTGTCGTGACTGAGTCCCCTACATTACACTGCTAGTACCCACCTGGTGACGGGCAACCGACTTCTCTCTAGCACTCTCGTCCTTCACTCTGTACTTGAAATGTCCGTAACATGGATACAGCGAGTTCTAGGCTGTAGTTGTAAAGGATTCTATCCTCTTATATCCTCTTATATCCTCTTATATACTCTTATATACAACATGGAATAGCCTTAATTAAGTTACCTGCAGACATTATCACCATCACCCCTGACGATATTTTGAGCTCTGGCCCAGTCCCTATTTGCATCCATGAGAAACAAATAACTCTGGCTGTTTTCTTTTCTTCCCGAGAGCCGGACCATCCCAGAAATTTTAAACTTATCTGTTATAATCCATATTACTACCTTCTACTTGCGTGCGAGGCATTCGGCGAAAAGGTGAGTACAGGCTGCATCCTCAACGGTTATGGCGCTGCCGGTCCTACCCTCGGTTGCTATTTCCCGATTCTCTACATAAGTTTGTGCGCCGCTCTCGATGACATTGAGAGAATCTACACACAGGATCACAAGCTCAGCGGTGAGTTTAACGGGGAGGAACATCACTATAAGGGATGCCTTACCGATACTTCAGCCTTCCTTGACGTAAAGGATTACAGATTTGCTGAGACGTAAATGGATCCTTGGAAGAAAAGATGCGCAAAATAATCTCCACGACTAAACTTGTTTGACGAACAAGAAAACTGAGGCAAGGACTTTTGTCACATTCAGTGGCGTGGCTTGGCAGACGAAGTTCGAAGACTTGGCTGGTGCCATACTCGATCGGGTAGTTGAGGGACACTATCGGAAAGTTGTTGGAACAACTGTCGACGGGACTCCCGTCGTCCATTTTCAAATAACAATCTGGGGTCTCTTATCACGAGCGCTATTTTCAGATATGGAAGCCCTCGTCCGGCGGTTAGAAAAGTTCAAGCATCTCAAGTCGGGGACAGAAACAGCCATGGTGTTCAGAAGTCCTACAGAGGAGGATTAAGTCGATCTACGGGGAAAAGGGGCCACAAAGGGTTAGAGAAGAGACAGCTATCGATGGAACTCCACGGCGGGTGCAAGTTATGTGACTTATCAATTCGCAAACCACCTGGGCGCCGGTGGGTTCGACAACAATCAACAAGGATACTTGACCCAGTACGGGACCATTCTTTTAGATCATGATCACTTCTATTTCGGGGCTCAGCGTCGTCACCCGGCTTGCGGTTAGCTTGGGGGTCACGGATTCGCTTCATACTTCGAGCAAGACGAAATGGCAGACGTCACATGAATCTTGAAACTCCAGCAGAGAAGCTGGTAATTTGCAGATCAGAGGAGCAGGTTCTACTCTAACCCACAAGCTCGCCACGTACTTGGCATGTCTTCAAGGTCTGAGGAATTCCGGCTTCAAGCGTAAAACCGAAGATGGCAACCGATACATTTTATACCCCGGAGAGTTCATGGCGAAGGACGGATCCCGGAGAACGGCCTGAGATGACCAACCCCCGGCGAATCCTAATATAAATGAAATGCTCATGTTCGAGTAATGCACTCGGTCAAACATCATATCATTCATTGCAGCAGGTATACGCCAACATCCCTCGACATTGAATGGGGGTTAACGTCTTCAACCCCCCGATGAAATAGATGTCTTATCTCTTCCACGCGCCCACATGTCTTATCTAATGATGGCCTGATACGGCGCCCAACGTGCCGGTGTCGCGACCCCCAACTGGACACAATCCGGGGTTGAAGCTTGGACCCTCCCAGTTGGATGAAACTGCTAGGCTGGTTATCTCTTGGGAAGGGGACCCCTGTCCTGATTACCGGTTGTTATTGTTCGTTCGGGATACCCCACTATCTCATGTGAAACTGCAGCGCTTTTCATTAGTGATTGTCAGCTGTCACCTACTGGACACTAAGACCCTTGCTTTCGCCTTGTCACATTACAACTGCTCTATTATGCTCTATTATAGAAAACTCATTATGACTGCTTCGTGCGGGGAACAGAGACGTCTTGGTGTGTGGCAGGCCTTGAGCATTGATAATCGCCTACGAGACGTGAGCAATGAGATGCAGGATGAGATGGAGGCTAGCCAGTAGGCAGGATAATAAAACGCCACTGTTCAGAGCTTTAGGGCACTTGATAAGAAACCTGCTGACTTGATGCTCGGCTAGGTAGGTATCATCTGGCCCCTGGTCACTTTTGCGGACCGTCACACCGGTTCGAGCGAGCCCGGAGCCTTGGGAACAGCGATAAGTGGTCCTGTATAGCCGTATGGAGCCAGTACATGCGACTATCAGGATTTCGGGACTGCAGGTCTGGTGTCCGATAGCCAACCCAACGACCAAGGTCAACCTGCAGCAGCCAGCTTGCAACCATGAGATAGCAGCGCGATAATAAGGTCCAGAGTCGTAATGCAGCGCAGACGTCCCCTCATCTAAGGTACGGAAAGGAGGTCTATAAGTCTGGCCACTCTCCAGATGTTAAAATTAGGTTGGAATTGATCGTCCCCTCAGACGCCAGGCAAGTTTGCTCTTACAGCGACCGAGTCAATATGACACAGCAAGCCACCGTAATCCACGGTGTTGAGCCTAGCTCAGCGGCCATGGACACTATCGAGCCCGCCAAGGAGAAATCAACCGTAGACCATGACGATGTCGAAAGCCTCAAGCACATGGCCGTCTCAGTTGACCTGGGCGAAGAAGGCGCGCAGAGGATCGAGCTCATGCAGCAAAGCTGGGGCAAACATGGTACTTTCTGAACATTCCTAATGAAAGCAGCCTCCTAATCACAATTAAATAGGCAAGAAATGGATTTTCGTTGCCCTGGCATTCTGCATGATCGTATAGTGAGTGACCGGCCCTATACTCATGTATATACTTTTACTTGCTGCTGACACCGATCCCAGCGAACTGGACGAAACCACCTATGCCACCTACTTCAACTATGCCCTCTCTGACTTCCGCAAAACCTCCTCCACCTCGGCCCTTGGGGTAGCCACCAACCTGACCTTTTCCCTCACCAAACCAATCTGGGCCAGGTCCTCCGACATCTTCGGCCGCGGCGAAATTTATCCGGCCGCCCTGGCCTTCATCCTCGTTGGTCTCTCCGTCGCCGCCAGCGCGAGCTCCTTTTCGGCCTTCGCGGCGGGCACTGTTCTCCGTGTGGTCGGACTCACCGCGCTCAACTCACTCAACACCATCGTCGTGGCGGATCTGACCACTACCCGCCAGAGAGGGTTTGGTGTCAACTTCCAGTTCTTCCCGTACATGGTCCTGCCCTGGGTCTCGTCGTACATCGTGGACAAAGTCCTGTCGCCCGGCGGTATCGGTTGGAGATGGGGTATCGGGATCCTAGCCATCGTGTTTCCCCTCGGCATCGTGACCATCACCTCCGTCCTTCTCACCTTCCAGCGCCGGGCCAAGAAACTCGAAACCGGGGCCGTCAAAAAACCCAAAATCACCCTCTTGGGCGTATGCTCTAACATCGACCTCGGGGGTCTGTCAATCCTCATCGTTTCCCTAGCCTTCATCCTCCTCCCCCTATCCCTCGCCGCCCTTGAGCCCACTGGATTCCGTACTCCCTGGGTCATAGCCCTGATTGTAATCGGCAGCGTGGGCCTCCTAACCGCCTTCCCCTTCTACGAGGGACGCATCGCCGCCCACCCCTTTTTACCGTTACGCTACCTGCGGCACAGAGCTATAGGCCTCGCCTTCCTCCTCTACTTCACCGACTACATGGCCGCGGGCGCCAGCCACGGCTACCTGTACAACTGGGCGCTGATCGCGCAGGGCTTCAACATCATGCAAGCCACAAACCTGTCCTACGTGAACGCGGTGCTAACCTTTGTCACGGGCACCCTGTTCGGTCTGGTTATGTGGAAAACCCGCACGTACAAATGGTGGATCATGGCCGGGTGCGTCGTCCGGATCGTCGGGTACGGCGTCATGTTTCGGATCCGGAACGCGAACCCGAACATAGCGGAACTGTTCATCATCCAGGTCGTGCAGGGGGTGGGTGACGGGATTGTGCAGACGGGGGGTTATGTCGCGGCCACGGTGAATGTGCCCCATCGCGAGACGGCGCAGATGACGGCGTTGATTGTCATGGTCGGCATGTTGGGGAGCGCCGTGGGGGATGCGATTAGTGGGGCGATTTATACGGGCACGTTTAGGCAGGAGTTAGCGAAGCAGCTGGGGGCGCAGGGCACGCCTGAGTTGGTGGAGGCGCTGTTTAATTCGATTGATGTGTTGATTCCCGAGTGGGGGACGCCGGATAGGGTGGCTATTAATACGGCGGTGAGTATTGCCGAGTCGCTGGCCGAGGTTTTGGAGACAGGGTGCTGACTTGCTTGCAGTATAACCATGTGACGTCGTACTTCTTCATTGCTGCCATGGTGATCATTGCACCAGGGTTTCTGATTGTGTATTTCTTGCCAAATCAGAAGTTGAAGTATGTTCTCCCCCGAAACATAACGCGAGAACAGCGTGCTGACCTCTGGACAGCGACAGCCAAAATCTCATCGAGGACCACGGCATGTTTGGTGACAACCAGCCGATTGTCGAGTCTACTGAGCCTCTCGGAGAGACTGAGTCGAAGGGCCTGTCGGATAAATGATACACAGGTAATTCGCTAACACCTTAGCTTATAATATGAATATGCGCCCAATTAAATAGATAGTATGGGAATTGAGACTCGAATATCTATGTGCCAGAACCGGTGAAAATGAACACAGAAATCGACGGGCTGCCAGCTCTTTGTCAAACTCTTGCACATATATGTAGAAGAACAAAGCTGGAGTATACCGATCCGGCAGCAGCACAGTAAGAGCTCGACGCATTTCTTCAACAAAGCCCCCTTGTTCTTGTTAGCCTGCCTGCATTTGCTTCTTGAAACACCGCCTAGTTCTGCTATTATGCTCACTTGTCAAATTTCCGTCGGAAAAAGTATGGACGAGGAGGACTTGGCAAAGGTGCAAATGAAGCTCAAGGCCTATTTTAGCAGCGAACCGAGGTATCACTTCGATGGGGTGATCGGCGGGGGGGCCAACGGCATTGCCTACAAGATCACGACGCCAAATAAGAAACTGGTCCTGAAGATATGTCCGCTCGGGGTGGATCTGGGGGATGGCAAGCCGCGCGACGACGATGACGACGAGGAAGCGTCCCTCCCTGAAGAAGTGGCATCACTGCAGTCCGAGGTGCAATGGCTACAGGTCAGTCTTCGTTCTCCTTCTCCGCTCGGCCCCTTCTGAAACGCGTCTGGAAGATAGAAACTACGTGGCTGCGCGCATATTGTACAAACTTTAGATATTCCCGGAGACCCTCTACTCCGGAATGCCCCCGAGGGCGTCGTGCCGCACGGTATGGGTGCCTGGACATTCATGGAATATGCCGAGAACGGGACGCTGTTCGACATGATCGGCAAGTACCAGAATTTGTACGCCGGCCAGGTGTTTCCTAATCGTGTACTTTGGAGGTTTTTCATGTGCTGTAGGTGTTACAAGATTTCTTCTTTGGGCGGGTCTAGCCTACTGACAAGCTTACACACAGTAATCCGAGCTTGCGTAGAAATGGCGTACTACGATTCCAAGGATGGCGACGTCCGAGTGGATCCTACGACGGTGCCTTTAGAACACCTTGGGGGAAGACCCCCTGGAAATCTCGCACACATGGATATAAAAGGGTCGAATATCGTGGCGGGAGCATTGATACCGGGATTCCAGACACGGGAGCACGATATTACGCCTATACTTAAACTAATCGACTTTGGTGAAGCGCAGGAAATAGATGACGCTTACAGAGAAAGAAACGCCGACTTGATACGCTTCGATGCAGATGGTTCGCAGACCAACATCCAGGATTTTGCTTTGGCAAGTTATTTGTTACATTTGGAATCTTATGTCGCTTCATCATGCTGATAATCTCGTAGGTTATGGTCCCTCTCATTCTCGTAAAAGACGATTCCGATCTAGATTTGGGACGGGAAGCAACCATAACGTTCAATGGCGCTACCTTTAGATCCAGTTGCGGTACCCTATCTGACCAACGGGCGGTGCTCATCGGAAAAGGTGTGGGCGCCGACTTGATTGATCTGGTTTGTGCCTGCCTGGCATTGGATCCGAAGTTCCGGCTTGGGCTAGTGGAATTGGCGTTATATGTTCGACAGCAGGTGTTGGTAAGGGATGTCGCTTTTTATGGGAATAGAGCGTGGGAAACCGACGGAGATATTGTACAACGAGTGTCAAGTTTGCTAGTTGATGCTGGGATCCCGCCAGTTGCTAATACGGCACCGGGTCCTGGAACAATGTTACGGGCTACCAAGCGACGTAGGGAGTCCGAAGAGGACGCGATCGAGGTCGATCAGGTGGATCCGAAACGAAGGCGGCGGAATATAGAGGCAGGTTCTATAGCCATTGATTGATAGCTAAGTCTGTAACACCTAGTTAAGATTATAAGACAAACTTCATGTTCTTATAGTAGAAGTAGCACTAAATAGGAAATGCAATGTGGATATTTTTCGGGAGGTATAGTGTAAATATGGGGCTTGCCTAGGGTGTTCTTTGCTGGCTAATTGAGCCCATGCTCGTGAGCACATGTCACAAGGCACTTGTCATCCACCCCATAGCATGAGACAGAATATCAGCGCAAGGGCAGTCGGGACCTAGAGCAAAGGCTTTGACTTGGATTTGTGACGAAGCTGGCTAGAGTGTTGAATGTTATAATGACCACAAAGCCATTGTTTCAATGATTCAACTTTGTATCCGCATAATAAAATAGCCGCGCTGCCCACGTATTAATAACCTCTTTAGCCCAGGCTGCACGTCATTCATACATTCAGCATTGGGACTGCCATGCCCTTCTGGCCACCATGTCTGTCCCACCTCCCGCTTTACGCAAGAAGCTTTCCAAGTCCGACAAATCCAAGGCTGAGACCAGCCCCGATTATCTCGAGGGAAAAGGAAACCCAATGCAATACGAGCAGCGATAGGGCTGCACTCTGTCCCGAGACCCCCCACCGCATCGCCCAAAACTGCCGAATTCAAACACGGCGATATTTTCTGTTCCCCTGTCGTCTTTCCGGTCCACTATTTGAAAAATTTACCTCCGTCGCTATTATCTCGCGTACGGCGGGTCGAGGTCGACGAAAACGGTCTCACCAAAGAAGGTATCCCAAACCTCGACATTAGAGCCTGCTGCTATGATTTGATTCCGTCTCTATCTTGTCGTCTCCTGGCTGAAGAATAGTCTCTTCGTCGCTGCTCTACAGTCAAGTACTTATAACTTGTTAAAGCTGATCGGATCAGACAAGGGGTTGACGCTGTTGCCGCTAAAGAAGGCCCCATACGGCATTTCTCGTTCAAATACGCCTTGCAGCACGACAGGTTGCAGTCGTTGTGGCTTGAGGCCCAATTGCTCGAATCCCTGCCGCCCCATCTCAATATCACTCTCGACTAACTCATACGGGACTACGAAGCAGAGGTCCCCGGCTTTACCTCGAAGTATATCGAGGGGGGCAACCTCTAATACAGCCTAAACCGATGAGTAGCCCACACAAGCATTTGATTTCCTGCACATGGAGATGGGCATTGCACACAACGACATCCAGCCGAAGAACCTGCTCATTGACTCCACAACCAACAGTCTCCAGTTCTCCGATTTCGGCGATGCGAAACCGGCGGCCGTCTGTGATGATTCGAGGGACGTTAGCTTTATCCAGCGGTGTGTGTATGAGATTGTGACTCGGGATTTGGACCCGCGCCGGGAAAGTTGGAGAACAACCTACGAGGCACAAGTTTCCAGTTATCTAACAAGTAGACTCGGTTCGGGTTGGTTAGAACAACATCTGAACATCAACAGTATAAAGACTACATACCTGGGTATATGATCAAAATTGGTAGTAGGAAGGATTGGTATGATTACTATACCTTGAACCATGACCCGTCGTGATGATAAGCTGCCCGCTTGGGAGCAGATCTTGCATTCTTGGCATGCCTTTGTTCGAAATTGCTCATAGTGGCCGAGCAAAACATTGACGAATTTCTCTTGCCGTTGGAAAAGACCTTCTCGACACCGAGGTGATGAGAGCGGAAAGGACACAAAAACCCAATAAGGCCCAGCCCAGCCCAGCCCAAGCAATAATAAGAACGAGCACACACATACACCACTTCAAACCAATTTCCCTACCATAACACAAGCAATCGTCCCAATCATCAAATTGAATTATATGTTTACAGTACCAATCCCTCACCCCATCGAATATCCATCCTTCATCCATCCAATACCCTCACAAATGGCCCCACCCTCGCATACGAACGTAACCTCGACTCAATTCAATTCAACACGATAGCCGCCACAATGACGCATCCTTAGTTCGTATGATAAAACTCCGTGGCCATGAAGTGTGTCGTGATTCATAGGTCACTCCCCAGCTATGGAGCAGCGTCTACACCCCATTATTCTGTTCCGGACTCACTAGATGACTAGATAGAGTCTCTGCAACCGTCTCTTTAGTCCCGGACTCAGCAGTCGGGGTCTCTGCCGCCAGTTCTGTCTCCATTCCAGTCTCTCCAGGCGCACAACGCCTCCCCTCTTCTTTTCCCGAATCGCCATACGCAGGGGTGTCCTTCTCCCCACCCGACTCCTCCTCTTCCTCTCCATCTTCACTTGAAGGCGGCGTATCAATAACGAACCGCTCCGCACTCCAGTCAGTTTTCCTCGGTACACTCGGCGATTCGTCCTACGAACCCGCAATGCCCAGTCCAACCCTGCCACTATACCTATCAGCAGCCATCTGCCTCTCCAAGCCGCGTTCGCCTCGGGACGACCCGTCGTTATCTCGATTCCGGTCGACGGTAGCGCGCATTCTCCGGCCCTCCATGAGCCCCCTAAGCCCACGTTTCTGCAAACCAATAACACTGCTCAACTCGGCGCTCCAGACCTCCCGCACAGCGCCGCGTTCGCTATCTCCCAGCTCGCTGCTCCATTCGCTGCCGCTGACGCTGGCCGTGGCGCTGAGTTCGTCGCTGCCTGGTCGGGCGCCTGGGACGCTGGTGTTGATTCTCAGGCCGCTGTGGGAGCTAGACGCTCCGTCGATGCTTGACTGTGAAATGGAGAAGGATCGCCCATTTACCGAGCTTGGTGATAGAGAGGCCTCACCCTGGAGGAAGAAGTTGGGGTTCAGAGTGCCGTCGATACCTCGCCCGCCACCAGCCGCCATGGCAGTAGCATTGAAAACAGCTGCGGCGTTTCGGGAGTCGAGTAGAGCATGAAGTCTCTCCACCACCGCCTCGAGAAGGCCGTCGACCTTGTAGGGCCGGGAGATCTGCAGTAATGAGCAGAGGATTTGTGGTGTGCATAGTGGCGAAGATGGCGGCGGTAATGAGGATGTGTAGAGAAAATGTAACAACGCCTGAATGGTGAGGTAGGTGTGTGGGAGGTAAAGACATCGCGGTCGTGAGTTTGGTGGTAGGGAAGCCGGAGTAGGTGCCGAGTTGATGGTGGCCATGTCTGACGGCCCGTTGGACACCGTAGTACCCGCTGTACTAGGAGGCTTCATCGACCCAGAAGACCCCGGCTGGTTGCCAAGCGTAGTGGCCGTCGAGAAACTGCTGTCGGTAGTGCTTCTGTTGTTTTGAGTGATGGTCATGACTGAGACCCGATTGCCGGCGGGCCCCGAAAACGCCGTCCTCAACGTTGCCGCGTCACTACCGTCCTGCGTTGCCGCCCCTTCACGAAGCAATTGCACAAAGTACGGACCCCATCGCCTACCGACGATACGCGAGTTGATCGGAATACGCTCTCCGCCAATACACAGAATGTCCATGTCGGACAACTCACGCAGACCCAAAGCCTTCTCGCCGAGTTCTTCCGCCGCTCGGGAGTGAAATCGACCACCTGCCGTCCAGCCTGCTTTCCTTGCTAGACTAAGACCCGGCATAACGTACGGGCCACTTGCCGATACGAATCCGGACATGGGTGTGCTCTTCCGGGGGTTGTCATAGAATCCAAATGCCTCGAGTTCCACCATGCAGACGTTTGAGAAGTTGATCCGACGATGGTTGTAATCATCAACAAGGCTCCTCTTACGGTTACCCAAGATGACGAATGTGTTTCTCCGACTCCAAAGAATTCCCCTGTTCCAACTCCCTTGGCTGAACACGCTTCCACCGGCGTCTATACGTGACCACGTCAAGGTCTTCAGATCCAGTGCCCACAGAGCGTACTCTTGCTTCGAGCTCGTGAGGTACGTTCCGCTCACGACAAAGTACGAATCGATGACTCCCCCATTAGGGAAGCGCAAACCGGGTGGTGAGTATGGCCCCAACATAGGCTTCTCGGCCAAAGAGCCATCCGTACCGCGAATCTGAAGTTCCAATTTGACATCCAAAAAGTTATAGTTGGAGTAGATCAACATGGAAGAACCCGGGTCTCGTGCTTCCTGGCTGATGCTCGACTCTTGTCGTTGAGCGTTGAGGGTTGACTTGCCAATCTTGGCAGCGACGGCCGGCGGAAGTGGTGCGACAACGCTACGGTACGCGCCACAGGACTTACCAAGCGATTGTGTCGAGGTCCACTTGAGGCTCCGCAGGTTGAAGAGGCTGATTTGCTCGATGTAATGGTTTGCTCCGTCCTGACCGCCAACCACAATCATCTCAGCACCGCCCGATCCGTCAATGTTAATGCCGATTCGGCCCTCGTTAGGGTTTCCGCTGGAGGGATTATGTTGGAGCGCAGCCAGAGGGGCCTTGTGGGAGGAGAAGGTCGCCGATGACGGCAATATGCACGCGCAATGCGCGTATCTGCCTTGTGGTGCGTCGTGCGTAGGAATATACGTCCATTTCCTAGTTGTAACGTCGTAGATGTGAATGTCCGACATGACAGCGATTTCTGGACCGTCCGGATTCCCCGAGGGCGGCTGGGTGGCGGACGGTGACATGCCTCCATAGCACACCATCTTGGTATCACCCAGAGCACACATCGAGTGAAAGTATCGAGGCGGGGGAATGTCGCCGGAAGTCTCTAATTTTGTCCAATGTCTTCGTATCAAATCCAACTCATACAAATCTGATGTCAGAGGAGCAGGTCGACTGCGTGACAATATTCTACCACCAAAAACGTATAACTTATCGCCCACTATCGTTGTGGTAGCGCCCACCAACGGATGAGGTTCGCGACCCGTGGTTCGATGAACATTACACATCAGGCCCGAGAGATGTGTGGAAGAGCCCGATGTGGAAGGCGTACCGACGGCCTGGCCCATCTGAGGCGTTCGATTTGTCGTTGTCGAGGCCGCCGGTGGAGATGGCCCAGCGGAAAGCGGTCCGTTGCTTCGCGGGGTCGAGGTGTCCTTCTGACTGTTCTGACCCTGGCTCTCTCCTCTTTCGTCTGCCCGCGAAGAACTCGCCAGGCTGTTCTGACTACTGCTCAAATCAAGACCCTGATACATCTGGCTGCTGGGTGGCGGCATGGATGTGGTGGAATCCATGGTGCTCGTTCGACTGTCCATGTCGGCTTCGTATTCAGTATCGGCTATCGTGCTCAGGCTCTGGACTTGAGCTTGCGCTATGTGAGCCGACGCGAGCGGTGTCAACGGGCTCGCCGGCGAAGGTTCCGGTGGCGGTTCTGGAAGCGGTTTCTCGAGACTGCTCTGCAGGCTTGTGTTCCGAGCATGCTGCGAAGGCTCGGGTGTGTATGTGCGATGGACTGGCGTCCCGGGACCCGAACCCGAACCCGAACCCGAACCCGGAACCAGGCTCGGACTGTTGGAACCCGAAGAGAAGGCTTTCAAAGCAAGTCGAGACGGTGCCCTGCTGAGCTTGACCGAGTCTTCGCGCGACGGGATGGCCTTCCGGATGCCCCGGTAGACGTCACTGAGGATATCGGCGGTGGTTCTGGACGGTAACGACCTGTCGTGGTCTTGGGAATCGCTGTTGTCGTCGGATGACCACGCGCTCTCGCCTCGGTCTCCCTTATCGGCTAATCCGCCTGCAAAGCGTGATATTAGTCCGTGTTTCGACATGTTAACCGCCCTCGTCTCTGCCGACGCTGCGGCAAGTGCTAGCTAGAGCGATGCGCGGGAACCCCAAATCAAGGCAAAAGAAACCCAAATCAGGGCAAAACCGGGAACAAAGATGCAGAGAAGAAGTGATAGCAAAGACAATGCAAGTTCTAGCACTGCGCAGCCTGCCTGTCGCGGTGCAACCTTCTGACTCGAGGGCTGAAAGAGGTTCCAGAAATACAACGGTAGCAAGGGAGGAGGAGGCTGAAGGTGTAATAGCCTTTCTCAATATCGCCGTGGGCCCCTACGCTTCTTTGTAGCTTGGTAGCTTGGGAAGCTTGGGTGATGAACAAGATCAAGATCGCCCTCCAGCGGCTCCGCCCACGCGCGTGGTCGGGAGGAGGCTGACGAGGATCTTCAACGACGAAAGGGTTTCTTCCCGGGGTTGATTATGAGAATGGAGAAGTGCACACACAAAGGAAGGCGGACAAGGACGCTGAACAAGGCCCATAGAGCAAAATCAAAACGAGTCACGGACACATACCTGGGTCGGGATAGGGCAACCTTGGAGTCAAGATGAGGTTGCAATTTTAATTTCCAAGCTCTGGGGCTCCGAAGCGGATGCTCATCCGGTCGGTCACCGCGTGGATCTTTCACGACGCTTGATGGGCTCCTCAGGTGCGCAAATGATGGCAAGGAACAGAATGACCTGGCACGATGTCTCGTCGATGCGCACAGACGTACGCCGTATCCTTGAGGTGGAGTTGTGGTGCGTCGTTGGAATTCGAGGCGAGCAGTGGGCAGGCCAGGCCAGGCAGTTAGTTGCAGGAGGTCGCAATATCGGACAACAAATCGCACCAAGCGGCCGTCTCCACAGGCTTTCAAACGCTCAGCACAGCTTTCAACTGCAAGCAGCAGAGAAAGTCACTCGCAATTGTGGGTTGGGCCGTTCGGAGGAGGCCTGAAAGCCATCAGCCTGTCCAGGTTGTGGTTGAGTAGTCGCGACTTGTGGTGGAGAAGAGGCGAGGGGAGGCGAGGGGTTGAGGTTGAGAAAGGGCAGCACTCGTCATGGCCTGCATGTGCCAAAGGGGGAATTGTGGGTTCTGGGTAGGGGTGGTCGGAGGGCGCTACCCGGGGGTTTCGCAGGTCGCAGGTGCAATTGATCAATCAGACTGTTGACGAGGTCTTGGAGGGTGGACGGGAAATCGATGGGATTGATCGAAATGCCAGCTCCTCTGATGATCTTTCCGCATGTACTCAACGACCTGTGTGTCTTGATGAAGCGGAGGCTTGATTCTAATACATAGGATCAAGCGAACGCTCCGAGCTGCGACCTTGCAGGTTGCAGTCGTTTCTTTGATGGAACGAACTTGGGAGTCGGGATAGGCGCCATAAAATCGGCGTGGATGGGGGGCGTGGATGGGGCCAGAGCCTCCTCCTTGTACATAGTAGTGTAACTGGGAAACATGAAATGCGACATATTTAGATCTCGTCCACAACTGGAATGCGCTGCAACTTCAGATAATTGTGCGTTTCAATTGATTTTATCGCCTCGCATCATGTCCTGAGGCGAACCTTGATCACATCATGAAATGTGATTCCCTTCATACGGGGAATCCATATATTGATTGAGCTGTGTCAATGGCGCAGCGTTGTAACCTCGACACCGAAAACGCTCATGTTTCCGCAACACACACTAGGCCCTCGTTTAGGAACCATCGTGACAAGGATGAATAGGGGTGCCACACCGTCCCCCAAGCCATCTTTCGCGACTCGTCACTTTCGCAGGGCTCAAACTCGAATCGGTGTAGGGGATTAGTTCACTGCCGTAACGAGCACCTCCTCAAAAAGAAAACCACGAGGCGCACCTAGGATAATCACCTCGCTTGGGGATAATAAAGATTGGCCGAGGCCGTGAAATGTTTTGTTTCGCCGCCCCGCAATGTTTTAGCCTGGTGACCAACCAGTCTGGTCCAGGTTGTTCCTGCTCAAGCGTCTCCATCCCATCTGCACAGTAGCGCCAGCGCATAATGTCCGCACGCACTGCAGAGGGAACCCATCTGCATCTAGCACAGTAACAAAAAGTGGGAGAGGGTCTTCAAGTCAAGTTCAACCGATAAGCAAAAACAGATTGTTGCTTAATGCGCCTTCATCACTATGGAGAAAACTCAATCACCTGGAAATAAGCGCATAAGCAGCGGCGCGCGATTACTGCTTTGGGCCGCCTGCGAAAGTGCTCAGCTACGAGAGCCACTTTATCGGAGATTTCAAGATACCCTCTTAGGGTTTGATGCTTCCAAACGTTCTGCCCACCTTCCACGGATATTCGAGAAGTATTCCAAAGCCTTATTCCTTCTTTTAGCCTACGAAACTCGTGCTATCCTCGGACCTGGATAAGGCAAGAAACAAGACATCTCCGAACCCTCGGGGTTGCGCATGTCGTACCTTCCGTGTCTGGTCTCGACGCCTCTCTCAATCTTGGGCTTGTCGTCGGTTGGAGATGATACTGCCGTCGTATTACCAGGAAACTTTCCCATGTACGCGTATGCATTCCCATCACATGCGCCGTGGGAAGTTATAAGCGGCAACTCAGCCGAGACGTCTTGTCTTCAGACCTAACCGCCACTATCCCTGATTCCAATGTGCAGATGGCGAAAAGCGCTTAGGATCTCGGTGGCATGCTCGGGTTGACGAAGCTCCCTCTCAGAGCACATTTTTGGGCTTCCTGAGTATTTTGGGGTTCTAGCTCGGGCCATGGCAACCGAAACTTTCTATCTAGCTGATTTTCGGTCAATCTGACGGATTCAGCATGGGCACCCTCACCTATTAACGTTGGATGCGAGCCGTCTGACGACTAGTCGAGAATCCTGCCGCAGCCCTAAAATCATCACGAGTCATCAACCCAGCGCGCCCAGGCACCCGGATGAGTTCGGAAGCCATCTCCTTCTGCTGTCGGCCCGTCACCATGTCTGTGGATCATTCCCGATGCCCAGAACACCCTGGTATAAATGGAGTTTTGTCATCGGGGTAGAAGGTCGCCGGATAATATGTTGGCAAGGATGCAAGTGTTAATACACTGGGCTGCTCCCGTCCGTAGTATTGCGGTTCGTCCGCGGTAAGTAATCACTCTAACCACATACAATCAAACCCAAACCCCCACCTGGTTTCAGGTAGAATGTGCGTACCATCATGATGGGTGTCAAATGCATATTTCACGTAATTTGCGCGATGACGTGGTCTTGGACTATGGTTAAGGTTTTTGTTGTGTAGTTTTAGCAAGTTGTTTTTTATTTTGTTTCATGGAATTTATGGGATTAGGGGTCAATGGGATGAGTGCAGATCCCCGAGCTGGAGATCGTGGTTCCACACAGCGATTATTTCCAACGCGTCCTATGGTCCCCGATAGATCAATCCTTCGTCTACTGACTTCATGAGATCACATCCATCCCTCAATTCCCAAATTGCTCCTCAGCCAAGCCTTAGACGGTCGCCTTCTCCTTAGGCAGCGGCGTAAATCGCAGGTAAGGCTTGACGATGCGGAAATCAGGGAACAGCTCCTTGGCCTGCTCGTTCTTGACGCTGGGGGCGACAATCACATCATCGCCGGGCACCCAGTTGATCGGGGTGGTGATCTTGTACTTGTCTCCGGTCTGGAGGGAGTCAACGATGCGGAGAACTTCGGCTGAGTTGCGGCCGGTGGACGCCGGGTACGACAGGATAGTGCGGATCTTTTTCTGTGGGTCGATGATGAAGACGGAGCGGATAGTGAAGGCGATACCCTTCTCGTCGACGTTGGTGGTGTCTTGGTAGTCGAGCCTGGTTGATGAGATGAACGAGTCAGTGCGTGCATGTGCAAAGACAGTGGAATGATTTGCGCGCAAAGAAGGATAACTCACATGTCGAATAGCAACGCAACCTTGCGCTCCTTGTCGGCAATGATGGGGAACGAAACCTTGCCGCCGGTAACCTCGTCAATGTCCTTGATCCAGCCCTCGTGGCTGCCGAGGGTGTTGGCCGAGAGGCCGATCAATTTGACGCCGCGCTTGGAGAACTCGGGCTCGAGCTTGGCGAAGGCGCCCAACTCGGTGGTGCAGACGGGCGTGTAGTCCTCCGGGTGGGAGAAGAAGACCACCCACTTATCGCCGATGAAGTCGTGGAAGTCAATGGGTCCATTGGTGGTATCGGCCTTGAAGTTGGGGGCCACGGTACCGAGGCGGAGGCTTCGTGGTGTTAGTACAATGCTCGACGTGTTGAGCGCTCAACAGGCTCGTCTCGAGGAAGGTGGGTAGTGCGCATGCACATCACATAAAGAACTTACGGTGCGGAACGTTCTTCGGCCATTGCGAGTATCGCTGAGTAGATGATCAGTCAAGATATCTTCAGGGCAACTGGTGTTCGAGGTAAGAAGAAAGATTCAAAAATTAGCAGTGAGGGGTAGAAGAAGGCAGGAGCTCTTGTGGCATGAGGGGCAGCTATGGACTTATTTATTCTAGTTCCACCATGACAAGCCGTGAGCCATCAATACCCTTACTTTCTTTTCCCTTCCTTCCGAGGCCGGGAGCTAGGCAAGCCTATTACACTTGGCTTGGGACAGGCAAAAGGCCGTGAAATGTTCCAATCTGGGAGAAGCCCGAGTCATCGCGTTAGAGAGCTTGCCCCGCGATCCCCGCCGTAGCTTCTTTGGGCTTGGAAGGGGGCATTGCGTGCTTTCCCCCCAATCACAACCATAGTTCAGCTATTATGTCATTCTGGTTCTCGCCTTGCGCCATCTTCCACCATTGCCTATCCAGCGTCATGTTGCCACCTTGTTGGCTGCATTTGGAGGATCCGAGGGGATGAATGACACCACATGTATTGAAGAACTATCGTTGCATATTTACTACTTCTCATTGGTCCGGTGAAGCTTTTTGTGATGGCCAATAGCGACAACCCCCAAACCCCGAAACCCCACAATCCCCGAGGCCCGAGATCGTCACGGCCCGACAGCCAGCCCGACAGCCGGTCGGGACCTCGCACACGGTGATCTATGTGTCTGAATTTCACTTTCACGGTGGAAGATTTGGATCCGATAGCCTTGGTACTGATTGTTTGGTGGCCTGATCACTTACCCCGTTATCATCACGACAGTTTGTGAGGTGGCTTGATTCTGGCCTGTTTCTGACGCAATGCGTTGAAACTGTCTCAAACACTTGGAAAAGCGGAGCATACTCACCGGAGACTCTGGGCAGATGTGCCAGGTTGTCGAACTCTATATACGAGACGGGAGTTTATAGCACAGCGGTCAAGGTGACAAGTCAATAATATATTATAGATCTTGTATGCTCCTTACTCGTCAAGCCTAAAACGGCAGTGGGTCAAGGACATCTATTTGTCCTTTTTCAGCAATGTCTTTTTTATCGATACTTCCAGAATTCACCAATTCACACCAAATTCGGAAGTATATCTTCCAGTTCGAATATAACGCTTAGAAGCATTTGACGAAAATGCCAGAGGTGGCTTCGCAGCCACAGCCAGTGCCCGAAGATGGAGAGGATACCGGGGAACACTCAGCGGCCAAGAGCGACGATGGGGCGGTTTGAGTGGTCAGTCGGCGAACAACGGCGCCAACAAGGTGTTATGTGAAACCGGCAACAGCTGGGCATGTTGCTAGGACAGGGCCCTGAAGATCAATTTTTCAATTGTACTCATTATTTAGCTTTGGCCGAAGATGATACGTCGGAACGTAGTGAGTTAGTTGTCCGAATTCGTCAATTTTGTCGCCAGAATATGCTCCCCTATAGCACTTAACGTACCCCACAAGCAAGTTGGCCACTTTTTCTTGGCACCGTATGAATAACTTCAATAACTTAACTAAACTAAAAAATAATAATTCAAACTAATCGGAATCCTCTTTCTCGTACGTATCTTTATCATTCTCACAAGTACGAGCATTATGCCCGGGCTCTCCGCAGATCCTACAGCGCCGTCGGCGTGGTTCGGCTGGTCTCGTACGACGACGACTTACACGTATATCATCCTGTAGCTGCTGTTCAATATCCCGTTGAGACTGTAAGTCCTGAGCGTCTCGTAAACTAAGAGATCCTCCATCTTGTAGCTGTCGATTTTTAGTCCTTCGACGACGGCTTAGCTCTTGATTGGCCTTCCGAAGTGTAGTAACCTCATCCTCAAGTAAAACTAACCGATGCATAACAGCCGTCGCACCACGTGAAAATTGGTCAATAGCCGTAAGTATTGTCGTCGGGGAGCTATTCTGATGCTGTACGATTCTGGTTTTAACGTATTCAGACTGGGATTGCGCCTCGGTTGGGTTATTTGGAGTCTTTGATTCCCAGATTAAGGGGGCGCCACACGAGCTCCCGGGAGGTGTAGGCGTATGTAGCTTAATATCCAGCTGTGAAATCACATATTCCGGGTCGTACGGAATAAGTCCTGTCCCCCTGAAACCTGCCTGGATATTCGACTTAGTTATAGTCGTACGATACGCCCTATAGAATGCCGAAAAGAAATCCTCCTTCGAGATATAGGTTATATGCGCCCGTATTAGGTCTTCAATTTCTTGACTAGATTGTCGAGTATCGCGTCGAGATAGTAGTCCGCGTTTTCGGTTAGCTAGAGTTGTACGAGGGACATTGTAGAGTTGGGCAGCGCGTCGGATGCTTAATTCGGGTTTCGATTGAAGCGCCTGACACGCTAGAATCATGTCGCTTTCTTTCCAATTCGATCCCATCTTGGTATCTGTAAAGATGTTAATTAAAAGGTTGTTCGTACGGTGCCAATAAAAAGTGGCCAACTTGCTTGTGGGGTACGTTACAAACTGGCAGATGTTGGCAAATTGGGGTACGTGCTGTCAGACCTTATAACTACCAAAAATACCTCATTCTACAACGAGTGGGTCCCTCGTCTTTTGACGGTCAATTTGGTCCAACACGTGCACTTATTGTTCTATGCCAAATAGAGATAGATTTATTAGGGAGGTACGAACAATTTGGTACAGTTTACTAGCATTCAGAAGTATCGGGAGAATAGCATATATTAAATCACAAAAGACGGCTGAAACTCATTCATTTCTTCCTAACCTACTTGACTACACGTCTTTTCTGGTCCCTAGCTTTCTACGAAAACATGTACCTTCCGAATCATCCAGAGACACAAGCCGTCATCACGGCTTAGTCTCCATCATTGGCCCGCTCAGAGCTCAAAATGGTCAGTCAGCTCTTCGATCAAGATTAACTTGATGGAGAATTTGAACCTTGTCGCCCAAAGCTTCCCTCAGCTGCCACAGGTGCCAAGTATTCCGAGGCAGCTCCCGCATAGTCGAACACAATTTCGTAAAGCCATCCCCCTGAACTTCCTCATGTGCCTTAATACTGCCGTGGTAGCGTCGGAAATCCGCAAAATCCACGAACCTGTACCCATTCGTGATGGCGGGCGGAATGCGAGCCCTCGTGGCGTTGAGGCAGAAGTAGGGAATGCTGCTCGACACCGTCAACGTCCTCAGCGAGGGGAACTTGCGGATGATGGCGCCGTATTCGTTCCATCCCGACGCTGCCAGGTCTTTAATGGCAAACATGTCCACGATGATGTGCTGCACCTTGGCCGTCAGCAGGTGGATCGCCGGGTGGTTGCCGGGTGGAAGACTTACGGTCGTTGGGTCCACGCAGGCCCAGAAGAAGCGGGCGCTGAAGTAGAATCTGTCTCTGTTGAAGTCGACGTGGATTATGCTGCGTCCAAACTGAAGTTGCTCGTATGTGTAGTCCCTTGGTAAGAGGCCCTTGACCTTGTGCAGACAAACGCTCCCAAGATCCTGGCGCAGCGTTCTTTCTGTCGCATCGGCCACACGCCCTGTTTGGGGGTCGAAGGAGGATTGGTACATGGATCCTAGGCTCCATAGCCGTTGGAGATAACCAAGAGATCTGTACCAGTAATGCCGCCAGATCATAGTCTGGAGTTCTGGTGGTAGTTTGAGGAAACTCTCGAATTCTTTTGTGGGGTCCATTGTGTAGAACACATCCGGATGGTGAGGTGACTTGTGATTCTCCGATATTGCTAGGGATCCTGCTCTCCGAAAAAAATAGGAGAGGCCTGGTCCTTGCGTGCTGGCTTACTTCATGGGAGGCGAGGGTTATTAATATAAGCCGTTAGTCAGACTCTGAACAGTTTCATTGTCACCCACCCCTTGTCATGTTAGCTAACAGTTAGTTAAACAAAGAGAATTTTTCCAATCAACAACCTCGCAGACTGCTATTATCACAGTCGAAGACAATCCACGTGATTACGTGTATCTGAGCAATTGTTCATTCAACAACTACTTTCTGTCATGTTATTCGAGTCCTTGCATTGCAGGATATATCACGAATTAGCATGCCAACCATCTGACCTCCAAGTCATAATGTATAGTATTCAAGATATAAAACAGCCAGGATTTTTCCTCCTTGGACAATTTCATTGTGTTATCTCCATCTCAATGCTATCATTAGACCAGTAACAGCCTGAGACTGACCGCTGCTTCGTCATGATGAAGACTGTATAAATATATCAGTAACTATCCGTTCCAACGACAAGGCAGCAGCTGAGGTTTCTTGAATCTCATGTACTGTGTGGTACAAGACTCCCCATCCTTACTACTTAGGTACTAGATTCAAATGTGTGTTATATTTCGATTTAGAAACTATGAACATGAAGCTGTGTTTAACATCAGAGGACGTGTTCACGTTGGCTTATAGCCCCGTCCATCGCTCGCTGAAGAGATATCAATAAGCTGGACTTGCCATGTCCCGATCGTTCGTAATCGCAAATTTCCTAAACAACTCGGATCCTCTCAGCCTCCAGCTGGAGACAAACCACCATTGCTGACAAATACAACTAGCACAGCAGCATACCTGGGAAGGTCAGTATAGTCATATCCATGCTTTGGTTGTATCAACTTACGCAGCTGTTGCCCCGAAAACTTCAGCCCGCCGTGCATTCGTAATGAGTCCGAGACTGACAGCAAACATTGCTGTAAATACGGCTATCAGTACTAATCTAGTAACCGGATTCGATGCAAAGTTCAGCCCCGTCATAGGTCCGATGAGAAAGATGAGAGCCACAATGATAGTGACTATGTTGACGGTGATTGAGATTGATTTCTCATGGAACCGGCGGAAATGGCTCCGTCCATCCCGGCTGACTTCTTTCTGTCAACAGTATTAGTCTCGTCAATGATTCGTTGCTGTGTGTTGTGACTACCTCTGATACCCAGTGTCGTCTCAAGAAGCTCGACAAGTAGTCTGCCTCTACTGGTGTCTTGAGTGAAACAAGATCTTGTCTGTCATTCAAAAACTTCTTCGCTTTGCCTCCAAGAATTGGATGTGGTTTCTCAAAGAAGTGCTTCACAGCACTCAAGACCCTCTTCTCAGGGTGTTTAAGCTGTGCGATTTGGCTTTGCAGCAGTATAGCCTCATCTACCTCTTCATTAGCACCTCCATGTAAAGAGCTAGGGGGAGACTTGTACGGTATTCTTTCAGTCTTTCCCTTAATTCCCTAATGAGAATCATGCGCTCCTTGGCATCCTGTCGAAATGCGGGCTTGCCACCCTGAGACTGATGGAACAGTGTTTCCCAAGTGCTTGCCGCATCCTTGAGGTCCAAGTCATAACTATTCACAGTAAGGAGGTGCATGGAGTCTAACCGTTTCTCCAGCTCTAGGATCTCGCTTTGCATATATAGTAAGTTAACTATAGCAAGCTTGTCGAATTTTCTGAAAATGAGGGTTTCGTTATCACTGTCGCGGGCCAGCCAAGAGGCCGCTGTAGTGTAACCTCCTTGTCGCTCAAGATATATGTCGTGAGTCTGAGGAAGAGGAAGCGTCATGACGCTTTGCAGTATAAAGCCAGTCGCAAATATCTCGGTATCGTGGGATGATAAATGCGAAGAGAGTTGGGGTATCTGCCTTGCCCATGCCTACTAATCTGCATGAGAAGCGGTGGCTGACTTGCCTATATAAGCCCTGGATCTCGCGGGATGATTTGTGCGGGCAGAGTGACGTGTTAGGGGCTGTGAAGGCCATGAAATGCACGTTGGACCAATCACGAATTGGATCAGCCATGGAAGGATCCCGTTGAGAGCAGTCTTGGCCGACTGCCACTTCAGCTGGGCGTTTCGATATGTACAATAGCACAGCCCACTCCTCTTTCCAGAGAAACTTGCAAGGTCCGACCTAACTTCTACTATTCACATTCCCAAATTTCATTCTGGTAGCTAAGAGACAATTGCGATAAAGTATTGTTCTGCCTCCTCCGAATTGTCCATTCTCACATACCTGTGCAACATACGCCTTTGACCCTTGAGTTCATTCCCAGCCCATGGTTCGGCTACACAACCATGGTTCGGCCACGATCAAGCTCGCTCGAGGCTTGCTTAGGGTCGCGACGTGGGACACCGCCGCCCCAAAAGTCTCGCGAGTCCCATTCTCGAAATTGCAAGGATTGCAACAGGTCATTGATGATACAAGCAACACCTGGAGGTAGCTTCGAAATCATCAAGAATAATGCACACCGAAAAGAGAAAGCCGCCGAGTCAGCCAGAAAGGCAGCCGACGAACCCGCCGTGGTGATACGATTACAACAACCCCCTACAGCCTCTGGGCAACCCCCCAGAGTAATTATGTCTGTGGAATTGAGAAACTATCACCCATACCCCCTCCCACCAGCACCTCCTCAATACCTCGCTTCATTATCCCTTATTATCAATTCGATGCCTCCGAACAACCGAGAGCAAGCTACTTGCATTGATACAAGCAACGAAGTGTACCCATCACCCATCAGCATATGCGATGTCCTCACGAGCTATCATGCTATTCGATTTGAAAAAGCTCCTACAGATCGAACAGTTGATGGGGAGGATCCAGGAAAGCCTAACTGGAAGCGTGTCATAAAAACTGATATGCCTTTCTGGAGCCAAGAAGACATGGCCAGAGAAATAGGCTTTCTCAACGCCAGGACCGGGAACGTCCAAACCAAAATAAACTCCCTTGGACCAGTGATTCAACGCCATATCGACAAAACATTGGAACGCATAAATGGAGCCGACCCTGACCGTAGTAATTTCCAATGGACCGTTGCGCAGATGGACCATCAGCTTCTCAGGATCGAGCCACGATCAATCTCATTAAAACATTCAAAAGTAGCGCAAAACTCCAAATCGAAGGGAACGACATTCGAAAGAGTTGCGGTCATAGCCTTTTTCATCCGTGAACCTCGACCAGGGGTCGACACACAGGAACTGTGGAACAACTTGAACGCCAGGAGGATGCCAGAGCAGTCCCTGATGTCAGGGGCTCTGGCGCAACCATCGCACATGTTGTCCAACTATCCAGCACAAGCGAACACGTCGGAACCTAGACGCCGACTGAACCTAATGAGGTCCATGGCGCATCTGAGACCGACTGAAGCAACCCGTTTCACCTCTGCTGCCAGAAATTTTCGAGTTGACGGCTTGATCAACGGCGTCCCCATCGAAGCAAATGCCGACACTGGTTCAGGGTTTAACGCCATATCTAAAAGGTTGGCAACATCAATGAACCTGACGCTCGAGCATGGTACGGCTAGACATGTGACACTGCCATCAGGGAGGCAGATGTACTCACCAGGAAGGATCACCACACAGTTCAGTTTCCTCGGCGAAAAGAAGGTTTATATGCTTTCGTGCCTGGTTTTGCCTATGGCAGAGGACTCGCTACTCCTCGGGTCAAGATTTCTCAGGCTGACGGAAACATTCTCTAAATTCAAGAATCGGCTCAAGCGGATCTACTCACATGACGGAAGACTCTCATTGAACCTCCTAGGCGATGAACATGACTTCGTGTCTGGCTACTTGAACGAGTCTCAGTGCTTGGCTATTCCCGACACTGGGTCAGACATCATGGTAATCTCCGGGGCGTATGCACAGGAATGCGGTCTGCAAATCCAAAGGGGAGCTCGCCATAAAAATTTGATCCGGTTGATCGATGGGTCCGAACAACTCACGGACGGAATCGTGAATGACTTGGAATGGAGGTTCATATGGTCCGAGACGCCCATCAAGTGCGACTTTCACGTCATTGACGAGCTCCCAGTCAATGTCATTCTCAGCAGTGCCTTAGTAGATGAACGGGATGTCTTCGCGAAGTATGATGTTTGTTTCGTTGAGCACGATTTCATCGACGGTGAGGCTGGTATCTACGGCATCTCGTTAGTGGACTGGAAAAAGCGCGAAGACATCCGGCGCCTCGAGGACCTGTATGCCGAAGACAGTGAGTTAATGACAGCCGTGGGTGTTCCCCCGTATGTGTCTAGCTAACAGGAGCTAAAGCAAATTCCGCTGAGCCCTTCTCCCCTGGGATGATTGAGCGGGAACGAGCCCGTCGCGACGAGATCCGTGATCGCATTGCCAAGCTTCCGCCCGCAATCCAGCCGCTGGATCAAGACAAAGAAGATCTAAGACAGCGCAGCTGGGAAACCCAGTTCCAAGCGTTCCGTGAGGGGCAACAAACAGCCCTTGCCACATATGGACCCAACATGCTAGGGGCAGGGGGGTACAGAGGCCCGCCACAGATCATGGCCCCGCCGGGCATCAAGTCAACGACAGCCACAAGAGGTCACGAAGACGAAAACGGAAACGGAACGTCCGATGTTGACAACCAGAAAAGGCGCTTCAAAAACAGAATGTCCCTTCAGAATCTGAGGCGTCCGCCCTGTCATGCCTCTAGCAGCGTCGGCCAAGTTGAAATCGAGCAACCCCGAAGCTTGGGACGATCCGCCAGTCGCCTCAGTGGTAACCTGGAGCAGCTTCGACTCGAACGCCCCCAAATATCTGGGTCTCGAAATCAGAAGACAACCCAATATCACTCTATTCCTCGGCGACAAACCTACCTGACACCGCAGACCGAGGCGGCCGAGGAAAGTCACGGGAGCGCCGAATTTTGAAATCATTTTCGTCGATATCAGACTCGTGGGGAATTATGAATGGGATAATCCGATGTATGAAAATCAGTCTAGTTCGCTATACTGTTTTATACCAGTGACCCAGTGCTTGTATCCATCCCAACTTAAACTATTTCTCCCCTATCTTGTAGTTAGGCGCGTATAACATGCCAATAACCGCTAGAGATAAATAGTGGTCTAACATGAAGCCTTATGCATGTCATCCAGGAGTTTAATTAACTTCCGGCCCGTAGTGACTGACATCACTATTTCGGCAACGGGGACGAGAGTGTCTGTATGCAATAATGTACTGAAAACCCGATGCAACTAAACAAGGGTCTCCACTAAGCAGAAGTTCACAAGCCACCCGAGGCTCAACTTCATTCGCCGCTAAGACCAGGCCCCCAGCAGTTCATCTCAAACAGTTCATGCACCTCAAATATCTCAGACCTGGACTGATGCAGACCCGACCCGGCACTTCCTGTTCTTATTTTCATTGCCCACTAGCCTCATATTCTTTCGTTCCTCTCACCGTTGGTTGAGAAGCCAGGAAGGAGGAAGGTTAACTTCACTCCACGCGTGGCGTGACGGATTCTCGGTGGCTTGAAAGAGCTGACTTCAACAAAGGCGACGTCCGAGTCCAAAAATGTGAGTGCACACCCCACCCGTTCTCGGACAAGCTCATTACTGATGAAAATCCAGGGCTGTCAATACTACTGCACCTCATCTTCCTCTCATCGATGAAGTCAAGAAGCTGCCAGCGTTCCCCACGGTACTATGGCAGCTCGAGCCGCATCAGAGTGGCCTGTTGCCCGTGGCTGCTGACCGGGGCGGGCCACTCAAGATCAGCTGGGAAATCCATGGAGATGGTCCTATAAAAGTCGCTGTAGGTAGTGCCAGAAATCCAAGGAGGCAAACAGTTTCATGGGCTTGCGCATCTTGCCGTGCCGGCCTAGTCCACCACTTCTGAATCTTTACTAACCGCGTACAGTTCATCTGCGGCCTGGGATTCTTCAAATCCTCCTACCAACGCCAAACCATGCACTTCGGCCACGTCCACGGGGACAAGTACTCAATGCTGATCCTCGACAATCGGGGCATGGGCCGCTCCGACTGCCCCCTTATGCGCTACTCAACCTCCGAAATGGCCCGCGACGCCATCGAGCTCTTCGACCACGTTGGCTGGACGTCCCCGCGGCAAATCAACCTCTGCGGCCTCAGCATGGGCGGCATGATCTCTCAAGAAATCGCCTGCCTCATCCCAGACCGGCTGTGCACCCTCAACCTGTTCTGCACGGCCGCTGCCATCGAAAACACCACCACCTTCACAGAAAACATGATGAACCGCATCATGATGCTACTCCCCAAGTCGCTCGACCGCAGCGTCCAGTACGCGGCTAAGAATATTTACGCCCCGGGTTTCCCAGAACAACCCGATAACTCGACCCTACCCGACTCGTCCACCCCGCGCGTCAAGCCCCCGCCCGGAGGGGGGGAGTATCTCATGTTCGCGACAAACTACGAGCGCTTCGCCGCGCTGGAGGCCTACAAGCAAGCCGACCCGGGGTTCACGAAGAAGGGCTTCCTGATGCAGCTCGTGGCAGCGGGGTGGCACCACAAGAGCCCCGCGCAGCTGAAGGAGATGGCGGATAAGGTGGGGAGGGAAAGGATTTTAGTTCTGCACGGCACGCAGGATGGCATGATTTCGTTGCCGCATGGGAAGAAATTGATTGAGTACATCCAGCCGGCTGTCGGGCATATTGTCGAGGGGATGGGACATGCGCCGATTATTGAAAAGTCGGCATGGTTGCATGAGTTGCTGGAGGAGAGGTTTGCGGAGGGAGAGAAGTTGAATGGGGGCGTGAGTGCATGAGACCAGGTTCTATGAAAGCCGAAGCTCAGGATGCCGTGGAATATCAGGAACTCGAGGGTGGCGATGCACTCGCAAAGGTGCGATAGTTTCTGTGCCATTTTATCGAAGCCATATTTGTCTTCACCCCTGATCCATGGCCGAGGTCCGAGCTCTGCCGTTGCGACATCAAGCATTGCCCTACCTCCATGGTGAAGCTCAACAAAATTGCGCCCCATTGACAATGGTTGCTTGCCATGAATGATCTTCTCTGCACTAATATCAGGTTGAAAGCATGCGGGCCTCGAGCTGATCGCCAGGGATAGAGAACAATCCATTCAACTAGACGACCAGGTTACAGTTCAGTAGAGCTCTCCCGGATTTGGTATCGTATTTTTGTGACCCTACGCCTCAAATTGAGCAAAACGAGGTCGAAAAATAAGAGTATCTATCGTGTCAGCTAAGATAGATGATACGTGCCCGAAATGCTCATGTGTTGATGCAATATCAGTTTCTTAGAAGACGCACCTCCCCCTTCCATGTCCGATTTCCCCCTCTCGACTCTAAGCTGCCCCCTCCCCAATGCCTAAAGCATTGTAAACCCGATCCCGCTCAAGTTATCATCCAGCCTATTCCTTTTATCCACCCCGCCGGCGATCGGGTTCGCGCGATAATTGAACAAGTAATAATGCAACTGTCCATCGCCGGCGCCAAACTTTTGATCTTCAAGGAACAGCCCATTATCCATGAGCGAAAGCGCGTTGAAAACGTCGAACTTGTACTTCTTAGCGAGGATCGTGGCGTCGGCGACGAGGTCGTTGAGGCGTTTCTTGAGGGCTGGTTGATCGACGGGGGAGGTGAGACCGACTTCGGTGGCGTAGTAGAAGAGGTAGGCGGCGCGGACGACTTTGTGCTTGGAGCCTGGGGAGATGATGGAGGATTCGAGACAGTAGAAGGAGATGAAGTCGGTGATGTTGTGGTGTTCGTCCTGCGTGGATGGTTAGTTGGGGTTCTCGCCAGAACGAAGTATAAGGAAGTGGCTTACCTCGACCACGTATGACCACACAACTTGCTCCTCGAGCTGATCCTTCTTCTTCTTGTGGAGTAGCCAGTGCACTATATCCTCCCCTGTCCAGTCGGGTGCCATGTCATATCTCTTCAGATACCTCTTGAGCAGACCGTGCACAGCGTCAACGTCCTTTTCCTGCATCTCCCTCAAGCCCTTGATCGAGGTATTGTCTGGCACGGCATACTTCCGAATCTGGTACTGGGGTTTGCTGTTCGGCGGCAACGGACTAAAGCCCACCTCCCACAGCTTCTGCCAGTTGATGGCACGGTGGAAGTACCGACACGTGCTGACCGGGGTCGGGAGCACAGTGCCACCCGTATAAATGGCCTGCCATACATTCTCCAAGTTGCAGCGGCGGGTGATCTCCTTGATGAGGACAGGGGCGAGCCGCTTCGACCGCAGCTTCTTGTGGATGCAGAGGAAATTAACCTCGGACGCATGTATCACGCGGTTGCGGACGCGCAGCTCGACGGGGACGGCCGAGATGAAGCCCACCAGCTTCCTGGACTGCGAGGCTCGCACTCCGACGTGCCAGTCATTCTTCCACCCTGGCGGCATCATCGCCCTGTATAGGGGCGGTTGGTAAGTTGGGTGGACACGGCAGCTCCTCCATGAAGAGGCGCACTCACCAGTTCAATATGCTCTTGGAGTACTTGAATCGAAACAAGGCCTCGTTATCCTCCACATAATGGCCTTCGAGCAGATCCGTTACTTCTAGCAGCTCCTCTGGCTTCTCGAGGTTCACGGTGCACCACTCGAAACCGGCCACCAGAGGCGCCGCTTCTGTAGGCACATCCTCGACCTTCTGCACCTTGATCGGCCCGTCCTCGAAGGGCGCCTTCCCAGTGTCCTCGCCCATCTTCATGACGGGCTGTGTGCTCCAGAACTTGTACGCGCCCATGTCCTTTGCGTTCTTGCCGCTCGCAGCCAGACCAGTCATGATATCCTGCAGCTTGAGCGTCTTAAGCGCCTCAGCCGCCGCATTGGGGTCAGTGCTGCCATTGTTCGCTGCGGCAATCTCGTTCGCCAGTGCCGGGTTCAGATCGAGAAGACCTTGGACTTGATCGGGCGTGAGGCCATCGATGGCTTTGTGCATCTCCGCTTCCTTGTCGTCGGCTGCCGATGATGATTTCTTGCCCGTCAGAGCTTCCTTGAGCTTCTTCTTCTTGGACTTCTTCTTTTTGGCTGCCGTTGATGGCGCGGCTGAACCCGCACCCGCACCCGCAGAGCCGTCGGCTGTCTGCTCAGGCTCGTCGCCATCATCTTCGGATTCGATGGTGGCTTCTTTGCCCTTGCCCTTGTCCTTGGATTCCTCCTTGGATTCCTCCTCGGCCAACTGGGGTTCGATGGGTTTCGACTCTGCGGCCATGGTCGTCGGGATTTAGTATGCGCAGCCTCGTGAGCTATCGTCGCTTGGAGCTTCAAGATGCGAATGGTGGGATAATTTGCGAAATGAATATCTGGCCTTGGCCGCCCCACAGCTGCCTCGACACCGCGATGTGCTAGCTTGGCGGGGCAGTGCTGAGCGTTAGAGGGGTTTGTATTCTAACGTGGTCCCAACACCTGGCCAATACCGCCAATACCAGGGGATTTTAGCGCAGACGAAGACAATTTTCACCGTTTCATTTCTCCACAAGCAGCCCTGGATCGCCGGGCGTGATGATGCGCAGCTGCTGTTTCGTATTTTACCAGAATAGAAAGATCGTCGATGGCAGTTCTAATAAAGTTCGAACATTGTCTGTCTCAACGTGCATCGATCGACGTACTTCACGAATTGGGAAATGAAACCTGCCTTTCCTGGTTAAGCGCTGTGCCGTCTCAAATCTCAATACAGTTCTGTAAGGCGGGAAGTGGGTGAGTTTTTGATTACCGTGAGCAGTTGACGTTGAGCTTTCCAACGAGGCCGATGGGCTGAGTTGTCGAAAGCAGGTCTTGGTTGATGCATATTTCCAATCTTTGCAGGTTTTGGTTACCGGCTTCCGTTCTTACGCGCTGCCTATGCCTTGCTTGTTGCCTCGGTTCTCAACCGGTTCTCAACAGTCATGGCAGCACCCATTGCGTGGGCTCAGCCTCGCAGCATGATGGTTCATGCTATGGGACGCGTGTACTCCACTCTAGTAGGTGCTGAACCGCTGCCGGCGTATCCCGGTCATATCCATCTTGTACGATAATCTTGGTTCTTCAGAATGTTCACGCAGTCTGTTACGACTAGTCATAAATTCGATCCAATCATTCCGAGTATCTCAGCTGCAGAGGCCATGGAAAGATGCAAGGGCAACGCAATTCTTTTTGATCTCGCCCGATATTGAATGGCGGAAGTCCCCCAAGTATTCAATTTGTAGCTGATCCCGCTCTCTGACAAGTCACATGGTTCCACCAGCATTCGATCTAGAAATATTAACGTCCCATTCCCACAGCCGCCATTGGGTCACGGAAAACCGACGCCGGGGTTGATTGCCTCTCTGGGTCCACTAGGCAAGCATCGAAACGGCAGAGACGCCTTCCCATATTGCTGCCGGATTGCCTAGCCATCCCGGTTCCTCCTTCACGCGCCTGGATGCTTGCCCTTCAGGTATGTCAAGTGGGTATCATGCCGGTTCATCCCCTCATATGTGGCAGCAGGAGCGAGAAAAAGTCAATCCTGTTATCATGGATCACGGCTAAGATCGCGCGGGTGTTGGGTCTATCGGTTTCCCTCAGGGCCTGGATCTGAATAACCATAAACGTCTCTCCCTGCTACTCTTCTTTCCCCCGTGGTCCCTGATCATGCAATCTATCTAAGATGGACAATTTATTACTAGGCCTTTCATCTTCTGAATCCACTCCTATTTTCTTCCGTCTTAACTGCTGTCGAGCACGGTAATCTATTTTCTTCAGCCAGGCCTGGGGCCCTTCACTTTTCATCACTTCTCATCAAACATGGCATCAGACACGCACAAGGAACATGGAATGCAACCTCCCGACAACTATGGGCCGTATATCAACGGAGTCAGTTGGCCCTTGGTGGCAATCGCCGGCTTGTTTCTAGGAACCAGGCTCTACATCAAAACGACGGCCCATCGTGCCATGTGGTGGGATGATCACTTACTGACGGCTTCTTGGGTAAGGAACACCCCCTTACCCCAACCCGTTCTACCTCCGTGTTAACATGTAGACAGCTCATGCTGGCTGCTTTCGCAGCAACAAACAGCTACGCCGTATCCGTAGGCTTCGGGAAGCATATCGACAAGGTACCGACGGAGAACTTCGTACTGCTCATGATGCTTTCGTGCATCAGCTCCATATTCTCCCTTCTCGGAGCCGCTTGGTCCAAGACTTCATTCGCGCTGACGCTCTTGAGACTCACATCGGGGACAATGGAGTACGTCGTATCGACCAAGTACTTGATCTGGGGGGTAATCATCTCGCTGAACTTGACCCTTACGTTCAACACGATACTACCTTTCATCCAATGTAAACCGATCGCCAGAGCTTGGAATCCGTACATCGAGGGAACGTGCTGGGAGAGAACGGTCGTCGTCGACTACGGGGTCTTTGCTGCCGCGTATTCGGCCACTATGGATTTCGTTCTGGCAATTGTGCCCTGGCTGCTCATTTTGAAGCTTCAAATGGTACTGAAAGAAAAGATTGGTGTGGCTATATGCATGAGCTTAGGACTAGTGTAAGTAGCCCCCTCCCCTTTTCGGTCCACCCCTCTCCATCCCGATTCACCATCCTGTCCTAACTTCGACCACGTACTCACCCACCCCACAGCGCTGGCGCAACCTCCATAGTCCGCGCCATCAAAGTCCCTCAAGTCCAATCCTACGACTTCACCTTCGAATCTGGCAACCTCTCCATCTGGACCGTAGCTGAGATCGCCACAACCATAATGGCGACCTGCATTCCCGTGCTCCGCGTCCTCGTCCACCGCGTCGTCAGTCCCAACCGTAACTGCTACCGGCACTCCGGGGTAGACGTGGCTTTTGTTAGTAAGCATAATACCACGCATACGACTCCTATCATCTGCAATGCACGGCAGCAACATCATGGAGGGACGGGCACGTTGACGGGGACTAAGACAAAAGATAGTCATGAGAGCGATGATGAGGAGAGGGCGATTGGTGGGGTAGACGCGACGGCGGGAGGGATTGTGAGGGTTGCTACGGTTAGGATTGATTATGATCGGAGGAGTAAGATCGGGGCTCAGGTTGCGCTTGATGAGGCGTCGCCAGATTTCGAAATGGAAAGGTTGCCGTCACGGTCAGATTCGAAGATTGTAAAGAAGTCGAAGAGTGTGAGGGAGAAAAGGCCATGATGGAGGACGACAGCCGTGTCCAGGCGACACGATTGGCAAGACTTTTGCTTTGGATTGGGGCGTATAAGAAAACGGGATAAATGGAATGGCCGGCCTTCAGGGGTTATGGATGGATGGGTTGAGTGGAATGCGAGTGATACCAAATACTGTTATGCGGGTACAACTAGGAATGTTATGCTTGAAACATCGATCCGGAGCGTGTCCACAGGAAGTGGAGTTTCTTGACGCCGTCGGGGTGTGTGGTCGCGTTCCTTTCGGCGCTCGTCATGGAAGGTGCTGATATCCAAAGGGACTGAGCAGTCGCTTCATGCCTACAGGGGGCAAATGCCTGACCCGAATTCAGCCACGCCTAGCAGAGTGAAGTGGTTGTGACAGACTTCCCGGTGGTCTCAGACATCGTCACATGGTATCGGCCTTCGAATGCACATATATTGCATATTAGATAATTGAATGCTCAGCCGACAAGCAGCCCGATTTGAGTAACATAATAGTCTCTTTTCTTACAAACTCCAGTTCCAGATTTAGTCCATTGAACAAACGGTCTACTGTAATGGCAATACCAGACCCGTGATATCCTCCCTCCCTGCACAATACGCCTTAAGCCCGCCGCAATAAAACTCCCCCTTAATAGAGAATACAACCTTACACAGCCTTGACCGTTTCGCGCAACCGATGCTTCTAGCTGACAGTTGTGATGAAACTCTGGTATTGCTCTTCCTCACCACCAAGCACTTTGCTCACGGGCTGTGCCTCCAGACGTGCTGCCGCCTTGGTCCTCCACAAAACATCCGGTTGGGTCTGACTTTGAAATTGGCGCTGTTGATCGGACTTGGGGGTTTCGCTTCGCTCTGCGGCGCGATCGTCCTTATTTTGATCCGACCTGGGCAACCGCATAGCGAGGAGTATATACTCTGCCCGCGTCATGTTATCCATGATGTCGTCCATGTACCGTTTGACCTCATCCTGAGGCGCGACAACCCGGGCAAGGTTCTCAAGATGTTTGCCCGCCTGAGAACTCACACGGATCGTCACCGGTTGGTAGTAGTCCATCGTCGGATCGCCACCGTACTTAGACTTACTGCCCTTGCGGACGATGAGGAAGGATGCGAGCACTTGGGTACCGCCGGCCTGGTACTCAAGGATGCTATACTTGGGGAACATATATCTGTCGCCCGTACCACCCAAGAACTCGAGTACGATGGCTGATATGTCCGGCTTAAATGATGGCGGGGGGCCCTTTGACCGAAGTGCCTGCTGGGAGGAAGGCACTGCAGATGAAGTCATAGATACCACAGAGGATTTTCTGGCTGGTGTGCTGCTGCTGCTGGCGGCTGCTTCGGGTGCGTGAGCTGCGGGGGTTTGTGTTTGGCCCGACACTGAGGGAGCGGGCTTCGGTTCCTTAGTGACCCAATCCTTCAACTTGTCCAGGATGGCCTTCAATTGCGTGGCATCATCAAACTTGGTCTTGCCCTCTGCCACTCTCCTCACCATGTTCTTGGTGTTCTCATCATCCAGCGACTTCTTGACCAGAAGAATAACCAAGGGATCGCTTCCAGGAGGTGGTCTGAGGTCAGCACCCTTTTGATTCGGGTTGGAGGCCAGGACGATATCCAGGATCGCTCGCACCTCGTCTGCAAAATACTTGACTGTTCGGCTGTCCACGATGAGTCTGTCAGCCGACGGACCTTGCTGTCCTCCCTTTTTCTTGTACTCGATGGTGATTTGGTCAATGATCTTCTGGAAATGTGCCAGTTCCGCTTGACCGGCATCGCCCACCGCGACCCGTTTCATCAAGTCTCGCAGGTGGGAATCTTCCGAAGCTCTCTCTGCTAACGTCACAATGATGGGATCAGCACCGGAGGGAGTAGGTGTTGCCGGTTTGGCTGCGGGGGTGGGTGGTTTGAGGGGATTTACACCACCCGCAACAGGAACCATCGAGGGACCAGCGGGCGTGGGGCTGGGTGTGTGTAATGGTTTGGGCTGGCTCAGACCAGCCTGGCCGGGCATCTGTGGTATAGTCGGCGACGGCTGTGCTTGAGCAGTCGGGAGAGCTGGGGAGCGCAGAGGCGGCGGAGTCGTGGGCGGAGCTTGAGAATGCGGAGGAGGTTGTGGCCCGCCGGGAGCTGCGAGCACTGACTCCAACCCACGAGGGGACGCCAACGGTGGTCGGTTCGGTGGAGGGGCGGTCGATAGTTGACGTTGAGGCTCGGGAGGCATGACGCCATTCGGCGGTCCGTACTGGATAATGGGCCGGAAATTCGAATTGGTCGTTGGAGTAGGAGGCTTCGGGTCTTTGACGGCGTACATGATCGCTTCGAGCACGTGCGGCTCGATGTTGATGGTGATGGTGCCGATTTTGGTCATGCTATCCTTGGGAGGGTTATTGGGTTCCTCCTTGACAACACCTTTTCTTTTCGTCGGCTTCGTCCAGTACTTCTCGAAAATCCCGTCGTTGATCCATTTCTGCCGTGATCGAAGGAGGGACTCGGCTAGAACACCACTGGTTGGACATGTGTTAGCCTCGGCATTGTCGCAAGGCCTCAAAAGAGACCCATCGGAAGCTATACTGACCTCTCCTGTATCGACTGGTAGTCCTTATGTGACAAGTCGTCGGGCTGTGCGTTCTCAACCGTGGGTAGCGGATGGCCTGCCTGGATCGACTTGGGCAGCGGCGGCTCTTCCACGGCGGCTTCTGGAACTGGCCCCGGAGCTGGCGTCAGAGATCTCTCGGGGGGCGTCGCCGTTCTTTTCTTAGCGACATGTTCAACTCGAGCAGCTGCTCGAGCGGGCAGCTTTCGCTTTCGTTCCATTGTCGTTCAGTGGACGATTGACGTGGGGGGGTATTATGGACGTGACATGGACGGTTGACTTGGATGGGATGATGTATATCGGAGCTGCGAATGCCGTGCAGCTCAGTAAACCCCAGTAAATTGGATTGTTTAGGCCATGGGCAAGTCAGCATGGGGTTGAATAATGAGGCATCCTCGTGGGAAAAGGGAAGGTAGAAAACTGAGATTCAAGTGAGGGAGTGAGTGAGTGAGTGCAACATTGACTATTGGAAGGAAGGAATGGCGATTTGATGCCAGAGCCTGGCGAAAGACGGGCAAAGAACGAGGGCCAGAAGGGCGGGTGTGGTCGTCAATTGGTGTGTAACGTCCTTGGAGAAGCAATCAGCATCCCTGATTGGATGGATGGAACGCTAATAACTGGGGTGACTCTTGCTGCCAATTTTTGCCTCACATTAAGCATCATTTTCGAAGCAGGCGCAGTCAAGAGATTGCATCATCTTTCTTCCCCAGTGGAAAACATAATAGAGGAAAAGGTGCCATAGCCACCGAGAGCGCATCCACGCTTCACGAAGTTTTCAAATTTGACAATCAATTAGCATGTGAATGAAAGAGCTACTCTGATATCAAAACCTCGTTGGTTGAGGCTGAGGCTGCCCAGAAAGGGATCGATGGGCGGGTGCTGATCCAGCAGCCGCATGGACCACCAGCAAGGGGCTTTAACAGAACTTCAGGATAAAACACAGTGTTTTCAGTGCCAGAAGGAGCTCGGCTGTTAGTGTAGCTTGAGTAGCTTCGCAACGATACCCCACATGACCATGCTGTCGTCGACTACACAGCCGCTTTCGCGGCAAAGCTTCATCCTCGAGCAGCTCTCAGAGCTCATGTGTTGGCTGGCTGTACGATAAACTCCTCCCCATTCTTGGATTGCCGGTAAATGATGTCTCTGTTATAGACTTTTGGTTCGTCCCCTGCTAGTTCATGTAAATCGCTCAGGTCCTGCTACGTCGGTCTTTCCTGCGAAAACCGCGGCTGACCTGGATGTCAGCATCATGGCACCTCGTACATCTCAGTGGGCGATCCCACTTGGTGCCGGTCTGGGTGTACCTATTGCTCTCTACACTCTATTCCTCTTCCTGGGCGCTTTTCCGTTCTTTCAAAGGCAGTAAGCACTCAGATTTGATGTAGACCCTGGCATAAATATGAGCTGAGCCATTTTTGAGATTCCTCTACGCTCACAAGTTCAACACCCTCTTCTGGCACGACCCGAATAAGCCAGAGTACTGGGGATTCGCTAGTCAGTCTCCTTGGCCAGAGCTCTACAGGATCACGTGGCTGATGCATGCGCTCTTCAAGGGAATCAAGTCACCCCCTTCTCATTGACGACCGTTGACGGTGAAACGCTTTACGCATGGCACGTCTTGCCCTTGTCAGCATATCTGAGAAACGAGGAAAAGCTACAGGCTCAGCCAGCGGGGTTCTCCAATGACTTTACCAAGACCGAGTCTTTCCATATCCTCAGGAACGACCCGAATGCTCGCCTTATCATCTCTTGTAAGATGCTCCTACGCTTCCTTCGTATTCATACTGACCCAAATAGTCCACGGAGTGAGTCAGCTGGCCAATTTCAACTCATGTGTCTCCCAACTTACACCGTGATCTAGAATGCCGGACACATAGCTCAGGCGATCCGGCCTGACCACTTTCATGCCCTGACAGACACGTCCGCCTACCATGTGCTCTCCATCGATTACCGCGGCTTCGGGAAATCGACGGGTTCACCCACAGAGGCTGGACTCATTGAGGACGGTGCAACAGCTGTAGACTGGGCCATGAACGTGGCGAAGGTCCCGCCCAGCCGCATCGTCATCGTGGGCCAGAGCTTGGGCACCGCCGTCACCAGTGCCGTTGCTGAACACTTCGCCAAGCAGGGCATCGAGTTTGCGGGCATCATCTTGATTTCCGGCTTTTCCAACTTGCCCACACTGCTCAGTCGCTACATGGCGGCTGGGTTTATCCCCGTGCTATCGCCACTACGACCTTTCCCGCCTCTGTTACGCTTCTTTCAGAGCTTCATCGTGGACAAGTGGAGATCGGCTGATCGACTGGCCCAAGTCGTCGGCTTGACACGCACTCGCCTACGTTTGACCTTGATTCATGCCAAGAATGATTTGGAAATCCCCTGCACCGAAAGTGATGCACTCTTTCGTTCGGCCGCTGTTCCCATAAGCGGAACCGCGCTGGATGACGACGCCTTCACCGCGTGGAAGCACGATAGGACAATAGTGAGAGATGATGGCACCTTCATCGTTGTCGCAAAGGCTGAGCCAGATATTGTTATCAGAGAGGAGCTTGTTCCTTACGGAGGTGAGTTTTCCATCGGCCATTTGATGTTCTCCTGCTGACGGTCCAAGGTCATAATGATGTGACGTGGTCGTCCCCTGTGGCTCTTGCCGTGATGAGGTCTTTCGATTCCGACTCGACCGAGGCTTCTTGAGACATTGGAGCATTCCTTCGAAACTTGGCATTGGGAGAGCACATAGACACTATATAATAGAATGAGGATCGGGCAAACACTGTATATAAAACAAAGGAGACTTGGCAAGCCATAGAACAGTGTTTTTGGACCCACTCACGTCCAACGCTTGATTAGACTCATCTTAGACGCCTTCAGGGGGCAAGGCTGTCAGAATACGCAAGACTCTTCTACTCGAATTATTATCGGACGGCATCTCGCAGAACCCAGTTGGGCATCGGCGGCGACGACTGGCATGCGCGTCTTCAGCCGCACGAATATTGCATTTTGCATCAGATAGAGCCTGTGGAAGCGGGCAACAACACAACGCAACCGCACAACAGAGTATCGAATCATATGCAACCTGGAGACTCAATCTTATCAATTTCTCTTTTCAATTTCTCTCTTATTTTACAACGTCCTAGTGTAACTAATGGAGGCTGTCAGAGAGCTGACGCCAGCATCGCCGTTACTAAAGCCCTCGGGAAGATGGCCGACTCGATCGGGTCCGCGGGGAGGACGTTCGCCTCTACAGTTCCGAGATCAATAGCTTGATCGGCGTCATCATGACGGTCGGGGAGAGGCTTATCTGATCCTCGAGCCTGTCGGCAGATATCTCATCCAACGCGAAGGCGGCCACCGATTCTGCGATTAAGTCATGCCGCCCTTGAACCGCACGTACGAGAGACTGTTGCCTCTACTTGAGAAGTACCGGGCGAGCCGCAGCCAGCGTCACTAGATGGAATTGCATCACGTATTGGTTTCCAACTAAGGAGAAGCTGATCATCTATCGAAAGGTCCTGAAGACGGCTTATGATCTTTTTCAGACGTTGCTCTTGCAGATGAACCTTGAGACGGCGACGGATAGGAGTTGGCAGAATATCTCCTGGGTTTCTCGCCGTGGTGAACTTGAGGTCCCAGTCGAGCGAGCCGTAAGTCTAGATCTCTACACCTCCATCAGGGAAATGTATCCAAACGGTACGTATTTAACGGTCGATGACATATTGAGGTGGAATAGTATGGGGTCGGATGCCGGCGGGGTGTCATGATGGATTTGAGGAACTGGTAGACCATCAGGCCAAGCCCCAGCACTGTCTTGCTCAACTTGCAGGTTAAATTTGGTTTCCAAGTCAATATTGTGGAAAAATTGTAGCTTACCGAGAGCGCCTGGAGAAAGAGGAGAAACGAATCGCCCGAAACTACCAATCGAAGTGAGTTCTGTGACGTTATTATGAAGTATCCGCCGCGATGCTTTGGCCCATCAGAATTGAATCCAGGCCTACACCGGCTAAACTATCGTAGGCTACCTCCGCTTGACGACTTTCCATTCTCAGTTCTGTAGTACACAGACCCAGGCCACGCTTGCGTAGCATGCGAGATCAACGGATGGAGTCGCTCTGGTTAACTAACAACAATAATCTCTATCAACCGACCCTTGGTTTCTTGCTCTTGCTTTCTGCTGGTTGGGGAGCATGTATCACCTTGAACTGTCTTGCGCACCTGGTCTCATTCATGATCTCATGTTGCTACCCTTGAATTATATTTAAGAGAATGAGCAAGATGATCAAAAACTCCCAGTGCGCTCTGTACTTTTTGATTAAACCTGTGGTCATGGCCATCGACACCCTGCGCTGACAAACACCGATAACTCATGTAATGCGATAAACCGAAAACCAGCAATAATAACACCGCCTAATTAGGGTACTTGAGCGCGGGATGGTGATCCAAATCCATATACTCAGCATAAGTCGAAACAATCTCCTTCTCCAGATCTATCGGCTGACTGTCCGGCCGCCCATTAATCGTTATCAGAGTCGTTGCCGCAGTAGGACTTGCCGTCTTCCTGTCCATCTCGTCCTTCAACAAACCCTTGGTATTCAATCGGAACCCGACGAGTCGTTTGGGGAAGTACGACCCCGGGTAGTACGACGCCGTAATAGCCAGCACCGCGAATAGGGGAAGGAAGTCGAACACCCAGAGGGGCCATTCCTCGGTCGTTATAGTTGGGGTGGGCCTATGGGTTGTTATGAGGCTTTGCAAAGCATCCTTTTCGAGGACTTGCATGATGCCGCGGATCTATGCTTGTCATCAGAAAGAGTCCACGTTCAGTACGCATCGAACGGAAATGGTAGAATTTACAGAAACGAAAACGCCGGATGCGGTCAAACTCAATCCAAGCTCGCGTGAAGATTGACGCTTGTCTGGATGGATTCCCCACCGCCGACTAATAAATGTGAACCTCGCTACCAGGAATGTAAACGTCATAAAGATGAGCATCTGCACGACAGCACCAACAGCTAGGATGCGTGTGCCAGCATTGAAACCGAAGCGTCCCGTCCCGATAGCGCTAAGGGTGTCACCGGCGCCAGTTGGCAGAACAAGGATAATCGATGTTGCCCATGGTGGCAGCCAAAGAGTGTTGAAATTGCGATTTTCTGGCGGTGTAACCCACCATATGAGGCGGGTGTAAGTCGAGATTAATTGAATAGCGACGAGAGATCCAGGGAGCCTTGAATCGACGTCAATTTTGTGATTTGATTTCAGAAGAGCGCGCCACCTCACATGAGAAGAAACGCTGATATATTGAACGGCGCTTCTAAGGCAGGATTCGTGATGACAACGAGTCGGAGTATCATGCCCAGCCCGAGCACTACTTTGTATTAGCCGTGCATAAGAAAACTTCACTACTTGGTTCAAGGTCGTACTCAGAGCCGCTTGGGGCATGAGATTCAAGTTCCAAGCCCTCGTCTTGATTAATAACATAATATGGATGACCGTCAGAGCAGAAAACACAGCCGATCCAACCACTGCGAGGTCGAAAGAGGGTGTGTAAAACGGGAATGGTGGTTTGACTCCGGCGGGCAAAGCCGAGGCAGGCATGGAGAAATTGCCGACTCCAATGGAGACGTTCCTCGATATTTGTGCCATGGCGGTGATTAAGAGGGATGAGCAGCGCTCGTGACGAGCCGTGGAAGGCGATCAACAACCCGACAGGGACGTAGACTAGTCGTCGTATTGAAGTGGATATTAACAATACTCTAACTGCAGCAGCCCTAAGTTAAGAGGTGAATTCCACCCTACTTAACTACCTATATTCAGGGCGCACATGTTTGACGAAACACTGATGAACCAACCCGCAATTATATCCCCAATCGGCGAGACGGAGCTTCCCAGCTTGCTTGATAAGGCGAATCTATAGACATCGCCGACGAATATATCAGACCAGACGATCGATAAAGAAAAACTTCCAACGGAAATCGGTGGCTCGAGCCACACAAGTCAATCTAAGCACTGAGGTCCTCATTGACAGTTACAATCCTACTGGTTGTTCCATCTGTACTTTTCAGGGGTTGAAACGCCATGTTCAATTGTGGTTTGTTTTGATACTTACATGACTTCGGCTCATGAATGCCCGGTTATGTACTTGCTTTTCGAGTAAAACTTTCGCGTTTCGATCTCTTCATGCCGTCTGCCGTTTGCTCTTTAGAAAGCTCCGAGCATCGTTGTGGGTTTCCCCAGTTAGGTTCATTGTAAGTATATAGATAGCCACAGTATTGGGAGGAAAAGATAAGGTGGTGAATAAGACAGGGCGCTGCAAGATCTGACGACATATTCACGCAGAAAAAACTGTAGCAGTGCCATAATTCAGCCAATATGTCCGTTCTAGATCTTTGCAAGGTGGCATCATTCCTTGGAACCACTGGCACACTCAGTGTATCACGGCATCGGTATCATCTCCCTGCTATTGTCTCACTGCAAATTCGCTTGTAGAGCGTAAACCATCTTACAAAGTCAAGCGCATGGATCCCATTCAAATCATATCATATCGCCAGCTAACACGTTTAACTAGGCTAACTGTTGTGCATGCCCTTCCTGAAGCTACAATCATAGGCAGTGTTGTTTGTTCTGGAACCTATCAAAACCACGAATAACTGGTACGCCGTGATGAGACCGGAAAAAGGTCCGCTCAGAATGGGAACTAAGCTGCTCCGTACAGCCACATTCAGGAAATCTTTCCTGATCTTGAGAACATGGAACTGAGTGAGTATATTGTCAGGTGTTTTCTATTTCCAACTCTCGCCACGGCCCTAATACCGCATCAGCAAGAAATCTATTGACAACGGTTGCCAGCAAGGGTGTTGAGTGATTGTGAAACCCCACCGGGCCGTTTTCGGTCAATAGTCCGGAAGTGCTAGTAGGAATGCGTTGTGCTCCACGTGGGGGTCACATTGGTGGGGAGGTGGGAAGGTTGAGATCATATGTGGAGCTTTGCAGACGCATATGGTGCTCACAAATGAGGGGAAAATCCCCAGCGTAGGGAGGAGCCTATACCAGGATCAGGTCACATCAGAGTCAGCTTACGCTACAGTCGGAGAGAGTTCGAGGATCCTTGACGGGGTGGGGTTCTTGCACTACTACTATATAGCTTCCACTTGAATAATCAAGGCACGTTGCGTCCGAGTAGTCTGATATCGCAAACTCCCTATCGTCTACCAATATGCCCAAGATCAAGAATGTTGAGTACTTCCGGGTTAAACCCCGGTGGTTGATGGTCAAGATCACGGACGAAAACGGCGAGTTTGGATGGGGCGAGGCGACATTGGAAGGCCATGACCTCGCCGTCGAGGGCTGCTTGGAAGAGATGATCCCGCGGTTGATCGGACGGGAAGCGAAGTATGTATTACCCAAGTTACCCAAGTAATTTCAAATACCTTGCGCTGACCTTGATGGTGTGCACCCAGTGAGATAGAAAACATTTGGCAGACGTTCTGGAGACATGGGTTTTATCGTGGGGGACCTGTGTTCATGTCGGCGCTGTCGGGTGTGGACATTGCGTTGTGGGATCTCAAAGGCGAGACTTTCTGAGGAGTCATCTTTCCGAGGGGTGAAGTGAAATTTTGCTAACCCAATTTGAGTTACAGGCAAAACCCTCAAGATTCCTGTTTACGAACTTCTGGGCGGAAAAGTGCGAAATGAGGTCCAGGTGTATTGCTGGATAGGAGGAGACCGACCATCGGACGTGGAAAACGCTGCGTATGCTTCCTAAAGCCACCCCAAACCACTGCCTCGCCCCTATTTTAAACTGACACAATCCACAGCAAAGCCCGCATCGCGCAAGGCCTCAAGTGCGTGAAAATGAATGCCACGGAAGACGTAAACTGGGTAGACTCCCCCTCCGTCCTGGACGCCACCGTGGACCGCCTCAAACTCGTAAAATCCCTCGGTCTAGATGTCGGCCTCGACTTCCACGGCCGTCTGCACAAAGCCATGGCCAAACAACTGGCCCACGCCCTTGAGCCCCACCGCCCCTTATTCATCGAGGAGCCGCTCCTCTGCGAACACCCCGAGGCCATCAAGCAGCTGGCCGACCAGACCAAGATCCCCATCGCGTTTGGTGAGCGTCTGTACACGCGCTGGGACGTGAAGAGGTTTCTGCAAGATGCTAGTGTGGATATACTGCAGCCGGACATCGCCCACGCGGGCGGGATTAGCGAGACGAAACGGATTGCGCAGATGGCCGAGGCGTATGATGTGGCAATTGCGCCGCATTGTCCCCTGGGGCCTGTGGCGTTTGCGGCCAGCATGCACATTGCCTTGACATGTCCTAATTTTGCGATTTTGGAGATGAGTCTCGGGATGCATTATAATACCGAGGCCGGAGATGATATTGACCTGTTGACGTATGTGAAAGATCCAAGCGTCTTTGATATTGGGAAGGGGGGTTACGTTAAGGCACCTAATGGGTATGGCTTAGGGATTGAGGTTAATGAAGAGCTGGTGCGTCAGATTTCTAAGGAGACGGTGCCGTGGCAGTGTAAAGTGTTTCATGGTCCGGATGGGAGTATTCGGGAGTGGTAGGCGCTGAGAGTAGCATGTTTCAGCAAATAAAGATATATGATACATATTACATGACTCGGAATCTATGTTAATGAATGTGAGTGGGCGATTCTGCTCTACTTTAACAAAAGAATTTGAAGTGCGTGACATGCTGTACTATCCTTCACCCTTTGGATTCACACCACCATTTGGGTAACGCCAACTCTTATGTAACTCCAAATTATAGATGCACATACAAAATACAACTTTGACGTATCCTCTAAAGTAAAAATCTTATAAATACGTAGTAAGTTATAGGACCATAATGACTGGGGGATAAGACCTTTGAAGAAGCTACTGATACAGATAGTGCCTGGTTATAACACTGTGAGTTACTTATCTTCCGGGTCTCACGGTGTCCTACGATTACTTCACTATATAAGACACCTATGCGAGTCTTACCCAAGGCCAAGCTACCTTCCCATCCATCCCCCATCAACCGTCAAAACTTCCCCACTCACATACCGACACCCCCTCCCAGCCAGAAACACCGTCGCCCCCTCAAAATCCCCCCGCATTCCCCACCTCCCCGCGGGAATCCTCTCCAATATCCCCTTCGCTCTCTGCTCATCCCTCAGCAGAGCCTCATTCATATCCGTCGCCACATACCCCGGCGCAATCGCATTGACATTGATACCCTTCCCCGACCACTCATTCGACAGTGCCTTGGTAAGTTGCGCTATCCCGCCCTTGGCCGCTGCGTACGCCGGTACTGTGATACCACCCTGGAAGGAAACTAGCGAGGCGACGTTTATAATGGCGCCGCGCCTGCCCGTTGCTTTGTCCGGATTCCGAGTTAGAAGGTAAGCTCCTACGTCGCGGCAGAGCGTGAATACGGTCCGCAGGTTGACCTGCAGGACGTCGTCCCAGTCGCTCAAGGGAAACACGTGAGCAGGGTGGCGCCGCTGGATGCCGGCGCAAGTAACGAGGATATCCGGGTCGTGGCCGTCGGATAGGATGCGCTTTGTCAAGTCCTCCACTTCTTGCTGGTTGGCGAGGTCGACCGTATAGACGAAGGCCTTACGGCCGAGGGACTCGATTTGGGTCTTGGTGGAGAGGTTTTCTGAGTTGCGCTGAATGAGGATCACGTCGGCGCCTGCGTTAGCTAGGGCGAGGGCCATGGCTTGGCCAATGCCGCGGGTGCCACCAGTTAGGATGGCGAGAGAGCCGTCGAGGGAGAATAGCTGTTCGAGATAGGAAGACATGATAACTTGATGATGTGCTCAGCTGGGTTTGTTATTCAGAAATTCACTATAAAAATTGTATCGCTCTCGTTTAATGGGAATGCATTAGATGAGACTATGAGCACTTCTCAAACACATGTGACATAGTCAGGTGTTGGGCAAACCATGATATCCGCAGAAACACTTGGGAAACCCCTAGGCCTTGTGGTGGACGGCTTTGGACAGACTGTTGAAATTTGCTCCGACTAACGAAGCAGGAATATCATGCTCAGGGTCATGCAACTGCGCATGGCTCGATCAGACACATGTGAACGCAGCTCAGATTATGTGGAGCGTGGGGGTCGTTGTTACTAGAGGGCGATTGGCTGCTATACCCCTGACTTTCCTCAAAGCGGAGACCCGAAAATTCCACCCTTCCGCGGGGGTCACCAATCCGACCTGCGATTTCGGTGAAGTGCCCGATATACCCTGTGGGGAATGGCGCCGTGAGCAAGTTGGAGGTGGAGCTGGTAATGCTGAACGATTGATCCGAGTTTGGGGGTCATGAGGAGGCGGGACTAAGTCCGCGCACATTCGAAACACCGAGGAGTTCCTCTGCCAACATGCCATCTCAGTCTGTTAGGAGCTAGACATATGAAGGATCGGAATCGATAAACAACATAACAACTTATTAGAAAAATTGTGAAGTCGCCATGACGAACGCACCACAGATTGATGTCCTCCTCTACGGGCTCGGAGCGTAAGAGATACCCGTCTTCTTGGAAACTCTTCATTACACCGGACGTCATTTGTTGATTGATCTATACTAACCAATTCCCATAGCATTGGTTCCTTCTATGCCTTCGTTCTCAGTCGGTCCCCGCGCGTCCGACTAACAGTCGTCGCGCGGTCCAACTACGACGCCGTCAAGTCGCACGGCCTGTTAATCAACAGCCAAAATCATGGACAACACCGAGTAAAGCCGTATAAAGGTAATTATACCTCAGCCTCTCAACTATTACATTAAAGGACAATACTGAAGTTGGCACAAAGTGCTCAAGACCCCGGCCGAAGCGGGAACCACGTTTGATTATATTGTTTGTGCCCACAAAGCCGTCGACCAGTGGTCTGTTCCAGCTCAGATAGCGCCCGCGGTCGACGAGGACAAATCCACCCTCGTGATTATCCAGAACGGCGTGGGAAACGAGGAGCCGTTTCGGGCTACGTTCCCCGCCATCACAATCATTTCATGCGTGGTAGGGTTGCAAAGTCCCTCCTGGGCCATCCATTAGAAACTGACGCTCGGATTTTCAGACCTGGGTCGGGGCACGCCAATCTTCGCCCGGGAAAATCGAACATACCACCTCCGAAGACATGCAAATCGGCCTTTTCCCGAACCTGACTCATTCCCCGGAAATGGAAACCCAGCGAATGAACGACTTCGCGTCTCTGCTGGAGGGTAACACGGTGTTCCAAATCGTGCCCAACATCCAAATCCAACGGTGGGAAAAAGTCGTTTGGAACGCTGCCTGGAATCCCTTAACTACGCTCACGCTTTTGGATACGCATGCGTGGCTGCGTTCTTCAAAGGACGCGACACCGCTAACAAGAAAGTTGATGAAGGAGGTCATTGACGTAGCCAGGAAACTGGGGGTGCCGGTTGAGTATGAATTGGTGGACAGGCTTATGGATAAGATTCAGCGTATGCCGCCGATTGGGAGTAGTATGCAGGCGGACTTTCAGAGTGGTAGGCCGATGGAGGTTGAGGTTATCCTTGGTTATCCCCAGATGAAGGGGAGGGAACTGAATGTGCCGGTGCCGGTTTTGGAGACCATTTATGTTATCCTTACAGGCGTGAATCAGAGGTTATTGAAGGAGCCGGCGAAGTTTCGACAGGGGTGTTGAGTTGAGATGTAGATGATACTGGAGTAATTCATCAACTCGATAGGTGCCGAGTCCGCAGAACCCTCCCTTACTTTATTAGAGCAGTAAGCGAAAGTGGAGCGTTGAAAATAAATAATCAGATGGTAAAACGTGTATGAATGTTTTGCATAACTAATGCCTACAGCTTAACTCTCCTTGACACCTCCCGCTCAGCCCTCACACTATTAACCATATCCCCAACAACACCCTGCACCGAAACCGCCCCTGCCAGCGCCATACTAACCTTCAATTCGGTCCTCAACATCTGCACCAATCTTCTCACCCCGGCCTCCCCATACCCAGCAGTCAAAGCATACAAAAACGGCCTTCCAATCCCCACAGCCGTAGCCCCCAGCGCCAAAGCCTTGAGTACATCCGTGCCCCTCCTAATTCCCCCGTCGAGGAAAACCTGAAATCTGTGCCTCATCTCTGGAGCAAGCAGGTGCGGCGCATGCCTTGAGATCTCGAGAAGCGTCAGGATAGGGGCTTGCGCCGTATCAAGGGATCGCCCGCCGTGGTTCGATAATACAATACCTTGGACGCCGCGGTCGAAGGCTAGGATTGCGTCTTCGACGGATTGGATGCCCTTGATGACGAGGGGGAGAGAGGTGGTTTCCTTGATCCAGTGCAGATCCTCCCAGGTGAGAGAGGAGCTGAGCAGGCCGGTGGCGGATGATTTGGCCACGCCTGCATTTGCAACTGCATCTGCAGCCGACTGTTGGCCTTCTTGCTCTCCCAAATATTCAATTATGACCCGTTCATCGCGTTCACGCCTCCCGAGGACGGGCGAGTCCACCGTCAGGAAAATGGCAGCTGCTCCCAGGGCTTCCGCCTGGCGGATGAGTTCCTGCGTCTTACCCCTGTCGCGATTCGCATACAACTGAAAGAATACCGCCTGATCCCTACTGACCCGTGCCCCGAAAACAGCCTCATGGGGCGTCGACGACCTGGTCGGCGTGCAGTATACGATCCCCTCTATCCCCGCCGCCCTGGTGAGTATCGTCTCCGCCTCACGATGGGCGTAGCGCCCCTGGCCCGTGGGAGAAATGTAAAACGGCAGTGAGGACGTGATACCGAGGATACTTGTGCTGGTTGAGATGGTCTCGACGTTGCGGAGGATGCGCGGGCGCAGCGAAATCCGCGTGAAGAGACGACGGCTGTCTTGCAGGCTTATTTCGTCTTCGGATCCGGACGAGTAGTAGGCCCATGCTGAGGGGGAGAGGTAGAGCTGGGCTACTTTTTCGAAGTCGGATATGTTGATTAGGGAGCTTAGGGGTGGATATATTGACTTTGAATTTGTCTTTGTCTTTTGGACGTTGGTGTCGAGGGCCTGGGCGGTGGCAGTGAAGTCGTGTCCTAGATTACCACGATAGTTCTGCGCTGGGAGAATTTCCGCAACTAGGTCGGCATTGTGGATTTCGTCATACGAATCTGTGGCGTCTTGGCCGGCGAACTTCATGATCAGCCCTACGCCGCCGGGGTGCTCGTTGAGGAAGTCTGATGGTGTTAGTAATAGTTGAAGACCTAGTATAGAAGCTTGTGACATGTGTCACGTGGGCTTACTTACCGGTAACGTCCCATACTTTTCCGTGGATAACCACCCAGCAAGAGGCTGCTGTGTTGTGTTTTGCCAATTCTGCCTGGTCGATAGGTATCATCTTCCTGCCAATAGTATCGTCGACTTTTCAAGTCCGCGCTGCAACTCTGGCATTACAATGTTGTTTCGTATAACTTCAACTGACCCGATATGTCTAGACTGGTAGACTTCCAATCAGGGCTGAGCTAATAAGTCGAGTAAATTTCAGTACTGGGGCCATTTATTCCAGCCGCCAAGAGCCGCGGACTATGCCAGTAGTCAGGATTTGGTGGGGGTCATCGTCGGACCATTATCCGCAACCATGACCATACCCACATTATTCTCCAGGCTCGTCAGTTGCATCGCCGAGTATGACGTTCGAGTGCCCAGAAGAAAGATGTTGAAAACTTGGTTACCCCCCACGTTGGGGGATATCACATGCGTGGGGGATTTCTCCAAACTATCCAACACCAAGACCCCCAAGGTCCACCTTTTATTATCTCTTTACAACCTCATGTTAGTTAGTAGCTGCATAGTCAAGCCCCCAGAACAAGGGCAACCGCTTGGCATAATTGTGCCGGGGTCAGAATAGCGTTGATCAAGGTGGAAGAGAAGGTTTACGAACTACTCTCTGCCCAGCCATCTCCACTTCCCTACTTTGCGGTGACGAATTGAAGAAGAGTGGATTAGTCTTACGTTAATCTTCATGACCAAAACCATGGCCAAGCTTACGTTCCTCTCCTTTATTTCGTTTCATCAAGCATCCTGTTTGAGTGGGGGTCATAGGTCCCTGGCCGTGAAATGTGTTGGAAAAAAGCCGCTGGGGATAAATTCCTAGACATTAGCAAAGAACCCCACGGGGAGACAGTGGGGCTTTCTCGACCGAAGTGGTCGACTTGTCCGGGGAAACTGGGTAAACTCACCAGGGTTGGACCCTGGCGGGCAGATGTGGTACATAAAAGCCTGGCTGGACTGACTATATTGTCGTAAATCGTTGCTTAACTGCAAAGAAATAGTTTCCAATTCCAATAGTGTGTCGCCTCAGCTTGAGAGGCAACATCAATTCCATATGCACAGCATGGCCGAGGCAACACAGAAGCACAGAGACAAAGGCCTCAAGGCGTCAGAAGAAGTGGAAAATGTCGAACACAGCCTCCCGCAAGATACCGCTCAACTGGTCATGCCATCCAGTCTCGCAGTCCTCGACACCGTAGAGTACCAGACACTGGGCCGCAAGGCCACAATGAAGATGGACATGATCATTATGCCCGTAAGCCCGCCTGTTCAATGCATGTCCCAGAAATTTTGAAATAGACTTTGAGCTCACAGTTCTGATATATAGATACTGGTCATAATGTATATCCTCAACTACCTCGACCGGCAGAACATCGCCAGCGCCAAAATCGCCGGCATCGACGCCGACTTGAATCTCTCGGGCGTCGAGTACCAGACCGCCGTCAGTATCCTCTTCTGTGGCTACATCCTCATGCAGGTCCCGTCCAACATGATCGTGGGAAAAATCAAGAGGCCGGGGATGTACATCTGTGGGGGCATGGCAGCGTGGGGCATCCTCTCGGCTCTCATGGCCGTTGTGCACAACTATGCCGGGTTGCTGGTCGCAAGGGTGCTTCTGGGCTGCATTGAGGCGATTTTCTTTCCGGGGGCCTTGTATTTCTTGTCCTTGTTTTATAATCGGAGACAGTTTGCTTTGCGCACGGCGATCTTGTACTCTGGGTCGCAGTTGGGGAATGCTTTTGGAGGCCTGTTCGCGATTGGTAAGTGGCTGACTTGCTCACCATTGTGTGATGGGATGGACATGGACATGGAAGAAGCTAATGTTGTGGATCTAGGAATCTTGAGACTGGACGGTAAGCACGGCCTCGAAGGCTGGCGCTGGCTCTTCCTCGTCGAAGGCGTCCTCACCACCGGCCTGGCGCTCCTCTTCTCCCTGATCCTCCCCAACTCTAACCGGGAAATTCTCGGGCTCTCCAAGCTAGAATGCACCTTCGTTCAATGGAACCTCGCATCCGACCAAGGCCAACACGACAACACACATGAAATCACGGCATTTAAGGGCTTCATCCTGGCCCTGACTGACCCCAAAACCTGGCTCTTCACGGGCATCCTCTACTCCACCTACATAGTCGGCACGCTAGCCAACTTCTTTCCCCTCGTCGTCGAAGGCCTGGGCTACGATCGCACCACCACGTACGCCCTGTCGGCCCCGCCTTTCATCCTCTGCGTGATCGCCATGCTCGTCAACGGCTTCCACTCGGACCGGGCGCAGGAGCGGTTCTTGCACATTGTTTTGCCGCTGTGTGTCACCCTTGTAGCGTGTATAATCGCTGTGTCGACCGTCAACGTCGCCGCGCGCTACGTCGCTATGATGCTGCTGCCTGCATCGTTTTACGGGTCATCCGTAGTGACGTTGTCGTGGATCACGGCTGGTCTGTCACAGCCCGCGGTGAAGAGGGCCGCGGCCATTGCCTTGATTAATGCGCTTTGTAATACGCCGAATGTGTGGGGGAGTTATCTGTACTATGGGGCGCCGAGGTATCTGACGGCATTTGTGGTGTGTTTGGGGGCTACGGTGGTGGCCATTGGGTTTGCGGTTGTGACGAGGATTTATTTGGGGAGGCTCAACAAGAAGTTGACTAAGGGTGAGGACATGAGGAGGCATGGGCCGACGGCGGCTCAGATTGCGGGTGGGTTTAGATACACGTTATGAACATGTGATATGGCTATAAGACTGGTTTGGAAACTGGATACCATTAAAAGAGGAGGGTACAGCAATTAACCTTTCTGCAACTAGATCAATTTTGAAAGTGTGAAAGTAAATGCTTCATAATTCCTTGGGTCTCGAGGTTTTTCCATATCTGCTGCGTCACGTCAGCCTTCTCTGGTTCTAATTATCGATGTTTTGAAAGTACAGTACCACAATTGTTTGTTCCCGCAAGAAATAATGATTAGCGGTTCAGCTTAGTTACTCGTGTTTACTTCCCCGTGTTGCAACCCTTATTCTATTCCACTCATCCGCAGTCCTTCCCGACGGCCCCATTCCCGAGCCGCCTCTGCTACTCGTAGCGCGGCCTCTTAAATTCGCCTGGCCCGGGATACAGTATATTTACTGTGGGGCACCAAATCACTCGGCTGCTTCTTCATCTGGCCTATGAGATTCAAGACGGTGATGAAATCGGACGTCGTTGGTTCCGGGTCTTCCTCGTCACCAGATGGCCCTCCCCGTTGTATGTTGTCTTGCGTCCATTCCATCGTCGACGAAGATGGTAGGCTCTGCGCACGAAAGTCGCCATGAAGCCTATTTTCTCCTGTGCTATATTGTTGCAGGTTGTTGCTCAATATTTTGGCCGCCTCCAAGCTTTGTCCCATCTTCTCGCGGCCTGCGGGTCCATCTGAAGTCGCCCTGAGCGATCTTGTGGCTATCGTTCCGTTTGGGCGCCATAATGAAGCGGCAATATGGGTTTCATCCCGAAACCATTCATCTATGGCTGGCAGGTTAGGGCCGATGTGCCGTTCTGGGAAGGATTCTCCGTCGTTGAGTGGTGGTATTGTGATTTTGTGACGAACATTCATAGTTGCGTAATGGTGGTGACGTTTTTATTAACAGCATGCATGGATTGACAAAATAACAGTGGAAAAGTACACACTGAAAATCCAAAATGACTTATTCTTGAGTGAAGCTATTCCCTTCCATTGTAATCTGACGACACGCGCTTTCGCGGGGCCCCGCTTGGGGTTTCCAGAAGGGGTGAGGCGTGGGGGGCCTCGGTCCAGGCACGGACTCGATAATCATATACTTACGTCTATATTTGCTAAGATCATGCGCCTTCATGAGACCTCGTCCTATCGGCTACCCCAGGATCTCGGCTTCGTCTGGACTGTCGGGTCTACGCCAAGCACAACGATTGACTGCTTCCCGTGTTGTCAGATGCGGGCACGGCCAGGGCAGATTATGACGTGCATTTGTTAATAATGATGATCAACCGCACATTCAAATGCATTGTAACTTTATCCTGTCTGTACCAGCGGCGCATCGGTCAGATGGTGTTTAGTAGTCGCTTCCATTCCAACTTGAGTGTTGTGGATCTTGTTAATCCACAACAATACAATCTCACCGGTGGGAGACTTTGACCAACCAGAACATGCGCCCAGGCATCTGGATGCGGTCCACATTGACGCGTTCCCTGTCGAAAAGCACATATGGTCGTACGACTAGCCTGTTCAGATCCACCGAGATAGAGAACATGGGAAAACTGTGCCAGTCGGCAAGAAGTGTACATAATACATAGAACGCTCAGTAGCAATAATCACCCTGTGCTACTATTCGCTTCTATCTGTTGCCCGAGAATAAATATGCTTTGCTAGTTACTGGTTAAATGTACGGAAATAAGCAGGCTTTGTATCGAACGCTCTCATAAAACAGAATACCGGGATAATTACGCAATCCTGGTCCTCGCTGTGCACCGCTTGATGATATTGTCACCCACCAGTCTGCCTGATCTATTCCTCTTTGGCGTTCGGCGAGAAATGCGAAAGTCATGCATCTTCATTCTGGGTGGGGTGGGGATATGCAAATACGGGGTAGGAGATCCACTACTATAGACTAGATCCTACTAAGCCAGCCCGTCAGTGGGCACGAAGAATGCAAGGAGTCCACTTGGTCCAATAGCTCAGTCATGACGGGAAACTTAATGGAACCGTATTTTCGCAAGGCAGGAAAGCGGGGCGGATGGCCAAGCATCAAACGCAGTTCATGGTCTGCATGCGGCTCAATGAGGTGTTATGGACAGTCACTTGTCGAAGTTGGGGGTCATAAAGTCGGCTGGAGAACGGGAGATCCAGCGGACTTCGGCCTTCGCAGATATGTCGGCCGCGACACCAAACTCAGCAGGTGGGTGCTACGTGGGGGTCCAGGGCCAAGACGGAGGTAGGAAACATGAATCATGGTACATGGGTTCGATCCTCCGTTACGTATGGGAGCCTTGAGTTGAGGGTTGACGACGGAAAAGGGCTGAGGTTTGCACTTTTTGCGTCTGTGAATTCACCCGTCTTCTCGTAGTTTGGCCTATTGGTCGTTTTGTAATAATAGTTGCTATCCTGTTTCCATAAATTCTGCGGCTGTACTGTCTCCTGAGTTGAACATTCAGACCAAAATTTTACTTCTCATAAGTAACATCAACATCGGAAAGGTAGACCTGGAAGAAAACACCTCAGCCATGTCTCCCTCAGCAACTCTCTCCAACGGAGCAACCAACGGCTCAACCAACGACTACGCTCCCACCGCCGTATCATTATCATCCATCCTAAAGCCCGGGATCTACGTGCCCACCATCGCCTTCTTCACCCCCCAAGACACCATCGACGCCACTACGACCCAAACCCACGCCATCCGCCTGGCCCGGTCCGGCGTCGCCGGCCTAGTAACCCACGGCTCCAACGGCGAAGCCGTGCACCTTGATCATACCGAACGCGTTCTCATCACCCGTCTCACCCGCGACGCCCTCGACGGAGCGGGCTACTCCCACCTGCCCCTCATCGTCGGCTGCGGCGCGCAAAGTACACGGGAGACGATCCAACTGTGTCAGGAGGCCGCTGCGGCGGGCGGCACGTACGTACTTGTCTTACCACCTGCTTATTACGGGGGTCTGTTGACGACGGGGCATATACTCGAACATTTCCGTGAGGTGGCTGATAAGTCCCCGGTGCCGGTGTTGATATATAATTATCCAGGGGCTTGTAGTGGATTAGATCTCAGCTCAGATAGTATTGTGAAGTTGGCAGAGCATCCGAATATCTGTGGTGTGAAGCTGACGTGTGGGAATACCGGGAAGTTGGCTCGCGTCGTGGCTGGTACGGCTGAGAAGAAGAAGGGGGATGGTAGGTTCTTGACGTTTGGAGGGAGTGTGGATTTTGTGCTGCAGACGTTGGCCGTTGGTGGACACGGGACTATTGGGGGATTGGCCAATATTGCGCCTAGGGCCTGTGTTGAGTTGATGAGGCAATGGCAGCTGGGGAAGTATGAGCAGGCGAGGAAGCTGCAGCAAGTTGTTGCTGCGGGGGACTGGACTGCTATTCAGGGTGGCTTTATTTCTGTCAAGGTTGGGTTGCAGAAGTATTATGGGTATGGAGGTGAACCGAGACGGCCATGTAGGATGCCTGAAGGCGAGGCTAGGGCGGCGCAGGAGGAGGGGTTTGCAGAGCTTGTGAAGGCGGAAAGGGCGTTGGAGAAATAATGGCTTCCAGGTCATTCCATTAGGGGTTACTGCAAAGATGAGGCAATTAGAGAATCACCACTTTAACATGTTAAGCAGTGTGGAATATCATCCACCTACATTATGAGTATCGTATTTACTCCAAGGAATTTCCACCGCAGCCGTGGACGCTCCCTCTGCCTCTGGTGGCATGTTTCGGTGACTGTCTCTTTGTTCAGTTGATGAAAACCTGTGGAAGGGATGTTTGATCCCGCGTATTTCATGCCGTGGCTAGCGTATGCCTTTTACGCGATGATTAGATACAGATGCAGGCACCAGAGCCCACGGCCACAGATCACGACTGCAAGGATGCCTCTGAGATCCATCAACAAATTTAAGAAGAGGAGAAGAAAGGTATCTAGGAGGTCGTGCGGCCTTTTTTTGTATTGTTTTTACCAACGCCTGGCTAGAATTTTGTGCCTATATTGAATTTGTCAAATGTAATAACAAGCCGAGAAGAATAAACTGCATACTTAAGTGGTATTGGTAGTTATACTCCTTAATCAATGTAGAAATTGGGCAGCTATTAGCGCTTAACAACTTACGAGCTCAGCTCCTCTCAGACCACTCCACCAAAAGGCGAGTGCACCCACTCTGACAGCATGTGGCCCCCCTTTAGGGAGTCGAGCAGTCCAAAGGTCAAGTCCTCCAATCCAAGAAATAAGCCACGCATTCTACGTCGGCGGGGTGGTTATTCTCCTGTTGTTTCTGCGGACGGAGGAGTGACCGTCAAATTGTGAACTATTTGGGAGTTGCTCAGCTATGGTTGAGGCTGGAAGATGTAGACGATCCCAAAGTAGCTTGCAGGGCTTAAAGTACAAGCATCGTTCACAACTACCGTCCAAGTGGTGATCGATTTTAGTTGACAACAATGATCTCGGTCGACGATGGATTGAAGAAGTCAAACCCATGTTGGATTTGAGGGCTCATGGCATTTCTTCGACCGGATGGAGAAGCATGATGATAGGGCTTCGAATGGGGGTAATTGGTGCATTTCGCCAAAGCATGGATGGCTTAAGGGTGCTTTTCGAATGGCCCCTCACAGAATGTGGGTTCCCTCGCGACTATTCTTGTCGACCGATTCTTCGCAAGTGAGCTTGTACTTCTTGTTCTCTTTCGTTTGCATCATATGAGGATGAATGACTGAAAGCGACAAAACCTCCTCACCAGTACCAATATCAGCACAGTTACTTCAGGGCTATGCGCCTTTTGTTCTGTCAAACCCTTTTCCGCACTCGCGTCCACCATCCTGAGTCAATGAGCATCGCATAGAAACAGCCAAATCGGTCGACTTTTCAAGTATAATTGTGAGAGTTTTGCTACGGTGGGTTGGAATCTCGCTGCTAATTCACAGATAAACATAGCAAAACGGCCCCGGCAACGTGCTAACCAACTCTCTAATCTTCCTCGGCGGCGCCGCAGCATATCCATAGTTGACATAATCATCCAATGTCGTGTTAAGTTAGCACTTGGCGGGTCATTTAAGAAAGTGTTCGTCCCTGCCATGGCATATAACCGCTCCGTAGGTGCCTGCATCTGCCAGTCCACCAAACCTGATCGACCATCGCATGATGCAAGTAAAACGCCGGGTCACCAGGACTCACCGACGCATCCCGCCCCGGATCACCACAAATGGCGTAGTGGCCTCCTCCATGAACGCCTAGGTCGCCTTTGTCAGGAGTGCCCTGTAAATGCATTTGAAAGTCGTTGATCTCGTTATGCTGCATGATGAGATAGAGGATCGACGATGCATTGGCGAATTCTTGGACAATGGACGTCGTCAAGTCACGCTTCAGACAACGAGGGTTGTACGCCAAGCTGTCATTGTTGACGATTGTGGTTCCGCCTGCAAGAGGCAGATTGACAGGACCAAGGTTCACGATCATGTTTTGGAAGGGACCTGAGGTGACGCAGCCGCCGCCTGGGCCGGGAGGCAGGTAGAGGCCAGGCGAGCCGTGTACGCCTGTTAAAAAGATCTCGCCCTGGTTGGGAATGGGGGATCCGTTACCTGACATGGATGTGTCACTGCCATCAAAGATGGGCGAAGATTCCATGCTGGTTTGTGCTATCTTGGACCAGCCCCAGTACTAGTTGGGTCGCTGTTAGTCCCTATTTTGCATTTCGGACTTCAAACGTCGGTTTACTCACAGGCTGGGTCCCATTGTAGCCACATTATACTTGCAGTGCCTGCTCGTATAGCCAGATTTAGTACCGATGCCAGGTGAGGAAGTTTCCCGTGAAGTGAACGGCTCGCGTCTGGTTGATGTGCGTCACGACAGTCATCAAATCGGGTTTTGGCCCCAGGGGCGAGTGATTCTGGTGTGAAAGCGGGCTTGGCCTGAAGACATTGAATCGCTGAGATGTAGGCAGATCTCTCAGTCTTTGTCAGTGAGCCCCTAAGGTCCCCAAGTTAGTCCATTGATTCAACAAAGCGGCGTCGAAGTATGACCATACCATTCTCTTCTAACCTTAATGTTGTCCCGGGTGCATGAGTTGCTGCGTGTCAGAGAACAGAATGCCATAGGCACCGGTGGGACACCGGTGGGGGCTCTGGTGTAGGAATGTGCGAGTCATGACACGATATGGAAGTCTTGGTTTGCGGAACAATCGGGGAAACTAGTGCTCCGCGGCTCCGACGTCGGGTTCTAGCTATCTATGTAAGGGGCGGAGGCCCGGGAAGAAGATAGAGGGAGAGTAGAGATCAATGCATCACCGTGGGCACCCCTACCTGAGACCGCCAGTGACCACCCGGTATTACGTAGGAGGGACGCCCGTTACTCCCCATCACTCTGTACTATTGCCTTCGGCCTAGCCGTACCCTGACACTGCGTGTCTGGAGATCTTCCATTGACTTTTCATAGGCAGCGTGGGCAAGGTCGGCGAGCTGATTTATCGGCATGGCGGTTGCATGTTGAGGCATAGAAGTGCCCTGAACCACAGGTAACGTCTGAAGAGCTAGCAGGAGAAGTCGTATCAGACGCATGACGAATCCGACAGTCACAAAAGAGACGTGAATGAGCCGACTCTGACATTTAGTCAGTTCTTGCCCAGTAATAGATGCCTCTTAGACGCCTCCTGGTGTTTCCGTCCGGACGAGAGGTCCCCTACAATAAATAACTGGACAACTATCTCTGTTGGGTGCCCCACCACGGGTCTTCATTATCCGAGCAGCAACCAAATCGCGCCTCAACTTCGTGCTACAATTCCGAAGGCAATTCACCATATATTTACAAGCTTTTGGTATCCAGATCAGAGGAAATCGCCAGGCAAATGCGGCCGCGGCAGTCACTCGTGCGTTATTATGACACCTGCTACATGCAGGAAGTCGCACGAAGAGAGTGCCAACACCGACCCAGAAGGCGATACATGATTAGTGAAACTTTAAAACGAGTCAAATCCTAAACAAAAATGAAAATCGGTAAGAGGAGCAGTGCTAGCGATCGCGATGAAAGCGATTTAGTTATTTTAGTAAAAGCTAAGTAACAGTTCCTAGCTCGTAATGCAGTCGGAGCTCCCTTGCATGTAACTCGACATGCCTGTTAGCAGCTATGGAAGATCTATCGAAAGAGAAGTATTGTAAGAAAGACGGAACGGGAAAAACAGGCTAAGACGATCCAGGCGATCCGGATCATTAGAATCATTAGATAAACCGGTAGACTAGCAAAGGAAGGAATAGCTCTATAAGAAATAGAGGTTCCCAGGCTTTTCTAGTAGAGAGTCCTTGCCTTAGTAACTAATCTAAGTAAGACTTATGAAGCCTTCATAACTCGGTCGTCTTTATACGATTAGTTAATTGGTTTCTATACGTACTTATTATACTATTCAAGACCCTATCAGTACAAGGTAATGGTACTTCTTGGCAGTTTAGTTGGTAGACTAATCAGCGCTCCATATTGGAAACTGGGGCAGTATAGGCAATGTTGAAGTGATCCCGTGCTGGTTAAGGCACTGAGGTTCAATTGACTAGAAGCTATCACCATTGACTTGTGAGCTGATTTCTGAGAAGGAGTCTCACTCCAAGATTCTTTATTCAAGCGAAGTGAGAGCCTTGACGTCAGACTCCAGAGCAACCGCCCACCGGAGATGTCAACCATGGAAGTCATCGCCGTGTTTCCAACACTTCAGCTTATTTGCAGCAAAGCGGCCAATATAGCCTAATAACCTGGATACGAGGCGCTGAGTACTTTGATGGCCATGAGTTAATCGTAATTAGAGACATAAATAATCAAAAAAAACGGTAAGATATTTCTTGCGCCATGTATGTACAGCTGTGTCACAGACAAGGCTGATTTAGTCAAATCGTCACGCGGACGACAAACTGCTGCACCTTTGGATAAGGCAGCCAATGATAAGGAGATCAATAGTGGGTTGTCTGAACTTCGTGATACTATTGCCACGAATGTTTAGGCGAAATCTCGACCTTGATAACTTAGATAGCAAAGTCCATCGTATAGTACAATGTGATATTCCACTATAATGGGCAGGAATAATACTAGTATGGCCAGAGTATTACACCTATGTAGACCATCCAGAAGATTGCATATCTAAAGGAGATACGACCTCTTGAGAAAATTCAATCTGGAAAAAATCACACATGAGTAGTTGGGGACAGATAATTCTGCCGTGTATGCCGGTAGTTGCTGCCTAAGTTGGCCTGCCGAGACGTGCATATGCAGCTCCAACTTCAAAGTGATCCAACCATTGGACACGTACGCCTCGAACAAGGCAATTGACCTCCCTTCATTCTGGTCTATTTGTAGGCCCCCTGAGTTTGATCATGGAATTGCCGCGCTATTAAACGAATGTCACCGATCATTCTGATCGGTAGGACTCATCAACTATTTAGCTTACGCGCTAGTGGCCGGCAGCTCGAGACCAAGCCACTGCCCCAACGGCCCAGATCCTACGAACCTACGTTGATCAGACTCCAGGCTGCGATGTAGAAAAACTCAATCTCGAAGCCTGCGAGAGATATGCAATATCCTGTGAACTCCAACGAGCTTGCTCCTCTTTGCACTCATTCCTTCGGCAGTCCCTCAGATCACCCCTTTTTTCACTTCTCCTTTAAGTCCTGCATAGCAGATACTACCTACAATAGAAAAAAATCGTCACTAGACTGTGAGATCAAAATGAGAATCTCGAAAGACGATATGTCAGAGGTGACGTGGAAATGGTGGTGCAAGACCAAGAACCTAGGCCGCTCAACAGAGAAAACACTAGCTGACTTCAACTCGGATTCTACCTCTTCTGACATCACAGAGTCTGTCAGCGCCGGTAAAGCTACGTCCACCGAGCCCAGAGATGAAAATCTTGGATTCAGCGCCTCGTTAAAGACCTTTTACGAGGGCCCCGGCAGCTTTCAGGGCATGTACAACTGGGTCGACTACCCGCCACGCCAAATGTCCAAGAGCGCAGCCAAAGCTCAGGATCGAGTGGCTGTCAAGCTGTTCAAAATAAAAGATACGGACAAGCCCATCATGGGAAATCGGTTCGCGCTCAAGTATCACTCCATTGAATTGCAGAATCCGAATCTGGTCGCCGCAATCGAGCCGATCCTCAAGAAGGAGGATGTGCGCCTGGACTCCACCGAACCGGCGAAGTTCTATGAGCCCTTTCGGTCCCTTTACTTCTGCTACGATGAGATCGTAGCCAAGTACAAGTCGTTGCCAGAGGGGAGCTCGTTGAACCCGTTCTTGCTGTTGTTCATCAAAGTCATGGATGAGGTGTTCGTCGAGGTCCGGACCAAGAAGCGGAACCTCGAGGCGAACAAGCTCATTTCCTTCAACACAGCTTGGGCGTATTTTGCCCGAGACGCACCGGTCATCAGCCGGGGGCCAAACTGCGAGTTCATGTGCAAAATAGTCAACACTAATTACGTAAAAACTGCCTGCGGGAACGTCCTGTACATCACGGTTAAGATTCTGCGGTTCAATGGGGATGCATTCGTCTGGGAACAAAGGGATTTCAAGATTCCCGAATTCGCGGGGAACCAGCTTATTACTGAGCTTGATCACTTTCCTTTGGAGTATCATGAAAATGCTCAAAGCCTGTGGGAGCAGATGGACAAACGGGGGCGCATGGTGTTGGATCACCAGGGACTCACTTATTGCACCTACAGCGGCATCGCTATTTATCGAGAGGGCATAAATCTGGAGAAGCATAATGTAAGTTGATCATTCGTGGAAACATGAAACCGTACTGACATAATGTAGGTGGATGGAAGGATCTTGATTGATGTCGTCGGGTATAACAAACATCATCTCATCAAGGGTGAAAGGGAGGGCACGGATACAGAGACGCAGAAGAACATCGTCGCAGGAACTGGAACGTGCCAGAGACATAAGCGAAGAACCATCTCACAGCCTGCGGACTCTGAAGTCGCCAAGAATGATGGTGCCATCGCGGAGGACACCAAGACAACTGAGGCCAAGAGATTAAGCGAAAAAGATCAGAAGATGAATAAGCAGTCCATGCTTGAAAGGCCGGGTGACCTGATGTACATGTGGCCGCTCCTGGAGGGATATGCATTGAAAAACAAGCTATGGAGTAAGTCGCCGACAATTCGAGTCAACTAGCATTGGTTAACATACTTCAGTTTCTTTCTTCGTCGAGGATATCCGACCTATTATTGCATGGAATGATCAAGCTTTCGAGCACCTGGTCTACGATGAGCAACAAAAGGATTTGGTTCTGTCATTCGTCGAGAGCCACGGTCACTCTACGCATCAACAGCTGGAAGACGTGATTGTTGGCAAGGGTAAGTTGGTTGTGGAATTTTTCAATGAGTCTTCAACTAATATGATATGCTAGGACAGGGACTCATTATTCTTCTGAGTGGCCCTCCAGGAACTGGAAAAACACTTACAGCGGAAGCCGGTGAGTATTTCTAGAAAATTCACTGTCCAAGCGATCTCCCCGCTAATGAAGTATGAATCCAGTGGCTGACCGCAGGACATTGCTCGCAACGAACTCGTCTCTATCTTTCTGCGCGAGCTCGAGTACTTCCGGGGAATCATCTTCTTGACCACGAACTTGTACCAGACGATCGATACTGCCTTCCGGAGTAGAGTCAATCTGCACCTTCTGTTCAAGCCGTTGACGATCGAGGCGCGCGGGGTGGTGTGGAGAAAGTTCTTGGATAGGTTGCCTGGGAGTGGTGAGCATAAGCAGAAGGAGCTTCAAGCCAAACGCGGAGCAAGGGAGGTTGAGATCAGTGAGGAGGATATTAAGGAGCTGGCTATGTGGCAGCTTAATGGGAGGGAGATCAAGAATGCGGTCAAGATGGTCAAATCATGGTGTGAACATAAGGAATATGAGATGACACTGCAGAGGCTGGAGAACGGTATAAAGGCTACGAGTCCGCATGCGGCGAGGGTCAACCATAATGGGGATACGGATATTTATGACGATTAGGAGACATATATTTAATGGATAGGTCTCATTTGCTACTATTTTCTTATTCTCTTCTACAGTAATACGGTAATTGTCGCTAATAGGAACAGTACTACCAACCTCTACCAAAGCATCTCATTCTAAAAATGGTTCAAGTAGAGCGTTTCCTACCGAAATCGGACACCAGGGTTAGTCGGACAGCCGCCTCCGAATTTCCCACTAAAAGATCGCACCTTCGAATCGCACCTTGCCTTGCACCAATCTATCAAATTCGCCAATCAACCTAGTCACATTCGGTTTTTCGTACAATGGTTTCGGATGTAAAGCCTAGGGATTCTTTCTGATGGGGAATGGGGAGTATCCAGGTTGGTATCGAAGCAGTGAGACATCCACTTCAGAACATGCGGTACTCTATAGTCGAATGATATAGGTAACCCCAATATCACAGTGTCCTAGATGGTGATCCCAACTGGGTGTGACCTTCACTTCATCGGCTTTGATGCCCCATCTTCGAGGTTATACGTGATCTGTGGACCCTATCCGAGGCTCTATATGCATATCGGAGGACACATCAATAAAGCGAATTCGGCAATATTGGGACCAAGGTGCTATTGAATAATCCAAGGGCACTAATGTGTCACCATTCACGCTATTCTCGATAAAAACAAGCTTCGTGCAATCAGTTGCAATTTGCGGCACTAGGATCTAGAGTAAAATCACGCCACCGTCATTTAAGATTTCTCAGTTGCGCTAGACTGAACGTGACTTTACTTTCCAGAATGTGGTTCGCAAGGACGTGTGGGATCAGCGGTGCAATACTAGTCGGCCGGTGATTGTTTGGATTCATGGTGGAGGGTGAGTCTGGACTCCTTCAATGCCTATGCTTGGCGGTCAAGGAGTACTGATTTGTGACAGTTTTCAAATTGGTGCCAAGTATAGCACGCCCGATTCGAACCCTCTAGGTCTATTGGACCGAAGTTTTGAAGATATGCCAAAGGTTCCATCTGGATTGGACCGAACTATCGAGTAAATGTTTTCGCCAGCGCATGTCACATCGAGACGGCCATCTGACATTCTTACTCGTGGCTCGGTGCTTTTGGATGGCTTCAGGGGTCATCCTTTTTCTCAGCAGGCGGCCTTCCCAATGCAATGATGGTCTCTACGATCAACGCAAAGATTTGGACTGGATCCAAGAACATGTCTCCTTATTTGGGGGCGACCAGAGTCGTGTCACTGCCATGGGCGAGTCTGCCGGTGGCGGGTCCATATTGCATCATATTACTGCTTATTACGGGAGCAAGGACACTCCACCACCCTTCCATCGCGCCATTGTTCAGTCTACTGGATACGTGTCCCGTCTCGATGCCTCTCAAGCCGAGGGCTCCTTCTCCGTCCTCCTCGACAAAGCGAACGTTTCGACCCTTGCAGAGCTCGAGGATCTGGATACTCAAACTCTTCAGATTGCCAACCAGTTGTCTCAGTCCAGCGACTTCTATGACGCCTTCCAGTTTGGCATCGCCCCTGATGGAGACTACGTTCCTGACCTGCCGGAAAAGCTGCTCGCCAGCGGCCAGTATCACAAAGATATCAAGGTCATAGTAGCCCACCACACGTTTGAAGGCCAGCGGTACACTGACCCTACCGCTACCAACTCGTCAGCCTTCGATGAGCACATGAAGCTCTACTTCCCCAAAGCCTCAAGCAACGTTTTATCTGAGTTATCAACTGAAATCTACCCAGCCGTGTACAACGGCACTTACCCCTGGACGACCCCCTTCGACTGCCTATACATAGCAGTGTTCGAGTTCACCTTCAGCTGCCACGCCGACGTCCTAGGCGATGCACTAGGTCCCTCCGTCGGCCAGGACAGCTACTCGCATCTCTTCTCCGTTCCTCCAGGCACACATACACTCGACGTGTACTTCAGCTTCTGCGTTAACAGCAGTGCGACAGTCACAAACGAGACCATTGCAAGGAATATGCAGGGTTACTTCACCAGCTTTGCGCAGTCCGGCGACGGCAACGCTAACAAGGCCGGTCTACCCGAATTCCCCCTATACGGATCGAATCTTACCGATTTGGAACTCAATCAAACTTTTGTTGATGTAAGGATGGATCCTGCGGCTCATTCGAGGTGTGACTGGTGGAAGGCTGCATCATACGTGTAGACTGTTATTGGGATAAAAAGGCAGGAGATAGTAATCCGACTAGGTGCTAAACCTAGGCACCTACCTACCTAAGCTCTTAACTGTGCGCCATGCTGCGTGAATATTGGATTTAGAGCACCCCGAGCTAATCGGCAAAGGGGGTAGCATGGCAGCGAAACAGAACAAACTGAAACCAAATTTCAGACCCGAGTTCATGTTGGCAGCGAAACTCAAGCTGGGGACTGACCTCACCTGGTTGTTGGGTTTGTATCACGGCCGTAGAGGACTTGGTTTCCATGTTCTTCCGAATCAAGCACTCTTGGCCTTCATAGCTAGATCAAAACCAGTCTGTTGGTCCACATCCTTCATACTGAGAGCAATACGGCGCCCTTCTATTTTGATAACCTTGACCTTGACCTGTTGCCCCTTCGAAAACAAGTCGGAAGGCTTCTGAGCCCCTAAGTCTTCGACGAGGGCTGAGACGTGAACCAGGCCGTCGCGACACTGTTTCACGCCATCCAGGTTGACGAATGCGCCAAAATCTTTAACCCCTGTGATGTGTCCATCGTATACCTTGTAGAGCATCGGTTTATCATCCGTCTTTTTGCTCGCTGGTTTTTGCTTCTGGGTATCTTTCTGTTGTTCGCGCCGTCGCCGCTTCGCGTTGTTGTATTCGTCCTTGTCTTCACCCTCGTTCTCTTCGATACGGGGACGTCGTTTCGTCTCAGAAGGTCTCGGTGGTGGATCGCCTCCTATGGTCGCTTCTTCTTCTCCAGTCCCACCGGCTCGGCCATCTTTGCGTTTCTTTTCCCTCTTTTCCCGCCGACGTTTCTCCTGCAGAGATTCTTCCTGGGTGCCCTTGATCCGGAGTGTCTTTTTGTTGTAACGCGGATGCAACGCGACAACGTGGTCATCGATTCTGTCAACCAGCGGGCCGGGGAACTCGCGGAGATCTTTCAACCTGTTGCTGAATTCGTCGGAGTTCTTGCTGGCTACGCGTTGTGCAATGAGGATCTTGGCGAGAGAAGAAATTCGATCGTACGCCATGTCGCCGAGGTGGCCTTGTAGCTCGCTGACGACCTTGGCCACTAAAGGCTGCAACTCCAGCTCTTCGAAGTCTTCCATCGTTATGGCGTGGGACAGGGCATCTACCGGTTGAGATTCACAAGTCGTATTAATGGGCAGCAGGATTTGGCATGCGACAACTTTCAGAAGAATCGGCCGCGATAAGGCTTATCTGACCCCCTTGATAGAAGCATATTCTACCCTAACCCCATCGTAGTCCTAACCCTGACTGACAACGGAAAGATAAGGGGATGCTGTGCACTTCGACACAACTATGACATTACAAGATGAACCACTGTAGTACGCTCTCGATAACCAATAATTTCCTCCGCCAGCTTGCGGACATTCCATTGGCGTCTCCCAAAACTCTGTTTCCACCGAAAGAACGAGACAGTGCAGTAATAATGACCGTGAAGGCGCTCCATCGTCGCTGGGGAATGATGGCATGCGCAGCTCGTCAGCTATAAGCTTTTTTAGTTTCTGTCGGCATGATTACATCTTGACCGCTGTTCTGCTCGACTCGAACCTCTGAGCTTCGTCGAAGACCTGGTCTGTGGGCAAGCTCTTTCGTCCAGAAGATATTGCAGGCCACCCAAAAAACTCGTCCGCCCGAAAACACAACGTTACGACGGGGCAAGGTGTGCTCTTTTAAATCATAGTCCCCGCCCTTTCATTGGATTCTACTGAAATCGGAGTCGAATAATGGCTCGACGGTCAAAGTCCTGACGCCAGGCTTGAAAGTGAGCATCGACGGCCAGAATTCCATCGGTAGGTAGGGAGACGTCAGGACACGAAACTAGAAGTCCATAGTTTACATGCGGTCCATCTGGCGCCACTCGATCATATGTGCATTTTCATACATAGCCGCCACCTTTTCCAGTTGCAACACTTTCCGAAGCAGATCGTCCTGCACAACGCAAAGCTGTTCATCCCATAGGCACCGAATGCCGAGGCGGTGGGTGAGTGCTATAGCACCTCTGACCGTATTAGGAATATTTTCAGCAAAGGGATACATGGTAAGTGCGCTAGGGACTTTTAGACGATCCAAGTTCGCTTGAGATGCTTCCAGGACGTCGGTCAAACAGCTCCGTATGTAATCGGCGCAGCACAGCGATATTCCAACGAGAGATTCAGGGGAGCTTCGTCGAGGCATTGTGATCCGAAATTCACCAACACCAGTGGCGATGACAGCATATATCGAACATTACGTGTCCGAATCCATCGGTATCTTTAACTCTCGAGTCTTGACTTTGACCTTGTTCGGAGATAGGAGAGGAGTAGTTGAGAAGGCTGGCAACGCTCATAACTAAAGTATTGAGGTGTGAATGATCTAGTTGTAGTCCATTCAGATATGGCTTGAGACCTATTTATATGACGTTAGAGCATCTAGATGGCGATTTATTCAAACCAACCACTCCTGAACCCCACTTGTCGCTTCATCCCAACTCTCCGCTCCCATCTCACTGACCAACTTGACCACCGCATGGACCGGAACAACTCCATCTCCCCCGACAGCCTTCCCGCCAAGGACAGCCAATCCATCTCCATTCTTCCCATCCGTCTTCGCTGAAGACACCCCCAAGTAGATATGCGGAAATAACCCCCCCTCCCACGGCTCTCCACGCCTCCCATCCGGACTCTCCCACTTCACCTGCAAGTCCGTTTGCGCTTTCAACTTTTCGTAGTCTATTTTGATCAAGTATATGACATCGCGACTCAAAGCCGAAGTGCCGAAGAAACGCCCTAGCGTCTTGGGGACCTGGAGGGACGTCGACATGTGGAGGAAGCCATCTCGCTGATCCAGGGCGGATGAGGGCAGATGGTGCGATAGTTCGAGGATCGTGTCATCGTCGCCCCAGGGTACTAAAGAGGCGGGGGCTATTTTATAGATAAAGCGAGATTGGGCGGTGGTATTTTCATTTGAGGGGTTTGCGGCTTGAGCGGGTGTTGAGGATGACATAATGACAATATTAGAAGTGGGATTAAAGGTGAGAGATGGTAACTCTGTTGGTCTATTCTCTGTTGTATAATGAGCTTCAAAGTAAAACTTCTAACCTGGGTGCTTGGCGTTTGTGAGTGAAGCTGACAATAATATGCTCCAATCTTCAGAATCGTTCGTGATTCTGCCAGGTTTTTGTCACTTGCAGGTAAGTAGAATTCTTGACTGCCAGCTGCTGTCTGACCTTACAGGGATGTGTGACAGTGTCAGATCCAATTCTTTAGTAAATCGAGTTCCAGCCTGGAGTGCTCGAGTAGGCAATAGCGAGAGGGATATCCGTTTTACCTCACGACCCGAACGAGTCCACAAGCCTAAAAGACCAGACAAACATGTCCGAACTAAGGAGTCCCAGCCCTGTACGTACTACAGCCGACAATGGCTCTCAGTCATCCACGTCATGGTTCCTTCATGGAGTGCGGCCAGTTTGACGCACAGAAACCAGATGCCTCGAGGCTCAGATGCAGTCTCAACCCGATTTTGGCAGGCTATGAGGAAGAGCTGTAGTGTTTTGACGAAAACACGGCGACATGGTGGCAGCTAGACTCGGATTGATGTTTCATGAGATTGACAAAGCACCGCACTTTCACGTGGGACCGGGAATCCAGCTGCTATGCCCTGGTTCTGTGGACCCTTCACGCCCTCTCTTTCATTCATATTCGTGTGACTTTGATGATAAGAAACTTGGAGCTGCTATTATGTGCGTTAAAGGCATACAGGGAGGACTGCCCCGCAGCTTGTTGACTTAAAGGGTCCCAAAAGCACCATTCTGCGACTCAACTCAACTCAACCCATTTGATCGATGTCCATGAATGGACATTGGTAGAGAAGAACCCCGAGACAGTCCATTATACTGCACTGAACTATGTCTGGGAAACGGATAGCTCGGAATACTTTAAGCTGTCAGATTAGCTTGTGGTCGACGGAGAAGACGGTAGAAATACGTCTATCTCGCTTGCTACGATCATCTCGAAGGTCAGAGGATGAAATGTACGCCTGCTGAGCCGTCTATTTGTATTGCGTGGCCCAGGAACACCGCCTATGTGATGGGTATAGCGCTGGGGCCAACTGCCCATAGATAGCCCTTCCGTAACTAGCTGCAGATTCCTGCGAGTTAATTCCATCATCATCACCACCAATTCAGTGATCTTTTCTATATTACCCACAATGTGTCCTGTTTATGGACAGATCTCTACTGCACCGATCAATACAATCTCTCCAAGAAGGCTTCCAGACGGTTGAGATGGGATATATCCACCAGCGGCCGCAGATCACATTCATAGTGGATATCACTCGTTTGGAAGATGATTTTCAGGCTGGGGGACATCGAGTTGCCGGTCTAATGAAAGTGTCACTAGTGAGTGAAATTGGCGCGACGCAGAGGATTGAAACAATCGGTCGGCGAAAATATATCTCCACCCTACCTTCCACCACCGACCACATCATAGCTTCCAAGTAGCTCAATAGATATTATGTCAGTGCTCGTACCAAGCACTGCAATCTCTCTCGTGCTTCGCAAACACTCCAACAAAACCCAGATACAGGTCGATCTTCTAGATGAGACTAGGCCTAACCATCCCTTCAAAAAGGCGGGTGTAACCAATGGGTACCACCTCATCTATCTGAAGAGAGACCCACCGGTACCGTGCCTAGGCAACGCTCAAGGTGTAACAACCGACCTAGTGCAAATCGGACAACTGCAGACCCGAGCCTGCCCAACTGGTAACGGCACTTCCAACCACCGAAACGTTGTAAGGCTAGTACGGGAACCAAATATAAGCCTCGCACAAAGTTCCCAAGATTTCTATCATCTTCCAAACATGCCGTTCACTTGCGTCATGTACCCTCAAACTCACACACGCCATTACGTACTTAGAAAGTAGCAAACGTACCGCCACAAGACTACTTGATGCTCGCCTATAGAGGAAAGAGTAAATTATATGTGAAGTAGTGAAATATAATATTAAATACGCCGTAGGTGTTAACCCTCGGTACCGCTACAAGTACTCCCTTAAGGGGCTATAGATGATATAGCGGGCCCTTAAGCCGCGTCGGGCGGTTATACAGGTAAACTTGTAGCCAAACGACTACTAAACCTCCTGTCCCTCCCTAAGTCTGTGCTACAACCCCTGCCTGAACTACCGATAAGTGTGGTAATGTGGCACTTAAATTCGTCCTCAGGGGTGGGATGCTGCTGATGTGCAGAAGATGCTCGACTATTTTTTGTCGCGACAAGTCGTAGTATCTGCTAATTGGGGTTCTCGTCGAGCGTATACATCTCAACCATACGCTCAAGTGGATAGACCGTAACGTGATCTAGACGCTCGCAAGAATCGCGGCGAGAGGGGGTCCGATAAGGGGTCGGATTAACGATTCGAATTCTGGACCGGCTGTCGAGTTATATTCCGCCGACGTAGTGCTTGACGGTCGACTGGCTAGGATGCTCGTAATCCTAAACTGCACCAATCTCCCTATTATCGCTAGGTAGGCGAAGTCAACAAGGTGGGCCAGCGCGCCTTAAGGGTTGACTAAACCCCCTTGTGTGTTAGCTGCGGGATTCGAACCCGCGACTCGTCACCGACCCAAGTGGGTGAGGCTCAAATCGGGACTTATCTGCCAGCGAAGTGACCAACTACACCAGCCGACAGTGAAATATAATTATGCAACTGCGATCGTGAGGCAAACGCAAAGCATTCATTGCTTTGTGGTGTGAAGTAGTATGAAAGGGCTTCTCGATATTAGAAACACCTGTTTGAACCATTGCCGCCCGGCTTCGCACATAAAATTTCTGTGTTCATCTTCAGGCTTGGCATATTTTGAAGGACAACACCACAAGCCTGAGCTGCCATTGGTCAGATGAAAAAGTTCATCCGCATTCTCGTCATCTTCTGTCTAAGCGCTGCTGTTATACTCGTCAGCGCGCAGTCATCCTCATCCTCCTCATCCTGGCTAGTATCAAACGTCATCGCGTACTCTTGACATAATCGACTCGTATCCAGGTAAGCGACTTCCCCCTTTTCTCATTTTTGCGAGCCGAGTTACGGGGTGACTTTTTCATTCGAGCTGCCAACTTGACCATGATGTGGAACTTTGGCAGTGATGCAAAGAACAGTGGAGATTATTACACTGGGTCGAACCATTTTAATCGGATAGGAATTTCGTAGTATTATGTTGGGGACAAGATGTTTAGTATCGCGGAGTTTCATTAGGGCACGTGGCTTGGGAAAGAGCGCGAGGGAGATTGAGAGTTTTCAGGGGGTAGGGGGTCCTTCCGTTTTCTGCCAGAGGAAAGAAGACTCGAAAGATAATGAGAATCGTTCAGTGGTTCAAGGGGGCCAATTTGCAATGCATTTATCCGCTCTTTATTCAAGTGTTTGTCGTCCGCGTCCTACCTCACCAATTGTAATATATCATGCATAGCTGTGTTCCTGCACCGTAGTGACATCCCTGTGTTGTATTTCCTGACCCTAAGCTGCGAGTCCCGGATTAGTCGCTCATGAATTTCTTGCCCCCTGGGTTGCCTGTTCACGAGTATCTTGGGTCTGAGCTTCATTGGGTGGCACCATGTACACCCCATCCAAAGTATACCTCGTGCTCGAACTCTGACTTCCACGAATACCATACTCGCTAAATGGCACCAGTGTCTCGCCAGAAGGGGTCCGCAAATGCGAGCGGTGGGGCTCCTGACTTGGTCTTTCGGGCTCGTAGATGGGCAGCATGAGGTAGTCCTCGCTCTGTGTTCGGCTGTTGCGTGATTGTCGGACTTGTTGCTCGTTAAGTGGCAGATCGTCTTGGAGAGATCCACTGCGAGATATTAACATGACAAAGGGTCGTGGTTATGTTTATGAACTCACGTTTTCCAAACCCCATCTTTCAGGGGCCATGCCTCGGGATACTTCTCTTTGAGAGTATGATGCAGCACCACTGCGTCAAGCGCCTTGACGCTTCGTAACGGTGTCCATTTCAAAAGGACGAATGCCGTCACCGCCAGCAGCACCGAAAAGACAGGTATAATGGCGAGGTTCTTGACCGACAGGGTGGCGACATCGGGGGTGAAGACTACGAAGTCCCCGACATTGGGCTTGGGCTTCTGATCCTTTCCCAGCGCTTGGTTTGGTATGTCGTCGTGGGGGTACAGGGTCGTATCAGTGAGGGTATTCGTGGTCGCAATGTAGGACGTAAGTATTAGACGGTGCAGGTCCTGGGACATGTTGCTCGTGCCGGCGTCGAGCAAGGAGCCCAAGGCAAACTGGCTAGAAGCCAGGGCGGACTGGCCCAGTAGGATGCCGATGTTGACGACTTTGGGGATGCCCAAATAGCGGACGAAGATAGCTGCGAGGGATTTGGGTATGCCGAGATCTTCGTTGAGATTTAGTATCGTAGAACTACGGCCGTTGAGCGACCACTGTTGGCAAAGTCAGTACATCATGGTCGTGTCCTCAAGTTAACCAACATCGGCTTGCGGTTGTTCAGTGAAGAGATCGTTTACCTGATTCACTTCCCAACATGATAGTGCAGGACGTCCTGCCTTGACTCGATGATAATATCTGTCCTTCTTTGTCAAGTAGAGAGGGTCGGTGCCAGGGCTATACGAAAGCCTATCCACAGATGATATGTACGCAGCCCACGACATGTTCCCTATCGCATCGGATGATGATAGAGAGGCAAATTTGCGTCGCCGCTGTCCCCAGAATGGCAATGAAAACAGGATATGTCCACCATTTCTTCCATTGGTCTTTGCTGCTTGATGCCAGCTCCATAAATGAGTCGATCATGGACGACCGCTTGTTCCATAGCGAAGTTGACATGTGGTGGAGATAGCCATGATTGATTAGCCAGAATAACATCAGGGCAGAAAAAATACACCATGTATTCAAGATGGTTGTCGCCACTAAGATCGCGTAGGCCGAATTGAGGTTGTTTGCAAAGCCTTTCGGAACGGCGATGGCCCTTTCGCTGTACCCGTTTCTCGGCAAGGAGAACTGCCGCCATAGCTCGTAAGTGTTTGGCGGTTGTTGGGCCGATGAGACCACCATGGCTTTCGACGAGAGCTGTAGGCCGACTTACACAGGCGTCTTGTTTGCCTGCTAGAGTAATTCTCGATCGAGGCTCGCTTCGAATGTGTGACGCGAGGACCGCCTATTCTAAATGTAAAAAGGTTTGATGAATTCTACTCAAGACAACACCTATACTGACTGATTCTTCGGATCGGCTTGTCAGCCCCCTAGCCTCGGCCACCCCGAGGTTCCCTTGTGGGATCCGACATGGACATTAATTTCGAGCTAGCAAAAACGAACACGCGGTTCCGCTGCATCGACTTCACACTCTCCGCCATTTGGGCTCCAGCCTATCGGTTAACAACGTTGTGAATGAATCCGAAGTCTGTCTAACGAGATTAGTATCAGCCAGACCAGTCATGTCGGAATTTGTAATGAAATGTACAAACTTGTACAAGCATATCGCAGATTATTTGTGCTTGTGCACCGTACTAGCTGCATGAGATGTGCTACGCTGTATGCATGATGGGACGCGTTCCCCCGCTTCTGTACAGCCTGACTGATAAGGCTGGGAAATCCGGCCTGGGAAACATAGGGCTGGCAACCATCATAACACTTAATATCACCATCAAAAACGAAGTATAAGAGCAAAGATCTGGGCTGGGGGGTTGGGGCTAGGGTTTTGCCTTTTCCGATTTCCATCAGACATCTCCATCACGCCAAGCGAAATACTCGCAACATGAATGAAACACCCTGTGATAAACTGCGCTGTTGTTAAGCAAAGCCTTGTATGCACGTAAATTTTCGTTATGTTGGTCGTATTCAGAATTCCACGATGAATTACACACTTCTGGGTGTAATTGATTGTACTGTAGTTGTACTGGATACAACTAGGCTACATTGTAGGCTATTGTTAAGTCACTAGAAACGTCACATGTACACACAAAAGGGCTTGTTATCTCAAGTAGAGACCAATGTGATGCCTCAAGGATGTACATGAACGAGCTGTTGGCCGTATGCCAATGTTGTACAACACCATCTGCGGTGGTGACGACTTTAGTACTGCGCGGATTCGCACACCTTGCACGCTATCGATTGTTTTATTTCCGCAGGTCGGCTTGCATCAGCCATGCCGCGATTCTGCCCAAAGCTAGTCTAGATATTACGTCCAAGTAGCCAATGCGGCTCTTCCAGCAGTGTCGTGCTTTCTCCACATTGCTTGATGTAGGTTATTGGAGGATGGCAGAAGCACAATATCCCCATATATTGTGCGGTTCTTTCCTCCAACCCATCTAATTGTGGGAGGTTCTGGACCCCCATCCGTCATTGTCACTCGCTTTTAACGCTACAGACCAGTTGCCGCGTATTACGGCGTTTTGCCTTTGTCACCAGAACTGCACTGATAAACCATGGGGCGAAGACTACAGCTCTCGCTTTTGGCGGTCCTTCTCTTGACTATCTTCGTCTCTCGTTCCGCAGCCGAATACCCCGTGTCGCCCGTGCACCCGTGTATATGCTCGACGATTACACCTGATTCATCCCATGTTGTCACTTCAAGTTCGCTCGCACATCTGTCGTACCGACCATCTGGACAGAAATCTACGACGGTTTCTACAACATCCCGGTGGAATCAATCTAGCCCAGGTCCCTCGGTCACTTTGTCCAGCTCAACTCTGTCAGGAACTGCTACCAGTTCGGTCTCAACATCTAGCTCGAGCCTGACAGTAGTTTCGTCAAATCCAACCTTGACTATTACTTCTCACTCTACTCCAAGCTCGACGGCAATTGTTTCTTTAAGCGTGACTGAAACTTCGCCTTCAATCTCTTCAACTTCAACACTAACCTACACCTCTTCAACTACTCCAACTGCGATACCTACAATTTCTACGCGGACCTCTTCTATACCCACCTCCTCAACACCCACCTCTGCCTTAGGTTCCCTGGAATCTGGCCTTATCAATGCAGGCTGCAAGCGATTCTTGGAATACATCAAGCAAGACAATGAAACATGGAAAAAATACAATTCGGACCGGGTCCGGACCGTCTTCGCCCCGTTCGACAACAGTTTGCCCCCAAGCGACCTAATGGCGCCGATTCGGCGTGATTCCCCGTCCGAAGAACAACAGAAAAAAGATCAGCAAGCCGCCACGCGTCTGACTAATATGGAGCACGGAGATTGTACCGCGGTGCAGACCCTCAACGGTAACAATATCGCTGACGTAAATGTACTTGAGTGGGTGGCCTCGGACTGCAACAACAACAACAACAACAACAACGATACCAACTCACCCAGGCGCTCTGCGTTCGCCTACTTTTCGACGATTAAACTCATGTCGGGCCTGGGAGGCTCGGTCAGCCTACTCCAGACAGATATACCCTATGATGGGGGTCTCATTCAGGTCACTGACGGGTACGTCAAGTTTGAAGAGCTTCACAATAACAATTGTTTGTGTTTCGTCCCAGCTTGATTCTCTTTCATCCCCCACCTATGTGCAATTTATTCCAGACTAACAACAAAACGTTGCCAATTCCTTAGCTACTTCACCCTGCCCCAAAGCTTATCCCAGACCATCCTACAAAAACAACTGACGACGTTCCTGGATCTCATCAATAAGTTCAACTTAACGGCTACTTGGGAAAATACGCCCTTCGTGACCATCTTCGTTCCCACAAACGATGCCTTCAACTCATCCAAACTGACCGGTAGCGAGCCTGGGTTCAAAGAGTTCCTGCTGAGCCACATCGTCGTCGACAAAGATATGGTGGGCTACCTGCCCAACTTACACAACGGGCAGACCCTGGAGACGAAGAGTCATTTGAGACAGAAGGTCGAGATCCGGGGTTCCGATTATTTCATTGGCGACCTTGGGGCCAAAATCGTTCGCTCGCAGATGAACATAGGTCTAACCAATGGGGTGGCGCATGTGGTCGACAAGGTGGGTGTGCAATGGCATGGTGAACGAAACGGCCCAAAGCTAACTATTCGCCTACCTTAGGTATTGACCATGCCCACGGCAACCGTAACTACTGCTGCCGCCTCGGACTTGAGTACAGCGGCTGGGGCTACCGTGGCCGTTATCCTGGCTGCCCTGGCGGGTCTTCTTCTCTCATCAAATTTCTAATGCAAGGCTTATCGTGCGGTGAAGAGGACCACTTGAATGTTTCTATTCTTACGCAGAGTGTTAATAGTAATATAGTTCATTTTATTCATGTTCAGTGGCTACAGGCAGAGTGGGAAATCAGCCAGGAATGCAGCTAGCCTTTCACATGCCTTGTGTGGTTCAGGTAGCTGATCCCATCCGTTGTGCTTATTATCAGTGCGATGGGGAAACTAGACTTTTGCATTTCAGTGCTACCGCATAAATGTACTGTCAGTGCTTTCTCACGTCAATATTCAAATCTAGCCGCTACTTGTGCAGATTTATACAATAGTTGAACATATGATACACGTAGCGTGGAGCAGATATTCTACTTCAATATGTCTATTCGTCGCCATCCCAGTACTCTTCGTCATCCATGTCTACTGGTTCACCAAATGCAGCCCGCCAAACTCTACCCCACATGCCCTTCTTCTGAGCGAGGGCGAGCACCATAACGGCAGGTAAATGCCATACGCTGGCCCAGAAAAGCCCCCTTGCGCTGCCATGAAAACCCTCATGCTTCCAGAACCGAATCGCTTCCCTCGTCAGCCATACGTTGACGGGCATACTCGTCACAGCAAAGCTCCATTCCGTCACTCCTGCGGCGCAGAGTCCAAGGCAGATGGGGAAGAAGGCGAGGCTGTATCGAAGGGCAACCCGAGCATTGCGCGCTGGGTTGACCCAGCACAGCATCTGGTGACCAGCTGCCTTGTACTCCTCTTTGATAGACCAAGACAATGCCATGAAATGTGGGAACTGCCAAGCGAATAGCAGTGCTGCGAGTAGCCAGCCACCGACCGCGTCAGGTGTAATGAGCAGTTCATCGAACGAGCCTGTGCCAGTTGCTGACTCGCCTGCTGCTGCCGCCCAACCCATGAGGGGTGGTATGCCGCCGACGATGGCACCTACCCATGTGTTGAGCCATGAAAGCCGCTTCATTGGCGTGTACACGCCTGCATAGAGGACGATATTGGTGGCGCCCAGGAAAGCGACAGTGGGGTTCACGCCAAAGTAGAGACCTCCTACGCCTGTGAGGGCTGCCAGCACGGCAAATGCCACCGCCTTGCGTGCGGAGAGGAGTCCGCGGACAAGTGGCCGATTGCGGGTCCGCGACATCATGGCATCTGTCTTGGGCTCGTATAGCATGTTCAGGGCATTTGCGGACGCAGAACAGAGTGCCGTGCCGGTGGTGAGAAAGGCGAGTGTGAGCGGGGATAGGGATGGCGTATCCAGCCCAATCGACGGGGACAGGAAGTCGGGAACCGGGTACAGGGCGTACGGCGCCATGGCCGATAGGACGACGAGGACGGTGAGGCGGGGCTTCGAGAGGGAGAGGTAGAGGGACAACTGCCGGCGGAGCGAGCTGGCCGAGTGTTTGGTGGCAGACGTCGTCAGGGCGGAAGAGGCATCTTCGGCCGGTAAGGGGTTTTCGGCCGTTGAGGTTATTGGGGGTGCTGCAGCAGCGGCCTTGCGCCTCGCAGCTTGACGTCGTCGGTGGGGTAGGTCCTGGTTTACGTGTGACACTGGAGTCGAACTCGTTCGATTCGCAGGTTCGTCAGCGGGGGTAGTGGATGCAGTTGATCTCCGCACGTCTCCATCTTGATTCCGCGGAAGAAACCCGTTCGACAAGAAGTAGCTCGTCTTGAGACGGCTCTGTCGGGCATCTACGGCATTTCGTGGCGCGAAGGTCTGGCTAAAGCTCCTCGAGATGCTTAGTGGCGTCGAAGTCGTTGGGAAGAGGTGCTGGGTGCACCGCCAGTATATGCTATCAAGGGCGCGAGGGCGGGCGACATTTCCGGGTAGCCGAAGGCTCATACTGACTGTATGTCATATCGACAAGTTCGCACGTCAAATGGCCATGTTCGCTGAGTTGACGGTCGACTATTCCAACATGCCGTGTCGCGATTGCCAAAGTGGGAATATTTTCGATGTGGCGGCAAAGCATTGTTCCGGCCGGGCCTGCCGTTCGGGAGAGATGATAGTGGCAGCTGCGGGACAGCTGTGTTCTCTAACGTAACCCACCCATAAGCGGGCCACACCCCTTAGCGGGCCACCATTTTTGGCATAATAAGAGGATGATCAATAACAGCATAACAAGCAGAGTTGAAGCTATTCACAACGCTATTTTCAACTAAATACATCAGAATCGAGCGGTAATTCCTTCCAAACGCGTTTAGCAAAGGTAACAACGCCCCTAATGTCAGAGAACAGAATGCCATAGGCACCGGTGGGACACCGGTGGGGCTCTGGTGTAGGAATGTGCGAGTCATGACACGATATGGAAGTCTTGGTTTGCGGAACAATCGGAGAAACTAGTGCTCCGCGGCTCCGACGTCGGGTTCTAGCTATCTATGTAAGGGGCGGAGGCCCGGGAAGAAGATAGAGGGAGAGTAGAGATCAATGCATCATCGTGGGCACCCCTACCTGAGACCGCCAGTGACCATCCGGTGCTACGTAGGAGGGACGCCCGTTACTCCCCATCACTCTGTACTATTGCCTTCGGCCTAGCCATACCCTGACACCTAAGGGCTTGTCTACGCTCCTTTTCACTCATTACCTGAGCCTCTCGCTCCTCTCTCCGGCGCTGTTGATCTCGAATCTCTTTAACAGTTAATACACGTGCAGTACCACAGGCCTTCTTCGTCCTTCTATTTCTACTCCTGTTGTTTCTTAACGAGGCCCTCGTTAATCTTCTGTAAGGCTAGATTATCTGCTAGAGCTGTTAGGCAAGTCTCTTTAATAAAGAAACCTTACGCTGTAAGGGGCTATCACAAACAGTGACAATGTCAGGGTACGGCTAGGCCGAAGGCAATAGTACAGAGTGATGGGGAGTAATGGGCGTCCCTCCTACGTAGCACCGGGTGGTCACTGGCGGTCTCAGGTAGGGGTGCCCACGATGATGCATTGATCTCTGCTCCTTCCCTATCCTACTTCGAGATGATCCTTATATAGATAGCTAGGCCGCCGCTTGGACCCGGCGTAGCCGCAGGTTTGGCGATGCCGGGAATCCTGACTCTCGGCATCCCGAAACTTCACATAGATTGTAATCATGACTCGGGAGGCTTTTGTCCGAAACACCCCACCGGCACCCCACCGGTGTCCTGCGTTCAGTGTCTCTGACAGACAAGCTTAGCTACAATCTCATTAATCTGCTGAGCCGTATCCCTATCAACTTGAATATCAACGCGTACACCATTCTCGTCGGTAAGGCTCGCAAATGGAGGGGTCTTTGGCCGATACTTGGCGAGGATCTTCGACGGATCTAGTGGGGATAAGTGTCAGGTGCAAATAAGCCACAGTGGCTTGGCCTGGACAGGGGTCGGAAATGTATAACTAGGCTGCTGTGACCCCTCTTCTTTTAGAGAGGGCAGCGATTAACTTGTCGTTATTGAGTCCCCTATACTACGCTATTGGTACCTACCTGGTGACTGGCAGCTTGTTTCGCTTGAGCAATCTCGTCCTTCACTTTGCACTTGAAATCCCGTGACAATAAGCCAGTACCTCTCCAAGCGCCCGGGATATTGCGGTAGGTAGTAGATCTAGCTTGTTGATATAATAATAAGAACTGCTGGTTGTCGACTCGTACGGCACCGAAGATAGACCGTTCAGTGATCAGGGACTTGTACGCCTTTGCCAGAGGGCCGAAGATACCCTTGTCAAGGGGTTGAAGCTCGTGGGTCGAATGGGGGGGCAGGCAGAGAGGAATGATTTGATTTGCTTCGCACTATTCGACGAATTCAAGGGATACGTGGCTTGTGTGACCATCTAGAATAAGAAGGTGGTATTGACCACGACACTGTTGACGTGTATACGTATCAAAATGGCGTAGCCAGGTCAAGGCAATCTGTCGATCGGTCCAGCCATTTGGGCTAACCTGAATAACAGTCCTTGGATCGATCCTCTCGTCTATCCAAGACGGCAGAATCCTCCTGCCCTCGAATATGATAAAAGGCGGTAGGGAGTAGCCGTTGATTCCTATAAATTCGATGATAGAGACCCATTCACGGTTACCAGGCTGGTTAGCAAAGGCCTGATCGTCCTCTTGAGAGATAATAACTTTAGGGTTATCACCGATCCCTTTGCTAATCCCCTTCTCGTCCATATTGTAGGTATCATCGTCCGTGATCACGTATTGTTCTTTAACTCGTCGGTAGAGGTCGAACCATTCGGTGAGGATATCGTACGTGATACCATCCTTTCGAGCTTGATCTAGACTACGAACCCTATAGGTCTTTGTCAGGGTACGGCTAGGCCGAAGGCAATAGTACAGAGTGATGGGGAGTAACGGGCGTCCCTCCTACGTAATACCGGGTGGTCACTGGCGGTCTCAGGTAGGGGTGCCCACGGTGATGCATTGATCTCTGCCCTCTCTATCTTCCTCCGTCTCGACTCCTTACTTATAGCCAGCCGAGGTTCTCTCTTGGATTCTGGATGTTTGCTTCCGTATGTCTGTGTTCCTCCGACTTCGGCCAATATCTTGGACAGCGGCTCCTTATCTGCAACCAAGCGATTCCCTATCCGCTGCAAACGGCTTCAACGGCTCTCATTCGCCACAAGCGGCTCTCTAGCCGCCACAAACGGCTTCCTACCTGGTGGAAGCCGGCCCGCCTCGGATGACACTTGTGGCTCTGACAACTCCTTCCCTATCCTACTTCGAGATGGTCCTTATATAGATAGCTAGGCCGCCGCTTGGACCCGGCATAACAGCAGGGTCGGCGATGCCAAGGATCTTGACTCTCGTCATCCCAAAGCTTCACATAGATTGTAATCATGATTCGGGAGTCTTTTGTCCGAAACACCCCTCCGGCGGCCCGCCGGTGTCCTGCGTTCAGTGTCCTGACACCCACTGGTGCCTATGGCATTCTGTTCTCTGACAGTCTTCAGCTTAGGGTGGCGGTCTAGAAAGCTAGTGTACCAGTTGACCCCTTAGGGGGTCTGTATCTCCTTTCGCTTCCAGCAGGTTCACTGCTAGCCCTCCCACTGCTTTGATAGTCAATGTGAAGGTCAACCCTCGCAGACTCACTACAACCAGGTGACTTACAGCTGGAACACCTGCCGTGGCAGTGCCAGATGGGAAGCCAATCATAACCCCTGTAGGAGCCCCGCCAAGCGTGGACGACTTAGTCGCGCTCCCTCAAACCTAAGTTGTGATCTTCTTTCCTTCGCTCCTTAGAGTAGAATCTTCGTCGATAGCACCTAATCGAGGTCTCTACCAATGCGATGCAACCCAGGTCGTGACAGTCAAGGGCCATCCCCACGCAGCTAACTGAAGCAAGGCTCGTTCGATCGTAGCTTCTTCGGCAGGTAATAATCGCTGTCGGTGTTGGTGGGCGGTGGTCCGGCTCTGGCGGCCTTGAATTCGGGCTTGGAGGGTTGTTCTGGGGACCCCAAAGAGCTCGGCTGCTTTACGTATACTAGGGACTTCCCCAGAACGAATAGACTTGATGGCTTTCTTGATCTGGTCTTCCTGATCCATTTGACAAAAGAATAAAGACCTAGCGATAAGAATCGACGTAGAAATTGATGATGTTGTTAAGTTGAGCCAATTCGACAGAGCCGAAATGGGTGGCCCGCTAAGGGGTGTGGCCCGCTTATGGGTGGGTTACGTTACTGTATTACAGTCACTTGCAGGTCAAGTCTACTAAAATAATCTGGACAAGATCATACACGATTCATTAATTAATACGAAGCTCCATAACTGTGTACAGAGCATGGGATTATTTGTACTCAAATTCACCTGCGATTATGTTTTATTAAATACGCCGTAGGTGTTAACCCTCGGTACCGCTACAAGTACTCCCTTAAGGGGCTATAGATGATATAGCGGGCCCTTAAGCCGCGTCGGGCGGTTATACAGGTAAACTTGTAGCCAAACGACTACTAAACCTCCTGTCCCTCCCTAAGTCTGTGCTACAACCCCTGCCTGAACTACCGATAAGTGTGGTAATGTGGCACTTAAATTCGTCCTCAGGGGTGGGATGCTGCTGATGTGCAGAAGATGCTCGACTATTTTTTGTCGCGACAAGTCGTAGTATCTGCTAATTGGGGTTCTCGTCGAGCGTATACATCTCAACCATACGCTCAAGTGGATAGACCGTAACGTGATCTAGACGCTCGCAAGAATCGCGGCGAGAGGGGGTCCGATAAGGGGTCGGATTAACGATTCGAATTCTGGACCGGCTGTCGAGTTATATTCCGCCGACGTAGTGCTTGACGGTCGACTGGCTAGGATGCTCGTAATCCTAAACTGCACCAATCTCCCTATTATCGCTAGGTAGGCGAAGTCAACAAGGTGGGCCAGCGCGCCTTAAGGGTTGACTAAACCCAACCCCCTTGTGTTAGCTGCGGGATTCTGTCACGACCTGGGTTGCATCGCATTGGTAGAGACCTCGATTAGGTGCTATCGACGAAGATTCTACTCTAAGGAGCGAAGGAAAGAAGATGACAACTTAGGTTTGAGGGAGCGCGACTAAGTCGTCCACGCTTGGCGGGGCTCCTACAAGGGTTATGATTGGCTTCCCATCTGGCACTGCCATGGCAGGTGTTCCAGCTGTAAGTCACCTGGTTGTAGTGAGTCTGCAAGGGTTGACCTTCACAGATTCGAACCCGCGACTCGTCACCGACCCAAGTGGGTGGGGTGAGGCTCAAATCGGGACTTATCTACCAGCGAAGTAACCAACTACACCAGCCGACCCTGCGAATATTATTCACTCAAAGTAGTTCGAAGTTTCAATTATGACTTAGTTCCTGTTCAAAGAAGGATTGAATTTCTATTTCTCTATCTGACAAGGTTGTTCAGGATTCGCAGGTCTTCCCAATCCCTCCAACTTAAAGGTGAGATCCTTGACCTAGCGCCACTGTGGCTGTGTACATAACACACTCCATCCTTTATCTTCATACTGATTTTGTGCTGTTAGGAAGCCGCAGACTTCAGTCTCGTACTCACAACGAAATCAAACCAAACGAGCATCCAGACTTCGTTCACAATGACAACTTGAAGTATACAACAGCCGTACAGAATTCAGTAAGTTGAATTTGACTGCAGCGTAGGAATTAAATATAACGAGATGGTGCCCCTAGAGTAAAGATGTCGTTCTTACTTGCAATGGCCCATAGGAACAGGAAATAAAACCTTCATTATGTCACAGGATACATGGCGGTGTGGAAATTGGCTCGTAAAACTTAAATCACTGGTATTCATCAAGAAGTAGCCAACGAAGGTCCACAACTCGGGACGTGTCTCTTACTAAACCGCTGCGGGCACAGTCAATGCATGTGCTGCGGACTACAAGACTTGGCCCCTGAGAGTCCCATGAGATTCCATTGAGTCTGTTTTAGTTGCAACTTGCTCATCCCCCCTGCTACATGCAGCCACTGTGTTCAATCTGTCATACGAGCCATGCATCATCATGGAATTATTCCTTCAGGGGAGACGCCTCAGCCTATACAGTCTCCAGTCTGACGTACTTAGTTCACTTACGTGTTGCCGAAACCTAGGTCTCGAACAGTTGGAAACGGGACTCGTACGTTGCAACATGATACAGTCTCTCAATGAGAGGATACATATTTCAACAACATTCGAGATGGCCTTTCTCTTATCAAGTGTCTCTCGTGGTAGATGGGATGGAGTGGGTTGTATCATTCTGTTCCATTGTTTGTCGGAGCATGTTGGTGTGGTTGAAAATAATCGTACGCTTTTACCCAGCTGTAATTATGGTTGAGTTCTCATCTGGTGATCCATCCTTTATTCACAGAAACTCTCGTGTGAAAACAATTACATAAGTCTCCTCAACAATATGTCTCTTTTCCTCAACTTTAGTCTCATGGAATTACCCGAACTCAACCAAAATGATACAGGGATGAGATACTATACCAATGCACAATAAGCCTGGTGTTTATTCCCTTTCTCGCATGATGGTAATGTGCTCGGCACTTCTGCGGCTGGCACTAAACCTCTTCTCACACGAGTTCATTTGCTTTCCATTACTACTCGGCAGCTATTTGGGCCACTGGGGACCCGCTGCGGACGCCACGCGCTATTGCATATTCGTTCGTACGTTATACTGGTTTGTTGTAAGTAATGTTGAACAGCAGGTTTTGGCCTCACTCGAAAATGAACATCTTATCATTAGCATACTACTAAGAGCCCCTTATCTGAACCAATTAACTATCTGCAACCAGGACGAGACCGAGACCAGACCAATAAATGCAATCGTATTATCAAGGTGTGTAAGCGGTCTCGAACTTGTATGGGTTCCAGACTTGGCCATGCTTCGTCATCCCCACTCTTTCTGTAGTCTGCGGGAGTAGCCTTGATAATTATTCTCCGACCCTTGTAAACGGGGCCTGGCCCATATCTAATCTTGGGTGCGACAGTTGGTGCTACGTTGTTTGCGTTCGAATTGTTTAATGCTTGCCCATCATCGTACGATCAGATGGATAAAGTGGAGGTTCAGCATTGGCCGTTTCACGATGGTTTGCAAACTGGGTATTCTCTCAGTTAATTTTCAAGGAAAACACAGCTTTTTTCTGACGTTCAACTTACCTAACATGAGCCCTATCGTACATATATTCACAAAAGCCGTAACATGTGGCTCCCAACCCCTCCATACTTTCGCTGCTGAGAAGCAGTGTTGGACCCTGCGCACCAAGCCCTCGGCGACGGCCACCCCTGGTACGTGGCATGATGAACATTACTTGTCAAACGGGCCCACATTACTGTCCTGACGGGTTGGCTTCATTAGTTTGTATACTGAAGGCCCTTATGGCCAAGGTCGCTGTCTTAATGAATTGGAAGATCCGGAGAGACTACGTCAATTCAATGCAACACTATTTGCACCCAACAAGTCCGTTACGTAGCCGCAGCAAATATATTTAAGAGTGTGGGCGTGCGTCGAACTTCCACGAAACGTTATGTTTTTCTGGAAAATCAACCGAGAGAATACCGAGTTCGCAAACCACAGCAGTGGTTGACGTGGCTCCATACTGGTCTGATTCGTGGCGTCTGGAGCCTCTGTGCAACAAAGACAGGGGCTTAGGTGTTATTGCTCTAGAGGAAGTCCAAAGCAGTCGTTATCCGAATTTGATAAGTGGTATTGATTGAATGGCTAGTATAATCTGATGGGGGCAACTTGTCATATGGAAACGTCGCACCAATAAAGTCTGTACTACACTATCCATTGGTTGGCGGCCCGTGCCGATATATACGTGGTTTATCCCTGAATTAGTTCCCCCTATGTTACTTGCGTGTACTGAGAACGGTCAATAGAGTTGTGTATAATCGAACAGCCATCATTACAGTATCGCCTTGCAGAAATTCGTCTTCACTGTCGTTAATATGCCTTTGCAATCAGGCTGGTGCAAGAATTCCAAGTTCTAAAACCAGTAGTGCACGTACGTGTATGACAGTGACCCCAACAGCTCATGTCCCGTATCAACGGTGGGTCCCGACTCTTGTGCGACCATGAGTCGCCACTTGTGTGACCTTGGTGCCCGTGTCCAAGCCAGGAAAGTCTGTTAGACATGTCTAAATCGGCCCAGATCATATGATGGGCCAAGATCTGGAGCGATGCCTCAGGGAATCGAAGAGAAATGCAATAGGACCGAGCCAATCGGTGGGCTTTCCTCTGCCAGTTCCCACCAGATATGGCAATCCATGTCTGGTGGGTTTTCGGCCGATACCTACTAGCACGGGCAGCTATCTCCATGTCGTTGAGATTCTTAACGATGTAAAGGCCAGCATATGTGATCTGTGGTATATATACTCATTGGACGATCCGGCAATGAGAAGACAGAAATTCGCAGCACATCCAATTTTCTACTCAACCTTGATCAGTCACATACACACTGCTGGCAGGATCCGGCATTTAAAAAACAACAGACTCGACTTCCATCCCCTCAAGCCTGCCTCTACAACAACCCAACAACGACCCAATAACGACCCAATAACGACCCAACAACAAACATAACCAAACAATAATCTACCACTCTACCAAATTATATTCAATATGTCGAAGGCATCCATCATCGCTAAGGAGAAGTTCAACGCTGTTCTCAACGACGCTGGCCGAGGAGACATGTACTGTAAGTGACAATATAAACCCTGCCAATGCACCCAACCACAGGATTTACCTAACATAACCAAACAGGCCGAACCAACCGCTACGCCGTCGGCAAACCAGTTGGAAACGATCTCATCAACCACGCCCGTACTCCTACGAGACGCCGCTCAAGCGCCGCCAGCCAAGAGCTGCCTGCTTTCAGTCTGATGCAGAGACTCGCTTCCTCCCAAATGCAACGACGTCGATCGAGCGCGGCCAGCAATGGAAGCATGGAGTCTATGACAGAGAAGACCAAGCTTGATATCAAGGAAGCGATGAAGGTCCATGGGCACAGTTGAATACTCCAAGGGCGAACGAGCGAACGACAGCAAAAAAAGAAAAGCATCCGAAAGGAAGAAAATAAGAGAAAGCGAGGGAGCAAAGGGAACAGGAGCTACAAAATAGATTGGTTCGTTTTGTCATGGCGAGATGGGAAATTGGAAAAATCTCGCTGGATCGAGTGGTTCAGGCATGGGAAAAACTGAATATCACAGCACCTTGGTGACTTGGACTTGGGTTATGTTGAACAGCCAGAAGCAGGCACTGCATGGATGGATGGTTGGAAACCTGCCAAAAAGCGACGTGCTATAGCCATAATAGCAAATTGAAAAATACCAATTCAAAATGCGAATCTATCTTCAGAATATTTCCATTTTTGCTAGTTGGTTGTTGCTACTTTAACGGGAGTAGTGGGAGATGAGAGAGCATAGTGTGAAATTTGGCGCAGCCAAGGAGGCTCATTATATCTCCTCGGCTAAATATGCTACAATCTAATAGTAGTAAGTATATCTGCGGCATTTTTCTTTTCACCCAACTTAGTAAGAGACCGAATGAAAAGCTTCCCTGTCTAGGATCTGTGGGGCGTCTAGAAGATAACACTATCTAAATAAAGATCGGCTTTTTCTTAAAGCTAGACCTAGATATCTAGAATCCTCTTATCAAGGAACCACATCTGAAGCTCTTTAAATTAATAGCCGCCCCTCGGTAAGTTAGGAACATGATTAAGAACGAAATTCCTGGACGAAGTACTAAACGACGGCTAATCGCTAGGGGAGATGTACTCTGGTAACTTAAACTATGGAAAACTGAGGCAGTATGGGCAGTGTGGAAGTGATACCGTGTTGGTTAAGGCACTGAGGTCCAATTGACGAGAAGCTATCACCAACTTCTCAAGTTAGTCAGCCAAGAAGGATTTCTGCCTTGAAGTCCCTTTTCAAGGGAAGTCCGAGTCTTGAAGTCAGACTCCAGAGGTAGCTCCTAAAGAAGAGCTACGTGAATTACTTACCTTGAGACCTCTACGTTTATTACGGATATTTCAAGTACAGAGTGAAGAACGAGAGTGCTTGAGAGAACTCGGCTCCTAGTCATCAACTGAGTATCAGCAGTATAGTGTAGGGTAGGGGGCTCAAGTCAATCGCTGCCCCTCCTTAAGAGAAGGAGGCCACAGCGGCCTATTTATACATTGCCGACCCTCACATAGGCTAGGGCCTGGCAAGCCACTGTGGCTTATCTGCACCTAAGAACGTGTAAGTATGAAATTATGGTGAACGGTTAGTATACAAAATAGTAACATTTTGAAGGCGACGGGATTTTTAGGTGGAATAACTGTAAACCGAATTTCTGAAAAAAAGAACTTACAGCTATAAGTAAAGGCCTAATTCCCTTCTAGATATACTTAGATAACACATTACTACATCACCGGAATACACACCTACATGCATACTTTGACAATACATCACAATAATAACCTATTACTCTTTATTACGCGAATATACCCTGTAGCTACTCAATAGTAATCCACAAATATCCGCTGTATATTAGTAACCTTCTAACAGACACAAGATGGATTCAGTCGATCCTGCAGTATTGAAATGTAAACACATGAAATTTCTCTGTGCATATTTCTAACTCCTTGCTGCCCATTGATGGTATAAGGCTTCCCAGGCACTCTCGTCAACTCAGTGATTCCGTGGGGAGCCTCTGGGTGGACGCAGAACTTCCCAGTCAGCACGACACCGCCCGATAGTTCCTGCAAAGAGTACTGTTTAAAGACTTGTGCAGCCGAAGTGGTGACCACCATGTTAGAAGGCGAGTTCACCTCGCTCAAAACAATGCACACCCTGATTCCCATGTCCTGCCCCAAGCCCCGGCACTTTCTTTGTCATCGTGGACTTGCTTTATCTCATTTCCGAGCATCTGGACCCGGAAAAGCTTGCTTAACTCATCTCCGACCTTCACAAAAGGACGGCCGGGACATCGCCCAACAATAAGTTTGGCTTCTTTGTTCCTACCTGCCACAGCAAGATCGTGCAACAAAACAATTGGGATTCGGACTGGAGCCGGTTCTTTTCCCGACTCCTTAGCATTCTACGACGAGGACAAGAAGGTCAACTTGCCCTTTCCAGAGTACGCGAAGGAGTTCGCTGTCTTGAAGAGAGGGTCATACCCCACGTCGTTGGGGCTTTGCAGGCCGACGATCGGGTGCTAGTCCCCTGTTTAGTGTACGGCGATCTCTGGCAGGAAAACATCGCAACAAATAAGGAAACGGACGAGCCGATGGTGTACGATCCGGTAGTGTTATACGGCCATAATTCCTTTGAGACGGGAATATGGCCGACGAGCTTCGTTCCGTTTGATAATAGTACCGGAAGAATTACACAATTCGATGCTCTCCCGGCGGACCAACGGAGGAGTGGGATGATCGCAACAGGCTTTACAGCTAATTCTTCCACCTATCGCATTCGGCGCAATGGTTCATAGCCGCCAAAGAGACCAGACTGAGGTATGTCAAGAAGAAAATTTGCTGAATGTGAGCTATTCATGGAACTCGAAGAAAAAAAACGGTCGTTCGGATAACGGCGATGATGCTTCTTGGCGTACACAGGACTTTGGAAGACATGCACCACCTTATCAACATATGTGCCACGGAACCTTCCGACAACCCCCCAACGGAACTGTAAAGTCGACCAGCCACGAGGACTGGAGTTGTACACTATACCTTTGCCCTGCAGAAACTGAAGCTACAGATGAATCTAGGCGGGGTGCCGGTACACCCGCTGTGGGGATTCTTATGAACAGCAGTATTCACATATGAACTGCCATGGGATTTCAATCAAGTTACCAATTTCTCCTTACACGGCGTCATTTGACGCAAGACCAGCATACCACTTGCGTCCTTCATCGCGACGTGGTGAGGGTTGGGTGGGTGATGACCACCATGAGTTATCGTTAATTATCGTAAGCAGTCACAGCGGGGCTCATCGACCAAACGGGGGAAATCAATTTGTTGCAAGTACAGTACAACCAGGGAGCGTGCCGACATTTTATGAGTGCCACAAAATGCGAGCCTTGCATGCATGATGAAACCCGTATCATCCGATTCTAGCTGGAGGACTTCATGTAAGACCTCTAGCTAGGTTCCTGCCTACTTAGGCCCACTACTAGTTAGGTTGTGGCGCCAAGGTGGGCATTAAGTACATTTCCGTGGGACAGTATGTGGACACGCCCGAGCTTGATTAGTGGACAGAGTATAGATAAAATAAGTTAGGTGGTTTTTGAGGGATTCAATCCTCCATTGATGACTCTGCGTAGATCCTGTATTGATTCATCTGTCTATCTGCACTGTTGTGTGTAGTGTGTAACTTACCCTTAATAATTTATTTTACTATAAATCCGATGATGGTATCATGATCGATAGTATTACTTGTAAAAAGGGGATTTCGATCGAATCTAAATTTATATAATATATGTGGCATCACACACACTGGTACTACCGTTCTGGCTACATACGAAGGTGAAGAGGGAAGTAAAGGGAAGGGGGTCCAAGCCGCTCAAGGGCACTAGATTGTCTCAGGTAAAGGTCTGGCAATTAAGCGTGTAACTGGGCAAATGAGCAACTGAAAAGAACCAGATTAGACGGCAAAGACAAATAAATCTAATGATAGGCTTTGGGTATCTTAACTCCCGAGGACGAATACCCTTTTAAACTCAAGCTCTAGCCTTACCTTTTTCTTTTTCGCAGAGGCACGGGTGCAACAAGACATGATGTACACAGTAATAATACAGAGAAATCCTTTCATATCTTCTGGAGTTCAGTTACTACCTAATCTCCCGCAGGGCTTTCATAATGTAGTTTCCTTGGCATGGCATGAAGGGGTCAGTGGTGTTTTGTGCAAGTGCAACTTATCGACGCTGTGGTGTTCGTGTCTTTAAAAATGACCTGGAGATAACTAAATTCTCAGTCGCAAATACTTAGAACTATAGATGAGTACAGACACTTCCCAATCTTGGATACGATCTTCGATTTTCATTGGCATGATCAATAATACCTAACTGTAGCGCATCAACTCCGCACTCAACTCCGAGCTTCAATTTTGTTAATAAACGTAGAGGCCCCACAATTCAAGCGGGAAAGTACATCTTTTATTACACATTATGACGAATTCTGTGGCTCCATTCCGCGCCTCAACTCCGGCGGGGTCAAGGCAGGGGATTAAGTCGCGACGCCCCTTAACCGATGCCAAAGGGTCTACATAGAAAACCCGGTATTGGACGGCACAGAACGCTCACATAACACATCAGACCTTTATCTAGTCGCAAGCCACCTTCATAATGGCCGAAGAAAAGACAAACTACACACAAGGGTATTCCAAGGCTACGGTGGCCAGTCACACCTCCAGGACTGTCGACTCAGATGCCAGCTTCTTGGTGCCCTACATCAAACCTACCGACTATATACTCGATGTGGGCTGCGGTCCGGGCACCATCACTCTTGGCTTCAGAGCCCTCGCTCCGCAGGGTTCAGTGATTGGCGTCGATATCTCAGAGCAGGTTCTAGATCAAGCTAGGAAGGGAGTTAGCGAGGCTATCAAGAAAGCAGATGAGATATCCCAGCCTCTGTCTCGTATCACATTCCAAAAGGTGGATCTCCTCGCTGGACTTCCGTTTGCCGATGACAGCTTCGACGTCGTCTACAGTTCACAACTCTTCCCCCACCTTGCCACGCTTGATATGCGTGTTAGGGCGCTGAGCGAAATGCGCCGAGTTCTCAAACCAGGCGGAGTGCTGGCCTCGCGTGATGCCGCCGAGTTGCACTTCTACCCGCGCGCCTACGACCTCGACCGGCTCTGGGCCGGCAACATGACCAAGGCGCTGCGGAACGGCGAACCAGATGCCTGCTTCCCGGGCGGCGACATGCCAGCGCTGTTCCGAAAGGTGGGCTTTGCGGAAGGCCAGGTCAAGGTCGGGGCTGGAACGACGGTATATTCGGGCGGAGAAACTCGGCAGTGGTTTGTTGCAGCAAACTTGGGCAGGCTACAGGCCGGAGACACCTTCCGGGAGAGCTGGCGCCGCGTCGGCATCACGGATGAGACGGTGGAGCAAACGCGAAAAATGCTGGCCAAGTGGGCAGAGGATGATAATGCATGGTATGCCGCGCTGCAGGCGGAAATCCTGGGATGGAAGTGAACAGTTCGTCTGTGTACCATGGATAATCCGTGGTTGCCTAACTAGCCACATATACACCAAATCAAATAATATTTAAGCACATCCTAAAGACATGTTCTAGCATGTCTCACTTATTTGCATGGTCGAGAGGATGGTGACCTTGATGTGATAGCAGCCCGGGACTGCCCGGATCAAAATTCGATAAGACGATTGCGACTTGTTTGCTCATTGCTCATCTGTTCGAAACCTAGCGTCCTGGCTTAACCTTGGATTTTCAGAAGACTAGATCTAATTGGGCAAAATTGCTAGTGTTTGACGATCTGAAGGGGCGTGTGAAGAATCGGTTCTGCCAAGAGATGCAATGGGTAGGAACAAGAAGTGTCCCTACAAGGATCATCAATCAACAATAACCATAGAAAAAACACGATACATCATATATAACCTAAGACAAACCATTGATACTGCTCGTTTGACCATTTAACGGGATTATTCAGATCAGTAGGTGATCGGGATGACGCAAGGAGATTAGTGAACGAAGAAACGGATATATATGGAGGCAATCCCCAGGTATTCCATAGCTAGACTATACTTCAGCGATTAATCTAAGTGCCTGCCTTACCCATAAGTGAGATTTACTATCCTAGGAGACTCTATTGTTCAGACTCGATTACTCTCTACATACCTTTACTTAATACTTGTTTATTAGCATAATTTCCTTCGTAGAATAGACCCTTTGGTAAGTTTCCAGTGGTTTCTCGTTAGACATGTAAACCACAGATGTCAGTGGGATCATCTGTACATTAGTCACGTGTGTTACGGATGCGACTCACCTCAGTCAGCCGTTCCATTTTGTGGCCCTTCTCCGCTTCTTCTCCTCTATAGTAGAAGTTATCATCTTAGTGTGTAAATGATCAATCAGACCTTCTGGCAGTTCAAGGGACATCCCGGTCTTCATGGCTATAATCGTCGGCGTTTTGTTGACCACAAACCTTCACCACAGTCAACCTTTTTTGCAGGCAGCGTTACCGTGAGAGATCCGCAGCATGGCTTTTACCGCTCGGCCCATGTGTAATTATGAACAAACTGGTATACCGCGTCGTTCCATGTCAATTCTATTGTACTTCACTCAATAGTTATGGTAAGTAAGTCTCCGGCTTATGTCAAGCACATAGCATTTCATCGAGCTCGAGGTGGCCCAAGCGCCTCTCGTCTTGGCCATCTCGTCACACCCCAGCTGACATAGTAGCGTATGTTGGCAGTACCACGGTTGCTTGCACCACATGTTGACGCTACCATCGTAACCGTCAACCCCGACATTAGGTCTACTAGATACTCTACCTGTAGACAGAAAGCTTGCCAACAGCATTCAAGCGCCAAAGCAAGATGTTGAGGGACACACAATAGAAATGAAGTGTATTATGGTGAGGAAAGAAAGCTAGGCTAGTATTGTTGGTCTGGAACTAAGTAGTGGTTGTGGCTGCGCAGGTACCACCTCTGACACAAGATGCCTCACCTGTACATATCCTCAGAGCCTACCATCTGCCCCCTCAGACAGCACGTGACAAACATGGACAACGACACCGATTTAAATGAGACCTTGTATAGGCGGAGTAATAACTCAAGCCACCCCGCATTGTCACTGATCCCTCGATCTGAGCCGGATCGTAGTGCAACTAACTTAACTTCAACGCCTTTCACCGGAAACCAGTCCTCAATGTCGCTCGTGACAAATGCTGCAAGCCGCGTCGAAAGAGATTCAGAGGACCTCGATCTCTCCTGCCTGAAACTTACATGCCCCATTAATGTCGACGAGATTGCAACTCGATGGCTTAACCGTTGGTTGACCGCTCCGGGGCAGGTTGTCAAGGAGTACCATCGAAAAATATCAGCATTTACCTATCGGATCCTCGGATCATATGCGAGTCGTGCCGTCCGCGGGCACGGTCTCCCACCATTCATCCATCCTTCACAGATGATGGCGTCATCATCATGTCCGCCACTTGCGGCCTGCATGAGCGTCGTCCGCATGTGCGAGAAGCCGCTTCCCGGCAGCGAGGATGCAACCGTCGAAGTTCTGCAGCAAGAAATAAACAAGGTCTAAAAGCGAAAAGCCACATATGACGACGCGGACCTACAAGAGATGGAAATGTGATGTATTTAGGTAAGCTAGGCTAGTGCTGGTAGGCTGGAACCAAGTAGTAGTGGTGGATACGCACGAACCACCTCTGACACCGTGTGTTAGCCACTCATAGCGTCAGACAGACTTCGAATCTCTACAGCAACGTTCTTTCACCGCATTGCAGAAGTACGGATTTTCGAGACGGAAGAAGTTGACAATCATGAAATACCCGACGGTTGAACTGTAATTTGCGGACAAGACTGATAACTGGAGCAAGACTCGTCCACTTCAATCACCCTTAGTAAGTTATGTCGGTGGCCGGAAACAAGTAGCCCTGAAGTACTCTCAATGAATAACGGCATATCGTCATAAAGAGGAAGAGTAGTCACGGTAGGGGCGATATGAATAGAAGGAAGAAAACTAAGTTGTACAAGTGATATAACTACAGAAGTCCTTAATATATAAATACCAAGGACAGCAAGCAGAGGGAAGGGAGTGTAGTGATTCCATTTTGATTTCCTATGAGGTTCGTTTGTGGCCCCCTACGTGACCGTTTAGGCCGCTTCGCTTGGAGTTAGAATAAATTACCACATTCCTATGGGAATTGGGCGTCAGTGGGTGAGCTGTTGGCACAAGAGCGCAAAGAAGTAGGGGGGTATCAAGTGAGCCACACTGGTGTAATTGTTGAGATTGGTGTGTTGAAACAGTCAGTCAATGTAGGTCTTCAGCACCGCCCACAAACTTGCGCGTACTTGAAAAAACGTGCCTCCCCAATTATCCCAGATTTTCATGCGTGGAACCAAAATTTTCTGCCTCTTAAAGTCTGGTGTGCCTCTGTAGCGGAGGCTTTTCAACCGCCACTACCACCAAAGGCACAATAAGTGCATATGGCCAAGTCATCTGGTTTTGAACGCCAAACTCATTGTATCATCCTAAACATCTACATTTTCTTATCAAACTCCACGCGATCAGTACAACATTGGGTCACACAGGTCCACCTACTATGACTTAAGGTTCTCTGTTGGCTGGGTTTCTGAATGTCTCTGCAAAGACTCCGTGCTTGTTCAGAATTGATTGGCCAGCAAATGCAAATATCGTCTTTTAAAACTCAACAGTATGAAAAATCCACTCGTGGCCAATGCCTGGAAAGCAATTTTTCTGGCATCATCAAAGCTGAACCCCCTTTGAATGCCTTGTCCACAGCGATTGTTTGCAAAATCATATCTGTCCCTAACTCTTCACAGAACTATCCCCCTTTCCCCATTATCTTTCTCCCAGTGTTTCATATCCATTCCAAAATGGCTTCCCTCTGGCGCAGGAGATTCCAGGCCTTCCTCGAGGCCCAGCATGGCGACGTCAAAGATGCCAGGATCCCCGTCAGTAAGCGGTATGATCCCATTGATGCCTTTCCCACCGGCATCGATGCATCCAACTGGCTCCTCAAGTTCCTCGCAGATCCTGAGGCCTTGGCCGACAAGACCTTTGCCCCCTTTTCTGAGTGTTTCGATTTGTCGTCTGTCCTTATGTTCACGGCCATCGGTACGTCCTCGCTGGTATTAACGCTCCACAGCACTGGTTATCTCTGACGGATCCCACAGTTTACCAAAATAGCCAGTCGAGATGCCGTGGCCGACTGGCGCAGCTCTCCAAGGAAAACGACATCTTACTGAATGAGATTTTCGACTCGGTGGACCTCGAACGTGAATATTCCGATCCAGACGACAGGGTCTTCTCCCACGAATTGCTCCGCGAAGAAGCTGCCACTGTGGTTGCTCGTGTCGACACTATCTGTAGTGCTCTGCGCCGAATTGAAGATATACGAGTGATCGAGGTACTCTATCTCCCGTTGTGGAGAGTCGCTTTCAGAGCTCTGCTTCTCGGCTTCCACAAGGAGGCAGAACGATTGTGCAGCTGTATGCGTGACGAATCCTTCAACAAAGTCTACTTTGAGCCTAGTACACGAACTGAAGATATCTCGGACGACCATGTAAACATACGGTGGGTGCATGGACTTACGCTCGTTGTACAGCGTCAATGGGAAGAGGCTCGGTGCGAATTCTTGCTCGTCTTGGAAAACAAAGCATGGCAGAAAGGGGAAAGTCATGATGAGGCCATCCTGGCCGAACGATGTTTCGCAATGGCCCAGCATTATGCCCGCAAAGAAACGCGCGATTATGCAGCCATCCGAAATCTCGCCTCCGCACATGAAGGGCTGTTGAAGAAGCATGGCGGGGGAAACCAGGTGCTTGCGGCCAGGTGGGATGTGAACCAGGCCAAACGCCACTCGGAGACCACCCAGCAAGATGGGGATACTTGGCGCGATTGGGCAACTATGGAGGTCATGGAACAATATGGAGAAGAGCACCTGGCCACATACGTTACCCGGTTAGAGAGGTCTCTCTTCCTGAGCCGAGCTGGCAACCATCAGAAAGTCATCGACCTCCAATCCGCGCTGCTAGAAAAGTACCCGCAGCTTGTAGCATCCGGCGTGCCTATCGATCGAGCTAACACCATTGTCGTGGAGCTTGCGCTCAACTACTACCGGCTGGGCATGGTGGATGCTGGAAACAACGTAACCTCTACCATGTTGCAGAATATGGACGCGCTCTTGGGCCAAGAGCACGAAGATACGCTGGCGTGCCTAACCAAGTACATCAACATGGTGCGCGGTGTGGGAGTTGAAATGTCCATCGAAATCCTTGCCCGAATCTGTGGAAATCTCAAAAGAGACCCCTTTGAACCTACGCATAGTCACCGCCTCATGGCGATGCATTGCGAATTGGGTCACCAGTACCGAACCAGACGTGATTACAACATTGCGGTCAAGTATTACCGCCAACTGGTCGACGCAGCGGTGGCTCGTCTAGGCATTGATAAAAGTGTCACCCAAGACGCTTATCTGTGGCTCTTCGAGTGTTTTTGGATCATGGAGTTGGTAAAGGAAGCGAAGGACGTCGCCGATCAAGTCATTGACATGCTGAAGGAACGAGGTCCCGCAAACAAGCGCCAGATCTTGAACTGGCAAGGGCGACTCTGCAGCCTGGAGTGCCTCAAGTTCGACGAAAGCATCTCCGGCCACGGCACTGAGGCTTCCGAACTGTCCAACATGGTGTCTTCACAATTTTTCGACCTCAATGAGGGTCCTCTAGACCGGGCTTACGGATATCTGTATAAAGCCTTGCATTTCTTCTTCCAAGGAAAGGCACAGTGGGATGCTTCGATGCGGGAAACAAACCATGCGCTGCACCAGTTGCAATGCATTCGCAGAACAAGCGTCCTGCGGAAGGATAATAGTGTGACGCAGTTGAAACTGTCTTTATACCAGCGCCAGGCCATCATCCACGCCAAGTCACACAACTATCAATTGGCTATTGAAGATTATTGCCAAATCATACACGTGGCCACCCGGGAGCCCATGTATGATGTCTGGCGCTCTGAATGGCTTCATATGGCCAATATTCAGATTAAAATCTTGGAATCTGAACTTGGAAAGCAGAAGCACGGCCTAGAGGAACAGGTCCCACTGCTTGTATCTTCAGATTCAGGGGCTGTTTCGCGTTCGAATGAATACCCCCATAATAAAAAGAATTGCCAACTCCCAACAGACCGACCGACGGTTGAGCATGTAGAGCATGCCACGATTCGATCATCGTTCACGACTGAAAGGAATAAAGCCGAAAAGAAAGAGCTTTCTCCTACTACCAAGCTTCTAGCTTCGAAGTTGCAAGAACAGAGGGATCAATCAAAGCAGAGCATGTCAGAACAAGTTGGCACAGGTTCGAGGCGAGTCGCTTCAACGCTACCGCACATATTCAAAAGAAAAGCTACAATCAGCTGGAACCCCCGGGCCATGGACGCTTGTAAGGCAGAAGCCGCAACAACGACAAGTCATGACAAGGAGGCCCACGCGAAGCTTACTACTAAGGTTGAAAATAACCTGGCTGCAGTCTACGGACGCAGAGGCTATGGAGGAGATCCAGCTCGGCATTCAGAACCAGCAGATACCTCGAAACGTCAAGACAAGGGTTATGAGGTGGCGAAGACTGCCGACGGTCATACTGTCTCCCAGATTGAAAACCCGCAGATATCGCAAGACGCTCAAGCCATGGAGAAGAAGTCGCAATCTGGACTGTTCAAGAGATTCGTGGATGGGAAACAACGAGCCGTACTGAACGAGCGCAAACCTCACCCGCATGCCGGTTCAGGTAGCCAACCGTTGAATTCTCAACTACAAATCCCAAGACATCCAATTTCAATAGAACCAATGACACCCCTTTTCTCCCGCTTACGGTCTTCTAAGACTCCCGTTGGTTACTCGGAAAGCATGTCCGCGGAGGCGATCAAAGCTTCGCTTGCTGGGGGATCTGGCGCCAAGCTTATCTCGCCGCTGGCACCAGTGAAGGAGAGAAAGATAGTGAAGCTGAAATATGAACCTTTGAAGATCAAATTGTTTAAAGATTCGATGAAGAAGCCTGATTTCAGTCATATTGTGCCTGATAGGCAAAATCCCGAAAATACACAGGCCGTGATGGAGAACGCACAGGAGCGGGTTTCGAAGAACCTAGACCAAAGCTCGACCAGAATGGTGATGCATACTTCCTCTTCTTGTCCGCGAGGTATTAAATCTGCGGAGCGTCTCCCTTTTATTCCGGTGAATTTGAATAATACTGGATCAGCTGGATTGAAACGGATTTTCCTCAAAGGCGCGGGTCAGCATGCGTTGCAACCACAGGCACCAAAATCCGCAGACCAGAAAAGAAATGAGAAGGAGAAGCGCGAGTTCGTCGAAATTGCGCTAGAGACAGGTGAGGAGCGCAGGGAGTGCATAGAGCGCATAAAACGTGAAGAAACGGACTGGGATGTCCTCAGTGACGAGTGCGAGGAAAGCGCGTACACGGAGCAGTGGGATCCAGAGGAAAAAGAGTGGCAGATGGTTTAGTATTTCAATGATTTCAGGGAATATTGCGCAACTGAGTATCATCATTGAAGCAGATACTACAGATTGGTTGAAGGCTTTGGCACGGAGAACGACAAGGTCAGTCAGTGAATATAGAATGGCGACATGGGGTTGAGAGTCGCTGAAAAGGCGGCTTCCAGTATAACATGTGGGCAACATATGAGACACTCTGCTCATCTCAGATATAACAAGAAAAACTAGGGTAAAAACCCATTCCATCTACTGGCTCTCGTCGTACATCAATCACAGCACTCTCATTGTCCAAGTTCCATAGAAGTTCCACAGTACGTGCCCATCCCGAATATTACCAAGATCTATTTATGGCTCGACTTAAACCATGTCGCCGTGCGCCCTATTGCAGCGTAATTAGGATTGCTGAAAAGATTCTTCTGGAAATTTTCATTTCCTTGAGCTAAAGTGCCGACCGCAAATAAATTCATGTTTGGTTCGTTCCCTCCTCCTTCCCAGCGTTCAGTTCCCAAAATTGCTCCCGTGACTGCATCCGTGATTGAAAGTTAAGAAAAAGCTTAGTACTTTGACAGCTTCGACATTCAATATCATTAAATCTTCCACTTCTTGGATCTTCAGCCCTGATCCTTAGCTACTAGTCCGAACGTTCACAAAACGCAGCCTAGGAAGCTAAGCGCTCTGCTGCGACTACCTATTCTTGGACAGCACCCCATCAGCTGACACGTCCAAAAACTTCGTTTAACACCATAAGAAAAGTTTCTGGCGGCCGAGCCTCTTTCTGTGCGTTTCCTTACCGTCATTCCGCTCGTTTGGGTTCGCGCACGACGCTGAGTTAGTGTTTGTCCCGGGGTCAAGGCCACTCTGGGAGGATGACGATGAGAACCTAAACTGAATATCCGTGGGGAAATATCCGCAATCAAACCGACTAAATACCTCGCATTGAAGCCTGGAAATACTATATAAATCAATATCCAAGACGTTGAGGATATCAGCTTTCATCACACATTCGCTGCGAACCTAATTCTTAAGACGCCGAAGAATATAATCCAAACGTCTCAAAAGCCATCCTTGAAAACATACGCGCCCCTTACCTCCTAAGCGTTCACAGCCAGGTCCAACCGTCGAAATGATGAAGTCCTTCGTTCTCCTGGCATTGACCGCTACTGCCTTCGCTGCCCCCGGCAGCCTCCCACTCAGCCTCAGACAAGAGGGTGAATCCTGCTACCCTGGTACCTACCAGTGCTTGCCCGATGCTTCTGGTTGGGTTGTTTGCGGCACCGCTGGGGTTTGGATTACCGGTGGAAAATGCTCTAACGGCGAGCTTTGCTGCTTCTATCCCGCGGACGAGTCACCTTATTGCCTCCCCGCCGCAGAGAAGGAGGGGCACGATCAGGAGAAAGTAAGTGCTGGGCAGGACGGAAATGGCCAGGAGGGTGCTGGTCATTAAGTATTTGTACACACTGTACATACTACGATGTATGTGCCGTCACCGTCACTGCTCTATCCCTGCGTGTTGTCCTTGCGCAACTGACTTATTCAAGTATTAGCATGTCCACCGTCATTATGATCAAGGCCATGTTGGTAGCACACATGCCATGTTTCCCCTAGTTTTGTAACTATGAAGAACGGGAGATCTTGCGAAACAAGTTCTTCACATGTATACATATATTTACTTTGCTCAACGTTGATACTGTTGCCTATTTTTATGCACGTGTGATCACTGTTTCACGTCCCAATCTTTCTCATACTTGTAACACAAAAAACTACACAGTCGCGAGTATAACAGTAAGCTGAACCGAAAAAATTAGGAATGTGATTCCTATTTTATTCGGTTACTTACTCATCATGGAGGGTTCAGTATTAGCAAACACTGGTTGTCAGACTGACGTAATGCTGACGGACGAAGGCATTTCATTATTAAACATCCACGATCGTTCGAATGATTCCACACACGCCCCCGGTTTCAGAGAAATCTGGGAGGTCAAGTTTACTTCTTGTACGATATATAATTATTGGCATCTTGTAATTTATGGTTGTGACTAACCTCGTCACTCTATCAATATCTTTACGATAACACTAAGCTGGCCAGTACTGATTTAACTTGCTTCTAAAATATCAGATTTTCTATCGCCCTCGTGCCTAACTGTACTTTCTGCTTCGCCAGTCTCATCTTAACTCAAGCTATAAAGAACAAAGTCCTGAAGACCAGCTTTATGACCGTCAATAACATATTTGACCAGCTAAAATCGCAAGAAGTCAATTCCATCCCCTTGAATTAGAGGCATGATATTCTTGACCAACCTATCTTCCCTACGAGCTACAACACGTTGAACAAAATCCGGCGCCATATTTTACTGGTTGATAGCTTCAGGAACTTCCCTCGCCTTTTTGCTCTTCAAGTTGGCGTTGCCCGGTTTGATGGTGTCTGGTTTTCAGTATTTACGGAGGAAGAAACTAGACGGAATTTACCCCTTACCGTATGTCGGATATTCACGTATCTTGCGATGTGACCTTATTTTGACCTTGATATTACGGTAATCTGACAGTTCAATGTGATAGATTGATTGTTGTATCTGATCTCTGTCTTTCTGCTCTGCAGATGGATGTCTGGCCAGGACCCAGTGGCTGGTAATCACGTGGCTCTTGGTACATCTCGTGACCCCTTGTATCTGACACCATAGGCCCTGTTACCTTCTTTTCATATTTAATTCACTGCATTCATACGCCGTATGCTTCTATAAGGCAATATAATCAACGAGATTAAAAATAAAATAAAATAAAAAAGTAATATCAGAAACCCAACGCTATTTTCTTCATTTACGCTGCGGCTTTGACCTGGCAGAGCTCTTTTATAGCTCTTATCTTATCTTATCTATCTTATCTATCGTTTTAGGGTAACCTCCCATGGGGTCACGTATCATCTGGTCTCCTCTCCGGTCGAGAAGCAGGGCCATTACTTCCTTTCCCCGTATAAGGTTTTGAGCTGCGGCTTTGACCACCTCCTCCGTAATAGTGATCTGGTCTCTTCTCCGGTCGAGAAGCAGGGCCATCACTTCTTTACCGCTGTCCTCGTTTTCAGCTACGGCCTTGATCACCTCCTCTGTAATAGTAATCTGGTCTCCTCTCCGGTCGAGAAGCAGGGCCATCACTTCTTTACCGCTGTACTTATTTTCAGCTGCGGCCTTGATCACCTTCTCCGTGATGTCCATTGCCTTGACTCCCCATTGTAGGAAACAATTGATAACGCGAATGCTTCCAAAGCTTGCAGCCACTTTAAGCAGTGTCTGCCTGTCACTATCAAGATATTTTATGTCGTCAAATTCACCTATTTTCCGATACCTGCTCATTGCGTTATCGTGATTTGTTTCCTCCAAGAAGATATGATTGACAATAATTGGGATGTCCCATTGTGCAGCAATATGGAAAATAGAAAAATATTTCGGAAGGGTCGTTTGATATTTTCCTCGATATCGATCTCTCCAAGCCTCCCGAGAGCTTGACTGGAGAGTAAAGAATTCAATGTGGTGTTCCAGAATACAGAATTCCTCGGCTGCTAACTTTGCATGTTCAGGCCAGAATTGCGTCGAGTAGGATAGTAATTCATTGTTCATAGGGTCCTTCCGCTCTGTTCTGAAATATAGTTGTCGATCTATACATCGGTATGCAAGTTCGGCATGTGATTTACACTCGTCAAAGCGGCCACGATTGAGGAGGAAATCCTTCACTCACTGGTGGAGTAGAAGGACTTTTTCGTGTTGAACAACGAGCATCAATCGGCAAGAGTTCACATTATCGCGTGTGTACTCGACTCGTTCTTTTTCGTTTTTGTCTTTGTGTAGTCGGCAAGCTTCTGAAAGCTCTAGTAGGGTGAGAGGTCGCAAGGATACCGTAACGAAGTTCAAGATAGATTCAATTATTTGTTGATCGTTAGTTTTAGTAAAGGCTAATTGCAAAAGCTTCGCATATATTCCATCGAGTCCTTTTGGCAAGTCTTGTAGAAGCTTGGTGGCGTCTTTTGACGCGACTCGATCTAGTTCCTCGCAAACTATGCCGACCCAAAGAAAAGTACCCTCTGCCTTGCTTCGGAGTACCGCTTTCACTTTCTCTTTAGTATGGTCTGTGTATCCTTTCTTTTTCTGAAGATACGCTGATTTGCTGTCGATGAGACGTATGATGTCCTCTTTTGCCTGTGGATAGGACGCTATGTCTTTTTTAGCAAATTCCTCGAGGTATTCCTTGATCTCTGTGTAGAGTCGACTGGTTATGAGAATCCGGATGTTCGGTGTATAGACCGAGCGGCCGTCTGGACCGAACGACTTCCGAAGTTGTTTCAGTAGCGTCTCCTGAGATTCCTGGTCGCACTCATCTAGGGCATCGATAATGCAAAGCTTTTCACCCGTATCTTTATCTGCCACGGCGTCCATAAAGGTCGCCCAAAGAGCGTCGAACGACGCGAATAGATTTCTCCCACGATCGTGATATTGTGGCAGGAGATATCGGAGGAGTGATGGATGCTGCGTAACGAGCTGGTAGAGAAGACCTCGCATAACTGCAGTAGCTGTCCTGCGCGTTTCAAAGCTCGAATCACAGAAGAATGGCAAGACAGTCTTGCCTTCTCTAGAAGGAAGAGTTCTAATAGCTTCTCGGTAAGGAATATTGACATGGTCGATTTCCCTGTCCCGGGATACCCATATAGCCATATAATTGGACCGGAATCTTGCCATTTAGCCAACTCTTCGGTGTCAAGAATCCATTCGCATGTGTTCGGAGCACGATTGCCCTTCTTCCGTTTCAAATTATTCTTATCTTCGAGCGGATCGGTCAGGAAGAGGTCCCGTCGGCATTTCTTTGCAGTGTCATCATTCCCCTTATCGTAATTTATCGTGTTTCCGACATGAACACGTGCACCGCTGGTTATATCGAATTGGCCAGGGTAAGTAGACTCGTACTGATCAAGCGCGGTTCGCGATCGCCTCAAGCCCTCCACATCCTCGGTGGAGTCAGCGTATCCATCCATGAGAGGCGCGTTGGGGACGTAGGGGTTCCTTCAAAATCTTGACCGGCTTGTGTCCGGTCGCACGGAGGTCGCACGGGTTCTGATACCGATGAAATCCACTTCCATGGATCGTGCATCTAGACCCTGGCGGATAGTCACAGATTTTGCTGGTCAAAAGAGATGTCACGTAGAACACGGTGTCTTCGGGACTTTGGTTCTCGACAGGCAATCAAGGTGAAGATGAGGATAGACATAGAAAGGAGGGAAAAGCTACACGAGGGAGATCAATTATTATCTGGAACCAATCCTCTCGAAAGACAGACAATTGGGCTTTTTCCCAGCGAGGCTAACCAGAAGAGCGGCTGAGAAGCGGGGAAGTTTGCCACGTCACATAGATGGACTATGCGTCTCAGCCTGATGTAAAGAAGAAAACATCTTAGACTTCTTTCATAATAACCTCGCTGCTGGCGCTTGTATAAATCAGATAACGAACGAATATATATACTCGCTCGATCGCTCATCCCCTCACCACGGCATCCACTACAATGTCTCAATCAAATGACCCACCTTTCGCGTTAACACATCAGCTAAGCTGGGGTTTGGATCAGCCTTCAGGGTCCTCTTCAACCCCACGCCAATACCTACCAGGGTACCCCCAGATCTCGCTGCAGGATCGACGCACAGTATGGGACTTCCTCAGCCAGGAGTTCTTCTCGGACGATCTAGATCGGATGGCAGACAAGCTTTGGTGGATGTCAAAACAGGACAGCCGGAACATCTCCCCACTCCATCGGCAGTTAGTGAAACGGCGAACCGTTATTATTACGGAGGATCCAAAGCTACATCTCGTATGGATCTACGACCGAATCTTTATAAAACCACTTCCCCGCTATATCATGTCGTACGCATTTTGGCAAGACTATCTTTGCAACGACAAGAACAACGATATATCCAAACGAACGCGAATACACCGAGCAGCGCTAGGTTATCTCCGTACATATTACTATCTGTCGGCTGGTGTAGTTGGTCACTTCGCTGGTAGATAAGTCCCGATTTGAGCCTCGCCCACTTGGGTCGGTGACGAGTCGCGGGTTCGAATCCCGCAGCTGACACACAAGGGGGTTTAGTCAACCCTTACGGCGCGCTGCCCACCTTGTTGACTTCGCCTACCTAGCGATAATAGGGAGATTGGTGCAGTTTAGGATTACGAGCATCCTAGCCAGTCGACCGTCAAGCACTACGTCGGCGGAATATAACTCGACAGCCGGTCCAGAATTCGAATCGTTAATCCGACCCCTTATCGGACCTCGCCTTTCCGATAACGCTCGTCGGCGAACCCGTCCCCTCACGATAGAAGGCGCGCAGCACGCCCTCTCGCCGCGATTCTTGCGAGCGTCTGACCACGTTACGGTCTATCCACTTGAGCGTATGGTTTAGATGTATACGCTCGACGAGAACCCCAATTAGCAGATACTACGACTTGTCGCGACAAAAAAAATAGTCGAGCATCTTCTGCACATCAGCAGCATCCCACCCCTGAGGACGAATTTAAGTGCCACATTACCACACTTATCGGTAGTTCAGGCAGGGGTTGTAGCACAGACTTAGGGAGGGACAGGAGGTTTAGTAGTCGTTTGGCTACAAGTTTACCTGTATAACCGCCCGACGCGGCTTAAGGGCCCGCTATATCATCTATAGCCCCTTAAGGGAGTACTTGTAGAGGTACCGAGGGTTAACACCTACGGCGTATTTAATATTATTTTATTACTATCTGATACGATACGAGTCCGACTTTCGCATCGCGCAAGATCCGAGCCTTCGTCTGATTCCGACTGATATCACCTGGGAGCAGTTCTGCAACTTCGTCTCGAGCCTAGCCAATATCCGCGACTTTGAAGTCTCCCCACGCTATGCCTATGGCGAGATTCGGTTAACGAGATTGAATTTCTACGCTCCGCTTCTCCTTCAAAAGTTGCACTTTCACCGCGTCGAATATCAATATGGAACATATTTTGCTCGTTTCTATGGTCCTATTTTGTTTATTATCGGTGTTGTTTCTGTTATCTTGAACGGATTACAAATCTCCGTAACTGTTATTCAGGGCCAGGCAGATAATACCGTTTATACGATACTATCGGCTGCTTTATGGTTTAGCGTAGCAATGATGGTTTTTTTCTGCGGAATGTTTTTCCATTTATGCTTCCTCGTCATTTACAAGATAGCTAAGGAGTGGAGGTATGCTATTAAGGACCGAATTCGCCTTAAGGAAAACCGTCGAAGTAGAGTTTAGCTTTTGCTTAGTGTGTGCTTGCCGAGCCTCGATTAGGAAAGATAGAAATAATACAGTATTGTTAGGCATACATACTGGTTCTAGCGACAAGTTATCTAATTGCTGCGTAAATTGCGTAGATTCTACAAAACTACTAAGCTTTAGAAGAAAGAAGAACTCTGAAGCTATTCAACCAGTCCACAATTAGACTACTGCACTCCTATAACTCATTTTTAATTTCCCTATCTTGCTCATGCTTCCCCGACTTTTAAGAACTCTTACGAGGTTGTCCATGCTGATCAGCGTGGATGGATGCTCTCTGACTAGCACTTTCTTTTTTAGCTCGAGTGTCTCCCGGTGCATCTTCTCGGCATTCTCGTATTTCCCCTGGCTGTCGAGTATGTAGGGACGTTCTCTAACGCCTTCTCCCTAAGCTCGAGTGTCTCTGGATGTATCGCCTCAGCCTCCTTGTACTTCCCCTGGCATCATACATTGACGTGGGGTTAGGGTTTTTGGGTGCTCATTTTCGTTTTTTTTCCGGTTTCAGACGAGTTATGTAAGCGCGTTCTTGAAGGGTATTTGAGACCTTATGTACATAGTCACTCCCTTGAGAAAAAGGATAGAAATTCAAGCGGCCTTTTCCACAGTAATCTGAACCAATTTCTCTTTACTTGGACAGGCATTCAATGTCTGACGTACCTGTTGAGGTACTTTTGTTGCCCCTATAGATCTGATTGTGCCTGCTGAGGCCATTGTTCCCACCTTTCACCTGTTGAGGTGATTGTTCAAGGACCTGTTGAGGTTCCCTTTCTTCCCCAGCCTGCTGAGGCTACAGTTATTAGTACCTGTTGAGGTACTTGTCGTTCCGATCAGGGCAAGGAGCTCTTGATCTTGTTATTTCTTTCCACCTCCCGAATAGTAAGGTCTTGTTGAGGATCTTGTTATTCGTTGCCATCATCTTACACCTTAAACCTGCGGGTGGTTTCACTGCCCGTCGTCAACATCCGCGAGGTTTTTCATGCTGCCGAGTGTGACAGGATACTCTCTGCCCAGTACCTTCTCCTTAAGCTCGAGTGTCTCCCAGTGTATCTCCTCGGCCTCCTTATACTTCCCAAGCAAGGAATTACTGTCTCCAATATGAAATAGAATATTCCTTTTGTACTCTTCGTTAAGACGATTCTTTCGAGACTCTGAGGCTTTTTGCATATGTAGCAGATGTGAAGGTCAACCCTCGCAGACTCACTACAACCAGGTGACCTACAGCTGGAACACCTGCCATGGCAGTGTCAGATGGGAAGCCAATCATAACCCTTGTAGGAGCCCCGCCAAGCGTGGATGACTTAGTCGCGCTCCCTCAAACCTAAGTTTGTGATCTTCTTTCCTTCGCTCCTTAGAGTAGAATCTTCGTCGATAGCACCTAATCGAGGTCTCTACCAATGCGATGCAACCCAGGTCGTGACAGCAGATACCTTATCCATGTCTCTTTATTATCGTGCTTCGTGAAGGGAATTGGTCCAAAAGATGCTGTATGGTGTCCAGGATGCATTCTTCTATCCTTCCTTGAACCTTTAACCAGTTATGCATCGCTAGTTGAACAAGTCGGTGAAAATCAAAAGAGTCTGGTGCGACTCGTTCGACTAAAAAGGCGTCCATTTAGAATACCAGGTTCCTTTTTCACCTCTAAATCGTTCCTCCCTGGAGAGAGTAATAATAACAGGATATCTTTCTGTACTAAGGAGCACATGAATCTGAGATACCGCACGGCAAGTGGCATATCTTGTGAGATCTGCTCGAACAAAATTAGCCGAGTTGGAATGACTGCGTTCCTGGCGCTTGCGGTCTGATTGGACCTTTACAGATCCCGATCATCAAAGCCTTCGCTAAGTAGCTCAATCAATTCTTCATTGCTTCAGTGGCAGGTGGGGGGAGAGTGCGCTAGAAAGCCAAGGAGATCCTTCGTGGCTTTTGCGTCGCGAAGCAGGTGTTTCTCCAGGCCCTTCTGCAATAAATCAGTAGCTTCCTGCCTGCTCATTTCATGCAGAGTGATGATCCGCTCCCTGGTATTGAATTGCACAGCGAATGATGGCTGCTTGTTATGAACAATATCGAGCCTTTCCTGCTCATTGGGAGAAAGTCAAAGAGTGGAGTACCAGAGAAATACTTCAAGTCGTCGACGTTATCAACGATCAAGAGCCAATTTCTTGCACTATTAAGGCTGAGGGCAGATTTGACAAGTGACTTGACATCTGCCTGGGAATCTCCAAGCCCCTTCACGCCAAGAAATTCACCAATCTCGCCGTAGGGCATTCTCAAAACGAGTAGCATCCACGGCCGGGACCCAGAAGACAGGGCAGTCCTCATGCTCTTTATGCACTTTGTAGGCAGCCGCGAGTGCGATATGACTCTTGACAATACCATCAAGGCCTTTAATGGCGAATCTTTGACCATCATTCTCGTTGATGCTTGGTGGTATCCATTCGAGCAATTGGTTTAAGATCATTCACATCCGAGAAAGCCGTTGTTTCGCTCAAGCGGGACTAGGGAGTGGAAACTAGAGATGGTCGTCGATCCGTGTTCTAAGAGCTATGAATTAGCAGTAGTCTTTCAAGCTGTACTAAATCAACATACTGCTTGCCACGATATTATCGCAGTGATGGAAATATACGCTATTAATATTATATATGTCGTTCCCCTGATGGAGGGACATATTTTCTCCCAGCTGATATTCGCCCTCTTGTGCAGATCCGCGTTGAGTCGTAGTGAGGCCGAAGCTTAGTTTTGGGCGCTTCCTACCGTCGGCGCCAAATACGCGACCCCTGCGTGGCCGATTCTTTAGCATGCGTTCTTCAGTTCAACTTAGCTGATGCACATATATCAAGTAAAAACCTGTCTGATGAGCTCTGATTGTGACACATATTTGCATAACAAAGAGCGAGAATTTTAGCCATTTGAATAAGAAACTGAAACTAAAAAGGGGAATGCAGCCATCAAAGTGAGGCCTGAGGATCAAGTGTGTTCTGCCCAGTATGGTGGGTGAGCCTAGACTGATGGCTAAGCAGGCTGGTGCAACGTGTCAAGCAGCCTGATGGAGGGGAAAGGATGAAAGTGCACTTTTTGCCAATGGTACTATCAGTATGTACCTCTGGTATCAAACGGAAAACAAAGCAAATACTAAAACGATGTCGGTCTGTAAGTGTATGGAGGTACTATCACTCATTGTATATCAATACATCTGTCGAATAGTCCCAGGTTTATGTCATATTGATCGAACTACTATGCTCCCGTTCAAGTTACCCATGGTCATCAATTAGTAACATCAGTACACTTATGCCCATTGATCTCATCACTTTGTTCCAGCTTTGTCTCTTCCTCTGCATCGATCTCTCCTTCAAACTTTGATCCTTCTGTCTCGATAAGTCCATGCTCAATATTTATAATCTTGTTCCCTTGATTTACGGATGCCTTGCCCCTTAGAGTGATTTTGCTCGAGAATATAAATTAATAATATTAAATACGCCGTAGGTGTTAACCCTCGGTACCTCTACAAGTACTCCCTTAAGGGGCTATAGATGATATAGCGGGCCCTTAAGCCGCGTCGGGCGGTTATACAGGTAAACTTGTAGCCAAACGACTACTAAACCTCCTGTCCCTCCCTAAGTCTGTGCTACAACCCCTGCCTGAACTACCGATAAGTGTGGTAATGTGGCACTTAAATTCGTCCTCAGGGGTGGGATGCTGCTGATGTGCAGAAGATGCTCGACTATTTTTTGTCGCGACAAGTCGTAGTATCTGCTAATTGGGGTTCTCGTCGAGCGTATACATCTCAACCATACGCTCAAGTGGATAGACCGTAACGTGATCTAGACGCTCGCAAGAATCGCGGCGAGAGGGGGTCCGATAAGGGGTCGGATTAACGATTCGAATTCTGGACCGGCTGTCGAGTTATATTCCGCCGACGTAGTGCTTGACGGTCGACTGGCTAGGATGCTCGTAATCCTAAACTGCACCAATCTCCCTATTATCGCTAGGTAGGCGAAGTCAACAAGGTGGGCAGCGCGCCGTAAGGGTTGACTAAACCCCCTTGTGTGTCAAACCCGCGACTCGTCACCGACCCAAGTGGGCGAGGCTCAAATCGGGACTTATCTACCAGCGAAGTGACCAACTACACCAGCCGACTGCAGATCCGCGTTGAGTCGTAGTGAGGCCGAAGCTCGAGAATATAGATCCTCCTAGTTTGATCCGTATACCCGAGGAGGATGCGGGGACTCCGGTCTTGGCGCATAATGTAGTTGATTCATAGCGGATAGAGAAATCGTGGCTGTTCTACTTGTCAGCGCCGCTATATAGTCATTTTATCGATTTTACATCCCTTTGCTCATCAGGTAGGGTGTTTCTCTTGACACTTGAATTGGGAGATGCCTGAAGTGTTATTAGTCAGTAGCCCTTTAGGCAACAGGGGTAGATTTGGCGAACCATGTTTTCGGAAAGTTTGCCGTCGCTTCTGGGACGGAAGAGAAGGAAAAGCTTGTGAGATCCGGGACAACGGCTGTATTTAAATAGAGTCTTGAGACAGTAGAGATCGCCTTGCGGCGGGATTATCTTCACCGGTCATGCGGCTGTGCAGCACACCTAAACCAGGGTGCACCGATGCGTCTTCTGAAGGTGGCATGACAGTCGGCCACGTCAGAAACCCTTGTCTAATCACACAGAAATACAAATCCATCACCTTTGGATGTGCTGGACACTCTCATACTATAGGCCGTTCAGAGACAAGTCGCTATTCCGGTCTTCCCAGCCTCATTACCCGAAAGGTTGCCTGACTTTCTCGTCCTTTTGTTCTTGTGGAGAGAGTTTCTTGGGAAAGCCATGCCAGTCGCCGATTCATGGAAGCCGTGTTGTGTCCGAAGGTTGCGAGGTAGCGTTGTCAACCAGTCCAACAGAATGCATATTGCCTAAAATTAGTGGCTACATCTGGCGACAATGCTATATTGAATAATAGACCTTGGTAAAGAAAATGCAAGGAAGCTATGGGCAAGGCAGATTCGCTAGATGTGTAGGGTTGACTGCAAGGCTGTGTATCCCGAAGCTACAGTAGTACTATTCGTAGAGCTTCGAAGCTCTGGGCTGTTCCATATCTAGCTTAGACCCGGTGAAGCTTTCCGGGACATGAGCGTAGGTATTGCGCTGCTTTTTCGGCTCAGTCGCTATCGCTACCCTGTCTGTAAGCTAAACGAGCCCCTTTTCTCAGCGACTAATAAGGAACTTTGCCCCGCACTACCAGGTAGCTGAGCATCTTCACATAATCACATATATACTTTCATCTGAACGTTAACCATGTTAAACTCTACATGACTATTATATCATGGTATTCGCGGTCCCGCTGACTCGGGATGACTTTGGCTGACGCCCGGGCCCCCGACACACATACGGGGATATCCACGTCGTCCCCCTAGTTAGGGGAACGTGGATATCCTATTGATATCACTCCAGGAATTGGTGTTTACGCTCTCGGTGCCTATTATCCTTACACTGCTTACCTACGCTTTCCGCCAACAATCACGGCGATCGGTAACGGGCTACTTAACCTCTGATCAAGATAGCACCGGACCCCATATCGAGACGCCCAGATATCTGACTTTGCGTGTAGATGGGATTCCAATTAGGAGCTCGCGCGACGCATTTGAAAGTGATCTAGAATGCATAACGAGCCAGAGTCCAGATCTGCGGAATGTCGTCGATAAACTGGTTATACGCTCTTTTGTACCAAAAGATCGGTATTCTATTTGCGCCACAGTCACGATCAGAACACGTGTGCCCGAGGATGTACTGCTATATCGACTTAAACATGCTAGTGACGAGCACCCGTATCGCTACGACTGCACATTCTACGGTATCACGCCACTTTACGAAGATAAAAGCGCTATAAAGTGTGAGTAAGTAGACGATTTCTCTCGCCCAGCTGTTATTGGTAATTACATATTGATACACCCGTAGTATCATCGCTGTACGTGGCCTCGCAAGCCATGCGATCGGTTCGTGGAAATCTCCCAAGAGCAACGACATCTGGCTTCGCGACTGGCTTCCCGAAGACATACCAAATGTTCGAGTTCTCCTCTATGGGTACGATACCACACTACTGAAGAATACGTCGAAAGCCTCGATCGAGGACCTGGGACAGCGATTGTTGGAGAGCCTAATAGCTTTTCGAACAAGTGACAAGGTACGCCACTGCAAGAAAACATAATTGGGTCTAATATAATAGCAGACGGAGCGTCGCTCGGTCGTATTTATCGGCCATAGCCTTGGTGGTCTACTGATTAAAGAGGTAAGATCACTATCTATCTGCTCTAAACAGCCTGCTTACTGATATAGGCATTGCTTCGCGCATATTGGAGTCCTGACGTGAACAAGGAACACAAGCTTCTTTACACGATCTGTAACGGCTTGCTCTTCTTTGGCGTTCCAAATCATGGTTTACGAAATGAGAAGCTCTCGAGCATCATTAGTGGTCAGCCGAATCAGGCTTTAATCAATTCCTTAGTTGTGGACAATGAGTCGGAACCATCCCCGTTTTTAAGAAGGCTATCGGCCGATTTTGCTAGATGCTTCAAGGGTCAACAGCGAGTTATCTCGTTCTATGAACGCAAATTGAGCACAACTGTGGAGGCAGGTCTCTCTTCTGGTCTATGGCGACAATGCTAACAATAGCAGATGCACCTAGATGGAAAGTTACGCAAGTCTGGCCCATTGGCGCTTATGGTAACAAAGCAGTCGGCAACAAGCACAGGTTTGACAGCGGTGCCCGATGAAGACAATATCCCATTCGACACAGATCATTCTGGACTCGTCAAGTACGAGGATAGGGGGCAAGATGCCTATCACATCGTGAAGGAGCGGTTGCGGACTCTTATTCATGAGGCAAGACCTTTCACTGAAGATTTTATGTGATCATTCGATCTATCCCAGGCATTCCACTGAAATATTGCTTACCACTGGATCTAGCTGTAGAGAGGTTTGGGATAAGCCACCATCCGAACAGGAGTTTTACTCAACATGGATCTATCTTTGGCGGGAAATATATAATACACGGAGGAACGATATATCAAGGCAATGTCACAAATATTCGTTAGATACTTTCCTGTTTCGTTTATTAGTAAGGCTTTACATAGAATGCTTAGATAATTTGGATCAACTATTATACCATTCGTTGCTTGGAGGAATTGCTGGATGCGAAGTCTCGACCTACGACCCAGTTATTGCAAAAGGGTGTTTGTCGAGTCTCAACTACACGTCTGCCAGTTGTTCCATGGCATTTCGCCCACATTTCGCCTCAAGCTGAGCGGAGTCAGAAAGGGGGGTGAAGATTTTGGAAGGTGCTCCTGAGCTCCAGTTGGTTATCTCGAGGTTGGTGAGTAAACGATGGATTGAATGATCAAGATGGACTCTGGTACTCAGAATCATTGGCGGATTGAATGGAATCCGGCTCAGTGGTGGTGTGGAACTGCACAAGCACCTGCGAACAACGGCCAGATGCCTGTAGAAATGCCGAATCCAAATTTCCACTCTATAGTAGGGCCGGCGCTGTACTAAGCATTACAGCCCCAAGGAAACCTATTTAAGCTTGCAAAAAGTCCAAATAACTATACTTACATGCTGTTCAGGTCTTGTACTGGTATCTTGGCCAGAATACATTACGCTATACCGCTGTAAACCCCACTTAGTGCCCGGCCTCGTGCAAGGAAGGACCATGCATGCAGCCAACCCTATATGAACCTAGTATATGAGAGCATGTAGGCAAAAACGATCAAGATTTCTGTGGGTGATGGTGTCCTATAGCTGTATTCCTGGTTTGCGACAACGTGCGGGGTGCTGGGTATTGGAAATCTTCAGGTTAGTCCGTGAGAAGGAATTTCACATGCCAACTCGAAAGTCAATGGAAACCTCGGCGCAGCTTCTCAAGAGGATTCGAGAAATAATAAGTCCAAATGCCCGCAGAGGTTGGAACATCCTCTTGTAGAATAGCTCGATATTTATTCCACTGTAGGCCCACTTTAGACTTGGTATGATTATTCGATTGCTCTAGGCTACCACACGTTCGCTGCGAGAATCCGAATAGAAAGTCCGTCATTCATACTTCCGACCTGCGGACACAAAAAAATTGCAGGAAGGAAATGATCGTGCAAATGGGAGATGATACCAGTGATACTCTATGCACGCGGCTTGGATTGTTGCATAAAGGTAATCAAACACACTCTATTGTCTGTACTGATACTTACCAAGTTCATATGCCATGGATGCTATTTTCCACGACGCCGTAACCTCCCTAGACCAAATCCAAGCACCTTATCATGCAGCGACCTATTGATACACCAGACTGCTGATAACAGTGAATACCTCGTAAAACAATCCCCTATTTTGTTCCATACTCCCAAGCACTGAATTCTCATCGCCCCCACTGCTTTCCGAGCCCATCTTACGCAGCGGGAGCGGCCATACCAATCTACGGCCTCGCCTCGCCATCCACCGCGCTGTCTTGGGAGGCGGCCTGGTCCGTTTCGACGTCCGTACCGACTTTTTCCAGTCCCGGACTGTTTTCAGTCCTTCTGTGGTTGCCTCCATCCTGCGCTTCTTCTGTCTCATCACCACCCTGGGTAACCGCAGTTCCAACACCGGAGCTAGCGGGCATAGAAGCACTTTCATGCAGAGGAGGGAAGTCCCCCGGTCCCGCTCCAGGCTGTGAAATAAAGCCCAACTCCGACGAGCCACCACGCTCAACGGCGACTATCGCAGCCAACTTATGATTTTGCTGTGCTAGTCTTCCTTTGTTGCGTTTCGCTTCGAGCGCTGCCATTTCCGCCTCATGCTTCTTAGACTGTTCCATACGTACCTGTTCCTCCTGGACCCAGGCGATGATGTCCTCGACGGCCCGAGCGGGTCGGTTGCGGTGGTTGAGAAGGTATCCTTGTAGTTGTGCGGGCGTGAACGTATCGTCGGGTACCTTAGTGCTAAACTCGGACGCGAGCTTCTTCAGCTCTTCCTCTCCCACCTCCACTGTACAGGTCTCGGCCAAGTTGGGCTCCTCGTTTGCGTCTGGGGCGTACATGCGCAAGAACATCTCTTCCGCTGCCTGCTGGTAGATGTGACCGAGGAAAATCATCTTGTCGATTCTGCCGGGTCTCACGAGCGCCTCGTCGAGCTTGTCGGCCATGTTCGATGTCATGAGAACGATGCGTCCCTCCTGTGATGTCACCCCATCCAGCACGTTCAAGAGACCTGAGAGACTGACTCTACCAACCCCTCCACTGCGAACGTTGGAGAACATCTTGGTACCGTCCTCATCCTTATCTGCTTCAACCACACGGCGCTTGACTCCTACTGCATCAATGTCTTCCAGCAGGACAATGCACTGAGGAGGGAGTACGGTGAACAAACGCTCCAGCTCCCCATCCGCATTAAGGCTGGGTAGATGGAGGATGTACAGCTCGAGGCCGAAACGACCAGCAAGGGCCAGACTCAAGCTTGTCTTTCCCGTGCCAGGGGGACCATGCAGGAGATATCCCCTCCGATAGGGGATGCCACGGGAGGTGTAGAAACGTCTTGTCGAGTGTTTGAGGTAATTTTCGATATCAGAGACCAGTTCATCCTTGACCTTCATGTCCATGTGAACCGTCTCCAGCGGTCTGATAGGCCGAAGGATGGTTGTATCCCAGGACTCTCGGTGATATTGATTACGAGCCGCGCGAACGGTGGTGAAGGATTCTCTCTGCTTGTCGGCAAAATCACGGCAGACGTCGAGGAACTTCTTGATTGGCGCCACGGATCTTCCCAGACACATGACGACAAGGGGTTCGTTTCCCGCCGGGGGCACGACGTATTGATCCGGCATCTCGGTGGCCAGCGCTCCTTCTCGAGAGGATCTGCCGTCGGGAATCCTTCGAACGAGGAATACATTGCGGTTGTGGAAGAACCAGGTGATGCCGAAAGTGGGTAGATACTGGATAGGGAGGCGCTTCTCGTGAAAATAGTCGATTCTCTTGACAAGGCCTCTTCCAAAATGCATTGCGTCATTCTGAATGGGTTCCGACCGGGCCGTGAGGATGCGCGTTTCTTGCTGGAGAAGCACGTGGGCGCCGATCCAGTTTAGAACCTCGCGGTTTAGGCGATCACTACCTTGAATAGAGACGGAGGCCGTGAAGAATCTCGTGATCCATCGGTAGACACTCAGCGCTATGGCACGGACTTGCTGCGTGCCCGAGGAAATGGCGCCGAAGAGGGTTAGGATGACGGCCAAGGTGGTGAGGTCGACTTTCAGCCATTTTGAGAAGAAGCTCTGGAGAAAGCCAAATCCCAGTCTACGGCGTTCGACAAGCTCACGAATTGAGGAGCTTCCACCGCCTTCTGCTCGAAAACGTTTGAGGAGCTCGCCCATGATGGGCCTGGGGTGTTCGTCCTGACGATTTTACTTCCAAAGTGCGCCCAGAGAGTTCAGATGAATGTAAGGGAAAATGGTTAAGCCAGATCTGTCCGTCTAGTTCTGTTTCTTTTTTGGGAAAGTTTAACAAGTTCGTCCAAAATGTTAGCTTTCTTGCAGGCTAAGGCAGTTGTGGGTTGGCCTATTGTTGGTTGGGTGGCGAACTAGTTGCGCCCCGCAATTGTGCTCGCTACTAGCATAATATGCAGATATTAGCTACACATCACAACGGCGCGCCTTCCATCAAACAGACCAGTTCACATGCAAGCCAAGTAGGGTTTTATTTTCTTTGTAGAGGCAGCTGTTATCCCAGATTTTAAATGCAGGTCCTGTTTATCAAAGCAGGCCCTTGAGGCACCGTGGTGTTAGTCTTGACAAACAGGTTCTTGAATCTTTACTTTCAACTCCTATTTGCACCATACTTATTTTCACGACAGACTCCTAGGGTGAGAAGGTGTAGTAACCGGTAAAACATAGCAGGGCATCGCTTCGTGCCCCTTCAGATCATTATGGATTAAGCAACTGATAAATCCCAATGCTTTCTACATAAAATTGGCATTTCAGTTTCTGTGCGTTAACTAACATTGCGATTCTTTACGATTTGCCCATGCAACGGTGTATGGTCAGAAGGGTTTGGCATCCAACTGAGCTGTTTTCTCAGGCATCTTCTCCGTCGGGGTGAAATTTCCTGGACGGCCTTCCACGTCGCTTCCCCGTGGATGTGCGTTAATAGCCGCGCTATCCAGATCCCATACCGTGTCATTGAGAAGCGTCTCCTTGGCCGGGGCAACCCAACTCAGTGCAGTGTAGAGGAAGATGGATACCACAAACCCAAAGAGCCAGTCGAAAGTGTATAGGTTTCTGGCCCCATCACTGATATGTACGGCCCCCGGGCCGCTGATACTGAGGCCCAGGCCGGGAAGCAGAGGAGCCACCGGGACAAGGAAGGCAACCGCAGCCCGCCAGTTACAACCCCCGACGTAGGTGTATCGGCCATGGGGATTGTACAGAGCTGGGATATCAATGTGCTGCTTCTTTACGAGCCAGTAATCGGCAGCCATGATACCTGCCATAGGAGCGAGGAAGACGGCATAGCCTCCCATGAAGGCGAGAAATGTAGTAGCAGAACTGAGGATTTTCCAGGGGACCATGACCCAGCCGGCGATGACGGCGGCTATCATGCATCCGCGCTTGATGTTGATCCACCGTGGGAACAGCACTGTCATGTCGTTGGCAGCGCTGATGCTGTTCGCTGTGATGTTAGTGCCAACCTGGGCGATATACCAGGCGAGAGCTGCGAAGAAAGCCGCGCATCTTCCACCCGCGCCGTAATCCAACCACAGCGCAATGATGTCAAGGGGGTTCCACATGTATTCGCCGGTAAATACCTTGGTGGCCGACGTGGTGACAATTCCTAGAATTCCGCAGACAGTGAAGATGATGGGAAGAAAGGGTAGTTGAATAAACTGGCCCTTGGCAGATCGGGCGTATCTGGTGAAATCGGGGATGTTCACGGCTAGGGTGGCCCATGACCCAGTTACGCTCGACATGCAGGAAAGCCAAAGCCAGGCGTACTCGTTTCCGGTGGCAGTGGGCTTCAGGGCGAAGATGTCGCCACCACCGCCGGCCTTGTGGACGCACCAGCCCATGGTAGCAATGGCAGCAATGGGCGCACCGATGAGCTTGACTATGAAGATCCATCGCAGTTTGGTGGGGTGGATCAAAAGAAGTGGAAGCTGAATGATCCAGAACAAAAAGTACGATACCATGTCGACAGATTGAAGACCAGCCGATTCTGGCAGGGTGTTTGGGATGTCACTGTAGGATGGCGCCCAAGCGCGGAGCATAATAGTAATGCATTGAGCACCGTTGGCGCCCTGGTAGATGTTGAGTAAGCCAACCGGGTTTGGCGGAGGCCGCACTGCTTACCTGGATACCCAGCCAGAACATGGCTAGAATACAACGACTGACGATAGAAAAGTACCGAAGATAGTACCCGAAGCTGCTGGTGGCAATGACGGAAAAGGGGACGTGGAGTTTGGCGCCAATGGCACCGTTGAGCACCATGGGCACAGCAACACAAGACGTGCCGACCACCATGATCGGAATGGCTTCGCGCCAACTCAGGCCCACGGCCAAGATACTCGAGGCAGTTTCCCAGGTGCCAAGGTTGATGGTATCGGTTGCCCAATACGCCATGATGCTCCAGATGGTCCATGTTTGGTCCTCGACCGGAGTCGGGTCCATATCACGGTTGGTCCAGACATGTTCGGGTGCGATATGGCTTGACCGTTTGGGAATCTCCCAGGCGTGAACCGATGTGCATCGCCGCTTGAGGGCGGCACCGGATGGTTTCTTCATGGCCACTTCCGGTCAGTCTGAGCGGATGGGTGAGGTTCCTTGGACATGGACGACGGAGCAGTGGGTTCCATTGGAGATATATAAATCCCACGCCCACCCGGTGGTTTGCCATCATCTTTGGCATGCAAGTCAGACTTAAACCTGCGCCTGGCCGCACATGTGACCCATGACATGTCGTATATGTAGGATTGGGTGTAACTTAGATACCATCTATCAGAGACGATCAGGATAGGGTCCTCGCTTGCCTCGCAGGTCCCGCAGGTCCCGCAGGCCTGGACAGACACGGCCGATAAGAGTAGCGAATGGTAGCAACGAGGATTCAAATTCGAAAGCAATACCGAGCTGCGTCGCTCTCCAGGCGGAAACGGGTTAGTTTGGTGACGTCTTTCAGGCAAGGGTGAAGTCCAATCACGGGAGCTCCTCTTATCAGCCTCCCCAAGCTCCAAAGCCTCAATTGTGAGTCCACGGCACTTGCTCCATTCGGTTTAGTGGCAGGCGGAATTGCAGAGGAACAGGCCGCTAGCATCAATGGGGTGGGGTGCGCGACGCTTAGAACACCCCGGCCATCATCTCAGCTGGAGAAAGTGCAGGCGTGAGATTATCATCTCTTTGCCTTATCTTGGCTGATAAGCGGTTTTATTCCATCGAGTAATCGAGACAGTTCATGGCTTGCAGCTTGCGTTTGACCTCAAGCCTGCCATTGCATGGTTGCATGGCGCACATCAGATCTCGCAGATGGGCTCAAGACGAACAATGACAGCGAATGTGCCAGCACGTACGAAGCACACTCTATCCCATCCGCGCCGTCAAGGCTACATCGGCAAGAGCTCGACCTCCACATGCATCCGTATCGATATACCAGAATCTCAGGGTCCCTGGATGGTGGGTGGGGTGATGCTTCGAGTGCATGGGAAGTGGGGGAAAGCACGCTTCTGCAGCCTGAACCTGCCATGCAACTAAGCAATCCATGCCCTCAGTTCTAGCTTTTCGGCATCGCCGTTGTACCTTGGAGACTAAGGGGCAAGTCTGACCGCAGTATCAAGGTGCTTGTTCGGTTTTGAGCTAGAAACGTACGTTGACACGCAGCCCGTTACCACTGCTAAATCCTCATTGTCGATAACGCGGATGGCGGAGTACATGGTACAAGCCCAGTGACTGCTGGGTCTGAACTGGTTGGATGAGACGGTTCGAGGAGATTCAGATCCTGAAAACCAGACCTACCAATTGGTACGATTGGCTGACAACCATTTTTATCTACTTGCTCCCCTAAGTGCACTATTGCGCTGGACGATTCACACCACTCCAGATCACATCACTTCTGGAGTGAGTCCGTTCAAGAAGACGCCGGCCGGTCTCGACCTGCGGGTGTAACCCTATCATTTCCGAGCAAGCTGCTCAAGTCCATCTTGCTTGTCGCAAAAGATGTTGATGGCCTGGATAATTTTCTCCTCCATCCGGCCATTCGAGCTGCGAGTGAAAGCTAGGCGCCATGCACTCTCGTCGTTCAAGATCTTGTCAAAGTTTCCGAACGTCACGTCGTCCTTCCCTTTGAAGACAGATCCCGTGTCTCCTTCCCAGGGATTCGCTGGCGTTTCAGCCAACTTCTTCAACAGATGAGGCGAAACAGTGATGTGGTGAGCTCCGGCCAGCATCATGACCTCTTGGATGGATGTCAAACTCGCGGGCAGCACCTGTGTTTTGCTTCCAATCTTCTCATAGTACTTCTGCGCCAACCCACAGAAGTCGAATGCCTTGTTCTCGTCGATGTACCTGGGAGGATCAGCATGGATCAATAGTAACAAGGCTCGTTCAGATTCTCACCCGGCGTCAAAGTGCACACGAAGCTCGTTGATGTATGGGGCGATGTAAGTACATCCGACGTGTGAAGCGAGTGCAGCCTGCTCCATGCTGAACATGGTGGTCGCCAGTGTAGCAATTCCTTGATTCTCTAGCTCACGACAAGCTTGCATACCCTCCCACGTTGATGGTATCTTGATGCATACCCTCTTGGCGTCGTAGCTGGGGTCTAGGTCCTTGAATATCGCCACGATGCCTGTGGGATATCACTGTTAGCCGAGTTTGATACACAGCCTTAAGGGTTCCTCGTACGCTGGCCATTCTCAATCGTCTTCTGCTTGTCGTAGGAGTACTTCGGATTAGTCTGGATGTGAGAATATCCCGTCAAGTACGGGACGATCTTCAGCGCCAGCTTGACCATCATGCACTCAACGGCCACTTCCGCGACGTCCACGCCTGGGTATGAGGCCTGCTTTGACGAAGCATAGTCGATGGCTTCTTTAATAAGCTGGGCGTGAACTTGGTTCCCGTCGCCATCTACTCGGATCAATTCATGATATGCAATGGCCTAGCTCGAATCAGTTCTGAACAGATTGGCTTGACTGTGGGAGTGTTGCGTGGCGGCATTGCGTGGCGGCATCCGTATTTATCGCAACAGAGGACTCACCTGATTGGAGGTGCAGTCAACGAAAGGACCCAAGTCTCGTGGCACTGTTTTTGAATGAGTTCTGTTGTTCGAATCTTTGTTTTGTACTGAAATGCCGACCTTCGTCACTCAGGGTATCACTGTCGACAACCGAGAGGCTGCGGAGCACGTCCAACAATGTTTGTGGTTTCGATCCCATGCTGCCGATGCTTCTTGTCGACTTCAATTGAACGTGTGGTTGGATGGTGGTCCCCGAGAGCTCCGTATTATACTCAAACTCTCCGCGCACTGAAACACCGTGCACAAGACGGATATGCGCAAAGGTCAAGAATGAGCGAGGAATGGTAGAGGTTCATGTAATTTTCTTCGGCTTAGGAAATGACAAGATTTAGAATTTATTCTCCAGCTGAGTCCTGGTATGGAATCATGCCCACCTTAACCAAGTATTAACAACAAACCATCGTGCGCTGACCGGAGCCACGATGCGGGGAAATCATGAATCGTTTGCGGGTTGAACCCACTGGAGGAAGCACGAAACCCACCATAATTCCCACTTCAGAAAGCCTCCAGATATGGCAATTTTAAGCGCTTGCAACATCGTCACATTGCAGCACGTATATGTGGGACAGCTTCCACATCACCGGTAACGTCTGGAATAATGTGTCTGTCTCGACTGCTACATGGGATTGGTAGTGGATATGGGAAGAGCGGCCAGGTGGACATCCGGGGTTACGCGGAATTACTACGGGCTATCACAGCGCTCACGGAGCTCAACGACATTTCGCATGCGGAGAGCTGCCAATTCCAACTTCATGCAACCTCTCACGGTGTCGGCCACAACACATGCAAGATATGATCAATCGCGCTCGACACCCCGCCATGCATTTTCCTCCTCGTGCATGTGGGCTCTGATTAGCTGCAATGACTTGGGTTAAGGCGTTCGCTTTTCAGCTGCTACCTCTTATCGACAACGTCCAAGTTCGAGCTGCAGAGGCAATTTGCAGACGGCAACGAAGACGGCATGACGCTTAAGTTGACGCACCACGTACGCTAATTTTAATCGTCGCATTTGGCAGTCGCACCCATTCTGCGTCACGGCCCCTCAAGGGCGGAATCCATCCCTTAGTCCCGCTCGCGCATCCATCAGCAACTGTGCGAAGCAGTACAGCCATCAAGAACTGACACGCGAGCACAGAAAAAAATATCCACTTCGTACTAATTATATATCTAGAGGTCGGCTGGTGTAGTTGGTCACTTCGCTGGTAGATAAGTCCCGATTTGAGCCTCGCCCACTTGGGTCGGTGACGAGTCGCGGGTTCGAATCCCGCAGCTGACACACAAGGGGGTTTAGTCAACCCTTACGGCGCGCTGCCCACCTTGTTGACTTCGCCTACCTAGCGATAATAGGGAGATTGGTGCAGTTTAGGATTACGAGCATCCTAGCCAGTCGACCGTCAAGCACTACGTCGGCGGAATATAACTCGACAGCCGGTCCAGAATTCGAATCGTTAATCCGACCCCTTATCGGACCCCCTCTCGCCGCGATTCTTGCGAGCGTCTAGATCACGTTACGGTCTATCCACTTGAGCGTATGGTTGAGATGTATACGCTCGACGAGAACCCCAATTAGCAGATACTACGACTTGTCGCGACAAAAAAATAGTCGAGCATCTTCTGCACATCAGCAGCATCCCACCCCTGAGGACGAATTTAAGTGCCACATTACCACGCTTATCGGTAGTTCAGGCAGGGGTTGTAGCACAGACTTAGGGAGGGACAGGAGGTTTAGTAGTCGTTTGGCTACAAGTTTACCTGTATAACCGCCCGACGCGGCTTAAGGGCCCGCTATATCATCTATAGCCCCTTAAGGGAGTACTTGTAGAGGTACCGAGGGTTAACACCTACGGCGTATTTAATATTATATTATTTATATCTAGAGTCATCGCTACGATGCCGGGGCTCCTCGACGTGGCCGCTTAAGCTCTGAATAGTTCCGTCACTGCACGAGACGTGGAACTGTCCCTTCTGACAATACCGATAATGTAGCTAATTCTGTAAAGAAGGGAGTGGCATTGTGCTACAGCGATGAGATGCTTGCCTGTGGTCTTGAACGGGAAGAGCTTCAAGTGGCACGCTTGGTCCGAAATGGGCCATCCCCGCGACATTGGCGACGAACAATGCCATTGAATAGAGTGTTTCGAAATTCCATTTCGAGCCGTAATGAGTTAAAGTCTCTAATAATATACTGCTGCTACAATCGCTCTCCTAATATCACAGGCTACAAACGTCAAGAGTGCAATGACCAAAACAGCATCTTTCAATGCTGCTGAAACAATCTTCTCACCAATGAGAAACGCATTCATTTTCCGCTAAGCTTCGTCTCTTTGTTCTCATATCTGACGTTCTCGTCCTCAAGTGCGCCTCTTTATCCAAGAACAAAGATGGAATGTGGTCGAATTCATCGATTGTTTGGGTTCAGGAATGCTGAAGCTAGGTCCAGAGGTTCCCAGGGTAGACCTCTGGGGCATCGATCCATCACTACCTTCTTCTTGCGGCAGACGTTCCTTGGTGTTCCATCCCTTCATCTTCTCTTTATTTCGCACTCTCTCGGGCAGCATCAGGCTGTCCCCTTACTCCGTGCCCAGTGGCGCAACGACGAACGACACCGGAATCTACTTTCACTTGTAGAACTTTTCACATTTTTCGAGCCCGCGGCGCATCGTTATAACGCCCCTCATCACACTGAGAAGATCATATAGCGGCCGTTTGTGTAGTAAGTCAACCACCCAAGACATGAAGGAAAACACCACACCGGCAGACACAGCTCTGCATGACAACGGTGGACAGAAGACGCCGAAGAAGGCCACCAAGGACATGACCACCAAACCTGAGGAAAGTAAACTTGAGAAGATATCCAAAGAGAAGTTACCTAAGGAGAAGGTCCCCGAGGAAAAGACCCACGCAGAAACACAGAAGAAGAAGCCAGAGCCACTTTCCATCAAAATGCATGTCCCCTGGAGTGTGCGATTGGACCCCTTCGTCCGACCCGACGATGCCAAGTATGTCGAGATGAAAAGGTATTTTACGAAGCTCGTGCGGAATCCAGGCACGACTATGGACCAGATTCTGAATCAACATTTCACACCTCACGAAATCAATAAGTTCGTCCCGACGAACGAGGGCAACTTCGCAAAGCTTCAGAAGAACAACACGGAGGATTTTCAATACCTGCTGAACTCTACCTTCAAGAACGAGAAGCCTACACTGGAAACGAAGTTGGTAATGATGTACTTTGGGCTTCCGGTGGCTCCGATGAAGATGCTTGGTATTGATATCGCCAACTCCGACGATTTGGACGACCTAGAGGAACCTCGGCCCATTATTCGTAACCAGCTCGACTTCCTGGACGACTGGTCACAGCGGACGTACGGGGAAGATCCCTACCGTGAGTCATGTTTAGACATTCCTACTTCCCCTTGCGACGACTAACATAATCAACAGATGTCGATAGGAGTAAAACTCGTCTGCTGATGTCGAAGCCTCTGAAGCCACTAGGCTTACGCGGAGGTGGGCTCGATGAAGACGAGATGCAGGACATATGGTCGGATGACGATGAGTACTCGGCCGTGTGTGAAAGCCAAGCTAATCAACAGCTTGCCTTATGTAGGGGTGGTGACGCCCAGCCCAGCAAGGTCGTCGTTTACGGACGTCAAGGTTCTATGGCCGTCGATGCAACCTGGGGTCAAGGTGGTATTGCTCCTGCAATTGTTGAGTTGCTCTCTCTGAGGTCCAACGAACACATCGATATTTGTATCGATTTGTTTGATGGAGATAACTGTCTTCAGTTCTTCAAGGGAATTTTCCTCCAGCCTTGGGATCAGTACGCAAAGAGCAAGGAAAACACGATCACATCATTTTTCACGGACAAAGTGTTGTCGCTGTCGCACCCTGCCTGCTTCGTCCGACTCGCCGCTGACGAAGCTCCTCCAGCCCTCGAGCCGGGCCTTGGAAGTGGTGTAGCTAAACTCGTTCTCGAAACTCGAAATCGTCCGGCCATTACGGCGTACCTAAGAACCCCTACCACGCCTACCGTCTCCAACACGTCATCGCAGTATGTGGTTGAGTACCAGAGATCTCTTGGTGTCTTCTTCTCGAATAATATGGAAGGAGAGAAGGTACGTCACCAGTACTTGCGGATGCGAACACTTCCGGAGGAGAAGCGCATCTCAGGCAAAGAAACAGATGAGAAGGTCTATACCTGTCAGGACATCACAGAATCCGTGGTCCAGCAGATTGCGACTCAGGCAGCCACCGGAAATGTCCCCTCCATTGAATTGAAGCCCGAAGACATCAACACCAACAAGATTCCCATCATCACCCCCGATGATCAAGGCTGGGTAAGCGAGACTCAGGCAGTTACCAAGACCCAATTATGGGAAACAGATTGGATCTGCCGGGCTACCCAAGACGCCTGGGCCTCCAAATTAACGGGGGCGTCAAAAGTTACCAGCATAGAGTTTTGGGTACCAGCCGAGGACTTTCACAACCTTGATGTATCTCCGATCATCGTCAGTCTCACGACAAATGGCGACCCAACTGCCGCAGGCCATGGTGCGTGGATTGATAGGATCAATGCTTTCAAAGCCGAAGATCCAGAACACTACAACAAGGGATTCGCCGTGGTGGCTAGACCGGTGTACAACTCGTACCGCCTTCAAGCCCCAGCCTGGGAGACGGTCAAAGGACATAGCGCATACCATGATTTCAAACTGATGGAGCAAGATCTGGAGCTTTTCAAGGATCAGATCAGTATCTACTTGTTCCAGAACGGTTACGACAAGTTTGAACAGACCCATGTGCTTCGTCTCCAGCCAGAGGGTGGCATATCTGGGCACGTGGTCCGACACGATACGACCGAGGATGAATGGAAGCGCATTCAACGACGCATTATAACTGACAGGATTAACGTCGAGGCGTCCATCGCGCCACATGAGGCATCCCTTGGGGCGAGGGCGGAGAAAGATACGAAATGGGGTTCGTGAAAAATCAGCACTCTACCCATTTTCAACTCTCACTAATGGAATATAGACGTTAACCCGCTGTCATACTGGGGACCCTGCTATGACGTAGAGGTCGGCCCTGACATTCCCATGCCGGACGCCCTTCTTGAAGAGCGCGCAGCAAGGCAAGCGCGTGGTCAAGAGGTCCAGGAGATACACGACGCCTTAGGGAAGAATTTCAGGTATCAGCAGATGGGGGAGGACCACACCACGGCGTCGATAAAAGCGACCCACGATATGAGTGACGAGGGAAGGCAAAATAGTCATGAGGAGATTAATGTCTCGGCCGCTCGGAACGGGAATCGTAAGACAAGTGATGAGAAAGGGCAAAAGATCCGAGAGGATATGGCCGCGGCCAGCAAAACTAGACTCAAGAATGATTCTGATAAGACGCGAAAGGAAGAAATCGCTAGACTGCTCAACAGGGGCACCCACAACCTTCGGGGCGCAATCGACCACGTCTCGATGCGTGCCCAGGCATTCTGGGATCCGCCCAGCGTCTATGCCAACCCACTCAAGCCGGCCATGCCCATCCATGGACCACCGATGGAGTCTGTCATAAAGACAGGCCCAAGCGTACCAGAAGTCAGTCTGGCCATGCGAACCCCAACTGAGATGGCCCGTCTTCAACGAGAGGTACACATGCTCCGCGGACAGATCCTGGACCGTGTTCGGGAGTGTCCCTACCAGGGTTGCGACAAGTATTTAGCATACAGCGATGCTCTGGAGATGGATCGCCACTTGAACCAGGACCACTACATCTTGAAGTGCTTTTTCTGTTGCCCCAAGACGGATCACCGACTGCAGTACTTCAATGAGGAGCAGATCAAGGCCCACATCGCCACCGAACACTACGAAGAGCTCAAGCAACTTGGCCAGGTCCCCGTGGATACCGGTGGTGAGTCCTTGCAGGAAGGCTCACTGGCTTTGACTGAAAACTGTGATCGCGACGCTATGGTTGCCATTGAGACCAAGAAGAAGGTGTTATTCTCCTTTTGCGATCGTTGTGGTCGTGATCAGAACCTGTGTCGGCAGGAAGGAGACTATATCAACCACAAACTCAAGTGTAAGATGTTCGAGTTCTCGCCGGACGATGTCCGATACGGAGAAAGGCCAGCATACTGTGCAACGTGCGGGTACAAGTTAGGATGTAGCCTGGGTAACCGGCAATGCACCCGAGTAGGCTGTCTAACGTATGGCCCTAATCCCCAAGAGGAGAATAACTTTTGCAAGGAGTGCGGCTACGGTATCCGTCACCTGACCGAAAAAGACAGAATTCAGCACTTACTAGGCTGCCGACCTTGTGGTGGTTGGACATGGGATTACTGCGGTTTCTGCGGCGTTCAACTGGCCCACCTTGGCGACGCAAAGAAGTGCGAGCACGGCTGGTGGTGCGATGCCCGTCCACGGCCGAAGCCCGTCAGGTGCCCTTCCGAAATGTGCCAGAGCGTCATTCTCACCTCGCCCGAACAGGCTATCGCGCACTTCAACTTTGAGCATAACGTCCATCACAGCTGTCTGTGGTGTGGGAAGAACTGGAGCAAGAACCGCTCCGAGGAGTGGATTGATGACAAGAAACTCCGCCATTTCGCCCAGCACATGCATCAGTTTGCGCCGTTGTTCATCGAAGTCGAGGGCGACCAGAGTCCAATGGGCGATAGATGTCCGTACTACGAGCAGTGCGGCAGCATCACCACCAACATGAAGGAATCTCAGTACTTGGCCCATATGAAACAGCATGGGGTTGATGAGGATGGGGTACGCAACCCAGATCTTGACGTTTACAGCCGTACCGATCATATTTTTTATCCAACGGGTGTGCCCAACCGCCGCTTCAACGATCCGCCAATTTCTATGTTCGGTTTCCGAGAAGCTGAGGAAGGGGATATCGTGGAGGCGCGGAGACCTGCCTCGCCCAATTGGGCACAGATGGGGCCGGAGTCAGACTCATTTATGCCAGAGCCTCACTGGAGTTGTTCGAGATGCTTCAGGCCGGCAGGGAAGGATCCTGAGGAAATTGCCGTAAGTATTTCTCTGCCTTGTACCCCCGGCTCTATGTTTGAATCCCATCTAACGTCTATGTAGCGCCACTCGGATCCCCACCTATCCTGCAAGATCCGACGTGCCAAGGGATATATAGGGTCCCCGAGACTCGTGCCAAACCGCAGCGGCTGGATTAATTTTGATGAAGTAGACATCGATCCTGCTAAATGTCGTGATGACTTCATCAAGAAGTATCCAGCTTACCTCTACACCATGTTCCCTGCCAATCCAAGGAACGTTATCAAGGTCTACGGTGATAAGCCTAACCGCGGCGAGGACCGTGATGACCCCAACTTCGACGAGGAAGGGGTCGTGCTAGATCACATCCAAAGCGGGAGTTGGTACTTGCCATGGCCGCCCTACGAGGGTCGTGTCATACCCATGACAGTTCCCGAAGGATTTGATCCTCGTGCCAACCAGCTCGCACTACAACGCTCTTCTCAGTCAGATAAGGGCGAACTAAAAATCGAGCATAAATCGCCCGAAACGAGGCCCTCTCCGGTGAAGGTGCAGCGGAAGAGGAAGATTCAGTATGACTCCGAATCTAGCCTGGAAGCCGTCAAAAAGCCCAAGAATGTCGCCAACAAACGCAAACGCCCCCTCATGCTCGACGACACAGACTTTTTATCGGATGTTACGAGCATCGATAGCGACGGAAAGCCTAGAATGAAACGCAGAAAGGCCTACGTTGACAGCGATGGAGAGTGGCATCCATCCGAGACAGAATCCGACTCGGACTCGCAGCCCGACCTTAAGATCGTCTCCACCGAGAATGAAATTTCAGCTGGTGAAGAATCCGAAACTGATGTTGAGGACAGCTCGAAGACCAAGAAGGGCAAGCGAACCAAGAAGATCACACGCCGGCAGAAGCCGCTCAAGGTGCTAAACGATGACCCAGATGATCCCGGATACAGTCGGGAGAAGGCCCTGCGTCCTGACCCGTTTGAGTTCGCTAACAAAGTCCCCTTGGAACTGAACATGCCCGATATCGACGACAACGACATCCTGCCCAGTCACAAAATGCCCAAATCGGTCAAGCATCCCCGGCTCACGTCCACACTGCCTAACAGGAGTACGGCTGCTAGGAGGAGCCTGGCGGCGGTGAAGAAGGTACCGGCGGGAACAAAAGTGTCAGCTGCGAAGAAGATTCCAGAGGCGAGGCGAGCTGTTGCTGTGAAGAAGGCTTCGGGTACGAAGAGGACTGCTGTTGCTGCTGCTACGAGGAAGAACAAGGAGGATTTTCATTGTGAGGGGCCGGCGAACACGGAGACTACTCCTGCCAACACGACTGGTACCATGACGTCCCGTACGATTAAGAAAGTTGGCGCCAAATTAACACCAGTGTCGAAGAAAGATGAGGTCGAGGCCGGTCCCATTGCGCCTGAGACTCCGCTCGCAGCTCGAGAGCTGTCCAAGGCTTCTGCCCCTGCCACCGCTCCAGCTCCAGGCCAGGCATCTTCCTCTGCTGCCGCTGCGGCCCTACCCAATACCCCCGGTGTTAATCCTGCGCTCGAGCTCAAGGCCTCCACGGGATCTGCTCCCATGCAGAAAGCAGTGGCTGGCATGGCGCCCGACACACCTCCCACGTCCCGTCGGCCTTCAGTTATGACATCTACGCTTGATCAGGAGCCAATTGATGCGACTATTACCTCCGCTTAAGACGCCTCGAGGTTTGTCGGAGGGAAAGGCGACTGTTGCTTGAGATGTGTGATTGATGATTTGCGGGAGACGTGGTAGGGGTAAATAGCACGGATATATGGGTGTCCTTTTTTATCTTCGCGGCGACCGTATGTCGTTTTCTCGCTGATCGTCGGGGCGGCAACCCGGATACGAAACTTCGGAAAGTCAAGAATCTAAGCTATATATTACCTACTTGCTAGTATTAGATGAGCTACTCGTCGGTCTCTCCCCGAAAAAAGAGTAAACCCTAGAGCAATTTTGAGATGTGTTCGGCTCTATTATTATTCTTGCGAGTCCTCTCTCTACCTGCGCCTTAGCTTGGATACTAGATATAGCCTAAGATACTCTTAATAATAGGCTCGATTTTCTCCATTCAGTCCTAAGCATTCCTTAATCGCCAAAACATCCTATTACGCTGCTTTATCTCTCGTTTCAAGATTTTCTATTAGACCTAGAAAAGCGGAGGGAAATCTATTCTACGTAGACGAGAATGAGACCCATAAACGATTAGCCGCGGACTACTTCTGAAGTTGCGCTGGGAAGTTCTAATTCCAATACTGAATGGATTATGCATCTCTATGTTGACCCTTTTTATATCTGATGAATGCTCTATTTCCCTATAACGGTTTTCAACACCTTAACCGCCTGCTCATTGGCGGTAAAGAGTATTCCACCCGCCACAACCGTCCGCCCCAACCTCATGACCGTCCCCCTCCACAGCCCCCTAAATACCCCATCTTCCTTCAAAACCACCCGTAACGCCTCCAGTGTCCCCACCTCCCGCGCCTGCTGCGCCTTTGTCTTGACTGTATCAAACGGCTGCGTCGCTAACGTCGTCACCGTCCCTGCCACGGCCCCATTCGCAAAACTCGCGACGGGTCCGTCAACATCCACGCCCCTGGCCCTCTCGAAATCCTTGATTATGCTATACGACCCCAGCCTGAACCCGGTGGTGCCAATTTGCTTTAGCGTCGTTGTTATGTAGCCAGCGTACAGGGCCCGCCGGAGACCTTGTTCGCGGTATAAAGATAAGATGCAGTGCCAGGGAGAGTGAAATCGGCGGGTGGTTTTGGCATCGTCGATGAGGGCCGTTTTGATGCGTTCGCTCGGGGTGACGATGGCGGTCGAGGAGAGTATGCCTGCCAACATGCCTGATAGGATGGATTGGCTGGGGGTAAGGGTATGAGTTGTGGGGTCTTCGAAGAGGAGCCGGATGCTATCGAAGGCGAGGAAGCGGACGGCGTCTTTGCCGATTGAACCCTGGGGATGTGAGTATATAGTGTGTACATATGGGGTATAAAGAGATCATAATTTGAGGAGAAGTATCTCATATGGTCTGTTTCGGGTCATGAAAGGGGCGCATGTTTGCCGGTAAGCCTGTCGTATAAGCCCGTACGCTCAACAGACTCGCCCTTGTTCCGAAACAGTGATAGAACTTTCCACAACTGCGAATTACCCACGGAACAATTAGGATTATTCGTGCAGCCCATCTTTGGCCCAGTTGCACTTGCAACCAACCGACTGATCTCATCCCCGAGAACTTCAAAATGACGTCAGACCTGCGAAAACACCACATACTACAATCATGGTCGAACAACCCTTATATAATGCCCGAATACCCTCATCTTTGACTACCTTCGTCACGACAACAAACGGATTCTTGACGCCCTGGTGGCCATATAACTGGACTCGTGTTTTAGCGAACTCGAAGGGATATGTGCAGGCTGCCTCGATCCCACCGGCAATGCCTCCACCGAGCAGCGCGATAAGCGGCGAGGTCTTGCCATCTGTAGCGGCTCCCATGGTTTCTAGTAGAGATTAGACGAATGAAGCGAGGGATGGGAGACGAGATTTGCCTGAGGGAGTTGTGTTATTGAAGCGTGGGGTGGATCGGCGCGAGGCGGGATGATGTACCGAGGTTCCAAAGCGCCGGGTCTGATCCCGCGCGTTCGGAGATTTCCGGTGTTGACAACACTCCTGGTCATCATGAACCAGATTAGAAAGAATAGAGATATCCAAAATATTCGATTGGTATTATATTTAATAATCAAACGTTGGACTTGTTATCGTCTGTCGAAACCCTTCAGTCTCTGCCACTTTTCACCCTGAAGTACCCGAAACGGCGCAGCACAACCTCGTTTGAAATGGAGGAATGAATGACGGCTTGCTCTGTTTTATTTATTTTTTTGATTCTACGAATGGAACAACTTATGATTCGAATAGAAGGCAATATGACTTTGACAACCAAGTTATTATGGTATGATCATACAGGCTGTCTCAACAGGCCATTCAAAAAAAACCCTAATAACTGGTGAATCCTTCCGGCCGATTGTAAAATTTAGGCCCATAGCCATAACCTTGAGAAGACTTGTGAGTTGACGTCCGGTCGAGGCAGAAAATTCTTCGCCACTCCAAACTGATGCCAATTCCTACATCGAAACACTTCCTCCAAATCCCATCAATTATTTTTCGCTCAACGATCCCCAGCTCAGCCAGCAATCCCACCACCATCAATAATCAAACCCGACAACTTTAATCCCGGAATCTCATTTGAAGGTTGAATCAAACCGGTGCAAAAGCACCTTACATTGCCCCCCTTTCCTTCATCTTCATTTGTCCAATCTCGATGAATTTGGTGACGACGTATAGGAATTGTGGCTTGAAAAGTTTGCTACAGGGTCTATGCCCGTAATCCAACCCGCGGCCCCGAGATTCTCGACTTTGTGGAGGAACTCACCAGACGGGCCCTGGTGGTATTAGCATGCGCAATGGAAGTCGTCGGCTAACGGTGGGTCGTTGCGGATCCAGAGAGCAATGTAGAGCCTTTGATCGGAGTTGATGTAGGGCGGCTTCCTGGGCTTGTTTGATCTGGGAGTTTTGCTGGAGGTGGTGGAGGTGATGGATGCGGAAATGATGGGCGAGAGTGAGATTATGGAATAAGGAGAGGTAATTCCACATGATGTGCGACATGTGTGACGAGATTCTCAATCCAGGTTGGTAAAGCTGCTGCCCCTATACGGTAACAGGGATTGACCGCCCGTTGAGAGCAAGGCTTTACAACCAATCGAAATCTAAAAATCTGGTAACCATAGCTAGCTAGTCTCAATACACCCAGTCCCGTCTCATTTTGCTAACTTTGTATGCGGGTCAAAGCGTGACTCGCATTCTAGATTATAGTCGGTCCACTTTTATACATGGTGAATTTATAGTACAGAGTATATTTCTTGGACGAATTCCTCGTGCTTACTTTACACTTTGTTTCCTGGTTAGTTTCAAATTCCAAAGAGGATTGATATTACATATGTAGATACATGGTGTATCCGCCCCGTGAGAGTCTATTCGACGTTGCTGTCTGAGGTTATGGCAAGATCTGTCGAACTGCAACACGAGAGCAGTAGTGATGTCATCGTATGTGCAGCATGCAGATTCTGAGAATTTTCCTTGCCTAATCATGACTCGCGCAACTCATCGCAATCTCCAAGACGAGCTTCCAACCACAACGTATTTACAACAACGGACACTGTGATGCTGACTGTGGCGAATGCCGGGTGTGGCAGTGCTAAAAATAGGGTGCAGACCGGCAGTCCCTCACCAAGCACCAACCACATGCAAACGACAGCCCCAAGTTTGGTGGACCAGCTGCCACAGCAACGAGGCGCAGCTGGGCCAATGCTACGAGGTTGGACCCTGGTTTCAGAGCATACGTAAAGGGGGGCATTGAACCCGCGGTCCACGTCAGCCCTGCTGCGGCTCGTTCATCATTCATTCGTTCATCAATGAGTTTTCTCGAATGCTGTCGACACCTTAAAACCTGCAATTCTTCTTTTCACCCTACGACGTTCACTCTACGCTGTATCTTGCCAGTTCAGCTACTTTCGTTTTCAACATCACTTTCGCTTGCTTGAGAACTGTCGAGAATGGCTCCCGTATTCGACAAGAGCGGCCTGCTCATCCGCACCGCCAGAGCGGCCGTCGTCGCTGCCGGCCCGGGCGTGGCCCAACTCGCAACGCGCGATGTGGCGCTTTCACGCCGCGACTTGACAGTCAGCAGCGATGCGCAAAAGGTGACGCTGGGGATAATAGCTGCCTACGTCGTCGTCATCGCGCTGCTGTGGAATTTGCCTTATGTGCGATGGAGTTTATGGCCTTTCAAGGTGAGTTGCAAGTCCCTCCTACCCCATCCCCACTTTGCGAGCCTGAAACCGAGACATGGACTGACCCAAACAGATGCTGGTCATTGCCTTTCACGAGTTCGGCCACGCCATCACCGCCGTCTTAACAGGCGGCCGTGTGAAATCCATCTCCCTGGACCCGCGCGAAGGCGGCGTGACGCACATGGTTGGCGGCAAGAGCGCCATTACTCTTCCCGCGGGTTACCTGGGCTCGTCCCTCATCGGCGCCCTGCTCATCTTCTGCGGCTTCGACATCGTGGCCAGCAAGATTGCTAGTTTGGTGCTTGCGCCGTGTTTCTTGCTCACGTTATGGTGGGGCAAGAGGGATTGGTTGACCATCGGAACTGTCTTGCTGGCCGTGGGACTGCTGGTGGCGTGTTGGTTTATTGTGCACGCCGAGCCCTTGAGGTTTGTGGTGGTGAGTTATCCTGCACCTATCTCGACAAATGCGTCGAGTCGGATATGATGCTAACGAGATATACAGCTCTTCATTGGCGTCATGTCGTCCCTCTACAGCGTCTGGGATATCTGCGACGATTTGATTCTGCGCAAAGTCAACAGCTCCGACGCCAGCGTGTTTGCCAAGAGATATGGTGGATCGTCCCAGTGCTGGGGTGTCATCTGGTCTATCATCTCCATCCTATTCATGGCGGCTGGCATTGTGGCTGGCATTGCTGCCTTCCCTCAGTCATTTGCGCAGCAGGAGACGGATTCGCAGAATTTCTTGCCTACTCGATAGACTGGATAAAGGGGTTTAATCGAGGGTTGTGGGCTGTATATAATGAGCGATGATGCGGAAAGCCACGAAGCCACCGGTGGCTAATGTATCATGTACAACATAAAACCGGCTGGAAATACGTTTCATGATGGTTGGAAAGGGGAGCGGCGTGTCATGTACAGGCGTTGATGGATCACGGGTAGCCAAGAGTGACATAGATACCCAATTGTATTTTACGCAACTTGTAGTCATGGTCAATCCTTAACGTACTGTACGTATCATAGGGAAGCAAAATATGTAGTATAGCCACTTGCGCTACTTCGTCCGCTCCACCCTTATACCCTTATACCCTTATACCCTCCTTGCCTTAACCCACATTCCCCCCTTCGCCCTCAACGTCATCGCCGGATTTCCGCTCCGACCGTGATGTTCATCTCCCGAACCATTTCAAACTCAAATCTCTTACCCATCTCCACTAACACAACCTTAAACAACAACATGGCAAAGCGCTTCTTGATGCACACTCTCGGCCCCCCATTGAATGCCGCAAATGCATACGGACTTCCTGCCTTCGTCTGGGAAATCCTGTTCCAGCGATCGAAATCTAACTTATCGGCATCCTCGCTCCAGATTCATGGATTTTGTTGGATCATGCACAGGGCTACGGTGACGGTTGTTCCCTTGGGAATTTTCAATCCTGCTACGATGATATTGGAGGCAGCGAACCAAACCGGGGAGCGGAAAGGGAAGGGGGGTACAGCCGGACAGATTCGCGGTAGGCCTTGTGCAGGCATGGCGTGTTGGTCTCTATCGTGGAATAATCGAGCTCTTTCCCGTTGTTCTCGGATAAGGTATCGTGGAAGACGGGATTGAATGGTCGGGTTGCGAACAAGTGCGTAGATGGGCATCCACGGCAATAAACGTAATCAGCTTACCCACGCGGGGCGGTGACAGAATTGTGTGGTAGCGTTGTTCAAAGTTACTGGGGACTGCTGCTTCGGAGGGATGGCCTAGCTCCATACCGAGAATGGCGACGACGGCCTCGCATGTTCCCTATGTGAGTAGTGAAATATGATTATAAGCAAGGATTCAGTTTTTACGACACGTACTGTCGATGACCCCTTTACTTTGACCGTCAACAGCCCCATCCATGATAAAAGAAAGATCTATAGCTTTCTCCTGTAAAACTGGCAGCAGCTTCCGAATATTCGGCGTCGAGAATGGACCTACAGAAACCGCATTGACCTCCTTTCCTTCTATCATCTCGCAACTTCTCCAGTCCCAAACAACAAAAGAACCATGAATACCCACCCGCCAACAACCGCCTGTGCCTCTGATGCTCCTCCTCAACACTTAACAACAACCCTTTCCCCGTAATCTCGCCAACCAGCTTCTCGAACAACCTCGGCTTGGCAAACGCGTTGCCAGAACTGTGACTTGGGGATGGAGATGCTTATCCGGGAACGGATGGCGAAGACACCAATCAGAACGACAACTCCCGAGAATAGAGAATCCATGGCGACCACTTGATGAGGCCAGTGAATGCAGCAAGAATGCGGCTTGAGATTAAGCTAATTGCATGTTGTTCCAATGGCTCTAGCTAGACTTATAATCTCGATTCCCTGGTCCTGCAAGTCCGTGCACAAGTGATTGGTGCAGGGTTGCTAATCCAATGTTAATACCAGCAAGTCGCACTCGGCTAGGCGGAATGACCGTCACAACTGCTGAGATATACAATGCGATCTAACGCGTGGGCCGGGAATATGCACAAAAGTTATAATACATGGTGCCATCGTTCCATGCAAGCGGGGCTACTACTTCTAGCAAGGGGGAGGGGGTCGCAAACGAGACAGGTTGTAAAATATGACATAGCGTGCCATTCGACTGATATTTTCAATATGCAACTCCCCAGCATGGGATGAGTCATCTGGTGAGACCAAGTAATCTATCACTATGTTCAATATCGGTACAGCGTACCGTCCTTAACAAGGAGTTCTTCTAGTCAATTACCTTCATCCACGTTCATCCTCTTTCATCCTCTGGCCCCGTTCGAACTCTGTCAACTCTGCCAACAGATATGCCAATTGAAAGCTCAAGGTCCGGTCAGCCTGGAAACTCGTCTCCAGGCCGCCAATGAATCCCGTCAGTCCCCAAGAAAGCCTGCTCCACCGCGACTAACGACTCGCCGGAGCGCAACATGGGCGGCGAATTAGGGTCGTCTGAATCACGGCGCTTTCTCAGTCTCGGCTTCCTGCCCTAGGGGATGCAGAAGTCGATCCAGCTGCCCAGGTAGTCCAGTCGGTTGCGGCTGCTGTCTGCAAACTCGTGCTTTTTGTAGATGGCCTCAAACTCGTTGTAGCTAAGCTTGCCCCAGCCGTCGCGCTTCTTGGCCTCCTCTTCGGCCAGGTCGAGACGTTTCCACGTCACGAGCGTCGAGTGGGGTATGTGGCCGAGTGGTTCTGCTTCGTCATCCTTGTCCCGAGGCTTCTCCTCGATGCGCAGCCCTTGGGATGCTTTCATGTCATTCGTGTCATTGGATTTGGTGGATTCAGAGTCAGAGGGCTTGTTGCAAGAGGTGGTGGCTTGGTGCGACGTCGTAGAATCCTTGGCCAAGGCTTGAGAGCTATTTGGCCGGAATTGCGGCATAGTGGGATCGTAGTTTTCCGGTACTTCGGGGTCCCTAGTACGAGTAACGGGCTCAACCACCTTATTCTCCTTTTCGTACTTGCTGCCGTTGTCTTGCTGATCAGAAGTCTCTCCTGGTCGATCCTGGGGGTCGAGATTGGGCAACTCATCGTCATCTTCGGGTGGTGAGCTGACGGTGTATCCAGTCATAGACAGTAGTTCATCTAGACTTCGTTCGCCGGTGGGATGACTGCTTGACGGGTAAGCTGGCCTCTCTGGTCTCTCTGGCGGTGTTCTAGAGTATGGCTCGGTTTCGATGTGTTCAAAGAGGTGACGATACTTGTCGCGGTCCTCTTTCGTTTCGGCACATTGAATCGCCAGGTCTTCTTGCTTCTTGAAGATGTCATCCAGGAGTTCATTGAAGGCTTGCTGAGTGACCTGATACAGTATCTCCTTTCCAGCATCGCGCTCGGCGTCGGGGATTTCCATTCCCCCCCACCGCTCGGGAACACTCCGGGAAGACGTGGACGGGTTCGATCGAATATCGAAATCGTCCGTGTCCTCCGCGAAGCGAACCTTGGAAGAGGACCTCGAACGGGCAGAAAACACCGGCCGCGGAAATTTGGAAGATTCTGCGATCCCGTTCAAGTTCACTAGCACGTCCTCGTCCTCGTCCCACCCCTGAGGTGGTTGTGCACCCTCTTCCTCGTCAAGGTAGAACTGTCGTCGCTTCCATCGCTCATGCAATTGCCTCCTCGCTTGAATTCTCTTCCTCTTGTCGAGACCAAGACGCTGGGTGCTGGCTCCAATCGCTTGGTGTTGAGCGCGTAATTGACTGTCGGTGGGAATCAGGTTGGTGAACTGGGAGGCATCGGGAATTGACAACCGAGCGTTAGCCGATTCGTCGGTGATATTCATGCCGGCCTCTGCCGCTGAGCTGTTATGTGCATCGCGAACCCCAGGCGTCGTGTGGTTTTCTTCGTCAGAAGAGTCACTGCTGCCACTTTCGTCTACATCAGGGTGTGGTGCTTCACTACGGATTGAGGCTAATATGTCGTCAAGTTGACTGTAGTCACCATTGATCAAGGATGCTAGATCAACAGTGTTCTGCGGGGGGTTGATGATACCAGCCAAATATTGAGAAGAATCGCCATTTGGAGAACGAGTCCGCCTGGATGATGCCCCAAAGGACTCGGTGAATAAGCTTCTGCTGCCGGTTCTCGCAAACAGTCCAGTCAAGATCTCATCGCGGGCCGAAGTATCGGGCTTATCCTCATTGACAGCACCGTCTTTCCCATCTCGGATATCCACTTCGCCATTCGAATGAAAGATCTTGCCTTCTATGGGTCTCGAGTGATCACCGGCAGGAACGCTACCCTCCCGACCGAAAAGACTGCTCAGCGGTGCTCTGCTGGTGACAAGTTGTTGGGCTTCTGTCGTGGTCATCATATGATCATCCAGGCCTTCCAAGATGTCCCTATGCATCTGCTTGTAGAGGACGTAATATGCGCGAAACATGCGCAAGAAGTCGCGTCTATTCACGAAGCCATCGCCGTCTATGTCATAGCCATCGAAAGTCCTTTTGAGCTTGTCCTTCCTCTTACGGTAGGAAACGCCATGCAGAAACTCCTGGAAACTGATAAGGTCGTCCTTGTTGGTGTCGTAAAATGCAAACATGCGATCGTGAATCAAGTTGGGCGAGGTGTACCGATAACCGCCAGATGGAATGAGGCAGCGCTCAAAGGTCTTGCGATCCATGGCTAGACATAAGCCATCAGGATCATCCCTCCATTCAGTATTTGCCATGAAGGTCCATTGCTCCCAGAAAGCGTCCAGCTCCACGCGCTCAAACCCCGTCTCGTGGGACCACTTGGATAGCAAGGATCTCGGCAGGCTGCGAATCTGACTATCAGGATCTCCAGGATACCAGGCGGGCTGTACGTGACGGGGACCAAAAGGTGGTGCTGGTACGCGGACCTTGTAGAAAACATGGGTCTTGTTATGCAGACCTTGAGCCTCACACACCTCGCAGAGATCGAAGTCGGCGCAGTTGGCGCAGCGGTATCTTATGCCTCGTATGGGGACCATGCCACATCCATTACATTGGCAGCCGCGGTGGACGTAGGCATTCCGTCGCGCATTGTCTTCCGAAACCCTAAACAGTAGCGTTACGATATTCTCGCCGGTGCGCTGGAATCTGGGTACGTGTCTTTCATCGTTGTACCAGTCATCGTCATTCTGTCCGTCGGTTGCCAATAGGCCCGTCAGATTTCTTGCAGCGGTGGCCGTGTTGACCCCTTCCTCGAGGGGGATGCGGGCGGTTGTGTCGACATTCTCGTCCCCATGCTCATCTGAGTCGGAGTCGGGTTGTTGAGCATTGGGGCGGTGCCTTCGAACAGCATTACTTCGATGCAGCCCAGGTCCTGGAAGGGGTTCGTTCTCGTCATCGGCCTTTTGGTTTGGGAAGTAGTAGTAGTAGTAAAAACAGCCGAGCGACACCGCAGTAATAGCGGCCGTGAAGATGCTGACGGCTACTTGCGGCCGGGTCAGCGTCGATACTGCTGCTGACGACGAAACCATGATGTGCGATGGGCGATCATGGCGACCGAGGAACTGCCATGTAAAAGGTGAGGTGCCAAATGGGACCTCGGAAGAACTGGGAAAGCTGACAAACGTCAGAAAGGCAGAAGGACCACGATGCAGATCTATGGCTGTGGAATCAGGCGTTACACTGCGCGTCACAGCTCAAAAGTTAGAGCGTTTCTGGCGGTGAGGGGTGGCGAAATCCACTAATTCTTAGCGTTCCACCTGCTGGGAGACTGAAGTAGTGCTGATTCAATTTCAAGCTCCTCAACAAGTAAATCAATGACTTTTACTCCTTTTCAATGCCTCACTTCCACAGTATGACTCTGGACAGAATCAAATTTGTCCGAAACATCTCAAGGATTGGTTGGAAGATAAAGACGTTATACCCCCCGGTTGCTGATGACATTGATGAAGACACCTATACCTCGCCAGGCGTCTATATATCATTTATCTCCCGCTTCGTTTTCCCTGTATATATAGATATTATATAGGCCATGCAGTTAACATATCCCCTAGTACACTTGATTTTACTGCGCATTATTGTGTACTTGGAAAAGGAGCCTCGTTTGTACGAGTGTAGCACTACCTTACTTGAGTAATTTGAAATTCGTATGTCGCGGTCGAGCAGGTTACAGTTGGCCAGGGTCAGAAAGAGTTGACCAGGGGGTAGAAATTTTGTGGCGCAACAAAGTTGATCAGGGTCAGAAATGTTCTAACCCTGGCCAAGTTTTTGCCAAGGATAGCTTACCAAATTAGGTATAAAGCACAGTACTAGACTTTTATAGTATCTCATATGCAAAGCACATGTATAGTTACATATGTTTTGCATATACGGTACTATACTATTACGGTTATATATACTATATATAGGATTAATATACTAAATAAATCTTAGATAATTAAAATTTAAGTAAGTAAGAATACTAATAGAAGTAGTCGCTATAATATAATATCGTTCAAGTTTCTATGAGTACTGAGAATATGTGCAGCATATATGTAACCTATGATTCACCTATGTGACGCTTATACTAAGTAGTCTGATCGGAATCTAACTTAAGCTTAGCATATGCTACAAAATGTAATAGTATCTGGATCTATAGATATACGTAACCGAAGATTACTTTATAGATATTTCCTAAAGCTAAGCTACATATATACGGTATATATGCAAATTAGATAGTTTAGCCCTATATATATACTCCTACGCTATATATACGTTATATTTACTCCATGTATAAGCTTTTCTCTGATACTGTGGTGATGATTTATTTAGTTAGGCTATCTGTTACACGCAAAGGTGGTCAAAGATTTGTGAGGTTGTAAAAGCATGACATTCTATCTAGTCCTATGGAGCACGAAGGTTGGACTTAGTCCCGAAGGGTTAAGTCACGTGGTAACCTTGGTGGTCTTGGCAAAGCCCACCAAGGTTGCCTAACAAATAAGTTACCGTAATCCAGGGCGTTAATTCCTAAGGGTAGACAACTCCGCCGTTTATTGTTATCGCCGGCAAATACCACCTCTCGTCCTAGCCTGAAAACAGCCTATTAGCGATAACGGTTAAACGATAAATAAGCGAGGCCTCGAATAGATTTAGTATTTCGATAAGTATACGAGAGGTGTCAGGGTACGGCTAGGCCGAAGGCAATAGTACAGAGTGATGGGGAGTAACGGGCGTCCCTCCTACGTAGCACCGGGTGGTCACTGGCGGTCTCAGGTAGGGGTGCCCACGGTGATGCATTGATCTCTGCCCTCTCTATCTTCCTCCGTCTCGACTCCTTACTTATAGCCAGCCGAGGTTCTCTCTTGGATTCTGGATGTTTGCTTCCGTATGTCTGTGTTCCTCCGACTTCGGCCAATATCTTGGACAGCGGCTCCTTATCTGCAACCAAGCGATTCCCTATCCGCTGCAAACGGCTTCAACGGCTCTCATTCGCCACAAGCGGCTCTCTAGCCGCCACAAACGGCTTCCTACCTGGTGGAAGCCGGCCCGCCTCGGATGACACTTGTGGCTCTGACAACTCCTTCCCTATCCTACTTCGAGATGGACCTTATATAGATAGCTAGGCCGCCGCTTGGACCCGGCATAACAGCAGGGTCGGCGATGCCAAGGATCTTGACTCTCGTCATCCCAAAGCTTCACATAGATTATAATCATGATTCGGGAGTCTTTTGTCCGAAACACCCCTCCGGCGGCCCGCCGGTGTCCTGCGTTCAGTGTCCTGACACCCACTGGTGCCTATGGCATTCTGTTCTCTGACAAGAGGTCTTATAATGGGGAATATGTCAGATAGGACACCTGGTTCCTAGGTTCAGAAATAATATGGCACTAGAGAAGACTAGTGTCACTTGAAGTTCAGACGGCGAAATGAACCCCTCTTCCCGAAAGTAACTCCAACGTTACGGTCCACTTAGGGGTCAGACACCTGAACAATGCACCTCCGACATTTTCCGAAAGAATCCATAAAAGGCAGAGCAACGGGAGTTCGCGAGAATAGAAGACAGACAAGAATACACCTCATTCATATACAATCTTACGCACTGCTGACTACTCGATTGGACACACGTGATATTCGACAGAATATCGTTTGCTTATTCTCGATAGCTACAAGAGTTACCACCTGACCGAATTCGTTAAAGTGAGCTTATAACCGGCAAATCGCAGATATGATACGGATGCATATTACATACATTTTTCACAGTGGATAGTTCAATATGAGCAGACATTGGTTGACGGACTGACGGGACGCTGGCGGCCCCGTGGTGTTTCATGATGAACCTTCACGATCGTTTTAAGAAGTTCAAACAGATCGTGAAAGCTGGGACAAACTTGAAGGCCATGTTTCCTTTTTGGACTCAGTATGATTAAAAGTCGTGGAATCGATGACTGTGCCTAACTTCATCACCGTATCGCTCTCTTCTCGATAACACTTAGGGGCTATAGCTAGTTCCCTGCCGACCGCCTGCGGAAGGATCTAAACAACTCGGTTCCCAGCTAACGTCGTTAGCTACCGTCACTAATAGTAGTTAGCGGAGAACGCGAGTAGTATATATCGAAGATTATTTCGTTACGGATCTATCGGGCCAAACTCGAGTATATAGTAGATTGGCTAGGCGCGGATCCGGATAATATATAGTACAATACTAGGAGATTTAAGAATACGGTATCGAAACTCCGTAAGTTTCATACGGAGTTTCCAGAGAGCGCTGGACCGTTAGCACGGTTAGCATATTGGCAAAAGGCCTCGGAGGCGGGTGCCGATGACCCTAATCCCCCCGGACAATAAAGCTCTGTCGATGGTGATCGAAGAAATAAGGACACAGAGGCATATGAGGTTCGCAGGCGACCCTCTTCGAAGGGGGTGGATGTAATGACTGCTATATAGACGATAAGCAGGGACATCCTGGTATAGGCTATCCCTATCTATATGCGCCCGTTTTCCTTATAATAGGGGAACGATCACTCCCTTTCTTTCCCTTTTCTTCTTTAGTTTAGTATTCGTTGATAGAGATGTCGGAGTCGAAGCGGGAGGAAGAGGCTTAGAGACCGATCACGTCCATTTCGTGCTACCTCGACAGATATCGCCCTCCTGTATCCACCACTACGTCTATAACATTCCTACGGTTCCAAAAAGGGAGCTCCGCCCTAAGCTATTTTAATCAAAAGTTTATCTCTACATCATTTTGAGGCTACGACAAGATCGTGCAGATATAGCTCGAGAAGTGGGTTAACGTAAATACCTAGCGCGATTGCTCGTTAGTACTAATTAGTTAATACCAGTTTAAGAGAGCGCCGGTAACGCTAGCCGACGAAGTTATCATCTTCGTGTCTATAAGCAGCTATTTGGCTAACGAAGCAACAGGAAAAATGTAGAACTGTTTAAGCAAGTGTTGTTTATACATGATATCCATCACGTAGGATCAAACCTGGAGAAAAGATACAGACTTAATGTAATACACAGGGAAACCCCGTGCGTCAGATACCAAACCGACCAATCCGTATATATTGCTTGTCCTTTAAGTCTTGACTCGAGCCTTTGTTACTTATGGCCCATCGGTAGTCTGCGGTATTTATTGCGTTGTTTGTACCTATCCTGGCATTGTCGGTAAGTCTCATAGGTTGGTACGCTCGGCGTTGTGCATAGTAATGGAATGGACAGAATTTTCCCATTTCATCGATACTTTGCTAAAGGACGCTGCGATTCGCTACGCCTGTCCCATACCGTGGATAATGTTGTGTGGTTTAATTGCCAAATTGGTTGCGATTACTATAGTAGTGCAACGGATTGCGCAGACTGCATCTAGATAACGGGAAAGCTTGCCAGATCCCACACTCGACCTCACCTCCCCACTGCGGTGCTCCGCACTTAGAACTCTTATCCACACAATTTACACTTCTGGAGACTGAAATAAATACATCTAATAGGAGCAGTTGCTACGACTCAAGAGGGTGCAAGTAGAGTTTGAAATTTGTAGCACCTATTAAGCACACCATGCAGTCCGCAGCTATCTACAAGGCAAGAATATCCTAGATTCGACTTGATCTATTGTTCAGGTCAAGCTGTCCTAGCTTAAGCTGACCTAGAAAGATCTGCCTTGTGGTCTTGCTGGCGCTATGCGGTCACTGTACCGCTTCGTTGTAGTGTGCCATGCTGCGCGATGGACGGATAACCATGTGGATCACTAATAGCAGCTTGATCCTCAATATTCTAGGCGCTGCATTATCTTCGCTAAGCCCACTGCAGGTCAGCCAATCATGTTTCTAAGGTAGATGCAGAGATGTGAGGGGTTGACTGGGGGCATCGGTCGGTCTGCTTTCCTAGGCAGTTAGGTAAGCACCGAGATCACCACCTTCACGCTACCACGACGTTTTAGCCATACCGAGTGCCAAAAGACCTATCCAACTTATTCTTCTGACCAATCCTCGCGTACCCAGAGTTCGATCGAGTAACTGTGCACTCAGCGCACATGGCCGAACCGGTGGGTCTCGCCCTCGG